ATGGGCGCGATGGGGTACCTTACCGGATCTAAGGTAGAGGAAGAGGCACACGTCCATCACCATATCTAACTAGGTATGTATGGACGGAGATATGTATATTGATTTTGGATAGTCCAGGGCTTTGCTATACCCTCTAAAACGGCGAATATTTATTACCTCCACATGTGTAATTTTAATGGGGTGTGAAAGGGTTGACTGCCATCCAAGTCACTACTATGGATGACCAAGTATTTCTGAATCTGCCATGCGTTATATGCGGTATTACGGTACATTTCGTTTAACAAGTGCTACATACGGGACGAGATAGGTGATCGGCTCTCTCCTACCTAGCAGTTGACGAAGGGGCTAATACCTTACGTACCTAATACCGGTCTGTAATGAAATCTAATTCGCATCTTCGGAGTAGGCGCAAGGCCTCTGGAGCGTTTGTGGGGGGTAACGCCATTGCGATGTAGCTAACACTTAGCTAACATTTTACTAACGGAGGTTAGCATCAATTAACCTCCAGGGCACCCACGAGACTTGAAGTAAACGAGCAGGGTCAGAGCTTGTAAGTTGGTGGCCGATAGTTGAACGTTCCACCCAGATGGGTTTTACTAAGTCATAGAAAGTATAGAAAGTGGCCTAGGTGCAAGCTTGCGAGGTCAGGGACCTCCCACTGTTAAGATGTGAAATGTATATCACGTATATATTACATGTACGTAAGCTGGTAAACTGGTAAGCTCGAGTTCGCTGTCCAATGTTGAAAGTTGGAAAGTACGAAGTAGGTACTATGTAGGTATTCTCGTATTTCAGCCGCCGCACATGGGAAAGAAGAAACGGATAGACATAAAACTAACGCTTCATATGCCGTATTTTAACACACCCGACCGGTCGCGCTAAGCTGTTACCCTGATTTATTTGACTTCCCAGATGTTAGACGTTAGGAAGGTTGGACTTCCAAGGTTCCTAAACATCATCTATCTTCAAACTAAAATAATCAAGCTGACGTCATGTTGTAATATTAACTTATTTTAAGATCTCTGGACTCTGGATTCATCGTCGCATTGTCGCATTGTCGTCTTTCTTTGCAGTTGTCACTTGCAGCTCTTTTATCGCACGCATGGACTCACCTAGCCGCTCTCGACTCAATTACTGACTCAAGACTTGCTCGCTTTCGCCGTTGATCATAGCCGCGGTCATGGCCACGGGCCATTCGGATTCAAGCGGTTTCCAAGGTTGATTTTCCCCAACTGGTCTGGACCGCAAGTCGCGCATATTTCCTAGGAGCAGGCTAGGTACTGTAGGTACTGTAGGTACTACCTGCCTTGCCTGCATATATTTGCACCTACGAATGTCTAAGGTAGGGTGGGATATCCCATACCTTATGGGATACACAAGATACACAAGATATACAACGAGATTTCAACTTGGTCGACTGGTCGACCCAAGAAGTTAAGAATCGTCATTCCGCTTTGTCTTACCATCCCATCTCATCCCATACAAGCGCATGGTCGACATCATCGACAATTGGTTCCGAACCCTGTTCGCCAACATGCCGGTTCTCCACTGAACCTGGTACGTGTACTTTCGCCTGGCAGGCAGGAAGACAGGCTGGACTGGCTGGACAGGCCAAAAGATCGCGGCCTTCTGCCTGTCACATTTATGGCCATGCCCCTCTCCATTTGTCTGGATTTCAAAATCGCATCTTATTCGTGCGTTCTTTCCGCAGAACAAAAGCAGCCTTCTCCAGATTTGCATTCTTGTAGGATCTCACAAATCGCTTGCTACGAGCTGTACAAGCTACAGGTCTGACAAGCCACTTTACATGCCGGGGTTGGTATCTCTGACTCCCTACCAGCCTACCAGGTACCTACTACCTAGCTGGAGGTATGTACCTACATAGTAGAGCGGCTATGTCTTATTATTCGAAGGTGGCAAAACTTGCGACTCCTTTTTTAGCTTTTATTTTCTTCTATTTTAATTATTCAAATTTCTTATTTTGTCCAGTCCGTCTTATGTCTGATCGACAGGGACACTACGATGTTTTTGTACTGATTTGCGATTTATGATCATGAGTATCTTTTTGTAAGATGTTTCATCGCGAAATATTTCTTGTCACACTTTGTTCTAGCTTCGTTAGACAACCTTTTAGGAATCGGCTTCCAATTGTGATGGAAGCCCCTATCGAAGGGTCGCTAGCTAGTACAGGGTCGCTACTTATCTTCCCCCCATTATATGCCAGGTGACGTCACAGAATCTGCAAATCTGCATGTGCACCCAGCCGGATCCCAACAAGGAATCTCCCTAGGGTTTACGTACCTAGGGTCCTCTTCCCGTACCGTGTCTTATCCCAAAAAGGGAAACGCGAGGCAACTATTGCTCCTGTTCAGAGCAAGCAAAATATGGCAAAGCTGGGAAAGTTCCGTACTGTATAAACTGTGCTGAGTACCTACTGCAGCTGGCAGCGGACAGCGGGCAGTGAACAGCGTACCGATTTTACAGGATGGACTTCCGGATGATCGGCTCACGAAGCGATCACGAATTGGTCCGGATTCGTAGGGCTATCAGACGCTAGCGCCGAATTTCAGGGATTTCAAGGATTTCCAGCAACGGAACACACGATAATCTAGCGAATATAGGGATTCTTGCATCCTGTCACCCATCTTTACTATGTAAGTGGAATACCTAGCAAGTCTAGACGACCTGGAAGACCTGGCGACCTGGGCGACTTGGACAACGACGGAATTATTCGGTTGCCACAAATTTTATCCAACAAAGACAGGTAGCGAGGGTCCTTTTTAGACCTTTTAGGCCTTTCAGAACTTTCAGACCTTTCAAATCCCTTCGTCTATCGTATGTCAAACCCCACAGAGGGGCAATTCAACTTTCAAGCGCTTCACCGTCGAGATGTCGAAAGGTCCATAGGTTGAAAGGAGTGGCCGAGAAACGAGAAAGAGTCCACTTAGTCTAGTCAATTCTAGTCTACTATTTACTGATCTTATTTCCCATTTCTCATTTTCTCCTTCGTTTTACGTTGGTCGGCACCTCATGATCAAATCATCCCGAATGCCCCTCGTCGGGCATAGGTCACCTCTGGACACCTTTAGCGTCTTGCCCAGAGGCATCGTTACATTGGACATTGGACCAGGTAGGCCAGGACCCGAACTCACGCGAACAGGCGAAGAGTTGAGGTGAGAGCTGCACGCGCTAGCGTTTCGCATCATTGAACTCACCCATCGCAGCCTTCGATCCTCCAGAACGAGTGCACGAGAAGAATCTAATCGGGGCCAGACGTCCAGTTAGTGCTCCGGCCGTCTTTCGATTTAAGAAAATGAAGGATTAAAATTTGCAGGTCCATGTCCAACTGAGTATATTCCACGGTAGATCTTCCTGATTATCAAGCCGTGCCGCGGACCCTTAGGTCCATCGACGAACCACGCCGTTCCAGTTAGCCTGTATTAAGCATACCTCTAGGACTGTCCTATCAGGGGCCAAGTCGTCGAGAGACTCGACACCGCCAGAACGCAAGGCTCCACCAACACGCGAGAAGGCTGTTCTCCGGCCAAATCGCTTTGTGCACGCCAGAACGACTCCATTTACTGTGTGCGTAGTAGTATGTCCGGCATTGTGGCTAGAAACAGTGCCTGACGACGAATGTCATCCCCGCTATTTGAGGCGGCTCTCCGCCCGGAGCGGAATCCTGCGTAAGATAACTGACCTGCTGAATACCTTCTTTTTATTCCGGATCCATGAACACGTGGTCTACGTACATACTATGTAAGTACCTGATATGTACCTACGTTTGTACGCCTTGGTCCTTTTGCAAAGGGAAATGCCGAGATGGAATATTGTATTAATATGTGCCGATCTGGAAATAATTCTACATTTCCGCCCCAATCTTCATCTGAACTGTCAAAATCTCAGTGTTTCAGGCTGAGCAGATCGGCTGGCGGACCCCCCTTTTTTTGGCTTACCTACCCCCCAAAAAATCTGCAAAATGCCTTGCGTTGTAGATTACCTAGGAAGCGTTAGGTACCTAATCCGAGCGTGCCCTTCGAACCTAGACGCCCGAATCTTGGGGTTGGAATGGCGGGGGCGAATTACCTAGGTATTTCTTTGGGTGGAAATTCCGGGGTCGAGATCATCAATGGGCCAAGTTCCCAAGGTTTGCTTCTGCGCGCGCAACTTTGAGGGGGGATGATCCTCGACGATCAGCCCTCCCACCACTACAACCTCCCCCCAAAGTAACCGGACGTTCATGTGATGCCCTTTTTTTTTTCTCTCTCTCACTTAACCTGGACGGAGCCAGCAGCCTGTCAGAGCGAAGACACCCCCCCGGCCGACAACGGAACGCTTCGCCGCCCGAGAGCTTTTTAGGGCGGAAATAACTGTTTCCTTCGCCTTAAAAGTTGGAACATATCTGCACGTTAAGATTTTTTTCCTTTCTTATTTCAAGTTTTATTTTATTTTGTCATTTGTCATTTTTGTCAGTGCTGTTGTTACTATTATTATTAAATGGGTACGGTGAGTAGGAGACTGTCGGTCGCTTATTATCGCACACTGCACACACACATATATCTACCTATATGTATTATTGATAATTTCTGATGGTCGTTTATGGCGGCTATTGCTATGTAACAATGCAAACGAAATATGTTGCAAGAGAGGACCCCAAAGGGACTATTCGTAGTCCGAGATTGTCAGGTAGCTACCTACTAGCTAACGTGTTGCGAGAGTGATGCCGTATAATATATTGCTACATGTTTTTCTCGTCGATCACATTCTCCATCGAGTTACGTGAGCCGTCGATTACGATCCGATCCGGATAGATATGATGCTGAGCAGTGGCAATAAGCGATAGGAAGAACCCATTCACAGTCGGGCGCAGGTACAACACGGCTCGTGTTTCCCCATTTTATACGCGAACATCCCGGCCCCGTGTCGCCTCAGATTACATACATTAATTGTACTTGCATCCGAGGTAGGTCTCGTGGATAAAGACCTGCGTGACCATGGGAGCACCCATTCGTCGTACATAACAGGACAAAATACGTACATATTCATCATCAGTCATCATTTCGTGTTTACTCGATAGCTTCATTCTGGTACGCTAGCTACATTAGATAGATTTCTCAGCCGTGGCCATAAAAGAAAACGAAAGCAAAGTAAGAAGAGAAAAAAAAATACAACGGTTGAAAGGTGCCACCCTCGAATCAAAAGGACAACGCGAGACAAAGAACAACAACAAGCGCCCGTGGAACCTCCAAAGCTTGCTTCGTGAGGGTATCTATCGAATGCCAAATGCCACTGAACTGGTTGCCTGATAACGCCTTTCATGTTCACACCCATTGAATTAAAAATGCTGCGAGACGCGTTTGAAATGGCACCTAGAAACGTAAGAATAGCGATGTCATAGAGCTGGTAAGCTCTAATCCCTTAAAGCGCTGGTATACTCTGTCCCACCTCTGAAGTCCCCAAAATCCAAGCTCTTTAAACATCGCACAACGACTTTCTCGACTCGATACAACATTTAGCCTGACCCCGTCAACACATATTTAGCGTCGAATCGGAACACCGCCTCGACCGAAGCCGCCACCAGCTGAGTTCCAACCTTGGGTGACACTTTGCTTCACAATCATCGCGGCGGCGGCGGCGGCAGCCATGCGCTCCTTTTGACGGTGCCTTTCCTTGAGGTATCCAACCGCCTCCGGTCTCATGCGCAATATACGAAGGATCATATCATCGGATGGGTCGGCTTGAGCTTCCTTCCGCTTCTCTTCCTTGGCTCGGCGCATGGTGCCTAGGTTGCGGCTCATCATGATACTCTTGCCCCGGCGGATTGTACCCATGCTAGCGAAAGCCGGGCCAGCATGAGGGACATTGAGTGAAGAGCCCAATGATGCAGGGGCGGAGAGGCGGTTGGAGCTCATGTGCCCCTGGAGTTGCTGTTGCTGCCGCTGCGCCGTTGCCGCGGCTATGCGTTCCGATGTACGGACTAGGTTTTCGGTTGTATCAAAGTAGAAGAAGTTGAGCGATGCGAGCTCGTGATACTTAGGCGATTTTAGGACTTCTGCGGGGACACCGAGGACTTCCCCGTCCTCGTCTCGCGCATTGAAGAAATCGAATAAGAGTCCTAGCCACTTGAAAACGACATCGAGCTCGCGCTGAGTGAGAGGCCGTTGATTAGACGGCTTCTCCGACAGAGGCGGCACGAGGAGTGTTTCTATGGCCATAAGCACTTCCTTCCATAGACGTGTCATAACCGCAACCATAGTTGCATCTGTTAACGTCTCTTTCATGACGGCGAAGTTTTCGTCGAAGTACGTGAAAAGTGATTGCAATGCATTTTCGATTTCGGTATCGGTGATCTGTGGAATTGTGGATTGTCGTTTAAAGAATGAGGTAACCTGTGAAGTCATATTCCGTCCAAGGAGGGATCGTAAGGCCTCATAGGAGAGCGACGCGTTGATGTGGCGCGAAAGCTTGACGTAGATTTTGATTAGCTATTCGTTTGGGAGTATTAGAACTATAAAAACATACCTTGTCTGTGATTTTCCGGACCATGTCACGCTCTGTTCTCTTGAGATGCCGGAACGCTTTACCAAAGTAAAACTGTATATCATCCCGCTCTCCTTCCATACTCACTCTTAACAGGATCCTTCCTTGGGTATCTAGTTCAAGCCAGAATTCCCTTGGGAGGTAGTCGCTGAAATGTATTGGGTCTAGCTTCAGAGAAGTTCTACCGACGAAGTCGTGGTCGCCGAAAGTGTCATAGTCCCAGATCGTGGCGACGATGTTAAGAGGTCCTGAGACTGTAACATCTACAGATTCATCCCACCGAGGGCTAAGGGTTCTCATAACAATTCGTGTCTTGTGTAGCCGCTTTTGGTATTCGTCCACAAGTACCACATACGGATCACTTGTTCCATTCGGATCACATGCCTTGATTTCCTCGGCTTCAACGATCTTAATAGTAAAGACATACTTGGCCGGCCGCTTGATTTGTCTCTTAGGCCCATCAACCCTTTCGAGGATGTCGGCACAAGCATCCACATTCATGGTCCTCTCGAGCTTATCAAGCTCTTGCATCGCCCATTCGACATTGTTGAGTTTTACTAAGGACTATGAAATTTGTTAATTTCAAATCAAATAAGATGATGGTTAAGATCGATCTTACCTCAGGATAAAATTGGAATGGTTCAATCTTGTCCTTCGTATTCCAAGCATCCTTGGCATATTGCATAAACCTGCCCTGTGTCGTTTGAGCTGCTTCCACTGCTTCTTTCTCACTTGGCCTTGGTGTGTCCATCTCTTTTATAAACCGTTGATCCACAACTTCGCAGTATCGGGCAATGCTGTTAGCGAAAATTTTCGATAGTGCGGTCATAAATCGAGCGTGGTGAACATCGTTGTCCCATTCCAACTGGAAGACCTGGTCAGTAGTTTGGTGGAACAGCTGGAACATATCGATAATCGAATGGCTGTGACGTTCAGAATCTAACGATATGTGACCCGGTCCGTTGCCCCGTACTTGAAATGGATCTTGATTGATAGCCCCTTCAACGAACTCCTCTGCTCGGGCTTCGGTGTTCTGGATCCACCGCCAGACGAAGTCTACGAGCAACTCTTCGACGTCAAATGTAAACGGTCGACTAGGGAGGGATGATCTATGAATGCGTCGAATTTCTACCAATTCCTTATACAAATCAAATCCGTCTTGAAGAGGTAACTCGATTCCCCGATCTTGGGCGACTTGGACAATTCTCTTTATTAGATCGTGAGCATCATCTTCAAAGTTGGGAAACATTGTCTCCACAAGGACAGTGAGGGGGTTGACGCCCATGATCTCCGGGTTTTTCTTATAGCGCTTTTGGATCCTCTCGCAGAGTTTCACGACCGACTTGCCAAGCTGGACTACATGACTAAAATCCCAGTCGTGTTGACTTCGAGGGACCTCAGAGTCTAGGAACCCGCGATAGACAACAGCCGCTTGCTCCTGCAGACCAGACGTAAGAAGACGAGTGTACTCCTGCGCATCTCCCTCCTTTCGAGAGAAATCGGGATCGCTAAAGATATGGTTCGTCAGGACATGCACTGCCGGTCCAGCTGACGGTGGCTTGGGTTCGTAGCAATGCATTAAAGTATCGTAAAGATCGCGCAATAGCGCGTCGTTGACTGTTTGGAGGGTTTGCCGAAATACATTGTAATCTGTGATTGTCCATTTACTTCGGTCCATGGTTTCAAGGGTCTCACTGTGGAGGTAGATGTGAGGTGGCTTTTTGACTTCCGGCTGTGGAATCTTCACCAGGTCAAAGGCGTTGTCTAAATCAATCACTGTAAACAGCGTATCTGTGAATCTACGAGCCGCCACTTCTAGAAAGACGACTAGGCGAGTAAACTGGGGAATTCGCCAGCGCACACACAGTTCTGTAAGAAGATCCATTGACTGTTTCGAAAATAGACTAGATTCCTCGGCTTCGTCGTCATGCATGGCATCAAACTCGACGGCATACTTTGCAATAACTTTCAAGAACTCGCGGGGTTCAGGGGGAATGAAGGTGTAGTTGGTGTAATTGGAGTCATCCACAGGCCTAATGCTGCTGTTATCATCGAACGACATGGATCCAAGGTTCATTACGCTGTCGATGCCATACATGGAGGCTCTTTCTGGACTGAACGATGCTCTTCTATCGTCTGGATGTGCCGAAGAAGGGCTTCCTGGCAATGCTTTATCATAAGAGACGCTGACAGTTGTGGATCTCCTAGCTAACTCCGGCCGAGCTGTCAAGATCTCCATCATCATTTGCGAGAGGAAAGGCGCTTCTGCTTTTTTCCACTCTTGATATGCCTCATCGACATTGAAATCTTCGCTTCTTAAAGCACCGCTCGCATTCGAATTGAGCCTATGCTGGTATGCCTTGAGATCCCTTAGAGCAGCTTCTTCCGTCCAATTTTGTCGCTGAGCATCGATGTGAGTCTGGACGTCAGAATGGGAAAGGCCAAATATCTTAGCGACGACTTGAACCATAGGCATATCCTTGACGTCGTAGGTAAGCGGTACTATAACCTCGATCGTGTTACCAGAGCTCTGACCCGTATCGATATAAAGATTCTGGTCGTTGGTTAGGAGCTTGTTTTCTAGAGTGCTTAATCTGCTTAGAAGGTCTGGTTTGTCTCGCTCGTGGCCTTGATCCCGCAATATGTTGGTCAGAAGCCTAACAAAGAGGGCGACGTGTCTGTCGACAAGAAGCTTCCAGGAATCGTCACCTGGCTCATGACCAAGCATACATGCCTTGGTAGAAGCCGAATAGAAAATCAACACTAGCGGCTCAACCTTGCGCTCCTTATCGACATTCTTCCGAAAAGCTTGCTCGGTAAAAGCCGTGTAGGCTTGCGCAAACGTCTTTTTAACAGCAGCATCGTTGTAACCAGGCAATCTTTCAGCCCCCATAATAACACGCTCCATTCTTTTCTCTAGGTGGCCCCGAAATCCATGGGGAAGCTTAACGCTACTAGAGTTTCCCGGAACAAATTCCTTGACCAAATCTCCTATATTCGACGTATGTGTCCGAGGTGGCGGCTTCGGTGCGGGGACCCATTGCTTTCGCTTGGTCTTGGGTTGGAGGATGTAATGTAGATAGGCGACTCGTAGAGCGTAGGTATAGGCATCGTCATGACTCACGGCCAACTGCCTGGCCAAAGAACCAGCGCGACTCCTTCTATCGCTATTTTGCACGCTGTCTACGCGGCGATTGGGCACCGCTTTCCTCGACACCGACGACATGGTGCAGGATGAATGTAGGTCGGTCTTATGAAGTCATGTCCCATAAACTACCTGCGACGCATGTTCGTTTTATTACAATCATAAGGGACTCGCGGTATTCGTAGTAATTCGATTGAGAGGGCTAGTTTCTAGGTTGTAGATTGTAGATTGTAGGTGTTGTAAGGTGAGATGTTGAAGTAGGTTGATCGGTCAGGCGATAATATTAGGTTAGGTACGGAGGTTACAAGGTGACGCCGCCGGCAATTGAGACTAACGTTTTGGTTGTCTAGAAATAGAAATTGAATTGACCTGGGCGGCTCCGGGGCTTAGGCTTTTCCTTTTAGGAAAATGCAGCAACGTCATTCGGTCGAGTAGTATCCCTTTCAATGCAATACAAATAGGAGAGTTATCATTTTATTGAATGCGGAGGGGGGTAACTACCCAATATCTACCCAATGACGATGATATAAATTTATCGATAGTGGGACTATCTTAGGACCCTGTACCTAGGTGCCTTCCTTTCATTAGTCCCTTCGCACCTCTGCTCCTCTCCACATGCCACCTGCAGCTTTTACCATCAACCTAGTGCAACAACTTGCGACTGCAATTGTCTTTTTCTTTGTACACCGTGTAATACATGTCAGATTCCCTACTTACATAAGGAACGTCAATGAATCGCAACGTATTAAACATGTTTACAATTGTGTATGTAAATGTCTGTGCCGATTTTCAATGGTCTACCGCACTTTCATCTTAAGGCTGTCTCACACGACGAGAAGATGATCCATATCCGTTATTGGATATGTGGCTGCTAAATAAGACCTATGAAATAAGTTTAGCGGGAACCTACACGTAGCACACACACATGGATGAGCACAATCAAGGTTTTCAAAATTCTCTTATATCCAAAATTGGTGGATGTCTTTTGGTGAACCATGGCGGGGCTATACCAGATAGATCTAGGGGGCGGCCTTTGAAACGATTAGTCTACAATCTCTCGACGAGGACGGTCTCAACAAGCTACTCTATTTTGAGCTCGTTGGATGCGACCCTATGTCCTCATAATATCATCGAACGAAGATTTTAACTACCTAGGGAGGTCAGATGATCGGTCACCATCGCGTAAAGCTGACAACGTTATGTACGTAAGTTTTATTCTAGATCGTATATGTAGGTTGGTATGTATGAGCACTCAACTGTGTAGGTAGGATGTGTATAAACGTTTCTGACTTAGTAGTACTAGATATGGAACATTGAGACGAGAGGTAGCAATTTGACTTTTGATTCACTATTTAAGGTCGGATTAGAAACTAAGCTGAATTTATCATGAAAGCAAAAGACTTACTTGTCTGGCTAGGTACCTAACATGTAAATAGATAAAGCCTTCCAAGACACATACATAGTACAGATTTAATAGACATGTGAGATTGTGATGGTTTCGTATTGTGTTACTATTATATTTCGCTTATGTAATTTTCCAATCAGTTCGATCCAACTTTCCCTGAGTCTATCGCAACCTTGAACTTGCACAGATCCCTATTAGATAAGATGGAGCACCTACCCCGGCTGAGCGGCTGCTAGGCAGGCATGTAGGACCTAGGGTAGGTACCTAGCCTACCTATCTAGGTACCTATCTAGGCAGCCTAGGTAAGCATTAAGGCGAGGTAACTGCGTTCTCAGCAGCCAAGCTTTCAGGTGCTACCTTGCCTTCATCTTTCGTCACTCGTTCATCTATTTCCGCGCCTTGCCTTGTCTCGTGAACACTTCATACTCCATTTACAGAATTTCATCTCGTCTCGTCGCCACATACAGTATATGAAGTATACAACAAACAGATGTTTCCTTTACAGCGCATTTTACACATGCTTCATTTAGGACTTAATACTCAATCGAACGAGACCATATTTTCTAAAGGCACGCGACAAGTGAGGTCTACTCATTGGCATTGGATATCTACCGGATCACTGGTCTTGCTGGCCTTGACCTCACATCACATGCTGCTCAGCCTTGTTGTCCACGAGTGACTTCTAGGATTATACAGCTTGGTATTGCGTATGCGTATGGCCTAGTAAAAGGTACGAACATTCTGAATATTCTGAACATTCTTCAGCCTGCCAATCCGTCTGTTTCAGCTAAAAGGATCTCCTGTCCATTGTCTTTCACTACACCCTAGCACACCCCTGTATTTGCCTCCTTTTGCCCTTCTGCCCTTCTGCCTTTTTGCTCTGCCGCGCTCGTGTTTCTGCTTCAATCCCTTTTTAGTTTTGTTCGTGTGATGACTACTACGGATGAATGTTTGCGCTATTTCGGTCAAACGTTGCAACTGATTATATGTTGTGGTATATTTAGTATATTCTGCCTCGTCGGTATAACTCGAACGTCACCTGGGGGCTCTTTTACCTCTTCTACACCTTTTTACACCTGCATGCTTGGCTATATTCGGCGTAAGGCAACACGACGGCTCTGCAATAGCGCCCCTTGGTGCCTTTTGGTATTGTACCGCGACCACTGCAACCACTGCAACCGCTGCAACCCTTAATGAATTGACCCCGCCAAAATCCACTGCGCAATCGTTTCGTCCCAACCGGATTGGCTGCCCGCAACCCGTTCAAGCACCTGCGGTCGCTGCGACTGTTGCGACACCACTCCAGCTTTTCTCCAATTTGATACATATCTCTCTTACAACGTCACTAGTTAATATAATCCACCTTGCATCCATTACGCTCGCCAATTCTTTTTTTACGATTATCATATAGTTGATCTGATTGATATTCGTACTCTTTTTTTGCGCGGCCATTCATCTGGCCAGCTCTTCTCACAATGGGTATCGTGAGCAGCAGACTTGATGATGGCGCTGCCATCTACTTGAGAGACCAAAATCGACGTTCGTCTACTTCCCCCCCTTTTGCGATTCGCGCAGCCGGAACTGACCCCATCTAGTCTCAATCGCCTCTTTAGTTATTACCTGTCCTCGCAAGCGCATTTCAACTACTATAGTTCCTAATGTTTTCCCCGCTACTCGGGTTACGGCTACGCGATCACCAGGCGACTCTGGTTTGGTCGAATTTATTCAGGTTAGTTATGAAACAAGAGGCCAAAATTCCCTAGCTCTGAACTTATCCCATGTTTCTAACATTACTGCTTTAGGACATTGAACCTTCAGCTGTCCCAAATTTCCTACTCAAACTCAATAATGACGACGAACTCATATTCAACTTTACCTTTGTTATCCGCCAGGAAGATGGCGGGGCTGGTATCGATACGCACATCAACGGACTAACCTATGTATACGCTTCGACCAATAGAGACCTCGAGAACCTTGTCACTCGCGAGTTTCACGCCGATCCAAATCTACACAAAAATGCGAATGTTGAATTAGTAGGCGACTACACCACTGGCGGAAGCGCTTCAGTGACCTTCGAATGGTCGTGGAAATGGAAACCGCCAAAGGGAACAGAGGACGGAGGAGGTGGATGGAGAAACGTTTGTAGTGTACGTGCTCCCGGACATCTACGACGACGTTGGCTAAATAACAATGATATAGTTTGTCGAGTACGATCAAAGAGCACACCGCCTGGATACCCTCGCCAGGTTTTCCTTCTGGGTCTCTAGTGAGTCCACTGAGAATCCCCGTTCACCTATACAATCATACTTAACAAATCGCTTAGATACCTCGCCTTTCCCAAGCCATCCCAACTCCCCATCGCCGGCTTTCCAATTAGCAGTACCTCCTAGGATTCGAGTGCCATCATCGCAATCTGTTGATTCTCGTATTAGCGAACAAGACGAACCGAGCTCTCCTGTTCACCCTCCGAGTGATGCATTATCTATCGCGCCTACGATCGTGCCAGGCTCCCGAGATTCTGTCAAGCTTGATATATCATGCCCCCGACCGGGCGAGGATATGACTGTGAGCGATGATGGGCCGGTTTTTAGGGCTACAATCAAGGCGCTTGAGCAGAAGACTGGAAATATGAGAACGCAGATGAAGAAAGTATTAAAGAAGGCCGAACACGCGCACGCCACACAGACCGAAGCGAACGAGGCTTTCGTGAGCTTTACGGATGCCCTCCGAGAAGCGTCAGCAACAAATGCCAATGCGGTTCAGCCTGCCATCGATCATTATTTTGACAAAATTTCGAGAGAAATCCTCAACTACGAAAGGCAAAATACTGTTAATTTACAGAAGATTATTATCGAACCTATAAGCAAACTCTACACGTATGACATCAAACAAGCGGAATCGAAAAGACGAGACTTCGAGGAGGAGAGCAAGGATTACTATTCTTACGTATCTCGGTATCTTGGCCAACGACAAGACTCGGTGAAGACTAAGAAGCTTGCCGAGAGCGATAACAAATACCAAACGAAAAGGAGGAATTTTGAGCTCAAACGCTTCGACTATTCATCATTTATGCAGGATCTCCACGGTGGCCGGAAGGAGCAAGAAGTTTTGTCCCATTTAACCAAATACGCCGATATCCAAGCAAGGGGCTTTTTAACCACCGCACAGAGAATTGAAAATTTGTTACCGCAACTTGAAGCTTTAGCGAACGAGGTACACGAAGCCGATAAAGAATTCCAATACCAAAGACGTGAACGGGAGGAAAAGAGACGTGTACTAGAGAAGAGCAATCTTCAGTATAACGAGCCAGAGGGTGTCACTACGGCAGTCCACACAGCCGCCAACCCTAACTCGAATGGCAACCAACACACTTCCGATTCGGAACTTGGGCGGGCAGATAGCACTAGCTCTCAACTCAAACCTGTACCTACAGGCAATTCAGGGGCTATGACTTCGGTAGGCACCGACCTCTCGAGATCTCCAGGAAGCATAGGGCATGCTTCTCTACATAGTCCTGCGCAAACATCGAAATTCAAGGGAATACGTGATCTAGAGGAGAGGGATTTCAGCCAGCTGGCCATTGCCGATAAGAACTCAACGCACCGAAAAGAAGGTCTGCTCTGGGCTCTCAACCGGCCGGGCACCCACGTAGATCCTCTTTCATTAAATAAACAGGGTTGGCATAAGTACGTGAACTCGATATCGACCTTATGCTGTTATCTACTAACAAGATTATCGTAGATTTTGGGTTGTTCTAGACCAAGGGAAGCTGTCGGAGTACAGCAACTGGAAGCAAAAGCTCGACCTCCATATGGACCCTATCGACCTTCGCATGGCATCTGTCCGCGAGGCGAGAAACGCAGAACGGAGATTCTGCTTCGAAGTAATTACGCCACACTACAAGAGGGTATATCAAGCAACTTCGGGCGAGGATATGAACAGCTGGATCCTTTCTATCAACAACGCCCTCCAAAGCGCAGTTGAAGGTCGTGGTCTTAAAGACAAGCCGTTGTCTCCCGGAGAGTCGACCACCAGCCTTAAGCGCGACATCGGTTCGATTTTGACTGGGAAGAGCAGCTCTTTGAATCATGGCTCTCATCATGGTTCTCATACCAACGCCAACTCCGCCCCACCGTCTCGCCGTACTACAGTCGGGGCGCGACCCGCAAACGCACGAGCGCCAAGCAGTAGCTACGATGAACATCCAGACAAATTACTTCAGATGCTTCGTGACAATGATCAAGGCAATTGCTGGTGTGCTGACTGTGGCAGCGGGTCCAAGGTCGAGTGGGTTTCGATTAACTTGGCTATCATCCTATGTATTGAGTGCAGTGGCATTCACCGATCCCTGGGAACGCATATCAGCAAAGTGCGATCACTCACTCTCGATATCACGTCATTTACGCCCGATATTATCGAGCTATTACTTCTTGTTGGAAACAGAGTCTCAAATATGGTCTGGGAATCGAGGCTTGACCCAAACCTCAAGCCAGGTCCGCAAGCTACGCGAGAACAACGCCTGAAGTTTATAACGGCGAAGTACGTGGATAGGGCTTACATAGAGCCGATATCAGCTACTCTCTCGCGATATCCAACCGCCGACGAAACTCTCCTGGCGGCTATAAAGCGTAATGAGGTCCAACAAGTCATATACGCCTTGGCGCTGAAGGCTAACCCCAATACCTTGGATAAAAGTCGCGGAACTCACCCCATTTTTCTGGCTCTTGCTGCGGCTGACCCGGCGTCACCGTCGCCGACTACGCCCACAGCTGGACGACCGGAGCCCGATTCTCGAGTCATCCCATTTCCAATTGCGGAAATGTTGATACAGAACGGGGCTGAAATACCAGTTGTGATGCCTGCCTTTCCATTAAGTCGGAGCGCCCAGATGTATATCGAACAAAAGCGTGGCCGAAGTGCTGCTATTGAGGCATCGGGCGTGTCGCTACCTGGTAGTCTTAGTCCGAGTCCGAGCGAGCGACTTCAGCGCGATAAGGACGCGCGCTTACAAAAGCGCATCAGCGCTGGCGGACGCTTGGCGAAGTCGCCTATTCCCGAACGGTAGAAACGGCGGAAGTCGAACGCTTCTCTCTCGTCTTCATCCCCTTCCTCGTCATTTTCACAGAAGAATCGGCTCAGTCGACGGGAGTCGAATATTACAGGTTCAAATTCTTCATCTACTTCCGGACGGTAGAAACGGCGATCGAATCGCTCCTTCTTCCAGATGCCCCATTTGGATCTCTCTATAGCCTTACCGCCCTTCTGTCGCTCATCGATCCTCTGTCCCCCGCTGAGAGCCATGACACCACCTTCCTCACCTCGCTATACGATCGGCTCTATGACGATTCTTACTCCACGAACTGATGAAAATAAATCTATACGATGATAGCTGGGGTTGCATTAGACACAATGGTATTGGTAAAGAGTATTTTGGGGGTTTTAGGTAGAAAGGAGTGTGTGAATCTCCTTCGTCCCAGGCGTTATGGAGCATAGCAAGGGGAATACCAAAGTGGTCCTAAGCCTCTTGTTGCGTTATGACGTCTACATCATTTCTAAATAGCAGTTGAAAATACCAGGCCAGCTTTCCATGTCATGAGACTAGGACATAGCTTTGGATCCTGGACGAGGGAGTCCATTGGCGAGGACAGACATGTACTGATACACTCATAATGTTAATCGTGTATAACGTTGATGGTAACTACCTAGATGCGGTTTTAACATGGTGGGCGAAATGCCACTGAGTGACCCTTTGGATAAGCTTTAAATCCGAATCGTGAATAATTGATACTAGGTTAGTATGTAGGTACTGTCTCTCATATGAAGTGATGATGATTTTTTAATTACTAACGTAGGTATCTAGGTAGGATGAAGATAACATCATTGATGCTTAGTATTTTATCGATAAGGTAAGTACTTGATATCTACCTAGTACCTAAGTTATCTGCGTATCTTCCTACATAGGAGAAGGAAAATGCCTGGTGAATAGAACATGATTTTTAAGCTACAAAGTTTGAGCAATATCTATAGAATATTTAATCTCGTGAATATCAAACGTTGTAATGCATGTGAGGCGTTGCAGGTGCTCACAAACGATTATCACCTGAAGCTCCAGTGTGAGAGTGAAATTGCGTGTGACCGCTGCTTAGCCTCACATGGAGTAGAAGCTATGATGAGCATTAACTTTTAACATGTTCGTATATGATTGTTTTTGGCAGGAAACGTTAAAATATTAGGAATACAAACTTTCCTGGTACTTACACTTAGCCCACGCTGATCAGGTTCCATGGGAAAGGAAGATGAAGAATAGGAAAGTATGACGGAATCGCAGAGCACCGTCGCACCAAAGAGTGCGAAGGGGTGGAGCTGCTACAAGGTACGACCTTCAAAGCTTGGAAATTATTGCACAGCCCTATAACGATCCAGGAGACTGCGGATAAGCATCCCCACTTGCCGATTACAGCTGCATCTTGGGAAACTGGGGGTGACCTTTAGCACTATCAGCTGCCAATCTCAAGGTTTGAGACTTTCCATACTTTTTCTTAACTTTTCATAATAGAAACATTGAAAATCACGCGGTATACGATTTTGTTCATATTCGCAAACATTCTTTCCATTTCAACAGTGCTGAATAATTGGTTTTAGTGAGTCATTATATATTTGAGGTCGGTGAAGGGTGATAGTGTTAGAAGTCGTTCGGAAGCCCTCGTCAGCTGCGGCCGCCAATCCCGTTGTCGAGTTGGATCGACCTCGAGACCCTTGTTAGACCTGTATATCCTCTTCCGTAATAAGCTTCTCGACCTTTACCAAACTACCATAACAATTTTCCACTCAATCTATCCACGCTTACTTACTCCCTCGAGTACACTGTTGCAATACCGACACTTCGACGCGACGTCCCGCATTTCGCTGGCATACATTATCGCGTCAGGCATAATAACTTGTGTTATATTATTTCTCTTTTGTCCCTTTACTAGTCTGACACGATCAAAAAAATATCCCAGCGCCCTTGCTCAAGGCAGCCAACCATGGCTCCACGCGAAAAAAGCCAGCTGAAGAGAGGAAGGGTACTTGCAGCAATCCTAATTGGTCTATCTCGGATAATTAATGTATCGTCATAGGAATCTCCTCCCTCTAAGCATGATAATGACCTTGCGAAGAAACCTCGCCGATCCGGTCGATTGTCGCAAAAAGCTGACAATGCCGAACAACTGAAAACCCCTGTCGTCGCCAATAAACAGAACCTACCATCACCAGTCACTTACCAAACCGACAGCGACGGTATATATAAAGAGCCGACAGCTGAACCTCCAGATGGACGACCCAGTCAAGTGACACATCGTACTCCGGAAGATACCTTTTCTCAAGCACAAGCCTTCTCGTCTCCGTTACAAGACACTCAGGCATTTCCAACATCCCAATACGTCGACGGCAACGCTGCTCTGTCCGACGATGTTGAGGACGAAGAGAAAGAGGGAGTATGGGGGTATCTCTTCCCACTCAACACTGCATATGGAGGAAGGTGTGTGGTCTTGAGAAAACGGTCTACTTGTCCAAAGTCAGACGACGTCGCAAGCGCATTACCCAAAAAGCTGGCAGGTGGTACTGCACTAAAACAGGAAGAAAGCTTCGAAAAGAGTAAAGTTAAAGGCGTCTCATCAGGCGGATATCTGATTGGACGGCATCCCGAGTGCGGTATGTTTATTGTCTTCTATCTTAAAGTTTTCTAGGTGACTGGATTAAATGCTGACTTTAGTAGACGTTATCGTGGACGATCCGATGGTTTCCAACCGTCACTGCTTAATATTCACCGAGAACAACAGCGATGACACAATAGCAATAATTGAAGACTTATCCAGCAATGGAACTTTTGTGAATGAGGCTATCGTTGGGAGGAATCAACGTCGTGAGTTGCAAGAGCAAGACGAGATTGCAGTTATGGACAAAGCTCGATTTATCTTCCGCTATCCACGAAGCCGATCTTCCAGCGCCTTCCTCCAACAGTATACCCTACTCGACCGCCTAGGCAAAGGCCACTTTGCGGAAGTATACCTATGCGTGGAGAAGTCTACTGGCCTACGCTATGCTGTCAAGATATTTACCAAGAACCCCGGCATGGATGAAAAATCTAAGACAGATGGGCTACAACAGGAGATCGCAGTGCTGATGGGGGTCAGCCATCCTAACGTGTTGTGTCTGAAAGACACCTTCAATGAGAAGAATGCCGTCTACTTAGTTTTGGAACTTGCACCAGAGGGCGAACTATTCAACCACATCGTTCTAAAGCAGAAGTTGACTGAGGCGGAAACGAGGAAATTGTTCATCCAGTTGTTCCAGGGTATCAAATATCTGGTATTACTTTTCATCTCAATTCACATAAGTCTACCTTACTGACATTTCAAATAGCATGACCGAAATATTGTTCACCGAGACGTCAAGCCTGAAAATATCTTGCTAACCGACAAGGAGCTTCACGTCAAGCTCGCTGATTTCGGACTCGCTAAAATCATCGGGGAGGAGTCATTCACAACTACTCTATGCGGCACACCTAGCTATGTTGCTCCAGAGATCTTGGCAGAAGTAAAACACAGGAAATATACTAAGGCCGTCGATATTTGGTCACTAGGAGTGGTGTTGTACATCTGTCTATGCGGGTTTCCACCTTTCTCGGATGAGCTATGCAGCCGTGATTTCCCTTATACGCTTTCGCAGCAGATTAAGAGTGGCCGATTTGATTACCCTTCCCCTTATTGGGATTCAGTGGGAGACCCAGCATGTGAGTCATTATCATTCCGAGGTCGCATTTCTCTACTCATAGCTTTGCAAACTAATATTGTCATAATAGTGGATCTCATTGATCGAATGTTGGTTGTCGAACCAGAAAAACGCTTCACGATTGACCAATGCCTTACACATCCATGGATAACTGAGAAGACGCTAGGTGTAAATGATAGTACGGATGGCCTAGTGGCGGGGATTGGGGGCCTCGAGGTGCAGCGAAGGGGCGCGGTCCGTGAGCGAACACTGCTCAGCTCTATCAACTCGGTGCAAGTCGCCAATAAAGTCCCCGTCAGCCCGGATGCAAAGAAGGGTCAGGTCAAGGTGTTCAATAAGAACCCGACAGCGGGCAAAAACAAGGAAACACCAGCAGAACCTCGTCCTGCGGATCAGAGAGGTGCAGAAGAGTTCATGGAAATGGGTGGCAAAGGCGATCAACAGTTATTTGCTAACGACGAAGCAAGCTTTTACTCTAAGCCTGAAGCTACAGCAGCAAAGGGGAACAAGGCAAAGGGGAAAGGTAAAGGAAAGGCCGGCGGAAGATGATTTGACATGATGCGACATGGGATGGATGAGATTGTGGAGAAATATCATTGTTCAACGTGTCGAGAAGATCTATTGGGCGTTTATCGCATGGGGTAGCATATGGCGGTCGCATGAGGTTATGAGCTCTCATACTTAGTCATATGTATTGTCAGCTTCAAGAGGTCGAGTAGGGTTCTCTTCGTTCCGCCTGCAAAGATGGGTTGATTTATATTTGTGGGTGCATCAAGCCGGCGTCTCTATAGTGGAGGTTTATTTCGGACTTCAAAAGGGGAGAGGGGGTTTCTCATAATTCGCATTATTCCATACCGTACCAATTAGGTACCGATTATAATATACGTTGCTCTATCCAAGAGCCTTAGGAGTTAATAATTAAGGATACATACATTTTAAAGGCCGTTAGATTGGGTGGATAGTGATGTTCATTTCATGTAAACATCCGCGAAGATTTCACTAGTCCAGTCTAACACGTCTATCGTCCCTAGGATGCCTTCTCCCGCCCCTAACACCTCCTACGGCATCGACATCATAAACAGCCCATTTTGGGTCTTCGAGTCAGCTTACAATGTAAACGCATCAGAGATACGATATTACCATACACTTAACGTCCACTAGATCAGATAGCTCCTCGCCTCAACTAAAACCAATTCCACTCCTTTGGTTCCGTTGCAGCTATTTTTACTCAACATATATCATAAAGTAGACGATATAGAACCTGTGCATACATGATCTTCTAATGTACCTACCTATATGTATTTGGTTGGCATATAGTCATAATATTGCCCCCTACCCAGCTAATTGCCTTTGTTCGTAACCCAAGACAAAGCATTCGGGAACTGGAACGCGCGGACTGGACCGGAAACAAAAAAAACCAGAAATTCGAGTGTTAGTAGGTTCTTTGTTTCGGTATCGAGGCCAGAGACGAGATTCTCAATTTCCGAGAAATATTGGATTTACGACTTCTCATCAAAGTTATAGTGCCCGATAAGACATGATAGAAGCTTACACTTTACCGGGATGGCCTCATCTCATGTTCTAGGAGGCCTAGACAATGGCAGCAAACCGCGAAGAACAGGATCAATCGTTGGAAGACCGCAGAAATATCCTCCGCCGGAAGCATTGCCAGAATACGTTAACAGAGCACTCCCGCCACGACCCGATTCAAACACTTCATCGACCTATGACAGCCTCGACGAAGGCAACAAACGACCTCCGATTCCTAAACCCCCGTTACCTATAAGTCAGCTTCAACATGAAACTCTCAATCCAAGCCCTGCAGGCATAGTGAACGAAGCCGGCATGGCCCTGGTTCACCCCCAGGCAATAACATCAGCGCCACTACAACTACAACCGCAGAAGAAATCTCTAGAAATAGCCGCCCCTCAGCCAATATATCCAGCCCCTATCATCCTCGACACACGAGACCCAGACCTCAACATAGTCAGCCCAGTCTCAGCGGGTAACATAGCAACCGCAACCGCGCACACCCAACCCTACGAAGTCTCCCCCCTCTCCCCAACCCACTCCCAGCACAGCTTCCCCTCACCACCAACCCCAGAAGGCCTACGCCGCATCTCCTCCCCAACAACCGGGGACCTAGCCCCGATCCTAAACCCAAACAACACCAACACCAACACCACGGGCCCTTACCCCCCAAACTCAGTATACACAACAACCCACACCGCACACTCCTCCGACGACCTAGCAGCAGCCCGTCTCGCCTCGCCACACACGCAATTCCAACAAATCGACGGCCGCTACAGCGACCCCGGCAGCCCCATCAGCGGCGCCGTAATCCACCCGCCCACGACCTTCCCGTCAGACCCCTCGCTCCGCGCCTCCCGCCACGTCGATATCCGGGACCCGTTGGCCGTGACTCCGCTTATACCCTTCCCCGCACAGCCTCTGCCGTTCGAAACCGCGCCTCCGGGGAGACCGAAATCGCCGTCGTCGTTGCTTTTCCGCGAGGAGGAAAGTCCGACGAGTGGAGGGGGAGGAGGGGTTGGGCTTGCGAAGACGGGGAGTGGGTCGAGTAGTGGTACTGCTGGGGGCATGCGTGTTGCGTTCGCGGGACCCGGAGGGAGTGGGAGTGGAGGGGGAGGGGGCGGTGGGTTCTGGCGCGCGCGCGCGAATAGCAAGAGGAGCGCGGGACCGCCGGCGCCGCTGAAGCTGAGCGAGCGCCCGATCGCGGACGCGTATGTGAAGACGCCGTTTCCGCCGGCGTTGCAGAGGGGGGTGTCGAATCCGACGCAGAGGAGTAGGGGGGCGTCGGTTGATAAGGAGGGGGTTGGGTTTGGGGTTAGTGGGGCGGGCATGATGAAGAAGTTGAATCGTGTTTCGAGTTTGCCTGGGTTTGGGTTCGCGAAGGGGTTGAGGAGGAATTCGTCGTTTGGGGCTGTGGCGGCGGGGGGTGGGGAGGCGGTTGTGGTTTTGAGGGAGAGGGAGGAGAGGGAGAAGGAGAGGGAAAGGCAGAAGGGGAAGGAAAAAGAGAAGGAGAAGGAGAAGGAGAAATTGCAGAAACGGAAGCAGAGCGAGGACTTAAGAAAGTTGGAGAAGGAGGGGAGCGCGTCGCCGTTGCCGAAGGTTAAGAGTTTCTTGGAAAGGGCGAGGCAGTTGAGTATGGGGCACGGGTTGGGGATCGGGATGGGCTCCGAGGAGGCGAGGAAGGAGAGGAGGAGGGCTGAGATTAAGAGACAGATTCGTTTTGGGGAGCCGAGGCCGTGAGGGATGGGTGTGGTTGATCACTCCTTAGACGAGGTATTCCTGTTTGGTAAAAGCCGTCTTGTCAACCAACATAATACATTTGAAGTGACGATGATAAATTAACACTTCGAGGTTGAACTTACTTATTGGAAGACGAAAGCTGTACTTATCGTAACTTGATGATAGCATGTCTTGGAAACGACGTACTAGGGATTCCGGTGCTGTGTTTTCAGGATTACTTGGAGGAGATGCCTGAGAATGTGAAGGGTTGTCTTCCACAGGATCGCCTTGGTCTCCCCACTTCCAACGGATATTCATGTTGTGGCCGAATATGACTGCTCCCTGGTTTTCTAGTTTGGCTTGGGGCTCCCATTCGAAATTTGTCACAAATTTTCGCGGAAACAGAACTTGAACTGGGTCGTGATGGTTGCGTGTTCCTTCTTTGGTACATGGACATAAGTCAAATGTTCCTTGCTTTGTGTGCCAAATAATATTTTCGCATAACCTCCTTGGGTCAGATTTTGAGTCTCCGTCTCTATCCATAATCTTTTCAAGATCCTCAATGCGGACGGCGAGGTAATACTGAGCACTTGGTACTATAGACCAGACGGGACAAGGTGCTGCTTGCCCTTCACCGAATTGTGGCCGTATCAAATCTCCAAACCCCCGTCCGAACAAAGTTACTGCGTGAAGTGCTCTAGTGAAATCGACCCATCCCTTTCCAATGGCTTGGAGATGAGCTACCCGAGGAAAGAACGGATCTCCGTCTGTAGCCAAGTCTTTGAAATCCCAACCCTCAAGTTGCCGACGAGGTCGAAATTTAATTTTCAAGCCTGATCGTTGTTCAACATCAGCTTGATGGTCTATCAATTTTTCTAATATGTTGTAGATATGTTCGATTCGATCGTCTAGTTTGTAATATGTCGTCTTTCTTTTTAACCCTCCCCCCTTTATCTGTTGGTCATATATTTGCTCGTCGTATACTTCAGTCTTGTCTTTGTAGAGTCTAAGATTACGGTTCTCCTCGTTGATTAGAACATTAAGAGTGGGACTGAATCCTGGTTCCTCGACTGCATCTCTTAGGTTGCCTAAGTCTAGAAGCCACGCGGATCGGAATGTCCGTTGGCTATACTCTAGAGATGCTCGAAGGATGTGTAATAAGGCACTGGCTCCGTCCACCAGCCAGCCCCTCTTCTCTTCTTCGTCCCAGAAAACGAAATACTTAGATGATACCCATTGGAGTTTGTTGAGGTAGCCATGTCTGGAGATGTGAACTGGGGTTTCTCTGTTGCCCAAGCTAAAGGATGCTGTGGCTGTGACAAATTTCCCCCCTGAAACCGAGGCCTTTTCTAAGACACAACCAGAGTGAACCCTAGACAGCCTAGATTTCTCAATTGTATAATTCGCTTGAGCCGTTCCTAGTACGGATGGTTAACTATGTGACCTCGCTAGCCAAATATTAACGTACCAACAATGGAAAGCGTATCGGAACACCATCCTAAAACATGGCGATGTTGCTCTAGGGTATTAATGTCAACATCAGCGTGTCCAATACCGCAATCAAGGTACGAGATTCGCTCTTTGGGGTCATCATTGTAAAGCAAGTGCCATATGAGAAGGTCTCCTGATTGTCTGGTTGGTACCAACATGGTAGAGAACCCCTTTATGAAGACCTTGGACTTGAATGTATCGATATATCGTGTTCTCGCTAATGTAACCAACATGTCTAGGGGGCATTCCAATCCTGTGCTCGTTTCGGATCTTCTCGGAATAGGATAGCCTCGGACGACTGTAGGATTAGCAAATAAATTATGCCAACATTGCCCATTCTCGTCCCGTGATTTCGTCTCACAGTTTTCGATTTTGTAGTCTATTTGAATGAGGTTCCAGTTCTCCGAAGAGGGACGGGCGTCGCTGAAAGATATAACTGGGGTACAGTGGACTATTCCATTGTCGGGTGGTGAGGGTCGCAAAGCAGCACCAAGCCACGCAAGTTGTTCTCCTATTTCTACTACGAACTCTGCGATCCCTGAGACTGCTACAAGGACGCAAGTATGACAGATTTCTGCTGAGATCCACAACGGACTCGGCGAAGTGACTACAAATAGGTAAGCAATAGACATCTACTAAATATAAATCAAATGTAATCCACTGACAGGTCTCTTCGTGGCTCCCGTTGCCTTTTAGCGAATTTTGAAGGACTGCGAGGGTTTTACATCCCGTAGAGGGCCATATTTGAACCATGTAATCTCGACAACTGAGAGCTTGCGCATCCATACTAGATCCTGTTAGAGTGATAACCTTGGCGATAACATCAGCAGTGGATGGGTTATATTCCTGGGAATGGAGAAAGCCCAAGATATCCCAATCAAGGATATACTTGATCGTGATGTACCCAGGAAATTTCCCACGGACCAAAGGCATTGCCGGGGGGACGGTTTGCCGTATCTGGCTCCTTATCTCATCTAGGATATGTGAATCTGGGTTCGCGAAAGTTATTTCTCGCCGTAATCGATCAAGAAGCCACAGATAACCGGGGTCTGCAAAGATGAGTCGCGTATATTTTTCTATTGTAGGTAGATTCAAGGTTTCATTCTGGCCGACTGGATCATCCAACAAATAGATATCTCTAAGCTCTTCTTGGAGTTCCGTATCGTCACCTGTTGGCATGGGATTTGATTTCGTGTATGACCTACAGGTTCGCTGATACATATTCTTAAAAGATGCGACAATTGCCCTTATGTTTATGTTAACTAGGTACTATAGGATCCGATACTTGACTATATGTTATAGATAGTGACTTACTCTCTGTGTTTGTATATAAATACCATTATATCGTAGTGGATTAGAGATGTAGCTCCAAAGTTGAAAACGAATGCCTCCAAAAGTATAAAGAGGTTACTGGATAACCTGTAGACTGTCCGACTATCCAATTCATGTGCTTTCAATTTTTCGAACACATCTTGGGCTATTTCCGTTATGTATTCCTCTTTGCTCTCGGATGGACCCGCATCTTTCGGTGAACTAGATGTGCCGAACTTTCTTTTCGAGTATTGTGAACCAGCAGAAGTATGCTCGCGCTCGTTGTTCTTGCTACCCTTTTGGATTGTTGGCTTTTTAACATGGGCCGGCAATTGTGGGGGATTGCTATAACCTAGTCCCTCGACGACACTATTGTATGGTTATTATAATTTATAATACAGCAAGAAATGGTTGAAGGAGATAGCGGTACTGACCCAGACTGTTTTGGTTGCGGACGAACCGGCTCACTTTCATCAACAGTAGCCTTACTGACGCAAACATTGCAGATTGGGTGCCAGCAAAATTTGCACCGCGCAGTATACGGGTCGGGTTCATATCCAAAATAATCCGTTTTACCACATCGACAGCAAGTGATCCAGCCATCGGTGCTATGACAATCAAAAGAAGGCTGTGTCGAAAAAGAGTTGGCCATGGTGATGACACAGATATTACTTAGCGCTTTTGAAATTCAAATAATTTCGTTGACTTCGATATTGATTATATACTTACCTACAGTTGATGTTTGAAGGAATAACTAGCAGATATTTCCTTACCGACGCCCGGAAAGGATTTTTGGTATTTTATTATGTAGGCAATGGAAAGTAGCTTGTAACGTGTCAGCTGAGGACAAGATCGGGCGAATAATATCTACAGAAGTAGGATGTGGCGTTGACGTCTCGGTGTAGCAGCTCAAGGATCTCTGTGGTGGAAATAATCCTGCGTTCTCCATCTCAATGGAATTCCCATCCCTACTCGAGACTTTGCTTTGAGCGCTATGTCACTACAGCGGCAAAACGTGGGACAGGGCTCACTATTAATTCATGTAAATAGAGTGATAGATACCTTTTGATGTGTCCGAGGGTGGGGTTACTTAATACTACATATCTGTTAAACTTAGATTGACGTACTGAAGGAGCCTGTACTAAGCATACATCCGGGGAATTTATTGGGTTATTTCTTACGAAATGAAGTGGCATAGTGGCAGAGTGGTTACTTTTTCTTCGACTCCATGATTACCTGCCTCCTACCTAGGTCCTAGGTACATATGTACTACCTAAGCTGCTAGGTTAGCTACGTACGCTCGGAAAAATGCCAGCATCCCCGAAACTCCTGTTCGATTCGAACCTAGGCTGAGGCTATTGTGTTCCTTGTAAACATACCTATTATATCGACTTATAAAGATAGTATTCTAAAGATATCACTTGCATTATATGGAAGGAAGGAACTCATATCCATAGCTTTGTGGATAATCTCCAACTCCTCGACTTGTGGGTCTCTATCTGATTACATAACCAGAGTTGGCTACCATCCCTATCCCTCTCATAATTCAACCAATCAAACTGCAAGAACAGTGAACAAATCAAGTACGAAATACAAGATACATTTATATTCCCATTTGAGACGAATGCTGTCCCGGGGAATAAAAGAAGCCAGTGACACAAGAACCCTTACATTCAATGCCTCGGCCTCGGCCCATAGAACATTGATCGACTGTCACATACCTACAATTAAAAGAGATGCTTTTTTGAAAGTGTCATGTGACGACGAGGGGTGTAAAACCGCTTGTTTCTTTTTGCTCAGAACATCCAGACTTTAAACCTAGTTTCCATCCTCTCCCGCATCTTCAATCTTCGATGTCCTCGCCTTGTAATTATGGGTCCGACATCTCCAGTGGAGTCTTACATCGCCGTCAAGCCAGCCCCTGATCTAGGCGCCGATGTCTACACCAACGATAAAAAGTAACTACCTACCTACCTACCTACCCATGTTCCATTGCCAGACAAAATACATCCCTACGACTTCTTCTCCTGCTTTCGCGTGCACCCGCTTACCCTCGGCACAGATTCCCAACAACCCGCCACGGCGGGCGCACCGTCTTCGGCGGACTACTAGTCTCTCAAGCCATATCAGCGGCCAACGCCACAGTACCGGCTGATTTCCACGTGTACTCCTCGCAATCATCCTTCGTGCGCGCCATCAGCGACAAAGCCAACGGCATCATCAACTACCACATCGAGCGCACCTCCTCCGGCCGCACCTACGCCACGCGTCTCGTCCGCGCCATCGCAGACAACGTCTGCGTCTACATCGCCATCATCTCGTTCCAGAGCTCCAAGATATCCGCCGGTAGCGCGCTAGCTTACAACGTCCCGATGCCCGAGCTAGACGACACCCCAGAGGAAATCTCCCAGGAAATCAGCAAGCAGTTTAATGCTTCGCATACGGGTGAGTCCGGCGGCGTGTTGCAGGCTTTTGCGCCGGAGGAGAAGCCGTTCGATTGGCGCCCCTCGGGACATATCCTAGGCGACGACCCGACGGAGTCTTGTTTACGCGGGTTTGTTCGCGCACGTCCGTTGTCTACTAGGTCGCCTGCGGCACACCTAGCGGGGTTGGGTTACGCATCGGATGAAAATCTTCTGGGCGTAGCGATTGTGTCGAATCCCGAGCACGTGGGCCGAGGGGGGCGTAATGTGGCGATGGTTGCGAGTCTCAACCATAACATATCATTCCACGATCCGAATGTCAAGGTTGATGAGTGGATGGTGTGCGTGCGCAATACGAGTTGGGGCGCGGATGGGAGGGTGCTTGTTCATCAGCGGATGTGGGATTTGAAGAGTGGTCGTCTTGTCATGACGACTGAGCAAGAAGCTCTGGTCAGGTTGAAAAATGCTAAACTCTAAAAGGCCTGTTGTTTCTTGTTAGCATCACCACCCATGCGCTCATTTATCCTTGTATACAGCGATGAAGGCTAAGTCTTCTGCCACTTCTTGTCATGGTATTGTACTTAATACACTGATTACGTTAAGCCTATTATACCGATAACATAGCTTCACCGATCCAATTAACTTTATTCTGGTTAAGCTTATTCACCCATTTCCAAACCCAGCATCACTCACCTTGCTATCAACCTACACAACTACGGCACATCACGACCCACCAACGCAACCAATTTCTTCCCAGACACCGCACCCGACCTCAACAACTCCAAACCCTCCAAAATCCCCTCCAACCCCGGCCCTACCATCTGCACCGGATGCGTCCTAAGCTTCCCCTCATCTAGCAACCTCTGAACAACAGCAAACATCCGCACCACAACCCGATGTTTTTCTTCACTAGCGGGGCGCTCATATCCCCCGGAGAGCTTGACCTCCTTGCCGAAGACCTCGGGCGCCATTATGAACGAGGCCTTGATAGCTCTTCGTTTCCGCAGGGTCCCCTCGGGAACTAGTTCTAGGGCCGTGTAGAAGCCGCCGGCACGCTGTATGGCGCCGTAGCAGCACGCGACGCTTGTCTCGTCGGCTATGCAGTCCAGCACGTATTTGAGACGTGCACCCGTATGTGTGCGGATCGCGGCTGCCGTATCTGCAGCTGCATAATTAAACACGGCACTAGCGCCATACGAACGTACAAGGTCGAAGTTATGCGGCGAACAAGTCGCGATCGGGTTGAAGCCGGACAGCTTCAGCAGCTGTATAGCCAGTGTCCCGGTAGCGGTGCTGCCTCCATACACGAGAACCGGGAACAGGTCTTCGGCCGGGTTGTCCGGCGTCGCGGATAGCCTTAGAGCACCGGGGCCCCAGAACGCTAACAGGCTAGTTGCCAAGCCAGTACCTAGCGTCGCGGCTTTAGCCCAGTCTAGCCAGTCCGGAATGCGCAAGAGGAGGTCGGCGGGAACGCGGACGTACTCTGCGAAGGCGCCGTTGCCGGGTTCGGCTGGGTTGGAGCCGTGCACGGCGCCACAGACCCGATCACCCGGAGTGAAGTGCGCGTCCGCTCCCTCGCCAACACAAGCTACTATGCCGGCGAAATCGAACCCAATTATAGCATTATTGGTTGGGAATGCCGCGCCCATTTTATAATCGCTAGGATTAAGGGCTACAGCTACTGTTTTCACTAGAATAGAGCCATGCTGTAATGGTGGTACGGCGACGTGGTCGGCGATCTGAGGTCTACCTTTAACATCTTGCGTGACTGCACGCTGAAATTTTGGGGTTTGCGTCGACGACGGTGCGGATGCCATTTTTGGTAGTACCGAGTATAATTCGGCGATTTGCTGGCGGCGGACCCAAAGTCATGGTCGTCATTTGGCGGATGCTATATTTGAAAATTGGGGTTTCAGTGCAGGAGGTGGTCCCTAAAGTTGGACACCGAAGCACTAGAGTCCTATCAGGCTGTCAGGTTGCTTCGGCCCCAAAGTTGCAAATACGACTGCAACGCACCTCTGAAGATCATCTAGCTGCATGGTATCAATAAGCAGCCACACAACCAGCCAACCTCGGTTGCCTGGCTTGACAATGCCCATGTACCAGTACATTAGGTACCTATGTACCTAAACGCCGTCATGCACGTTACACAACATGTGTTCGGCTTATAGCGGCAGTTGACTATTACCAAGCCCCCTTTTAATTGGCTTAACAAATTGACCTATTTTGGTGGTCAAGCAAGGCAGACCCCTAAAAGGTCTATACCTAGAGGAGACTTAAGACTCTCTGTCGTCTATCCTAACACATTCGTGACTTGAATATTACCTTTATTCCCTTGCTAGTCATGGATCAGGAGACGACGAGTGCTAATCCCGTTCCCAAAAGAGCAGAAGGGGAAGATACGACACGGGAGATAGAAGCCGGAGAAGTAGCGGATCCGGTCGACAAAACGGAGCGCAGCTTTAGGTTCTGGGCTATTATTGTCGGCCTCGGCATCACTACACTCCTAGGGGCACTAGAGAACACCGTTATCGTGACTGCGGCGCCGTCCATATTGGCCGAATTACCCCTTGGTGATAATTGGGTGTGGGTTACGAATGCCTTCTTTCTCTGCAGTGCTGCGTTTCAACCTTTCCTCGGCCAGCTCTGCAATGTCTTCGGTCGACGATGGGTTACGTTATGCATCGTTGTCATATTTATCCTCGGAAGCGGCATATGCGGTGGTGCAACCACCGGCAATATGTTGATTGCCGGACGAGCTGTCCAGGGAGTCGGATCAGGGGGTATCGCTATGGTGTTTGGTAAGTTAGGTTCATGATTACCTTTCGAAGAATGATCTAACATAATCGTGGATACCAGACATCATTGTTTCCGACTTGGTACCCCTACGCCGGCGGGGAAACTACATCGCTGTGATATTAATCATATATAGCATCGGGACGACGCTGGGTCCGTTCATCGGAGGTGCCATTGCCGATACAGGTAACTGGCGTTGGGTCTTCTACATAAACCTACCCGTTGGCGGCGTCTCGTTTGCGACCTTGTTTTTCTTCCTACACGTTAACTATAGTCGCGAACAAGATTGGGTGGCCCGACTGAAGCGCATCGATTATTTAGGCAATGCAATCCTTGTTGCTAGTAGCGCCGCGATCCTCGTCGCGCTTACTTATGCAGGGACGCGGTACGCGTGGTCATCATGGCACACACTTGTACCGCTGCTCCTAGGTTTCGCGGGCTTCTGCCTCTTCTTTATATTCGAGACTAGCCGTTGGGCGCCACAAGAACCGGTAATCCCTGCACGCCTCTTCACGAATCGCACGTCCATCATCGTTGCGATCAACACCTTCCTCAACTCGGCTCTTGTCTACTGGAGTCTGTTTTTCCTGCCCGTCTATTTCCAGTCGGTGCAGTTGGCTAGTCCGAGTCGTGCTGGCGTCTGCTTGATTCCCTTGGCGTTATTCACTATCCCGAGCGCAGCAGTGGGAGCCGCATTGCTAAGCCGCTTAGGCAAATACAAAATGATTCACATCGTTGGATTTTCCTTCTTTATCATCGGAAGGGGCTTGTATACGCTGTTAGACGAGACTACCCCGGTGGGAGAGTGGGTGGTGTATCAGCTCCTCTCAGGTATAGGAGCTGGATTACTACTGAATACGCTTCTTCCAGCTTTCCAAGCACCTTTGAAAGAGTCAGACCAGGCCGCAGCAACGGCATCTTGGAACTTCATACGGACGCTAGGAAGTGTCTGGGGAGTTGCAATTCCGGCCGCCATCTTTTCCAATCGCGTAGATGTCCTCATAGCTGAAAATAGTGTGGAGGACCCGCTAGCCAGTAGCCTCCTTGCAAACGGTGGCGCATATCAATATGCATCAGCCGACTTTGTAGAACAGTTTTCGCCTACTGTGCAGACGCAGATCCGTGCTGTCTATCGGCAGGCCATTCTACGGGTGTTTGTGGTTAGCTTTGCATTTATTGGTCTAGCATGGTTGTTGGCGTTATTCGAGAAGGATGTGCCATTGCGTAAGGTGCTAGAAACCGAGTATGGCTTAGAACAGAAAGAAGAGCAGGCTACTAGCACCGAGAGTCTGAGTGATGACCCGACCGAAGCGGGGCAGAGAGGCACTGTAAAATGACGGGAAATTCAGAATGAGTGAGGAAGTGTAACCTTGAAGCAATCAATGCCTTCTTCATACATACTAGGTACCTTCTGTCTGTTGGCGCATGTCTGGTATTAAATTGATTTGGTTTAATTTGAGCTACTACTGTAGCTTACTGAAGCTGGAAGTGAACTAGACCTAGACATATGTAGTCCCAAGTTTCCAATGGGTCAAGTAAGGTGAGATTTTCATTATGTATTAAAGGTGAAAGTGTTGGTGAAAAATATTTAGAAACTGAATGGCTATCTCTTACAAAGTGGGGCTTCTAGTACCCGCAAAGCACCTTCTCAACGTGCGCCTGGCACCTGCCATGTACGCTATAATGTAGGTAGGTAGGTACTTTAGGTACAAGTACGACCTAAATACGAACCTTGGTAGTCCTAAGAAAACTGCCTAGGCACGCCCTAGAAATGCATGTAAGATCGCCAGGGCTGAAATGAACCTGCTATAATTTCAATTGATAAGACCTAACTCTTTTGCTCTACCGGTACAAAGCGGGCTCTAAATTCGGGCTTGACCCAAAACCCATATGTCACGAAATCCTTCTCGAGATCCACCTTCTGTCCAGGAACGCCAACAAGATCAAATGTCCAGAGAACTTTAGCGATGAACAGCCTAGTTATCCTCCATGCTACCTCCTTACCAATGCATGCTCGCGGACCTTGGCCCATCGGAAAGAAGCCCTCAAGACTATCTTCAGAGAACTTGGATTCGTAGAGTGGGTGCTTTGGAGGTAACCATCGTTGGGGTCGGAATTTAAGTGGTTCGTGGAAAAAGCGCGGGTCCCGCCACATTGCGAACATACTGGTTTGGCAATAAACCTAACAATGTCAGTCAGACGGCGCAACTTAACGATCGGCTATGAGAAAGGAAGCCCTTACCCCTTTAGGAATATCTATTCCATCCACTTTTGCTCCTGGGCTAATGCGTGGCAAGCCTAGATTGTTACTGGGAAAGGTACGGAGCGATTCCTGGAGGCAGGCATTTAGATATGGTAGTAAGGCAAGGTTTCCAGGTGTGATATCGTCGTATTTCGTGAAATTGTCTCGAATCTCTTTAGCTAAGATCTGGTATATCTCAGGCTCATCTAGCAGATTCAGAAATGTGCCGTAGAACCAAGAAGAAACTGGTTCGAACCCTCCGAATAGGAGCTGTGCAGCTAGCTGTTCGAAGTGTCTCATTTTCTTCGGGTCCTTGGGGAGTACGCTGTCCTCTGGCACTATTTGATCAAAAAAGTCGAGGTGATCTGTGTTTCCCTTCTGACAGAGACGTCGCTGAAGTTCGATTCTGCTACTTTGAACCATTTCAGGCATCGAAGTCATGGCCGAGACAGGAATGAATAGCTTTCTAAACCGCTTTAAGAGGGGGAATCTGAGTGAGACCTGCTCAACCGTCGTATACTTGTTGAACCCCGATATTACGTTCATGTAAGCAGAGTTTTTCACTGGAAACATGTGTTAGCATACTGGGCGACAACGAAGTGCGCGAAAATAAGGGCGAAGAAATAGGAACTCACTGTCTCTTATCTGATTCATTTGGCGATTGTACGTTATATCAGCGGAGATATCCATAGCCAACCAATTACACCAACGGGCAAGATCAACTCCGTCTTCAGCAGCACCAAGTGTCTTCATCCTTTCAATGAATAAGTCAATGTGTTTATGCATTGCTGGCTCTTTGGCAGTGATTGAGCGGGAACTGAATGCCGGTGAGAGTTGCTTGGACACCTTCCTGTGTCGTACAGGATCTCGTTCAAACGCAATACCACCATGCTCATCACCGCGATCGTTCATCTCCGTCTTGACGAACAACTCATGATTCTTAACATGCGGTCTGTAGATATCTAATGACGATTATTATATGTTCTTAGAAATAGTTCTCGAGGAAGTGGGTTGTTACCAGCGAATGCCTGCGGTTGAATGAATACAAGCTCGTTAGGTGCGACGCGAACGACATCACCTGAAGTAATTAGAGGCTAGAACTAATATAAAGTGATTTGAACTTAAACTATACCATATTTCCTTAGAACATTTTCGGTTGCCCAAGGATATCGTCCGGAAATCCTGGAATATCAGCGGTTGGTAGCTGTTAAGGGGGGTTCAGAGTGGTTGATAGCCTTACCAGTGATAACCATACCAGATATTGGACACGGCTGCGATTTTAGGACCCGGGTATTTCGCTAACGGATGGAAGTACAACAGATAGATGCATCGCGACAGAGCATAAACAGACGTAGCTCCAACGATCAGCGCAAGCAAAACCCTAGCAGAGGTAATAGCTAGAGACCAAATTTCAGCGACACCCATAGCGAAACCTGTTAAGATATTGACATTAGGTGAAGTGCAGCGTATTGGCAAGGTACGAGCCCATGTGATGTTAGAATTGGGAGAGAGGCGAGGGGGACAAAAGGAGCAAAGGGTGAAGGTCCTCGGTACCGATCGAGATCCTTTTGGAGTTCTTGTATTACAAAGCCAACAACATGTACTTATACCAGGTATTTATGCACGTATGTGGCATGGTTTATACAGGGTTATGAAAGTAGAGGAATAGGTCTACGCCGTCAAATATTCCGCAACTATCGTCAATGATTCATCTACTATCTCTTTCTAAGTTACAGGTAGGTACCTATGAATACATAGGTAGTTAAATTATTACTGAGACTACTGAGAATACTGAACTCAATGACTCTTCGGCACGGCAATCTCGCATCATTAATATTTGCTAGATACGTAGGCATTTTATATTTCGTACACCATCCGAATCAAACCACGTCAACGCTTCTCTGTACTTTTATGGTCCCCCGCGGATGATTTGATTCTATAGTCCCCCCTTGACCATAATCGCTAAGGGCGTACGTCTCGGCTAGGTGAGGTTCTGGCCATGCAAGCCCTTTCATGCTGGACTCGTCCAGCTGAGCCCAACCCTCAGGCTGGCTATCATTCTTGTGTCTTTGACTCTTAGTGGAGGATCCTCTCGACGATCCTCGGTTGCTCCTCAATCTACTTATACTGATTCTGGAGGCAAGGCGGTTCCAAAAGCCTGTTTCTGGAAGAATAGGTTTATAGACAGGTGCGCAGCAGCAAATGATCGCGGCAGTCATTTGGATATTCGCCCATATTCCTAGGGACGTGAATATATCTATACCATGCCTTAGGTTAGCCATCTATAGAAGCGATAACATAGCTAGATGGACGTGTTTCTTACAGAGTGAACTGGTGGTATATTGGATGCCAATTTTGATGAATCCTATGATTCCAACTCTAATAGGGGGTTAGTCTGTCGTACATGTGGCTACGAAGAGACCAGATGTGAGAACTTACATCGCGCCAACCCCGAAGAGGGCCCTCAACTTCCATTTTGTTGCCCTCGTCATGTTGATAGACTGAATCATATGCATAGCAAGGAAAACCAGAGCGAAGTCGAGGAGCGAATTGACGGTTTCCGTTGGAACGGCAATTATCCCCGAAGGTAGACACTTGCCGTCAATGAATGGCATCCAGAACTTTCTCACAGGATTGCACTCTAGGGCCCCGAACAGAATTGTCCAGATAACCCATACAACATGTATGATACCTAGGGCATAGATACACCTCGCGTACGTCCGGTTTACACCAAATATACGGTAGTATAGAGTCATGATGCTAAGCTTGGAAAAGAACATCTGGATTGGGAAGAACATGATGTTGGTGTACGTAAGCTATTCGAATACACCGCCGTCAGTTAGAATACGCGCTCCATGATAAGAATACCGTTAGCTACGTGCGAAATAACTTCCATACCTTGCGGAAGTGGGCAAAGCGTTCCGGATCTTGAACCGCCATGACTAGTTGATTTTCGCCATTTATTATGGGAAGAGCTTCATTGAACGACTGTCAGCTAAGATGATCTTGGGAGTATTTGAATGGGTGTTGCGACTCACTTATCTCAGTTATAATACTGCCAACCAGATATGAAGCCAAAGCAAGTAACGCAAACCAATCCTCCATACCCGGTTTTCGCCCGCTGCGCTTGGTAGCCAGGAACCGGAGGCCCGTTACCACAATGCAGAGGGGCATGAAGATTAGGACAAGAGTAAAGTAAGCTCCATCCAGGGAGCTTTCAAAAACGAGGAATGCCATTTGCGCAAGAGACTTCTTGGACGTGCAAATTTCAAACCCAGCAATGAAGTTCACTTGGTAGTGAATGAAAGAGATCGAACTTCATTACTCCAGTACTCTTCAGCGTGCCGGCGAGTGGCGGGGAAATATTCTAGACGGGTCGCGCCATGTGCGTTGATATTCCACGGCACTACTACACAACCTCTGTCCTATGAGGGTGGATCGCTTGAATCCCACAGCATCTCTAACCAACGGCGAATCCTTCAGAGATGCAGCGGACAACCCAACATGCATCGGGGTCACGCAAGTTGATTCGCCACAGACTGACATTTGATTTTTCAATTGCTTACATGGTGTACTGGGTGTGTTACGTCATCTGCCGTATTCGAGTTGGTTGGTGAGTCTGTTTGTAGTGTGAAAGATACGACCTGAACGGGACGGAAATAAAGCGACTTTCCATTCGCTGGATACGGCAGCTTAGGTTGCGTCGAATCCTCCAATACCACGCAGATAGTGGCTACAGGTTCTTGAGCGGACCAACATCAGCAATCTGATAGGACACCAACGGCTTACAGAAGGCTTGCTTTTCGGTGTAACGGTACGTCTAAGGGTAAGTGGCTGAGTGGCTACGCCCTATCCCAGTACCTATTCTCTTGGCCCCAATGGTACGGAATCCCAGCTTCCCTTTTCGCTATCACGATGTTAGGGCGAAGTTGGAGAAAAGACTTCAGCTCTCCCAAATGAAATTACTACCTTGAAACTTGCTAGCAGGAATATTTAGCAGTTGGCTGTGGCTAAATTGCGCTTGGCTTCTAGAAGACAACCATGTCAGGAAGCAGATAAATGAATAATTAAAAGGTACTACCTACGAGTATGCATGCGCGTACCGGCGGCATGATAACTGATATGTACCTAGGTACTAGGCACGCTTGGGACGGCACGGAGATTGTATAATTGCTTTTTGCGGTTCATGATAGTGTAATGCGGGAGGACGGACTCTACGACTAGGATATTCGAGTGCCACAATGGAAGAGCCGTTCATTGTAAAATCAATGTGATTGACATTAGGGTGTTCGGTTATAGTAGGGAAGTAGACCGACGTCGATGTTGTGAAAGAAAGCGATGGAGTTTTGGTGAGAAGTCATTCTATCGAGCCGTCATGATGCTCAAAGTGTCTGAGGATTTCGACTGCAGCTATCAACCACGTTCTGAATCGAGAGTTTCGACGCCAGTGCGAACTCAATCGAAGAAGCGACGAGCGCTTTAACGGATATCACATCATTGCCACGATCCATCACGGCCAGCCGTTTGATGGGCTCGGAGTTGAGTTAGAAGAGCTGCAGTGTAACAAATGGCGTCAGTGTTCAAATTCCCAAGGATGTCCCTAGTTTCTCCCATATTAATGGCGCTGAGGTCGTCCTTTACGGAGTGTCGATTTGGAATGATGACGGAAATAGAGCATCTTGAGACGGAAGCTCGAAGTGTTCCCGTAGTAGGGTGCAGTTCCTAAGAGGGTATTGACTCATACCGAACAGGATTTTTGATCTCTCATACTAGATCCCATGGAGGAGTCTCGTACAGTGACCCTCTCCGTTGCTAGGGCTTCAAAATTCCCTAGTGACCGCCGTCTCGATTCACGAATACCCGGACTTCCCAGGCGTTGCGGCCTACAGCCCTCTCTAACGTACCCGGAAATGCGGTAGATTCGAGTACCTAGGTAGTAATCATGCAGGCCTTGTCAGCACCAACAGTAACGCGTTTGTGTCGGGTAGGTTGTTTCGCAGATATCCAAGTTTCTTCGAGTGCTATTTTCAGACGCCGTCTTCAGTAGGGATGTTCTGCAACAGTACCTAGTATCTGGGACTATTAAGCGGACGACCGGCGAAAGCAAAAGTACGTGGATTGCACATGATTTTGAGTCTCGTCGGGCAGCACTTTCCATATCACCTGTAAGTATTGCAGCTTACAATATTACTTCCTCATAATACAAGCATCAAGCTTATGGGCGCGGCAGTTTCAGCGGGAGGAGCCGCTAAGATTTAGGTTGCATGGGACTATGTAGCCCTAAGAGCTGCCCCCACCTCCTCTTCACAGGTTATGCATTTATTTTCCATGGACGCGTAAGAGTTAAATTGACCTTGTTGCATTGGGTAGGCGTAAGTTGGCAAGTTGGCTCGATCTGTTGGCCGGCAGGCTGGGCAGGTACGGTGTCCAGGTACAGGTACTTACCAGATATGCCGGGCATGCACTAACTTAAGTGCTTACACGTAGCCTGTAGGGCTGTGCTGTGCCCCTTGTACTACCCTTGTACGACACTAAAAAACTTAATAACGGATGAAGCTGCGATCTGTCAACCCTGTCTCCCCTGTCTGCAAATCTGCCAATCTGCCCTGTGAACCAAAATTTGTCTGTTCTCACCAACTTTCTTGATGTTGTACTGGCGGCTCGCCACACGTATTCGCGCCAATGTCCGCTCTTAGTTGCGAGTTAGGATCGGTACTACCAAAATGGAGCACCACTTGGATAACGAAACCTCCTCTTTGGCCGAATTCGCGCTGATTAGGTATCTTTGGCCGATCACATAGGCAGTGCCAACGATCTGCATCAAAAATGTCCGTCACGTTGGGTAGCACGATAGGCATGCACCAAGATCCGAAAGCTTCATCTTATGGCAGATTATAGCATAGTACCCAGAAGCCACCGGGGAACTGGTTGTATTGTACAGTACTACAGGTAGTGCAATACCGAGTAGCTTGAGGTCTGCCCAAGGTCTGTCCGGTGACCCGCCCCCACTCACCTGAGTAGTCATCCTCTAGCTATCACCTCCCTTTCTCATTCTCATTATATATCCATATATATTTGTACTTTATTTCCTATTTAGGAAACATAGAGCACTTATTCAAGCTTTGCTTGGCGCTCGTTTGGCTTCAGAACAATGGTTGATGTGTAGACTATAGTCAAACACTTGACGACAAACATATCCTAGACTAGGATAAGAGATCTTTATACTTCGCCGTCCTTCTTAGTCCTTTCTACTTGCCCGGATTATGGCCGAGATGAGTAGTAGAGGACAAGAGATTGCAATCGTTGGCACCGGCTGCCGACTCCCTGGCGACGTAACTAATCCATCCAAATTATGGGATCTCATACGAAGTCCGCGTCAACTTGCTGAGCCCATCCCGCCAGATCGATTCAGTTTGCCAGGATTTTACCATCAGAATGGGCAATATCATGGCCATGAAAATGTCAAAGAAGCATATTTCTTGGCTGGCGATGGGGTCTACCGACGATTTGACTGCTCTTTCTTCGGCATTAGTCCCGCCGAGGCAAACACGTTAGATCCCCAGTCACGACTGCTTCTAGAAACAGTATACGAAGCTCTGGAATATGCAGGAATTACGGTAGAAGAATTGCGAGGTTCTAATACGGCTGTATTTGCTGGTCAGATGGTAGCCGATTATGAACAAGTCATGCTACGGGACACTGAGTTCATGGCAACGTATCATGCTACTGGGACTTCAAGGGCACTTTTGGCCAACAGGGTATCCTACTTCTTTGATTGGCATGGCCCGTCTATGACGATTGATACGGCATGCAGTTCTAGCCTGGTTGCTGTCCACGAGGCCGTTCAACAACTACGTTCCGGAAACTCTCGAGTAGCTATAGCCGCGGGTGCAAATCTGATCTTTGATCCGCAGTGCTTTATCGCTGAGAGCACACTTCATATGCTATCCCCTGATGGTCGCTCTCGCATGTGGGATACAGGGGCCAATGGATACGCCCGCGGCGAGGGCATTGCAGCCGTAGTGCTAAAAACCCTAGATGATGCTTTAAGAGATGGTGATCACATTGAGTGCATCATCCGAGAAACAGGGGTGAACCAAGACGGTAGAACACCTGGGATAACAATGTAATTGTTTTGAAAGCTGGCGTATGTACTATGCTTATTTGTTTCCACAGGCCGAACGCAGCCGCTCAGGCGCAGCTCATTCGAGAATGCTACACGCGCTCCGGCCTAAATCCGTTCAACCCTGATCAACGGCCTCAATACTTCGAAGCTCATGGAACTGGGACGCCTGCTGGCGATCCAATTGAGGCCGAAGCCATTAGCTCGGCTTTTTGGCCACCAGAAGCGGGCACAATTGATAATTCAGGGCGACTCTTAGTGGGTAGCATCAAGACAGTTGTTGGTCACACCGAAGGAACCGCTGGTCTTGCTGGAATTCTGAAGGCTTCTTTAGCGTTGCAAAACTCTATCATCCCACCGAACCTCCTGTTCGAGAGACTTAACCCTAAAATTATGCCATTTTATACGCATCTAGAGGTTCCAACGACCGCATCAACGTGGCCAGCAGTCTGTCAAGGGAATCCTCGTCGGGCCAGTGTAAACAGGTACTTTAGAATTCAATCATTCTCTCCTACCGTAATAGGTACTGACAATTTTTTATTTTTAGTTTCGGGTTTGGTGGTACTAATGCCCATGCCATTCTTGAAAGCTATGAACCAGACCAATCGCGTGGAACATATAAAGGGCCAGTTGCTGTACCATTTGTCTTCTCAGCCGCCTCAGAAACATCACTGCGCATATACTTGACTGACTTTTGTAACTACGTGGCAAAAAATGCAGCCCACCTCAATCTCTACGACCTTGCCTTCACTCTTCATAGTCGGCGGACTCGCTTGGATGTGGCTATATCAGTCACTGCTTCGACCACTGACGATTTAATAGCCCAGTTGAATGAGAAGCTTCAAGTCGCACAGGCAAATTCGGAGCAAACGATCGGAATTAGAAGTTCTTATCGAAATCTGGATGCTAACCGACCCTCTATTCTCGGCATATTTACTGGCCAAGGTGCTCAGTGGGCACAAATGGGATACGACTTAATTACAGCCTCTTCTTTTGCAAGACGTATCGTGACAACCCTCGAGGAAAGACTTAGCCGTTTACCTATCCGTGACCGACCGTCATGGTCGCTGTTGCAAGAACTCCAGAAGGATCAACACACATCTCGTATCAACGAGCCATCTATTTCGCAACCATTATGCACTGCTATCCAGATTCTCCAGGTTGAACTTATGCGTGCGGCAGGGGTAAAATTCACTGCAGTCGTTGGCCACTCATCTGGAGAGATTGCTGCTGCTTATGCAGCAGGGCTCATCTCATCGGAAAATGCAATCTGCATCGCATATTATCGTGGCCTGCACGCCCAGTTAGCACCGCTAGGAGCGATGATGGCGGTTGGTACTTCTACAGAGGACGCACAAGAGCTTTGCGATGCCCCCGAGTTCCAGAATCGTGCGTGTATTGCGGCAGTCAACTCAGCAACTAGCGTCACAGTCGCTGGCGAACAAGATGCCATTGAAGAGCTCAAAATAATATTCGAAGACGAAGGGAAATTTGTTAGAACGCTCAAAGTAAACAAGGCATATCATACTGATCATATGCGATTCTGTTCGAGCGCATATCTGAACTCTCTTGAAGAATTGAATATCGAGATCCGTCCGTGTAACCAGACATTATGGTACTCCAGCGTCCACGGCAGCATTGTTGACGACTTGGAACTCCTCAAAGGTCGATATTGGGACCAGAATATGGTCCAGCCCGTACTTTTCATGAAAGCAATTGAAAATGCGCACGCTTCTCATGGCCCGTTCGACCTTGCGATCGAAATTGGACCCCATCCAGCACTTAAAGGAGCCGCCTTGGAGACTATTGGAGATGCGTCCGATCAGACCATTCCATACACAGGAGTATTTAGCCGCAACAAATCTTCTATGGAATCTATCGCGATTAGTCTGGGTCATGTCTGGACTCACTTGGGAAAAGACTCAGTCAACCTGCAAGCATATAACAAGGCCATCTCCGGATCAAGTTGTAAACTGATAAAAGGCCTTCCAGCATACGCATGGAATCATGACAAGGAATATTGGCATGAGTCTCGATATGCACGAGCTATACGTTTACGTCCAGGACCTGTTCACGAGCTTCTAGGTCATGTTACACCTAATAGCACTAAGGAGGACATTCAGTGGCGCCATATTTTACGTCCCACCGAGATCCCTTGGCTGTTCGGCCATAAATTACAAGGTCAAATAGTTTTTCCCGCTGCAGCATATATCGTGCTGGCTATGGAGGCTTCGGTCGCATTATGTGAAGGAATTCCAGCTACTCTTATTGAAGTGATGAATGTGGATATTGGTCGCGCTCTGACTTTTGATGATGACGACTCTAGTGTAGAAGCCATATTTTCAGTGACGGACATCTCACGGCAGCAAAAGCCGACTCCCATCATCTACGCGAATTTCAAATACTCTGTATCAAGCAAGGGAGATTCACTCGGAATTGTTGCTCGTGGGAATTTACGAATCAGACTCAGCAGCCAGCACACTGATGATGTCCTTCCGGTTAGACGGCCGCGCCCCCCTAACCTTCTCAAAGTCCGTGCGAGCGACTTTTATTCCTCACTTCAAGAACTTGAATATGACTACTCCGGACCATTCGCGGCACTGGACCAGATTGAAAGAAAACTTGGGGCGGTGACTGGCTATATTTCCAATCTCGAGCCATCCAAATTGTTGATACATCCTGCTATATTAGATGTGGCATTTCAGACAGCCCTTCTCACCCATTCGGCCCCCGGCGATGGTGCACTCTGGTCACTACACGTTCCCCGGCGGGTGAGTGTTGTGAGTGTGAACCCAAATCTCTGTTTGGCAGAGTTAACCAAGGGCGACGCACTCCCTTTCGATTCGACTCGTCTGCAAAACACAGGCAAAGGTGTTGTTAGCGCCGACATCAGCATCTATCCAAGAGACACAAATCACGCTATGATTCAGATCGAGGGACTTGAATGTACCCCTTTTGCAGAGGCAACAAGCAAGGATGATAAAGAGCTGTTTTCTACTGTAGTTTGGGACGTTTTAAACCCGGACGTCCAGTTAGCAGCCCCCGATATCTCCAGCAAGGTTAAACAGCTTGACTTAGTTGGCCTCCTTGAACGTATAGCTGGGTTTTACCTGCGCATTTTAGATAGGGGCGTCCCAGAGAGCCATTCCGCAAGAATGGGTGGGCCCTATAGGCCGTTGTTCCATTTTGCGGCACATGTCATTGCTCAATCCCAATCTGGAGAACTCCAGCAATGGCAACCTGAATGGGAACAGGATACATACGAGCAGATAGTTACAGCGTGTAAACCCTACGAAGACTTAATAGATGTGAGGCTTCTCCATGCGGTTGGTCGGAACATCCTTCAAATAGCACAAGGTGAAGAATCGGCATTCGAAATCGCCATGAAAGACAACCTCCTAGGCCAATATTATGAGAAAGGCGAAGCATCGGGAACTTACCATCGCATACTAGCCCGAACAGTAAAACAGATCGCCCACCGGTATCCTCGTATGGATATCATGGAAATAGGCGCTGGAACGGGGGCGTGCACACAAGCCATATTTCGCGAAGTCGGGAGTTTATTTTCATCTTATACCTTCACCGATATCTCGACTGGATTATTCACCTTAACGCAAACATGGCCTAGCACGTATCTCAACAAGATGATACTCAAACCTTTCGACGTCACTCAAGACCCTTGCGCACAAGGCTTTGCGGAGCACTCATTTGATCTCGTCGTAGCGTCCAACGTTCTACATGCCACCCCATGTCTAGAACAGACATTACGAAATGTCCGACGCTTACTGAAGCCTGGTGGATCTCTAATTATGGTAGAGATGATCCCCCCACACCCATCTTTCTTCGGGCTTATGTTTGGCGTCTTCCCAGGCTGGTGGCTTGGTCATGGTGAAGGACGCACATTCTCCCCAGGCCTTCGCTTAGACGAATGGGACCATTTACTTCGCGCCACGGGCTTCTCGGGGTGTGATAGTACTACCCCGGGATCTGATAACCCTTTGATGCCCTTGGAGGTAATCGTTTCGCAAGCCACTGATGACAAAATTGCTTTTCTTCGAAGCCCTCTTTTGGACGGACCCCAACCATCCGATTCCAGGGTGATCGAAGATCTCCTTGTACTTGGCGGAAATGGCGTTCAAACAGCGGGTCTAATGACTCGAATCAAGCCACAACTATCCAGGTACTGCGGCAGGCTGAGAACAATACGCTCATTATCCGATCTTGCTACTTGTAGGATTGAATCTTCGACAACAATTCTAAGCCTAATAGATCTAGATATAGCAGTATTCCAAGACCTGGACAGTTCTAAATGGGAAGCGATAAAAGGATTGCTTGTAGATGTTGGTGCACTTGTTTGGATCACAGTTGGCCGTTTGGCAGACAATCCCTACGCAAATATGATGGTTGGCCTGGTCCGTTCCGCCGTGCGCGAAATTCCCACTCTTGATTACTGCTTTCTAGATTTCGAAGATGAAAGACAAATCGATGAAAAAATCATAGCAGAGTCAGTGCTGCGACACCAAGCAGCAACCCGTTGGCGCAAGCAAGACAATATCCACTTCACCGCCGAGACTGAGCTAGTAATCGACGCAAGAGGAAAGACGTTAATCCCTCGTCTGGTAAATAATAGAGAGATGAATGATCGATATAACTCGTCGCGGCGTACAATATTGACGCAACTGCCACGGTATAATCGCAACATGTGCATTGAAGCAGATGGCCAAGGCTGGAATATCGCCAACATTCCAATGCCCGGTCAAACTACTGAGATACCTCGGATTCATGTTGAGTATTCACTCTTATCTCCCATCCGAGTTGCCCAACACGGCTGCATGTTTGTGGTACTCGGGGAAGACAGTGTTTCCGGACACCAAGTAGTAGCTCTGTCCACTATGAACGCATCAACGATTCTTCCTTTTGCCGGATTTTCCATACCCGTTCAAATCGAAAAGGGCTCTGGTTCGGGATTTCTAAAATTAGTCGTGCATTACATTCTAGCGTCTTTCATCCTTGAAGGCCTATCTGAAGGAGACAAAATTGTCGTCCATGAACCTGACCCCTATTTCGCGGAAGTCCTCTCAAGTGAAGCGACTTCTCTCGGAGTAGAAACTACATTCACTACACATATAAGTAGTACTGATCCCTTGAGACATGACTGGTTGCAAATACATAAAAACGCTTCAGAAAGCTCTCTATTCCCAGTGTTCCCTAACAACATCTCTACGTTCGTCGATTTTGCTGCGGAAAAAGAAGTCGAGTCCGTGATCTCCCACATCTGTTCCCAAATATCACCTTATTGCCGACTTGAGACCCGTGAGACACTTTTTGGCAAAAATGCATGGAAACCCTTTGGGTCCTATGCTAAGAAAGTTTCCAATCGCGTACATTGGGCGGTCATTCATGCTCAGCACTCCTTGGTAGGAGCCAATGAGCTCCCACCAAGTCCGTCGACAACAACATTGAAGGGTCTTTCAGAACTTGATAGAGAATTAGCTGTTGATATGATTATTGATTGGACCCTGGATACTGACCCTCCTGTTAGAGTCATGCCCATAGACACACAAGTGTCTTTCTCTAGCAATAAGACGTACTGGCTCGTTGGTTTGAGTGGTGGACTTGGTCTCTCAACATGCGACTGGCTCATCCAGCACGGGGCCAGATACGTCGTAATATCTAGCCGCAATCCGAATATTGACCAAGCTTGGCTAGATGAGGCACGGTCTCTAGGCGCGGTTATCAAGATAGCTTCTTGGTAAGGCTTCTTATTTAATCTATGTTTTGGAAGGCGGAATCTAACAGAAAATCTCGTTAGCGACATTACTAATAGGCATGAAGTATTGACTCTTCATAATGATATTTGTTCAACCATGCCGCCGATTGCGGGCGTTGCTCAAGGCGCAAGTAAGTATCAAGAACCCTCCTTTCTTAAGCGTGATAGTTACCTCCTTCCTACCGGAGTATTTGATTTATACAAATCTCTTATACTAGCAACGCTTGCTAACAAGAAGCGCGCTCTTAGTGGTGTTGGAGGATACGCCTATACGAAACATGAGCCTAGATGACCTACTAAAGGTCACCAAGCCTAAAGTGCAAGGTAGCGTTCATTTGAACGATCTTTTCCAGGGCGATACATTAGACTTCTTCATATTCTTCTCCTCGGCAACTTCGATCATTGGGAATCCTGGCCAGGCGAATTATTCCGCTGCCAATTTGTTTATGTCTAGCTTGGCAGAACAACGTCGGCGTCGCGGGTTGGCCGCCTCTATTATAAACATCGGCCCTATCTTCGGAGTTGGCTACATCGCCCAAGTTACAGATGATAGCAGATTCCGCAAAAATACCATCAAATCTGGAGGGTATCTTCGCACTTCCGAATCTGATTTTCACCAATTACTTGCAGAAGCCGTGGTAGCAAGTCGGCCGAACCCATCTATGCCAACAGAGCTCGTAAGTGGCATCAGAAGCGTGAACCCACAAGAGCGCGACCAGCCTATGTGGGAATCTGAGCCACTTATGAGCCATTTCGTGCGAAATCAAGAACATATTGGCAATGCTGAAACCAATTCCAATTCTACATCTTCGTTTAAATCGCGTCTTGCGGAAGCTGAGACGGAAGATGCGATTTATAGTATTATCGAAGATGCATTCCGAGTGAAAGTCCTAACGTTATTCCAACTCGATCCTCTAGGAGGCGTCGAAAATAATCTCATTGGTATGCGCCTAGACCAAATGGGCATCGACTCACTTTCGGCCGTCGAAATTCGCAGCTGGTTCCTAAAGGCGTTAGAGGTGAACATCCCTGTCCTCAAGATACTCAACGGCGCTACTGTGGGAGAATTGATCGCCATAGCGACAGAGAAGATCCCATCACGATTAGTCCCATCCAGAAAGGTTGAGTATTCGCTACAGGAAGTTGGTTCAGAAGACACTTCCGGTAGGATAGATGATATCGATACACCCAGCACGCCTCTCAGTGCGGCCAGTACTTATGATGAGAAAGAATCATTAACTACTGATCAACAATCAGAGCATATGAAAGGCAGCCTTTCACCTTATAGTCAGACTAGCTCTTCCCCTCGACGATCATTCCCATTATCATATAGCCAGGAATTGTTCTGGTTCGTTTGGGCGTCCATGGAAGATAAAACAAGTATCAACCATACTGGACTGGCTAAGGTGACGGGCAGGATAGATGTTGCGCGGCTGCAAGAAGCGGCCCATATTGTAGGACTGCAGCATGAATCCCTCAGGACAAGTTTCTTCGAGGAGGACGGTAAACCGATGCAGCGAGTCTTAAACCAATGCACTCTACACCTAGAGCATCAAGTGATACGCGAAGACAGCGAGGCATCCGAGATAGCAAAATCGCTCCGTGAACACGTCTTCGATGTGTATCGAGGGGAGGCAATGCGCTTGTTGCTACTATCTCGCTCGGAAACTAAACACTTCCTTGTGTTTTGTGTTCATTCCCTAGCGATGGATGGCACTTCCTTCCAAGTTTTCCTAGCGGAGCTTATGAGATACTACACATACCCGAATTTACAACGAAATGCAAGACAGGCCTTGGACTACTTCGAGGATCAACATATTCAGGTTGCTGCAGGTGCATTCGAGAGCGAGTTGCAATTCTGGAAGACCGAGCTCGCCGAGCTACCTCCACCACTACCGATCCTCAGCTTGTCAAAATTAGTGTCGCGGCCGATTTCAACAGCCTATGCGAACGAACGAATTATGTTTAGGATCGGTATAGACACTAAGAGGAAAATACAAGACGTATGTCGTCGCTACGGAGTAACACCTTTTCACTTTTATTTAGCGGCTTTCCGAGCCCTTCTATCAAGATACGCCAGTGATGCGGAAGACATCTCGATCGGAATTGCCGACGCCAACCGTTCCGACGATGAAATGATGGAGGTTATCGGTACCTTCGTGAACTTGCTTCCTATCCGCCTTCGTTCCAAATCGTCCACAAAGTTTGAGAATCTGTTGAAAGATGCACGGCGCAAGACATACGATGCACTGGCAAACTCCAAGCTTCCATTTACGGCCCTCCTAAACGAGTATGTCCCAACGACCTGAGCCCCACCATGTACCTATTTTCGCATGCTTACTGTTAGTATGATAGATTGAATGTCCCACGGTCCGCAACATGTACTCCTATATTCCAATGCTTCGTTGATTACAGACAAGGTCAGCAGGAGAAGGTCAATTGGGGCGACACCCAACTTCAGTGGCTCGACTTTGAAAATCCGAAAATGCCCTATGACGTTGCCCTCGACATAATTGATAGCCCGAATGATGAGTGCGTCCATATACTTCAAGTGCGGAAAGACATTTACGGTAGCTCTGGAGCAGAGTGGCTCTCGAAGAGCTACAAGCATCTAGTAGATGCCTTCGCTGCAGATCCTTGTGTATCTCTAGATACGCCGCAGATCTTCGACCCTTCAGATTCTCAAGATGCTCTTCAATTTAGCAAAGGTATGAATCTCTCATTTTTATCTTTAAATATAAAGTAAATTCAGCTCTGACCTTCCAATAGGCCCATCGTACAATTCATTGTGGCCAGAGACAGTAATCCATAGGATCGACCAGATGGTGCAAGAGAGAGCACATGAACCTGCAGTACGGCAATGTAATCAAGTGCAACACACATATCAGGACGTGTCAAGAGTCGCGAGTGCGATATCTATTGCATTGCAAGCTACTGGTGTCACCCCCGGCTCTCCAATTGCAGTTTTACAAGAACCGACTGCTCATTGGATTTCCTCTATCCTTGGGATATTTCGTGTCGGCGCAGTATATCTGCCCCTTGATTTGAACCTACCATGGCGCCGCCTTCAGGACATGGTAAAGAACTGCCAGGCCCCGGTCATTCTCGTAGATGAGCATACTCGGCAGTACGCAAGGAAGTTAGGGTTCTCAGATATTCGGACTATTGACGTATCAGCTCTCCTCCCAACTGATGTCGAAATACCGATCGAGGCCACCCCTGATGGATTAGCTGCTATAATGTATACCAGCGGGTCTTCAGGTACCCCGAAAGGCATCATGTTGAAGCACCAGGGTCTGAAGACATGGACTGAAGACATTCTTCAACTTTGCGATCTGGGGGCTGAAAGAGTTTTGCAACAAACATCGCCAACGTTTGATATGTCGCTTCTTCAAATTCTACTACCCCTCTGCAACGGAGGTAGTATTTCACTTGTCCCAAGACAAGCCCGTGGAGACGCCTGCGCTATCTCGAAGTTAATGGCCGAGCACGAAATTACCTTGACTGGTGGGACACCATCCGAATATTCGTCTTGGATGAACTATGGCAAACGCGAGCTCCTCCTCTGCACCAAATGGAGGACGGCTATTAGTGGCGGCGAAGCTGTTTCCGGGGTGCTTTTAGGGCAATTGGCGTCTCTAGAACACATAGGCCCACGATTTTACAACTGCTACGGCCCCACGGAGACTTCGCTTTGTGCGACGTGCATACAAATCCCTTACGCAGGCCCTCATATATCTGGCTTTTCCGAATCCATTAGTGTCGGCTGTCCGTTGCCTGGTTACTCGATTTATGTAGTTGACAGAGACATGCGTCCAGTTCCTGTAGGCATACAGGGCGAGATTTACATCGGCGGACTTGGTGTCGGCGGTGGATATATTAATCAGCCCAGCTTGACAGCTGAGAAATTCGTCCCTGACATATTTGCTACTCCCGATGAGCATGAGAAAGGTTGGACCACCCTTCATCGCACGGGCGATGTTGGTCGATGGCAAGAGAACGGTACCTTACTCGTGGAAGGTCGTATAATCGGAGATAACCAAGTCAAATTACGTGGCTTGCGCATAGATCTCGGTGAGGTTGAGCGAGGAGTTGCCCTTGCCGCCGAAGGGATTGTCGCCGAAACGGTGGTAACGACAAGGCGATCGTCGCCTTCGAGCCCGGAATTTCTTGTAGCCCACGTGGTATTAAGGCAAAGACATGGAGTGAATACCCCCAGTAATAACGACGTAAACCTGATTAACGAGCGGCTCACCACCTACCTACCTCAATATATGTGCCCAGCTGCCATTATACCCATACCAAGCCTCCCGAAAACGAATTCGGCGAAAATTGACAGAAGGGCCGTGAAAGCACTACCTCTTCCGGAGATTACAGAGATTCCGACGACTGGTAATATGGAGATAATCGATGCAATGACGGACCTAGAAAAACGCGTCAAAGTCATATGGCAAGAGGTCATCTCCAGTCCGATCTCCAGCCTACACGGCCCTATCATTGCAGAGACGGACTTTTTCCAAATAGGAGGCAATTCGCTACTACTCCTCGGCCTACAGAAGAAAATCCGAGAGACTTTTTCCGTCGAGATTCCAATCATACGCATGTTTGGGTGCAGCAAGCTGGGTGACATGGCAAGTTGGATTTACAATCACAACAAGCAACCGAACCAAATACTCGACACCACCACTCAATCCCCGACTTTGATCGATTGGGAAGAAGAGACCAGTCTACCTCCAGCCCTATTAGATACAGTACCACCTCGGCCAAAAGAACTTGGTGACCTAAGAGTTGTCATAATCACGGGCGCAACCGGATCTTTGGGTCGCAGTATCTTAGAAGCGCTAATTGCGCATCCACAAATCGAGCGGGTGCACTGTATCGCAGTTCGAAGCGTCGTGGGCCGTCACGACATCTTGAATTCAGAGAAAATCTTCCTCCACGAAGGCGATCTTGCTTTTCCGCGATTAGGATTGCCGGAAGAAACCGCAGAGCACATCTTTAGTGAAGCGGACGCAATCATCCACAATGGTGCGGATATGTCGTATGCGAAGACTTACGATTCGCTTCGCGCATGCAATTTACAGTCTACGAAGGAGCTAGCGAGGATGAGTTCGCGGTATAGGATACCTTTCCATTATATATCTACGTTGTCCGTCGGACACGTCATTGCGGATGCCAAAGCTGCCACAAATGTTGTGGACGTGCGCCACCAGGACGACGGAAAGGACGAAAGATTTGTCTTCGGTCCCGTTTCAGTGGCTGCCTACACGCCAGTAAATGTACCTTCGACCGCGAACCGCTCTGTAAACGTTGCGCAGGGGTATATCGCGTCTAAGTGGGCTAGCGAACGCTTTCTCGAGCGCATTCATGAACGGTTTTCTGACTGGCCGATTTACATACATCGTCCGAGCCTGATCGCCCGCGAGGAAACCGAGGCTGCGGGTTCTAATGAGTCACCCGGCTTAGCGCTTGTGCAGAACGTGCGCCACTTCGCATCCTTATTACGAGCTGTTCCAGTCGTGCCAGGCGGAAGAGTAAAAGGATCGTTCAATTTAGTCTCATCCGGTGTGGTTGTCAAGGGGATCATGGATGCTCTGGCGGAGAGTAGAGAGCCGGGGGGAGTGAGGTTTCTTCATTATGTTGGCGAGATAGAACTGCCATTGGATGATCCGAGGAAGTGGGCGCTTGAGGATACGCGTGATGGCCAGCGGGGAGAGGCTGAGGAATTGTCTCTTGGCGATTGGACGCGGAGGGCAAGGGATTTGGGTATGCATGCTGCGATGGCGGCGATGCTGGAGGATTTCGGTGCTGCGTCTGGGGGTATTGCTGTGCCGAGGGTGGCGGGTGGGAGAGGATAGGATAAGTTCTTTTCTGTTATGTTTTTGTTGGGTGTGGAGTTTAAGGATATGGGAATGTGAAATGTTTATATCTTTCTGATTATTGATCAAATTAGTTGAATGGAATGTCTTATTGATCTTCTATTCGGAGACTGAAATAACACATCTCCAGGCTACGAAGGTTCGGGCCAAAAGCTTGGACCAGTAGGTAGGCTTTGGCTAAAACCGAAACCTGATAGTGATCTATCCGCTAACTTTAGAAGCCCTGGAGGTTTTGTTGCAGCCTGGAAGCCACAGCAGTAGGGACCTTTGGGGGTATCAGCAGACTTCTAATCTCCACTATAAGTTTGCTCGTACCAACGGACGTTTTTCAACCAGTTACTTCGTATTAGAGTCGTCTAAAAAAAACTTATGCTTATTGAAATAGCGCATTAGGCTCTGAAAGACGCTATATTCGTTATGGAATTTAGGGACGACATGCGCTATTAATACAGGTAGCTTATAGTGGCCAAAATATAGCGCATTAAATCACTAAAACTCCTTGTAGTTATACTGTTGGCTAATCAATCACTTTTTGTATCTCTTCACTCCGTCAACTCCAAAACAATAATATGAAAGGCGATTACAGAGTAGAGCTCAACCAGTTGATCTTCCAAACTGCAAACTGCTGAGGAAAATGGCCCAGAACAATGATAGCATCCCAATCATCATTGTGAACGGAACCGATGGGTCCTGTAAGTTAGTTGCATATCCCGCAGGAAGGATCCGGACAGCGAAAACGACAAGCATCGGCAAGGCACAACCAACGTTATAAGCTAGCACCCATCGGAGGCTAATCATCTCACGGGCATAAATCCCCCAGAAATACTCCCTGTCGGATCCCGTCTCTATGAATTCTGTCTTCTTCTTTGGAAAGAAGCTTAGGATGGCATTGGAATCCCCTTTCGATGCCCCACACGTATGATGCCAATGAAATGGAAGCCGTCCCTTGTTACATGCGTAAAAGCGTCTTGTAAATTCGTGCTCGCTTATGGGAGGGATGAAGTCCATTGGCCGTGGTTGATACTCGTAGTCCGCGTTTGTGACTTCGGGGAACACATTTTTCTGTCTTGGGACGAACTGATGATCATCAAATTTTTCGCACTAGATTTCAAAAATCACCTATTAGTAGAGTCCCATTGAAAACTCCTAGATAATAGTAGGTCAGCATGCTCAACTCAATACGGATACTTGCCTTGTAAAAATCGCAGTGGGAGTATCTCCAAATACTGAACCAAGTCCTAATGAACCCGCGGAGACGGAAATAGTCATTTTTCAACATGCTGAAAAACTCCCCACCAAAAATTCCATCAACGCCGATTTGTGCCATTTTATATTCCATACCTCTTTCGGCGATGAACAGTATGCGCTGACTTAGGGTGTTTGGACCGGAAATGACAGCTTGAGGCCATGGCCCTGACTGGAGCGGATTAGATGAAGGTGAACTAGCGGGCTGCTGATTCCCTTGAATTTTCTGAGGGGGTTTTGTATGGCTTCCGTTATTACTTGTGCTAGCCAATCCACTTGACCCTCCGGGGAATGAGGCGGTAGGGGGCTGTGGAGAGTGAGGCAGACTGTGAATAATTGACTGTAGCCGTTTGATAAAGGCTAATGGAACTTCTGCCTGCCTCATCTCACCGCAGTTCTAGGCATGTGATTAGTTTTAAAGCTTTTCGGCTACAACGTTAAGATACCTAGGTACCTAGGTACCCCAGAAGTAAGTTCTTAGCACAATACTTACACACTCCCATCGTATTCTTGATTCCCCAGCTTTAAGGGATCTCGCGCATCGGGGCAATGGAGACCAGTCCCAGCGTTCCCCAGTCCAACGTTCTATCGTATCCTGGCAATTTCCAGTGAGTCGAGTCATGTAATCGACTCTCTCGTCAGCAGGTGGAAATTTGATTTCATGAGGATTGATGTGCTGTAGCTCCGCTGCGAGATTTGGAAGACCATAGCGAAGTACATAGGCGTGATATTTGTTATCGTGCCTTGACCACAATTCCAACAGGTTCCGAAGTTTTGATCTCAAACTAGGATAGACAAACTCATGAAATCGTCGACGCAGAGTCTCATAAGCGATGCTACTCGTAATAAAATGGGATAATTGATCGAGAGGTGGAAGAGATTCATCGTACAATTCTTCGTCGGCTTCCTCGTCCAAAGAGTCTTGGTCGCTATCGTCTTGGGACTCAACAGGCTCGACGTGATTATATTGTTTTCGAATATAATCGTTGACTTTCTGTCGACGATCTGGAATATTTTGAAGAAAACTAGGAATTTGGAATTGGTTGTCCATGCCAAATTTCGAAAAGAGCTCCCGAGTGATGCTTGATGAAAGTGAGCTGACAAGTCTTATAAAGGCTTGGTGGCTGTCATTGCGAGCCTCTGCTTTGAGATCTAAAGCATGGCGTTTTAGGAGTTTTCGAAATCTATTTCGTGTTCTGTCAAATTCGATATACTTGGTTGATACAGCCTTCGAGATATCTGCCATCATCGCTTCGTCTTGGCAAAGCAGGTGCGTGAATTCTTCAATCGCTAGAGGGACTATTATCGGATCCATTAAGGATTCTTGAGTGCTAGCAATAGAAGCTGGCCCGGAGAAAATTGAATCATTGCAAGATGATGCGTCAGAGGACTCGGAATCTTCTTCGAATGGACTAGGCAATGAATTCATATGTGCACCAAGATGTTCATTACCTAGGTAGATATCCAATTAATAGTTATTAATTAAACCCGAGTTGAAAGGGTTAAAACTTGGTATAAAACTTATAAAGTTATGTCATAGTTAAGAACTCACCTTGAGGATCTAGTTTCTCCGCTCGTTCCTCCTTACTGGTATCAACGATGACAGGCTCGTTACGACTTTCTAGAATTCTACTGTTTCGCAGTTAATACAATAGAGCTAGAAACAGTAAGAGAAAGCATTACTTACTTGGTTATGCTTGGCTCACTTCTTCCGTGGGCAAATACCATGGGTCCCTCTTCATATACTTTGGACTCCTGCCCCATCAAGACAGGTACTAGGTATACAGGTAATCAGCATGTGGTGTGGGTTGATTATAGATGGCGACAAATGCCTGCATCGTCGTCACCTTTTAGTGAATGAGCTAAGGGACTATCTGTACCTAGTTAGATAAGTCACAAATGGCTGTACGTACCGGCGTTGGAAAACTGATCATCGTAAACCGCTATTGCAGGAAAGTTATTGTCCCTACCACTTACACTTTCAATTCTACCTCCAAATCCACCAAATTCGAAACCCTTTTTGCATTCCATGCATACTGTATGGCCGCAATGTCTGCACAAGGAGTAACTTGAGTCTCCTGTGTGGTCAAAATAGTCACTTTTTTGGCAATCACAACAAGTGATACTCTCGTCGGTAGGGATATATTCAGATTCCTCCCTAGATATTTTATCAATAAGGTATCAATGGTGATTAAGGGTATTTCCATGGTTCTCACATAATGACTAGATAGGTATTAGGTACCTACTAGGTGTGTAGTTCTTTCGTGATCTTATTGCGCAGTAGTTTTTGAATTCCTATAGTAAGAAACTAGCCTAAGAATAACAATAATATTCTAGATTTATGTTAATTTCTCGAATTATCAAAGGAAATCATTAGCTGGGTAGTAGGTAGGTATATTGATGTGAATAGTGTTGAAAGAATTGGATATTCTGGGGGAAATGGAAAGAACATCGCATTTATTGGATTGCTGTGCCTACCTATGTAGTAGGTACTAACCTTGGAACTCAGCCTCTTTTCATATTATCATAATTGCAACTCTGCTTGAAATGACTTGTATTCCCACACCTCAAAGTTCAATGAAGATCTATTATAATGTTAGATTCGTAAAGATGCGCGTATTAATAATTGAAATCATGAGTACTATTGGGTCTTAGAAGTTGTACTTGGCTGCCTGGCTCCCTGGTTGCCCTCAGGATAATGGGTTGCTGCGGTAAATCTCCAGGTCTGCCATGCATTTCCAAGGTTCATCTGCTGGAAGTTCACAGGGGAGTATCGCCCTTGAAAGCGCTATAATTATAGAGAGTAATTATCTCCAGGGCTCTACCTATAATTTTGTCGGTACCTACCTACCTAAACTAGTCCTAGAATTTCAGGCAGTATGGGTACCTAGTAGATACCTACTCCAGGGCTCTTGTGGCTGGGAGTGCTTAGCCACATAGGTACCTACCTAATATGATCCATAGTACCTATCTGTTGGTTAAACAAAGGCAACATTGAAGTCAACCTTCAGACTCAGTTCCTTAGCCCACCTTTCTACCCAGGAATTTACTTCGCGATCTTCGTCCTCTCTCTACTTCTGCATGTCGTCTTTTGAGGACCTCCCGCCGGAACTTCAACGCCATGTGGCGGAGTCGTGCAATCAGGCTACGTTACTTTCTTTCGCGACCGCCTCTAAAGCCCTCTATCAACTTATCATCCCCATCATATACCGAGTCGTCGAGCTTAGTTCACACAACGGTTCTGATATCCATCTAATAGCAGAGTCATTTAAGGTCCCACCAGATTGGGCTAGAAGACGTGATAACCCCATCGATGAAATTGTGTATGACAAGCAACGAGCGTTCATTAGAACCCTGCGGTCGCATCCGTCGCTAGGCAAACATGTTAGAACTCTCCGCTGGACGACCGTTGATTATTCGAAACACGTTTTTGAGGACGAGATTACACCGCTCTGGAATAAATATGAGAAAGGTATAATTTCGCGAAGAAAACTAAGGATGTCCTTGGAAGAGTACGACTTCAACGACTGCACTTCCTATCTCTGGGATACATTCGCCACGTTCACGCACGTCCAAGAAGTCGACATTGCATTCATAAATGATCAGAGGGAGGCTAGCCCGCCTCCTCCGCTCTTTCAACAAGCAAAATGTTTGCGGCTATCGGGAATGGCTTCATCGTTCCTCATTAGGTCAATGCTCAAATCCGTTAACCCTAGATCGCTCTACCACCTGCATCTTAACAACCTTAACCAATTTGCAGAGCTTGAAGATGTACAAGAAGAACTAACTCTCCGTGAGAAGGGGAAGCTAAGACCTTTCCCCCAGCTGGCGGGTACTGCAGGTCCTATGCGTACACATCTTCTAAAATGTTCCAGCAAATGGTGTAACCTCCAAAGCCTAATAATTGATACGGTTGGTCTTACTGGGCCGCAGCCAGATAGGGCTGATGAAACTACCATTAATGCTTTGGAAGTTGAACAGACGCGCTACCGGGAGCTTGGCGTACTCATCAAGTCCGTGGCGAAGACTCTAAAGGCCTTTCGCTTCCAACAAGGGCCAACTACAGACAATTACAGAAATGGCTGGCGTCGCCCGCGGCGTGCACCAATATGCTCATCACTTAGACCACCCCGGGATGGCTTGCGCCCTATGGACGCCCTCTTCCACCAGCATATCCTGAGCGCCATCTTAGAGAGCACTTGGCCTCAGTTGGAAAAGATGGAGCTCTTCGGGGTGGCTTCAAATACGACTTACCCGAACCGAGCAGCGCCATGGATAAACCGTCCGCTGTCTGATGAGATATTTTCGCGGATAAGGACAGCGGTTGGGCCTAATCCGGTGCTTGATATACGAACAGATGCCACGAGGCTCTTCTGGCTTGTAAACGGCAGTGAGGGGCCAGGCGTGCCCGAGGTCGACTCAGGCGAGTCGACCGAGGATGAAGAAGAAAGCGAAAACGGCCTTGAAGAGTAAAAGTAAGAAATGTAGGTACCTACTAGGTACCTAGGTTTCCTATAATTAACAAGTGAAAATACCGGTAATAAGTTAGGAGATATCTCCGTGGCACAGTAGGTACCTACCTAGGTAACGTAAGTTAACATCAATATTCTCTAACTTTCAGCTTCTGACATAATACATAGGTGAACACTCCCGGCAAATCAAAGTCAAGCTTTAATGGGTGCTAATGGTGTATGTTACCTACGAAGGGATGTCTACCAGTTACATCTACTTGCAGGTACACCATTCTACGATATAATTAAATCAGGTTCATATTCTAAAAGATGAGTCTAGGGGAAGTAATTGAGGTCTAATGGTAAGGGTCCTACCCTACATAGGGGGTGTATCAAGAACCCCTCACTATCTTGATTCTCTTATATGAGAGTAATGACTTAAGTCGTTTTGTTATTTCTTTCCTTGGTGCTTGGGCTCAATCATCAGCAAGTAATGGATCAGCCAAGCACCCCTCCCTATGCCCGGCTTCCCAAGGACCCAGAACCACTACCAGGTACATGGGATAGGCCGCTATTGGGGATATCCAACACCCGATCTTCTCATCCCGAGCTTGGAAAGCCCTGTGACAAGCCTAGGCTGTATATTTATGACCTGGTAGCCATAGTGGTCACATTAGGCTGCTTTTCTACCTCTATATGTATCGTTACGCCTTCGCTGGACTGGGGGTGGGCGCTTGGCTTCAAATACCAACTCATCATTATCGGCCTTCTCCTATCTGTCGAAAATTTATGCCTGCAGAGAGTTCTTCGGATGACATTCTTAATTATCGAGGCTCGGTGGGGGCGATCGAACTTACAAAACTACGATGCGATTTTACGGAATACTGTTCTGGGAGACCGAATGGGAAATGGGTGGAGGGCTGGGATTTTGTTCTTCATTTGCCTCCCTACTGGACTGAGTGTCGCCTACAAGTTATTTATTGGTGGTGAAAGTACTGCGCGAATCTTTCCCGATATTGACGGCAGACAGTACGGCTTCATGCCGCCGAGCGAAGTGAACATTGCTTTAGCAGTAAATTTCCTTAACCCCCCGTATCTCTTCATCAATTCCACGTCCGACTTCTTCCACAAGTCTATTAGCGATGATGAGTTCCCACACACATCAATCGCCGAGGGTAAAGCGACGCCGTACGGCTACAACCTCTTGCTGCTTAGTAACGAATCAGCTGCAGCTCTAGATTTGCCAGAACCATCATACGTCAACGCGATACAAAGCCGCTTGGGAGACACCGATAGTTGGACGGTTAGCGCCTCCGTCTATGGCTTGGTGAGCAGAAGAAACAATAGCATCGAGAGCTTACGGATGGATGATGGATTCTGGGAGGATCTACTCAAAAGCACAAATAAATCTTTTAACGGATTATCATCATTTGGCATGTTCGTTGATCATACGAGCTTTGGCATGATTCCTTTCTTGCCACATCAACATGAAGAGGCATCTTGCTTTCTCGGTGCTTATTACCCCTCGGCTACATATTGGGACGCTTACTACAATACGGCAACTGACCCAGATATACTGGCGTTCCGCAATCATGCATATCAGTTCACTACTCGTAGGCAATTATGTCATGCAAAATGGATCATTACAAAATCCTCGATGACATTATTAGAGGGTGATTGTCCTCAGGACGAAGAGCCTGTCAACTCATCCATGTTCTCCGCAAAATATGCCGAAATTTTCGCTCCTTTCGTTCTCGACTCTCTCCCGGTGCTCGTGCATTCACTTGGATCGTTCAACCGATCCTATGAAAACCGCGTCGAGTCGCTCTGGAAGATCCCATCTTACGCTCTGGCGGTGGCCGATTCATATTGGGCTCGCGGTACTTTCCTATTATATAATGGGAATCCCGATAGCATTAGAATAAGCTCACTCAGTCGCGACTTTGTATATGCCCCTATGAACGAGTCTATCAGTTCGACAGTCAGTACCATTCGCCCCGATCCATTGCTTTATCTTGTCCTCGCTGTCCAGCCGCTTATTATCATATTACTATTGATTTTCAACACCAAGTTTTACTTGACACCATTCAGCGACGGCTTCAACTTGGTGTCGATTCTCGCTGGTGTTAATCCGCACAGTCTACAATTATTGAGCGGGGCTGGGTTTTCAGGCGAGCTCAAACAACAGGTCACCATGAGCATCTTCGAGAACGAAAGCTACATACGATATACCCTGCATCAAAGCAAAGAAAAGATAGCTCTACCGGTGTTGTCGAAAGGAAGAGTATACCATTAGTTTTCAAATTGATGCTCATTAGGTATCGTTCAGGTATTACGAGAGCTGCCTCAATTTCTTCCCCCCCTTAAGAAAGCAATGCGCGTGGGGGCGCTGGCTTCGCCCGATTAAGAGAGGCGCAGGGGATCTACGACCTAATTTGGGATCGAACGGACTTCCGATCATGGCACGGGAAGAAATGCCACCACATGTTCTTCCTCAGTCCAATTATATCGAATATATCATCAAATACTTTACCTAAGGTACCTTCTTAGGGGAATTTTTAATATCTTCAAGGCGGACTTCTAGTCACCTCCCAAGATAAATGCCTAGTAATTGCTTTTCACCCTCCACTATGCGAATATAACTGGCGCAGATCAGCGCTGGATATCTCAGCCACCATCTCCACCATGAGCAGCACATCCTCAGCTCTGTACCACTCGCTCCCGCTTTCCATACCGAAGAAATCAATCCGAGTCCTAGACTTTCACGGCAATGTCCCTGATTCTCCCACAGAAGTCTTACAAGGCCATATGCGCGTCATTGATCTTCTTGATAAGCCAACTTTCACAGCCTTATCATACGTTTGGGGGCCATATCATTCCCCCCCTCACGAGATCTGTTGCGACGGGTCTAATATCCGAATCACTTCGAATTGCCGCGCAGCCTTATGTGCTCTGCGGCGGAGATTTGGTCCGATTTCCATCTGGGTGGATTCGATCTGCATGAACCAGCAAGATGATGGGGAAAAAGAAACCCAGATTCCCCTGATGGGTGACATTTACTCCTTGGCTGTCTCAGTCTACATTTGGCTTGGAGATGAAACGCTGGAATCCGAAGCAGCTATTGGTTATCTCGGTTCGGCTGGCTTTCAAAGCCACTTCACCTCGGTGGCTGTCACGTACTACCTTTCCCAGCGGAGTAGATGGGTTCATTGGAGGATTGCGTGGTCCTTGTTTACAAGAAGGCATAGGGAATTTGTAGCTAACTGGTGGAAATACGGTAGGTGTTCCCTAAGAAAATTATCTAAGTCATATACTAATGCAATTCTTGTACCTATTCTTAGGTTTCTTAAGTGGTGCTGGTACCCTATTAGTAGGCTTTCGAGCACCTCCGGATAAGCTTATTCATTACAAAGGCCTTGAAGATTTCTTCTCTAGAGAATGGGCTTCTAGGGTATGGACATTACAAGAGGCCATCCTAGCCAAGAACCCAATAGTCTGCTGCGGTGAGACTGTTCTTGCGTGGCGTCCTATCATCTACAGTATCGCATATCTGGAGTATGCAGGTCAAAATTACGGCGTCGGACTCCCGGAAGCCAACTTCAATGTCTGGAGGAATATAGTTCTACTTTGGCTCTTCGTGAATCCCGATAGCCGGCATCGAGATCGGCTTCTCGATAATTCCCTGTCAAGTGAAATTACGCTGCAGCGATTTATGCCTGAATACTGGGGATTTCTTGAAGCTATTGCACAAAAACATCGTCGCTTGGCATGGGTGGCATTGTGTATTCACATTCCCACCTGGCTCGTTATCATAGCGCTTCTTAGAAATGCTCTAGGGATAGAGACATTCATGTCCGAAGTTGCTGGGGTTCTGGCTGTTGTGGTCGCGATGGTTTCCGTAGCTATTTCTCTCGCTGATCCAGTCTTCCGTTGGCCAGTATGCTTTCCGCGAGAAACCGTGAAGCATATAACAAATATCCCCAATGCAATCATCCACGAGTTATGCGCTAGAAACGCCACAAACCCTAGAGATAAGTTCTATGGAATGTATGCGATCTTCTCTCGGCTAGGTATCGGACTATCCCCTCCAGAATACAGTCGTACGCCAGAAGACGTTCACCGAGAAGCCTTTCTCATCTTACTGAACTGGACGAACTCCCTTGGCCTACTTCTATGCTCTAGCCGTCAGAAGTCCAATTACGAGTCGTCCTGGGTTCCAGACTGGAGAGAAGACCTAGCACAAGGATGGTTTGAAGCTTCCTACCTGTTCCGAAAAGGTCGCTACGATGCGACTCCCAACTCACCCCCACTATGGTCCTTGCGTAATAGCAAACAGTTAGCTCTGAGAGGTGTCATTATCTCAAGTATCATTGAACACACCGATCCTTTCCAAATCATCGATGATGATGCTATACGGCTAAGATACGATCAGCCGCTGTTTTTAAACGAGCTCAGGACTCTTGCGGAGTATTGTCAATCTGGTAACCCCGTACTAACGCGTTTCTTTCAACCGAATCCAGGCCCTCCAAATGCCCCTGATTCAACGCTCATGCTCAACATGACTGCCCTCAATTTGTCCTACTGGCTCGAGATCCTTAACCCCCTAGCACAAAACGAACGTCTCCTATTCAAAACCTCCATCCCCGACCGTAATACTGTCGGCAGTTGTCCAATTCAATCCCAAGTCGGAGACCTCATCGCCTTAGCCTCAGGGGTGCCATTACCACTTGTCTTACGCCCGGAAGAGAGCTCATATCGTCTCATCGGCTTCGCAGAAGTCGACGGACTAATGGAAGGAGAGTGTTGGGCAAACCTCACCAACGAAAACCTCATAGATATCGTTCTTACCTAGGTCCTAACATCCTACAACTCATCCAAACAACCACCCCAAATCACCAAGGCGAAACCCCATACTCCCCCAACACCCTCCCCACCCCCTCATCCCTCTCCCCCCTCACCACAACCGCAACCCTCTCGCCCCCCCTCTCAGCCTCCACCGCGCCCCGCGCCCTCAACGCCTGCGCATCCCCCGTCAGATTCGTCGCGCAGAGCCCGGGATCCGCGCCGAAAACCAGAATCCCCTCCGGCCTCAACCGCGCACAGTACTGCGCCATCAGCATATTCACCGCCGCCTTGCTAGCTCTGTACTCCGTCGCGCCGCCCGGTCCGTAATACGGGGACTTAGGGTCCGAGGCATGGGTTATAGACCCCGTGCTTGAACTAACGAAGATGAGGCGAGAGGGGGGGTGCGCGGTTTTGCGGAGGAGGGGGAGGAAGGACTCGGTTACGCTGAGGGCGCCGACGACGTTGGTTTCGAGGATGCGGCGTAGGGTTGAGCGGGTTGGGGGGTGCGTCATGGAGACTATGCCTGCGTTGTTGATTAGGATGTCGAGGTGGCCGTGGGAGGCGCTGATGCGTGCTGCTGCGGCGTCGACGGAGGTGTCGTCGGTTACGTCGATTTGGGTTGTTGATACGCTGCCTTTGACGCCGGGGAGGGCTTGGAGGGTTTTTACGGCGGTGGTGCCTTTGTCGATGTCCCGGCTGCCGAGGATGACGTGGTAGTCTTCTGATGAGAGGATTAGGTTTTTGGCGGTTTCGTAGCCTATGCCTTGGTTGCCGCCTGGGGTTCTGGTGTTAGTACGTTGTTTGAAAGGTGTGAGAGGATGAGGCACCTGTTATGAAGACGATTTTCTTGTTTGGCGATGCCATCTTGCCTCCTATACTGGTCTTTAGTTGGTGAGAGGGTTAACTTTGAAGAGTGTGATGACAGCAACGAGGTATTAGGCTAAACTTCGACTCTGTAGGTGTCTACCTATCTGTGAGTTATTGGTAATGTCTCAGATAAGTTCATATACCCCTTTTCAGTTCCTACGCCTTTTATATACCATCCATGGTTCGGACTTAAGTTAACAGGTGACTTAAGTCCACTGGACCAAGTCCTTAAAACCGTCAACATAGGTAGGTAATGTTGGTCCAGCAGAGGAATATGGAAATTTAGATTTTTGTTATAGTATGGTTCTGCTTGAGGGTCTGCTGGATAACTCCTATTTTAATTCCGAAACCCCCTGAAGCGAATTAGGCAAATCATCAAGACTGGACCGTTACCGATCGTCGTCGGCAACGTACCTGTCATGAGACATGCTACTTTGATGGGAGGCACGACTCATACCTCCAGGGCATATTAGGACGTTCTCCAAATTCGAGCTTTCTATCCCTTCTCTTGAATAGGGCAAGTAGTAGCTTAAAATTAAATTGATTGTAGCGAACGATCACATGCTTACCACCGGTCCACCGTTAGTTCTCAATGTCTTTTTTCGTCTGTGGCGTTGTTTCCACCTAATAGATGTGACGAAACCTAGTAGGCTTGAGACCTCTATTTCTCGGAAAGAAGCTACCGAGTAGGCACAAACGAAGTAAGATCTATAACTAAAGGTCTAGTATCCACACCGTCGTAAGGAAGGAGCTCCAACGATTCCCGACCTAGGTAATGTGGGGTACCCCGCGGACGCTACGTCAACCGGACCCACATCGGCCAAGCCAGCACCTCACCTACTACGTACCGACCAACGCAGAACCAAAAAAAGAATAAAAGCCAACGACCCGATCCGGGAAGAACGGCGAACCTCACACCCTCCCATTCCACGATGAGCAGCAGCACGAACGGCCTCTCCGGCACGGCACGAAGAAACGACTCGCCCCCGCTAACGGAGCTCGAAACAGCCGAGATCCTGCAGAGCATCCGGAACTCGACAACCGTACCCGCGACCACATTACCCGCCGACCTCGCCCTCTCGCTCGACATACAGCAGCAGCACCCGGGTGACGAGCCCCGCGATCGAGCTTCGTATTATTGGGATGCGTCGACGATGGCCCCGCTCAACGCAGTCTCGGCGGTTAGTATAGCTACAATCTAAACACCTACATACCTGTCTACCTCCTTATTTATTCATCTGCGTATACATATATATCTACCGTTGCTGTGCTGTGCCTTTTTATGTGGTAGTGCTGTGGCGAGTCGATGCGATGGTTCAACACATGCTCATGCGATCAAAGGCCGCCCTTGCGCGACTGCGCGCCTACAAGCCCCCGCCGTTCCCTGTCTGGGACCGTTTACCGGTGAGCCGGCGTGCTGCCGTGTTGATTCTGCTGTTTGCGGATCGGAGAGGGGATTTGAGAGTCGTCATTACGATGCGGGCTGCGAGTTTGCGAAACTTCTCTGGTATGAAAATAGATACGGCCTCTGAGCCTGAAGATGGTCGATTCTAATGTCCGGCTTGAATTAGGTCACGCAGCTTTTCCTGGCGGAAAGGCTGATTCGGTAGAAGAATCCCCGTGTAAGTTATCGAAAGACTACCTACAGAAGGGGGGATAAAATAAGCTATGATATTAATGTACTTCTGGACGGTAGACCAAATAGCCCGCCGCGAAGCATGGGAGGAAATCGGTCTTCCCATGGACGATTCCAAGATCCCGAAACCGTTCCGAATAGAGCCGCTTTGCTGCTTACCGTGTAGCCTTGCGAAGACGGAAATGGCTGTGCGACCTTGCGTGGCATTCTTGCACGCCGACGACGTACCGGGGAAACCGAAGGCGATGGTAGACGAGGGCATGATACCGCGACTAGATGCGAAGGAAGTAGCGGCGGTCTTCAGTGGCCCATTCCATAACTTTTTGAAAGCAAAAGATGAGTCGCAAGAGGGAGAAACGATACCTCCCGGAGATTGGTATGATGGATACTGGCATTCTTGGCAGAACGAACCCTGGCGGGTACATAACTTCCACGTGCCGGTAAACAACCAAAAAGTGACTAAACCCAAGGTTCGAGAGGGTGGACAGGGCGCCTTAGCCGATGAACTTGAAGATGAAGAAGACGAGGTCCAACGTTTCCTTGTCTGGGGTATGACGGGACGTATGCTAGTTGATGCTGCGAGAATTGCTTATGCCGAAGAGCCCGAGTTCGAACATAATGCTCATTATGGTGACGAACACCTTTTAGAGAGGTTAGAAAATACAGGCCGACTTCCGGAGAAGAAAAGGAAGGAAGTAGGACAAGAGGCCATTAAAGAAGAGGTCAAAGACGCCAAGATTTAGATGGATCAATCCAACATCCATAGAAATTGTCCTTGTATTGTAGATTTATAGTAGGCTCAAGCCTGTTGTATCTTTAACTCCCCAGACTCCACCGTTGCCGAACTTGTAGTTGCGTACATGTATTTAACAAATCGATCGACATTCTGTCCCACATCATTGCAGACCGCCAAACTCGACCCCATAGTTATCTTCTCTATGTCTTCACTAACCCATATTCTCAGATTAGATATTATTCAGGTTTTTCCTAGATCTAGTGGCATGCTGTCTCCTTAGCAGCTTTCGTATGCGAACCGAAGAAATAGTACCCGAGGCCAGCTCCGATAGCGACGGAAACCATAACGAAGCCATTATAGGTCATAAACACCAGCCTATTCGTTCACGAACACAATTAGAATACATACAACTATCTAACAGGATAGAGCGTGCGAAGGATATTTTACTCACATAATCATAAACGCATAAAAGTTCTGCACGCCGTACAGAACTGCCTTTGTAGCATGGGCTCGTCGTCCAATCGCGTCGGACTGGCTACTTCGTCCTACGCCAAGTAACGCCGCGCTCTCAGTATTTGGTTCGACTCGATTGTTCGCAAGATCTTAGCCATGGACCTCCCCGGAGGCATGCCAATCAAACGGATTTGTGTAGGTGTGTATTTGTGCAGATCGTCAGGTGTGGTGATGGCGTACGCCGTAGCACATCCCCGTGTTATACGACAGGTACCAACCACCACCATCACCTAGACAAGGCAATAACAGGGACGGAGATAGGGCAAGGTACGGGAAACAGTTGAACTCACTGGGAGAAGCATCTTGTCTAACGGTGATCGCGGTCTCGTAACGACGGATGCCTTCGCGTAGGGCCTCATAACCAGCACTGAGAGCGATGATGGCCAACAAGCTGAAGACGAGCGACGCGGTTCCGCGAACGTGCCATTGTCGAAAAACGATACATAGATTCGTGGTATCCCAGGTGAACAGCATCTATTTAGACGAAAGCGCAAGAGCCAAGAGTTAGTCTTAGTTTTCCTTATTCATTTTCCTGTCCTCTCGTTGTTCGGTACCCAATAGGGAGACCGCTAGAGCTCGGAAACGGGGTTTCGTGGCGTCGGGAGCGAGGCGCGGGTTGGGGCAACGCAGGTCGTTGCATGGAGCTAGAGAATGCGAGTGCGGTGTTAGGTAATTGGAGATATTACTGACATTCATGCTGCACATTGGCATCGGCATATCGCCGTGGCCCATATCGCCATGATCCATATGGCTGTGATCCATGTGGGAATGGTCCATGATAAAGATGTTTCTAGGGTGATTACGAATAGATTCGGGTGATGATCGACGATTGAGAGGATGAGATATGAAACTGGAATCGAACAGAGAAGAGAAGGACGATTGAACTCTAATAAACTTCTTGGAATACTGGAATCCACTCGATAAAATGCTCGAAATTTGCTTAAACTTGCTCACCTGCAACGAGAAAGCTGACGATGGAGTCAGATCGTATGGTTGCTTGAAGATTGGTTGTGGTTACTTGGTATGAGAGCGCGGTAGTGGACCCCGAAACGCTAAACACCCCCTAGAGCTTCCGTAACCCATTCCAAAACGGGAGACTACGAAGTAGGGGCTTCCTCTTTCGTTCGGCTGCAGGGAATCCATACAACCACCCCGAAGCTAATCATGCATGTACACCCCAAGCTTAGTTCTGTGCAAGATCAATTACATAAGCGGAATATCATGCGGGATGGCAGGTATGGTGGGGTAATGGATTCCTTTTAAACCGTGGACCTTTCAAACTTCAGGATAGAATCGGCATCCCGCGGGAGTTTTGGCAACTGATAACATACACATACGATTAATAATCGTGTTTGGAAACTGTTTAACCCGTTTGAAAGTGCGATCATTCTAATTCGCTCACATTCAACTCCGGCGTTCCGTACATTGCGAGCCTTTTCAGAGTGGGCGAATCTTGTACGATTCAAGATTGAAATTTGACAGAAGGGAAAGAATCCACAGTCGTCGTCAAAATTCCAACCAACCAAAATGCTCTCTACGCCAGTCAACCTCCCGAAGTGGTAAGCCAGCAAGGTTCCCGGTGACGTGTTGTCCGGGTCCGGCTAATGGCAGCCAAGGCTCGAGGAGAATTCCCATCTCCTAAAACCGCCAGTCAACAACTATTGCGTCTACAATGAAGACTTCACCGTCATGGTGCGCAGATGCGTTTTCCGAACCTTTGCCCGAACTAGCTGATTTATGTTTACCTATCGTCCTAGATCGTCGGTGGTCCCAACGCCAGGACGGACTACCACATTAACCAAACCCCGGAGTGGTTCTACCAGTACAAGGGCGCTATGATGCTGAAGGTCGTCGACGATGGCAAGTTTAGGGATATCATCATTCGCGAGGGTGACATGTTCTTGTTGCCGGGCAATACGCCGCATAACCCGGTACGCTTCGCCAACACTGTCGGCGTGGTACTCGAACAGAAGCGGCCTGAGGGCACGATCGACCGGATGCGCTGGTACTGTCAGGAGTGCAGTGAGATCGTGCACGAAGCTGCCTTCCACTGCACGGATCTGGGCACACAGATCAAGGCCGCCATCGAGAAGTTCATGTCGAGCGAGGAGACAAGGAAGTGTAAGAAATGCGGCGTGGTCGCCAATTCTGTGCCGAAACCGGGGACTATCAAAGATCCGAACTTGGAGTAAAGGTCTGGTCGGCTGAAATAAATTATATATCCAATCTCAATACATGCTTTGGCTACCTACGCAGTCAGCTCCTATCATAGTCGAGTGACCTGGGTTTGCCATCGCCCATTCCTAGGGATAGTGCAAGCCACGTCGGGCATATCCGAGTGGACAGATGCGGAACTTTACTTACTTTCTCTTATTTAGACGATGACAGATTTTAGAGATAATGAGTGAGTCATAATCATCAGTGTATATAATTTATTCACGGATGCCGATGTCTCTATCAACTATAACTAGAGGGTCATCTACTTACTTTCTTCGACAAGATTCAATTAAGGGGCATGCTGTATTATGTCGGCATTTTCATTTATATTCTGGAATGCTAAGTTTTTCTATTTAATCCATCCTATTGGTTGTGTTCGTACTTAGATGTCATTCCGACGCCTTTCAAATAGAAAGTAATAGTGAGTTTTATAGCGCACGCACTACGTTCGACAAAAACATACCATTCTCTTCTTAACCCCTCTATCTACCTATGGGTGCTTTGCGGAGTAAAACTGTGGGTTATCTTATCATCTGAAGCCGCCATATCTTCATCCCGGGGTCAAAATCGCTAAGCATCTTTTAAATAGGACAGGACACTCTCTAAACTTAGCCGGCTTCCATCTTATGGATTTCGGATACGATCCCACGACGCCGTTTCTACCGGACCTATCGCTAGGTCGGAAGATGTTTTTTATAGTTTGCTATTTTATAGTTTACTAGTCGCGTTCTAGATATCGTGTGACGGAAGTTGTGTAAACCTATATGTTAATTTAATGATGTTAGCTATGACTACTGAGGAATATAAGGGACTTCCCTACTGCTAGAAGGTCGTATTGCTAGTTATCCGCGCGTTGTATGTACAAAATGTCAATATTTATCTGCGGACTCTTGCATATCTTAGTTAGAAATTGTATATTCAATAATTTAATAAAATGATTTGATTTTAAATTTGTCTTGTCACGGAAGTATTCCATGCCGTGTGGCGTTCATCGACACTGATGAATCCAGGTGTGGACCCGCAAACACGCCCACAACCAAGTCTCCTTCAACTCTTTTCCACTTCCTCTTAGCAGATGGCCGATATGACCAGGTTAAAAATAAACAAAGTGCTCAGTACTCGTCTTCGTCGAAAGAAAGCTCGGATTGTTTATCGGAGGTTGAATCATTCGACCGTATCTGAGATAACCGAAGATCTTCAATTGACGGAGTCACATCGTAGTCCAACAGTTCCATACTCAAATCCTGTCTTTCACCATCAACATCATCCGGTACCGATAACACTATGATGTCTCTTTCCTGTGCCTCTATCAATAGAGGGGGACCTAAATCCGTCATTAGTATCTTTATTATCGCATCTGACTGTTCGACGGCATCAAGAAGTTGCGACATGTCCCCTGTAGTCTCTTCCATGGAGCCTTCGAAGCGAGTAATCGAATCAATGACCAAGAATATCGCATTTCCTTCTGCATCCTCCGAGAGGATATCAAGGAGGCGACCAAATAAGATGAGTAATTCGCGCAACGTCGATGGCGACTTCTTTCTGAACCTTTTGCTTTTCAGGATCTCGAGATCGATGTTAGGTCTATGTTCTGCGATGTATAATAACAGTTGAGCAATGAAGCTCTTCATCATCGCCACTGATCCACATGTTTCTCCACCTGAACTAGTTGTCCCGAGCCCTCCCATATATATCAAGACCGGCAATTCTGTGTTCATCGAGATCGTCTTAGACAGGAAAGCAGATGTCACCGACAAGGGATTCGAAATATCTTGAGGCGGAGTATCGGCTTCGATGGCGAGGATCTGTGAGGCAGGGACCGATATCCAGTCCTTGATTTCACCAGACTCGACGATCCATTTGACCTTGTCTTTGTCTCGAAGCGTTAGCATCTCAAAGTCTTCCAAGTACTCTTGCATATCTTTGATCGTTTCGGGCTCCGGGAGCTTGACACTAGCAAGCCATCTTCTCGCACGATCGTGGCGTTCTTCGGGAGAACCGATAGCCATTTCGTTAAGGGCCGATGAGGATAGTTGCTTGAGGGCTGCGCGACTGTACGCTATCCTCTTCCTTTTAACTTGTGACGGGTCAACTGTGTAGACCAAACGTTAGCCATACTCCGGTAAGAATAATGCGAATGGAGCAGTCTTACCAGTTCCGTCACGAGAATTAAAAGATGGGTTGCTAGCTAAGAAACGGTAGAGATGGTTGACCATCATTTTCCCTAGTTGTTGAAGTTCGTCGATTTTCTGATTTTGGCTGTCTTGAACTCTTTTGTACTCCTCACGGAACTCTGTCGGAGATGTTAGCAAGGCAAGCAACAGTTCAGAGAGGGAGAGGGACCAAATTACCTCCTAGCTTTGTGCTAGTATCTTCCACCGTGAGTCTTGTCCTCACTGCATGCTCCTCTACGCGGCCGAGTCTCTTTGAGTCACACAACTGCGCCTCATAATCGAAGGCCTTGGTCTCTCTTTTCAAGACCTCGATAGCTCCTGTAATACCATTGCCGTACCGTTCTCCCTTAAGAGTAACTGAAATAGCCTTCTCTAATAACGATTTAGTATCGTACATGGAGGCAACCATTCACCCTGGGTCATCTTACTTGCAAAGTTCCTCGAGAGCTCGGCTACTATGGATTCTAGCAGCTCAAAGATGGCGATAAAGACAGAATCGGCGCGCTTTTTCAATTCTCGCGACAATTTGTGAATATTAATAGTGGCGTTTATCTGCTCCAGCTGTGTGGGTATCTCGGCAAGGGCACTGCAAATTTCCCCTCGCAAATCCTCAGCTCGATCAATAGCCTAGGCGCAGTCAGCTTCTGTGGAATAAAGTGAGTATAGGTAGTCTTAATACTGCTAAGATTATAGTGAAGCCTCCACTGATCACTGATCCGTAGGAATCGTTTGGTATAAAACTCAGGATATTATGGAGGATGCCTCGATGCTCCATGAGACGACGAAAACAACGGCGTATCTTGCCTAAGTAGCCTTTGGATGTTTTATCATCTTGGTGTTTCGACTGCAGCTGCTGGGCAATACTTAAGACATCTTGCATCTTGTAGTCGTCGGGATTCTTTATTTCGATTCCGAGTTTCTTCCCAAGTTTCCGCTCCTCGAGGGTCTTGCAGAACTGCGCCAATGTTGCCTTGAACTTGGTCATCTTCTCCTCAGATTCCTTGAAATAATCTGGCCTGCGATACTTCAGTTGTGAATACCTTGATTCAACGCTACTATGAGATTCTTACTCATTGAAATCCGACGCTGCTACGAATTTGTCGATTTCTGGCGCATACTGGGGAGACTGTGGTCCCATCATTTGAGCAAGTTCAGCTCCGAAAGCCTGCTCGGGTCGCGTTTCGAGGAATTCAACAGCCATGTTTGAGATTGTGTTCGTTCTCATCAAACCGGACCAGAATAGAGGTTGGCGCTCTTCGTTTGACGAAGTTTCCATGTCGTCGAAGCTGGTGTCAATTTCATGCTAATTGGGACATATTTGGCCATCAACGCTGGAGGACGAACTCGTTGCGATGCGGCTGGGGTGGTGAGATCTATTACACGCAGCGTAGTAGGCGAACGGCAGGGATTGCCGAATACCTACTAGGGATACCTACCTGGGCTGCTAGGTTGATAGTGTGGCGATGCACCTAAGTGCGCATTTGGGAACCCTTCATGGACAGCTGCATTACATAGCGACAAAATTCCACGAAAGCGCTTCTAGCCTCCCAATCACGTACCCCATTTTTCACTATCTGCAGTCCGGTGGAAATTATCACCTATACTATCAGTCAATAGACCAATCGAATCTCCTCGTCTTTGCTCTGTATCTGCTTACTTCCTGGGTGGCTTGGCCCCCACGGTTGAGCTTGACCGAAAAGGGGATTGGAGATCGAAAGCTGAAAAAAATTTGGGTACTAGTAAGTAATCCTAAAATCGTCTCAGAAAATCATGAAGATATCTATTATTAGCCATCTAGGACTTTCTTCGTAGAATTCTCTTATCTATTGTTTCTCATTTCATCGTCAGAAATCGCATTTTGTTGAATTTGTTGCTCTGTATCAAGTGAAAGAGGTGTTGCACTATTAACCCCTAATCAAATCGATCACCTACGTTGGCGCCTAGGCACCTACTCGAGTAAAAGAGTAGAGCCTTATAATGGATCAATCAGTTAACTGCCCAGATGGAGAAGTGTCTAATGAGGAGGTTGTCCCATCGCCAACCCCGCCAACGGAGGAGGTTGAAGAGGAGACCCTCAACACTGGGAATGAATCGGAGACTAATGCCAGTGGGTCGGACCGCTCCGAGACACCGCCACTTGACGGAAACAGGGATGAGATTCGCAGTCGGAGCCCCAGCGTCTCCCGAACTCGGCGAGTTCGCCGTCCAGATTATTATTTTGTAAAGGAAAGAAGGCGGCGATCGAGAAGGAACTCTATCAGTAGTGCTAGTGATACGAGCGATTCGGAAAACGACATCAGAGCTGCTACCCGGTTAACAAACGCGGGTCTATTCGACGCCTATGTTCGGAAAATAGAACATGGGCGAGGTTCAAGGCCTGCGAGTCCAGACGCCAGAGGCCCACGTCTTGTTTCAAGCATAGTAGAATATGTTCGCAATCTTGAAACGAGAGTCTACTCCTTAGAGTCAAAACTTTTTGAAAAAGAAGAGGGGAAAGCGGAGAAGGACGACAAGAACGCGGCCGACGATACTAAGGAAGCAGGCCAATCCACTTCCGAGTTCAAAGTTAAGTTCTTCCCTCTCAGTGAAGAGGTTGATCAGACGGGTCGCATCAAACAAGGTAGAGATGAAATTCCAGACACGTACTGTTCAAATGTTGGCCCTGACGACTTCATCCGGGTTGTTTATAAATGGAAAAATGAAAGGTCCATAGAGGCTGCTCAAGCGCATGATGAAGATGAACAATTGAACCCAGAGGATATCGAGGTTGTTGGCTTTCGGATTGATTCAGACCCTATCTCAAGTTTCTTCAATTCTATTGCAGACTTTTCCATTCCGGTACATGGAGTTGTTGAATTGTTTAAACCATTTCGCTTCATCATCCGGGGACTCCCAGATATTCGTGCTCATATTGCAAAGCTCGAAAGTAAATTTGGGTTTGTCTTCTCTACCGACAATTGTATGAAAATTGGCTAAACTTCTTCCAGGTCTACCACTACAGGCGACGAGAGTCATAGCCAGACTGAAAACACTGAATCCAAGGAACAAGCACATGAAAGGCAGGGAAGCGAGGCTCCGTCACTCCATAAGGAAGATTCAAGCAACCTTCGCAAATCGGAACCACCTAAACGGACAGTTGTGGAGATCGTGCCTCAGCACGAACGCCAAGAAACACTCGAACACTTTCGTGAACTGTTGAAGTTTATCGAGAAGTATCTGGAACCACAGCTCAAACTATACGACGACATCCGTCAAGGGACAGTAACCAAAGTCACGTTCGAGAACTTATGGATGGTATTCAATGTCAACGACACAATATATTGCCCGATCAAGAAAGGAAACCAGGAGCTTGAGGTATTCCTAGATGGAGATCCGAATACGAAGAAATATGTGACGAGGACTAGATCGACTCCTCAAGCATATCGCGTTGTGTCGTCCGAGGGAGGTGTCGGGGTTTATGTTGACCCTGAACGCGACGATAGTTCAATTATGACATTACAACCCATGGGAAAAGCGAAACAACAGAACCAAGAAAACTTGACAATAAGCGCAAAGGAACAGTTTACTTCGCTGAAAGTATACTGTTTCTCAGTAGATTCCGACGGTGAGAAGTATACCCCTGTTGAGGACTTTTTTATCTTCAAGCCATTCGAAGGAGAGATAGACATTACCAGTCTCGAAGCTTACCCAACTCACTTTAATTCTCAATATGAGAAAGTGTCCGAGATGCTTCTTCAGCGTGGTCGCAAATTCATCGAAATGACTGAGATCTCCCATATGATATACGAAGGGTTGACCGTTGGCGAAGATAAGGAGGAAGTAAGTTTATGAACTCACAATATCTATTCCACGCACTAATTATCTGGATAGGTTCTCAGTTCGGTTATTGTTGACCTCAAGCTATATTATCAAGAGAACAAGACACATCGTCCGATCTGTGCCCCCCTTCAGCCCCTGGGGATACTCCGGCCGATTACTCAGATCGTTGAAGTGGCAGGGACATCCACAAGCTGCACTCATAGGAAGCCTTGCCGAAGATTGAATTGTTCTCGTGATATGTACACTGAGTCTTTCAAGGTTGATAAGATCAACCCATCCTTACGAAGATCTCTTTGTGAATGTAGCTACTCCCCCTTTACCTCCTCGCCTAAAGAGATCGCTGACTTGATGTTGAAGATGAGCCAGAAGAGAAAGATCCGAAGTTAGCAATTCAAGCCATAAAGAAGCACATGGAAGCCACAGACTTCATACGACTATTGCCTGGGGCAATTTCCGGGTTTGTCCTGAGATCTCGCAAATGGGGTAAGTCCTAAAAGGGTTTCCAACCACAATTTTTAGGAGTGTCAAGCTAAATACTTCACAGTTCATCTGGATGTCAACCTACTTCAGTGGTCAGTTTCTCACGACAAGGCGAACATAAATCCTGCCGATACCGCGGGATGGAAGGATTTGGTGCTACCTCCAGGCTACAAGGATATCGTCCTTGCGATGGTGAAGAATCATACTGCTGGTACTCGAATTATCAACAACGGACTTTATCAAACACCAGAAGTCGATCTTGTTAAGGGCAAAGGTAAGTCGTACTCAACCTATGATCTATGCTTGGTGACTAAAGAGGATTTCTCTTAGGAAAGGGGTGTATCATCTTGATTCACGGCGCACCAGGTGTTGGGAAAACCTCAACTGCAGGTGAGTATATGTCGCAATAACAAATGCGAAAACCGTGAGGCAAGTTTATTAATGCATTGGTAGAATGTGTTGCCGCTTACACCAAACGTCCGCTATTTCCGATAACCTGCGGTAAGTAAATCCACCCTAACCCGTTGACAAGCTGCTAAATACCTATTCAGGTGATGTCGGATATCAACCTGACGACGTCGAAAAAAACCTTGACAGAGTTTTCAACCTTGCCCATAGATGGGGCTGCGTCCTGTTACTAGATGAAGCCGATGTTTTCCTCGCAAAGCGCAATAGGGAAGATATCAAACGAAATGGACTTGTGTCAAGTAAGCGACCCATTATACAGGAATTCTTCACCTAATTTCAGTTTCAAGCTAATATTGATGGACTTCAGTTTTCTTGAGAACCTTGGAGTATTATCCTGGAATTCTGTTTCTCACCACTAACCGCGTGGGAGCAATTGATGACGCCTTCCGTTCACGACTACATCTGACTCTTTACTATCCGCAACTTGACCGAAAGCAATCTCGCAAGATTTGGAAAGTGAACTTCAGGCGCTTGAAAGAGATCAACGAGGAGCGTGCAAAATTAGACCATCCACCAATCAAAATTGATAAGGAGAAGATACTTCGGTATGCGGACCTAAACTTCGAGGAGCTTCACTGGAATGGCAGGCAGATTCGAAATGCCTTTCAATCGGCGCTGGCTCTAGGTAGGTCACATCAATTTTCTTCTTACCCCGCCCCCTTTTTTTGAGTCCGTGCTATGATCACCGGCAACCCCTGAACTCCTCCACCTAGGTCCTAGGATAACTTACTAACGTTTATCACGAAAGCCGAATTCAAGGTGCAGGATACCAGCAAGTCTCCGATTCTGTCTGTTGAGCAATTCGACACTATTGCGCAGGCATCCCACGAGTTTGATCACTACTTACTAACCACCCACGGTTTCGACGAGGATAAGATGGCAGCTCGCGACAAAATCCGTGCCGGTGGTTCATACAAACGATCCGAGAACAAAAAGTTGAAGACGTTGCCAGATACCGACGAATCCGAGAGCTCATCAGAATCCGACTCGAGTAAAAGCTCGTCGGATAGTTCTAGTAGCAAGTCCGATTCTGACTCAGACCGGCCGTCCAAACATAAGAAGAGCAAGAAGAAGTCTAAGAAACCGGAGACGAAGAAACAGAAGAAGGATAAGAAGGATAGCGTGAAGAGCGAGAAGAAGAAGTCGAAGGAGAAGGCGAAAGCGAAGGACACGGAAGAGTCTAGCAAAAGCTCAGACAGTGATGATTAGAAAAAATCACACTAAATTGGGATTTTATAAGATTAGAGCTATTTCCGGTATCCTTCAGCATCTCAATCCAGTCATAATCTCAAAGCCATATACAAGAATATCCAAATTGTGGTTTCTACTTCGTGTTTCTCGCAGCCTTCATAAATACAATTCACGGTCTATCCCATCTCCTTCCTTCCCAATCCCAACCTCGGCTTTCCTCTGCCGCCAGATGTAGAAAGCGTAGCAGGCACAAGAGGCTATGCAAAGGCAACCCATAGAAAGACAGACAGTGTAGCCCGTATGGTAGTAAGGCGCGTCTTTCTTAACAAATAAGAATGTTGCAACAATGCCTCCGCAATTCCCAAAACCTATCATCCAGGCCGTTCCGATGCTCCTCTCCACGTGGCCCCGAAGGTTCATCACGTACCAGCAGATGATCATCCCGCCAATGCCGAAGGAACCCATTGCCGTGAGGCAGACTCCTGCATACTCGGCTGAGAAATGCGCTGATCCGTGTGTGGTTATTAAGATGGACAGCCCGGTGATCAGCAAGGCGAGACCTAGGAATATGAAGGGCGAGCGTATCCGGGCCTTGTCGGAGAGGTAGGCTAAAACGACAGCGAGCCCGAACGCTGCTGCGAAAGGGGGGACGGAGTGAAGCTGGGTTTGAATTGTGCTGTAACCGAGTGTTTGGATAATAGTCGGTGTAAAATACGAAAGAGAATATGAGGTAACCAAAACCGCTAGTTACTCAAGATTAGTATTCTCTTCTTCATGCAGCCTAGATCGTAACGATGGAACTTACATAAGTACATGAGTCCGCCGAGCCAGGCCTTGGGCGTCCGGAGGAAAGCGAGGACATCCCGCGGAGTTACGGGAACCAAGCGAGATTCGTCGGTCTTTGTCTTATTTAACAGGAACGCCCGTTCCTCCGGAGACAACCACTTCGCCTCTCGTGGGAAGTCCGTGATGCAAAAGAACGCTAAGACGCTAATCAGCACCGTCGCGATGCCTTCTAATATGAAAACCCATCTCCAACTACTTAAGCCCCGCATGTGATTCATATTTGCTATCGCCGAGGCAAGGAGGCCACCGAAAGCCCCGGCGAGGATAGTGCTGGACCAGTACACGGTAAATCGCTTCTGAGCCTCCTCCTTCGTGTACCAGAAACTGATCAAGTAGAAACTTCCAGGGAAGATGCCGGCTTCGGCAAGGCCTAGGAAGAACCTTGTAGCAAGCAATCCGCTGTAGCTTTTCACGAAGCCCTGACACAGCATTATGATTCCAAAACATAGGATACAGCCCGAGAGCCAGATATGGGGGTTCAGCTTCTTCATCAGGACGTTTGACGGGACTTCGAATATGATGTACGGCACAAAGAATATGCACAGCGCGATGTTCGACTGCTGGCCCTCGAGTCCGAGCTCCGCGGGTAATCCCATGGTAAGGGCATTGGATATATTGACGCTATATCCAGTCAGTCAGTCCGACAATCCCAAGTATTCAAAAAGGCAAGGGCTCCTACCGATCCAAAAACGCCGCGAGATATACAAGGAACAGTATAGGCACAACATGCAAGTCGGTCTTGCGAAGCAGTTTTGTCTCATCAACATACGCTCGAAAAGGCTCCTCAGCCACAAATTCCGAGCGCGAGCTAAAAGAAGCGTCGTTCGAGCCCCCGCCGACGACGTCGTCGGCGCCTTTGCGATCAGCCATATCGAAACGGTATATTTCCTCTAACTCTTAGAGACACAGTCACAACAAACGAAGAAAACTAAAACACACAAGCTAGCATTTTTAAACCCAGGACCAGGCACCTAGGTAGGTAAGTTTGAATAAAGCGAAACACGTCCCTCCCGACACATTGGACGAAAGGGAGCGAAGGGCGGGAAATGAACAAAGAGCGAAAACTCGTCGGTCAAGACATCCGACCGCGTGGTGTTACACAAAGATGTATCACTACATCGAGGGGGCTGAAATGACAATCTACCATAGGTACGTCGTATCTCCGAGATGTATGTATGTACACGCGACCCCCCTACCCGGGTCCAATCAATCGGGTCGTAGGGTTGACCGGTTAGTCCGCAGCAGACTAAGAAGCGTTGAGGCGCCGTGGAGGATTGTGGGATCTGCGGTTATGGCGAATTCTCCAACTGTGAAATCATGGATCATTCCAGGCAGCCTTGAGAGGGTTTAGTCACAGCCTCGTCTGGGACGGAGCCAATGTCGTCGGTGAGCGGGCTGCTGATCGTCTGGCTTACGGAGTCTTTTGCTGGAATAGGTTGTAAGAATCCGGTTCGTAGCTCAAGCCAGCCAAGCCAGGGCGCTTCTGGGGTGTGAGACGGGAAGGAGATTGGAAATGGAAGAGATAGGGAGGGGTTTTGGTGTTTGGTATAGGTCTGTTTGGGCGTCCTGTTTGCTCTAGAGATAGAGATTTCGAATCTGCTAGGTGCCCAAGTGGTTTGCGAGTTGTCGAGATACTTGCGGTTTGGACATGCTTTAATTATATACATAAATGCATGGTCTCAGTCTTTCGTCACGTTTCTCATTTTCTTTACTCATCAAGACTTACACTACGGAACCGAGAGAATGGCGACTGTCTCTCCAACACCCGCATTGCAGCCTCCTCCAGGGGTGGCGTCTAACTTTGTGAACCCCGAGTCCCTAGCCGGCAAGAACAACATCGCTATGGGAGTCTCTATTCCTCTGATAACGATATCCTTCTTTCTTCGGGTATACGTAAGAATATGGATTAGACGAACTTGGGTTTTTGAAGATTGTGAATCCAACTTTGACCCATTAAGATGAGATAGAGGCTAACACTATCAATAGGGCTGGCTCTAACTGCTTGGGTGGGTAATAAATACGAGCCCTTAGTATAACTCTGCCTCTAACTAGCCTATGTAGGCTAGCACAGTATCCCTCGCTGGGGTAGGCACCGCTACTATGGCTCACAACGGTGGAAAACATGGATATGATATTACCCATGAACAGTTCCAGGAAGCATTATATGTAAGTTCTTGACGAGTTCATCAAATCAGAAAAGGGGCCGTGAACGCTGACCTACCCAAAAGTGGTTTAATGCAACCACTATCAACTACGGCATCGCCATATGCACTACGAAACTAGCGGTTCTTTGGTACTATCGACGCGTCTTCTCCCCATTCCGGCGGAAGCCATTCGACATTAGTATCGTCTGCCTCATCACCGTGCTCATCCTATTCTACGGATCAACAACCATAGTGAAGATATGGGAGTGTATCCCCAGGGAAAGGATTTGGGACAAGAGCATACCGGGGAGATGTATCAGCACCGATATTCTGTTAGACACAAGCGGACTGTTTAATACATTGACAGACTTTATTATGCTTTTGCTTCCGGTGAAAGCAGTCTGGAAGTTGAAGCTGAAGGTCAAGCAAAAGGTGCTCGTCGTTGGTGTTTTTACGTTTGGTTTATGGTCAGTACCTACCCCTAAACCACTTACCAACTCCATGAATGATACTAAAAACATTCCAGCGCTCCAGTCTTTAGCTTGGTGGGCTTCATAGTGCGTCTTCAGGGGAACAACAATCCCGACAAATCTTGGATACAGCCAAAGATTATAATGTGGGGTCTGTACGTAACGTCCAGCTTCTTTTTCTTTTTCGTTTTCCTACCTTTTTTATCTCCGAAGAAAATAAGGTTGACCCTTTGATTGAAGTGCCGAGACAACGACCGGCATGCTCTGCGTGAGCTTTCCGGAGCTAGGACCTCTTATAAGGAGAAGACAGAGCCCTACACACACCGAGAGCATCGTGAATAGTAACTATCGCTCGGGCGATAAGCCATATCCGCGACAAGGCAGTCGGTTTTCGACGGCCATCTCGCAGGGCGTGATGAAGCTGGAAAGCGACCCTTACATAGAATTAGATGAGAGAGACGTATATCCGACTCAATACGCAGCACAGGCCGACCGTAACATCCACGATCGAGAACCACGTCCAGGGGAGATAACTGTTACCCAGGAGGTCACCGTGGACTCGCATAGGAGAGAAGAGGGTGTGCATATTGACCGATGATGTTGATGAATAAATATAGACATCTAAGTCCGTTTTTGACTTTTTCAAGATCCAATAATGCCATTGATGTCATTGCCAATTTCGTGTTGCTTAAAATCGTGATATGGCTGTAATATGGGTTGTTGCGTTTTCGGAACCTACCTCAGGCCTGATTGGTCCATGCGTCTTTGGTCACGTGCTATCAATTCGAGCTAGCGCTATTACATTTTCCTACTGACCAATCGACGCCTAGTAAACTACGGTGGTCCGTGATCACATTCATTTTCACTGTAAAGTATTTCCAAGGGCCGTTTTTCGTTTTCATTAACCTCGCAGCTAAATATACAATTTTACAATACCTGCCTGCCCAAGAAGGAGAGGTGGTATCGAAATGATATGATCGGAGGAAATGAGCGTATGCGCAAACTTCTCGAAGACTTCTCCAAAACGCCTAGCTCCGAGGTTGTGGAACATATAAACAACATCACAAGTATCCGGTACAATGGCATGTACGCCCACACGGCAACTTAGCTGTAAAGCAACGAGAAAGGAGAGCTGCATATAATCCTTACCCATGCATTGGTCTTCGGGACCTACCCTGATCCCTGATAGTCCGATTCACGAATCTTGATCTTAATCATTCTCTTGCTGTATGCATGTAGGTACGATATGATCGTCCAGTGTCTCAAAGGTGCAAACGCCACGTTTTTATATATCGGCAGCTATTTCGGGTAGGATCTACATCAGCTGGTGGTGGATGGCGTTCTTTCGGAATACCTCATTGGTCTCGATCCGATCGAAGAAGCTCTCATCGAATTAAGCCACGAGGTTTTTTCTTGACCGGAAAACAGCAGGTCTTGGTTGATGGTTGCCGGCGTCTTCAAAAGTGCAGTACCAAGCGAGGGGTAGACGGACATGGAGTTGCCTCAGATGAGATTGATGCATTACACCGCAGCGCCGTTTCCCACCTATTGCTCTTGAGAAGCAGGTTGCTGCGTCGAAGCAGAGCGTGAGATTAATCAAGAACACAAATTTAAGATACAACGGATGGAGTTGGAAACAACCCTGTCAGCCCTGCGGAGTACGAAAACCGTCGCCATTCACTCGCTATTTATAGCGAATGGAACTTTGCATATTGCCAGAAAAAAAACAGGAATTTCCCCTTTTGTGTACCTAGGTACCTACCTATTGGTCGTGAATCAGTGCTCGTTCTCGGTACCGAAGGAGCAGCCTTTCAATGTCCTTAAAGCATTTCGGGTGGTTGCACAACAGATAGATAAAGGACGGAGTATGTAAGGGGCGGCATTTTCATAAGCACTTCGGGTATCACGTGTACTTTAAGCTTAAAAATCCTAAATGCCGCTAGGAATACGATATCGTGACATTTACATTAGTAATGCTGAAGCTATGCGGGGGAATTAGTAGCGATCCCCTAATTGGCAGCTCATTCTCGCGATGGTTGTTGTGTCAAAAGGAGACATACCCGTTAGCGGCACAGCGTTTAAGGTAGCAAGGGAAGACGAAGACGATCCCTTACCATCCTCATCTCTCGCTGAGAGAAAAGACAATCAAGTGTTTCCGGTATAATGTCACATCGAATATAAAACATGCAGATCTACTAGCGAGCCCGACAAATATATCAAAAGTTTCGTTAAAGTTACGAAATTATTACTATGGTCTGTATCCCTAAACAGCCCAACCCCTTTCATAGGCTCCCAACGAAACCTTGAGAAATTATCTACCTAGTAGGTACTAGTATGCAAATATAACGCTGAAAACCATACGCCAAATATTTTTGTCTTCCGCAAAATCAACCATGCAATCCGTAAACGCCTTCATATGCCTGTATCCATGACGACATCTCCGTAATATAATGAGTTTGTGAGGGAGTGTGTGTATGTATGTATAATCGTATCCTCATGGCCCAGTCTATGTCGTAACCTTCTTCAACCCCTTGAAATTGACCCATTCACACTTGCATCCCCCAGTACCGCCATCAATGCCTCCCAAGGAGGTATTGGGGCTTTTATTCATGCCGTTGATCAGGGTACCCGCAAACCCGCGGTCGACGATGATGAGCTGGACGTCAGTGGTGTTAATAGCTTGGTTTTTCAGGACCCCGTAGCGGTAGTCGATCTTCTTGTTCTTGTCCCCGCCGTGCATGTCCTCCGTGATGGTGACTGGGTACGGCATGGTACCCGGGATAGCGGCGGCAGACGTGCCGTTCGTCCAGGGAACGGCAGCGCCGGTTCCGCCGAGTAGCTGCGTCGAGTTCTCCAGGCGCGTCCATATCTGTACGAGGAAGCGGGTCTGGGATAATGTCACTAAGGACTTGGCACTGGCCTCGGTTGATCCACCGTCAACATCCGCGGCGTTTGACTTCACCGTGTCTACCATGTAAATTGTCTTGTCGAAATGGGTATAGAACCCGTAGTGTTCGGTGGGTAGGCCACGATCGAATAGGCGGACAGGTTGCTGAATAGAATGGGGGAATAGTTGAGCTGGAGCACCCGTGCCGTCACCGTTCAGTTGTGGTGGTGGAAGGATGTCCGTGAGGTTAGTGCCACCATTGCCAGCTACGCCGATGGCATTATTAGCGCCTTGTCGACGAGTCAGCATGTTAGCACCGACTGGCTTATCAACATCAGTTAAGGTACTGATGAAGAAGGGCGTTGGTTCTCCGGCCTTGTTGTCTGACTGGATGTGATCAGTGGTGTTGCCTAGGAATCGGATCTCCGCAATAGATGGTGGTTGCGGGTTTGGGTTGAAGCCAGAGTCGAATAGGGTGGGTTGGTCCTCATCGTTATCCTCTGTAACGTTCCAAAGAGCCCGGGTGTTGTTGTCATATTGGATCTGGAAGATGAACTCGGGTTGATTGGGGGCTTTGGGGGCTACGGATGCCTGTTGATCCTTTGGCAGTGAACAAGACCAAGCGTTATCTGATGTGGCAACTAAACAGCCAGTTCTTGCTAAGGAATTGTCCGGCGCAGCCACGGTCAAAACACCAGTCGGCATAGGTGGAAAATCTGTCAAATTGAGCCAAATCGAAGGAGCCGAGCTCTCTTGGGGTCGAGGTCGTCGCGTAAGAACAACGGCCAGGACGATGGCGAGGATGATCGCAGCGATCAGGCCGGCGATAACGCATAGACAAATCCGTCTTCTCTTTCTACCTTCACGGCCACTCCGGCCGAAGCAACCGTTTTTAGGCATACAGCCCCGACCTCTCCAGAACCCACCGGCTTTTCTAGCAATTACCTCTTCTTTTTCGTGACGGCGTCGCTGCCGTTCCGTACGATTAGCCTGTCCTCGAACGTCGTAGAAATGATCACCGGGAACAAATGAACCAGGTGCGCGATCAGGAAGTACTGCAGCTCGTACAGGTTGAAGATTGTGTGGTGTTAAGGGTATTTCCGCCATATTTATAGCCCCTTGCGAGGTCATCGTTCCCGCCAAGCCTGGAGTCACTGGGCCAGGAGATGGAACCCTCTGAGAGTTAACTACAACTGGAGGTGGTAGTATAACGCCATATTTCACCTGAGTCACTGGCTGTGGCTTGGGAGGTGAATATGGTGGCGGCTCTTCATTCGGTCTTTGATTCTCCTCCAGAAGTATCCTAGCTTTCTCGGATCTTGTCTCTCTGCGTTCTGGTGACGTTTGACGAGACGAAGAACTAGCTGGGTGGACAATATAATGTTGCTGGAGAATGACAGGGGTGTTCTTAGCCTGAGCTACAGCGTTTAATGATGAGCCATCCTTCTCATTAGTTCCATTCCACCATTCGCGGACACCTGTTGTAGACTGTGAAGAGCCAGGGGCGGCCGGTTGTGCCTGTTGTGCAGGCGGATTTGGCTGTGAAGGGCTACCCTTCTCACTAACTCCATCCCACAATTGACGGGGAACCGCCGTGGGTTGTGATGGGTTAGGTCCGGCTTCTTGTGCTTGTTTCTTGAATGGGTTCCATTGCTGCGAGGAAGGACTAGGTCCCGTTTCTTGCGCTTGTTGCTTGAAGGGGTTGTTTGTCTGTTGTGTGAAAGGGGTTGTGACATGATCCCACCAACCATGAGATCGACTAGCGGCACTTTCAGGACTAGTCATCGGTGCCTTGGGCTTTACCGACTTGCGCGTCATCGTAGGGCTTCCATCTTCTTCAAATAGGGTACATGGTGTGCCAAGATCGGAGTCATCTTCAAGGTCTGCAATAATCACAGTCTGCCTCTCTTTGGACCCGAGGTTCGTTGGTAAGGCGGGTACAGGGGGTACATCAGTATCCCGTATCTGACCGCTATATAAACTAGGCTGTGAATAGAGACTTGACGCGGCTCTCGAACCCTGGTATGGAGATTCGCTTGCTTCCGTGTCTGGAGACCATACGGAACGCAGCTGGTGTGGCGTGAGGGCTGAAGGATTGGCAGCAGTAGGAGTTGATTTTTGAGGGAACCTGGGAAAGTCCGTTGGCGTCTCGATGACAGCAGTGTGTGGGCTAACTTGATGGTCAGAGAGGTTGTCGGAAGGAACCGATATTCCTATGACGATTGGTCTAGCCACTGGAGAAAGATCTGAAGAAGACCCTTGTAGATATTTGTTGCTCGCTTTAATACCACTAGCAGCCCCAGGCCTTTGCTTAAGCCACGAAAAACTGCCTATTGAAGCAGAAGATGGTTCCCCTTCTAAAGCTTGAAGGGCTGTAGGATTAACGAACTTCGCGCGTTGCTTCGATTGGCGGAATTTTGTCATGTCCGTCACTAGTGTTATACCAGCTTTTGCGTTCTGAGCCTTTTGTCTAGCTTTGGACTTTACGCGGGTCGGTTTTTGAACTGAATACCGTAGTAAGTTGCGTGGAATTCCCTGCGCGGCACCAGGCCGGGATGATTTATGTTTTGCCTCGTCGGAAAGATCAATGAGAAGCCCATCGTTATCGTCTATCGTCACTTGTCCCTCTTCATCTGAGTCTTCCCAATCCTCCCATTCATCCTTGCGGGTTGGATCCCTAGGGCTCGGGTAAGGAGTGTTCGGTGTCGGTTTGGTCGCGTTCATAGTGAATGATTTAGGTAGAGAATGTGTTAGATATTCGTCAAGAATTTATCAGTAAAATATGAGTCAAATTCAAGGTACCAGCATTGATATCTGACAGGTAAGAAACGAAGGAAAAATTAAGTGATGATACTAAAGTTAGGTGAGGAGGGTGTCAAAAATGACTGCCTTGAAAAAATAAAAGGCAAAGTAAATTTTACGCGTAATGTGGACATTCGTGAGTGAGCGGAATGGTATAAGTCATGAAGAAATATCCATTGAGTCATAGGTGAAAGAAAACTATGACAGTAAGAATAGAACGCGTTTTTGTTAAAACAAAAGAAAGGCTCAAGAACAATGTACGTTAGTAAAATCAGATGTAAAAGTTCTTTGTGAATCAACATTAACAGGCAAGGACTAGTATTAAATCAATCTAAACAACGGTCCGCATGGGCATAGGCCTTGCCGCCGCCATACATCTAGACGAAGACATAGTAACAGCTCATACAGCGGAGATTCAAACTTGACCAACACTCAGTCTAATTGGTTAGACGGGATAGCTTCTTGATGTCTGGTTGGCCGTAGAAGGCCGACCTCATTGCACGACAGTACGCCATAAAACAGGGTTGGGGACCCGAGAGGCACTCATGGTCGCTCGATGAAGGTAAATTGAGGCCTCTGGATGGTGGAATTTTCGCTTGAAGCAGATGAATGTTCGATGTAGGCGCCGAGTTGTCGGAGAGAATGAATCCCATTGGTCGGACGTCGTCAAGCCAAGACACTTAGCACAGTGAATGGGCGGCAATGTCTTCTCTCGCGGCTGCGACCCTACCGACCCACACTTCCCGCTGCATACTACTTCAAATTTATTGTTGCATACTTAGGTACATACGCGGTGAGCATAGGTTACCATTTCCTATACTGAAATAAGTTAGCTTGCATCCGTGGATATTGAAGTCATTCGTGTTGACGCAGGTAGGTATGAATGTATGTATGAAGTGCATGTGTAGATGAAATAATTAGAGATGAGAGTGCAGAGTGACTACATATGCAAGCCAGTAAAAGCGTAATTATATCGTTAAGCCAATCAAATTCAATCATATAGTGGGTTACTCGTCTACTAGGTATGTAATGAGTCAGCAACGAATGCGAACAAATCCATCCATCAATGATAATCTGCGCCATCCAATGGGATGTACCTTCCTCACACAATTCAATGTTGAGTTCGTTTGTATGTACCTAAGTACTTACTAAACCCCCCCCCCCCCAAAAAACCCTTGTCCCCCAATACCCCTCACTCTATTTCCTTGATTGGCCTCTTACTCTCTTCCATAACATCGATGAGACAACCATAGCCAACAATAGGCAGGTCGCTGATGTATCAGATTAGGTGTTCGACATCATGCCAGATTCATCCTGCCGTATTATTCTTTCCTAATCTATCAACCTTGTGGATGGCTCTTCATATGCTGTGGAACGATGGCCGTCTTATACGTTGCGGCTCAGTGATTCCCGAGGTCTAGTCTTCGATCGACATCGATGAAGACGTCAACATCCTGCGCCTATCGACTTGGCCGTGATATTTTTCGGATAAGTCAACTATTATCAAACTGTCAAGCTTCGACCGGGTCTATCATCCTTCACTTTTATGGAGAAATCGACATCAAAGGGTCCATTTGTTTCATTCTTTGTCGTGATATGCGCGGGCGAGATCCCCCACCAATCTCTCATTTTCCATCGCCCCCAGACTGCCAGGACTACCAGGCTCGTCAACATAATCCTTACAAGGCTATCATCTATGTACATATCGACGACGGTTTTTTACCCCCAATGATTCCATGCAGAATCCATGGAGTTACTCTTACTTCGTACAAAGGATGTCATCTATTCGAATACCTACATGTTTATGTTTCATCATAGCAAATCCCGACGGCATCTATTCCATATGATCCATATTCTGCCATATCTCTGGTAGTCTGGTAGCGTAACGTCAAGTCTCTACTTAGTGCTGCTACCATGCGCACAAGGTAGAAACAATAAACACTCTAATACCCTAGCAGCCTTGCATTTTCGCCTTCTTCATGCTTAAACGTTAAATATTGAGTCGCAGCAGGGCCTCCCTGCACAACCCGTGCGCTACCCGTGGGGATTCAACTGGTAGTCCCGGTTGCTACAATGACGGGCATTTCGAAGATTTACAAACTATTTCACCGACTTGGGAGATCCTACTAATGTTCATGTCCGAGTAAGGTAAAGTGTATCTTCATCAAAAATGACAGAAAATATTACTCCTCAGCTCCCTAGGCAGGCAGGCAGGCAGGCAGTCCTAGTGGACCAGGCTAGCGAATATCCACGTGCTGCCTGATCCAAATATATTACGACAGTGGGTTGGAGAATGCATGCCTGGCTGTACGGATGCTAATTAGTCATCACCTAAGAGGCCTATCAGGCCTAGGTGAGCGCCCATTCAGGGGGTCATATCGACCAACGCACGACCAAATTAACAGTTGCCGTAGCCTCATACACAACAGAATGCGATCTGCCTGCAGCATGAGGATTCAATAGATAACGACTCTACTCATTCGGGGGAAGTGAGAAGAAATTTCTCACATCCTCTTTCTGCTTCCTCTACGAGCCTGCAGAAGCCGAGAGGGTAGGATCTTGTTCATCGTCGATGATAATCCGGGGCAATTGCCGAGTAGGGGGGACACGCCACTTTCGCCTGATCCGCTACTCAGTACAGATCCGTTCAAGACTGCATCGTCATTTACTTCACTTTCAACATGCTTATTATAAGCGACGTATGTTCGGGTTTGACAGCTCAAACATGAGATAGATACTCGCCCGAGAGGAACGCAGTTATGCTAATGTTACCTCGTGTTTAAGAGTTTATCCTCGAGCCGAGCGCGTCATGCATTTCTTATATCCTCGGTCAATTCGGCGTAAGGATTCGGAGCATGAGATGAGCGAAGAGCCCGCCGGTCCGCCCGGAGCACAACGAGGCAGCGAGATATGCAGAAAAAGCGAGGGGTTGCCATGTGTTTTGTGCCGCCATCCGATTCAGCGTCCAATGCATCTCCTATTCCAGCTCTGGCTCACGATCAAGAGGATGGACATGCAAGTAACATTACAACATTACAGCCCGGCAAGTAGAGAAGCCAAGAAAGTGTTTCTACATCCAAGGGTTGAAACCTTGACAGGCCAGACAAGCCAAGGCTACCAAGCTCCGCCAGTATAAAGATAGGGTTAGGTAAGCCTTCTCCGCCAATGGTAGCCGTGGAGCTTCTAATTTGGGGATATTCGCCTCCGCGCTAACTCCTTATTCGCCCACTTCCCCTAATCCTTCATCCTCCTGGCAAGTATTGGGTGACATCCTCCCAGTCTTGTTATTATTAAGCTTTCCACGATCAACGTCCCGAAAGAAACTAGAAACAAAACGAAGTGATCGACAGGTGGTATTAATATGCCGCACTACCAGCTAAAAATGGTTTAGGTAGCCAGAGAATGCTGCTAGACGGCTATAACACGTGTAGCGGATATGATTGAATGTTCCTGGGCGGACGTGCCCCCCTGGTTGCTGCGACCATGTCGAGACAAGGGCCCATGGTTCACGAATCAAGATGGCCGCCCTACCCATGACTAATGTAAAAGCTAGTAGCCTTATTAAAGAAGACGCCTATCCGAACGGGTCCTGCGTGTCGTAGGGAATGCTACATGATGAAGCAGGAGGTGAACATTGCTTTATTCTTCATTAGGTTATAACTCTTGTCTATCTCGAGATAAATGCAGCAGGCTCTACATTCCTCTACTACTCTACTACTCTCCTACGCGCATTTACATCACAATATAATGACTACATATATATCTTCTACTCGTACCCGTAACAGATTATAGCAGATTATCTCCGCTCTTTACACTACATGGCTGAGCAAGATCAAGCTAATCCTCCCAACATGACGCTCTCACATCGATATAAACATTCCAACCAACAGTCTCCCAGTACCATGGCTTCACCCCAGGCGACCACCCAGTCGTCCACGCCGCAGAGGTTCAACGGTCCTGCGAGGGATGGGGATTGGGCCAACTACCGAGACACCATTACGTCCTTATATCTCGACCAGAACAAGAGTCTGAAAGAGGTCATGCGCATCATGCGCGAGGAATACTACTTCTACGCGACGTAAGCATCCTCCTTTCAATAATTGCCCGACATACAGTACCGTCTGACCCGCTTGTAGAGAAAAGATGTACAAGATCCGCTTCAACAAATGGGGCCTGCATAAGAAGCTGCGGGCCCACCAGGTGGCAGAACTCCTAGTCCAGCGGGGTAAGCGCGCTGCCGTTGGCAAGTCGTCTGTGTCCTTCGTTGGCGGCCGCAAGATCGACGCCGACAGGCTCAACACATATCTACGCCGGGTCTCCCCCGCCAGACGTAAGGAGCTGGTCGCCATACTCTCAGGCAGGGTAGAAATGGCCGGCTCTCAGAAGCGTAGCATAGAAGACATCATATGCCGGACGCCATCGCCCGAACCAGAGCCAGCGATAGAGACAGTGCCGAGGCGACTAGATGCACCCGATAGCTTACGGCTCCCCGAGGAGTGTATGCAAATCGTCCAGGCGTATATCGGGGGCGCTTTCGATGGTGCATTATGGAAAACTACACCCAACAGAGAATTGGTATTTCCACCCCGAGGAAAGACGTGGCTAGACCCCGTGTCGTCTGCGAGGCAACTCTTCATCAACGGTTTTACGGATCAGGGGTTCTGTATGATTAGGGAAACCTTCGCCGGCTACCAGGAAGTGATGGAACGGCAAGATCCCTCACTTCTCGTCGAAACATGTCTCGCCCTTGGAGCGTTACGACAATCCGGACCAGACTTAGCCGAATCGTTGATCAATTACGCATACGGCATGTCCCGGATCATCCTAGGTCCCAGGCATCCTCTACACTTACTATTCTCACGACTGAGAGGCCTCAGCTCATACGAGATCGCACAGTTCTCGGGTGTCATACTCGAGACCTTCTTGAAAACCGTCCAGATCGATACCCGCCTTAAGCCGACATATCTCGCGACCGTGTACCGCGCGATGCTCAACAGCGAATTCATCGAGACGGCCGTGGCGCAGCGGTACATGGAAGGCCTACTCGCGGACCTCAAGGAAACGGAGTCGCCGGACTTACCGGCAGACGAGTTACGGAAGAAGGATATCGACCTTCTCCAACACCACGTCACCTGGCTGTTCAACTTACACAACAAGCCAACAGAAGCCAAGGTAGCAGCGAAGACACTAGTAGAGACCCGTCGCCGCGACCCTCGCCTCGCGCGCTTCAGCTGCTATAACATGCTTCGCACGCTACCGACCAGCTACGAAGTCACGGACAAGGAGGCCATCGACATCCTATACCAGAGCCTCGCGATCTGCGAGACGGAGTTCGGGCGCAGCGACAACGCAACCGTAGTCGTTCTCGCGACACTGCAGAACTACCTCCGACGCATGGGTCGCTACGAGGAGGCGGCCAAGGTGCGGAAGGACTTCGAGACGCGGTGGGATGAGGTGGTGGAAGGGATGAGCCGGCTGAAAACCTGACCCGCAGCCCTAATGAATACCTACTACATGGTGCAATAGACAGGGAATACAACGGTGCGCTGAACAGTCGTGAGAGGACATATAGGTGTACGGTGGTATTCTTTATGTAGTAACCCTGCAGCTTTGAGAACGAAAGCCAAACTGCAGGCTCGGGTATTCGTTAGGGTGACCTAATGATTAAGATAAGAAAAAATTCAATAAATTACAATGTTCCAATTCCTTGAACGCCTTGGTATGCTTTCTACGTGATTGACAAGTACTTTATGCCATTCGCTTCATTATAACTCGTCTCGTCCAGGCTTCGGTATCTCCGCCCGTCGCTTCTTCAACATGTCGAGTAATGGCTGACTCCACTCCGCGTCTGAAGGCTGTTGACTAATGATTCCTAAGTGGTACTCCCAACACCCCTCTTCCCTCGACTCCTTCCCGCCTTTTGCACACACACTATCCTCCGTCGCCTTAGCAGCCGTCGGCCAGACACCCAACGTCGCGCCGAACTCTTCGTCGAGGAAGGTGTCGGACACGATTCGCGCGACCTTGGGTTTCTGCTCCTGCCAGATTCCGTCCTCGCGCAGCATGATCTCGAGGAGATGACTCATGCCGTCGGCTTCCATGAACCGCGTTTTGATCTTCGGGCTCTTGAGCAGGGGCTCCAGCGGGATGAGAGCCAGTCGCGTGCGGTACAAGTCCTCGCCCTCATTAGCGCTGCCTGGGGTGCTAAGGGGGGCTAGGTTGTTGAAGAAGGAAGTAGCTAGGGACAGAGTGGTAGTAGAGGCGGAAACGCATTGTTTATTCGTGACGACGTCCCATGATTTCTCCACGGCTTGCAGAGCAGGCTTATTATTCCGGATCGAAGACGCGAGGATCTGCGCGGAAAGGAAGTCGGGACGAGTCCCTACGGGTTTGTCTGGATGTGAGGTAGCCACGTTAGTAGCGAGACAGAACAAGCCGTGCAGAACGTCGGCGTCCTCGGCGATCTGCAGCCCGTAGTACATATCGTAAGACAAGTCCAACAGGTCATCGAGAGCTCCGTCAAGCTCATCAGATTGGCCGGAGTAGTCGCCGGCGTCGGAATACTTCTTAGCGTACTTCTTGACAATTCCTAATGTTTGGGCGAACCCCTCGTTTTTCTCCTTCGGCGCCTTGACTATGCCTATGGGGTCGTAGGCCGGCGCGCCGGAGGGGATGCGGGGCTTGTCATCTTCGACTTGCTCGGGGTCTACGATGACGATGGACCGGTCTACCGGTAAGCCTTTGAGAGCCGGGTTCTCCTCCTTGGGATCGTAGAGTTTGGCTTGCTTCTTCCCCGTCTGGACGTCCAGCTGCACGTGCAAGCCCGGCGGAAGATCCTGGTCATCGTGAACGACTTGGAATTCCTTTGTGGCGGAAAAGAGCTTGGGGTAACAGTCCGCGGGGTTGTCTGTGTGACAGATGAGATCGGATTCCGCCGAGGGAGACTCGGACGGGGGAGGGGATGAGGCAGATACAAAGGAGAGAGTAGATGAGACGATGAAAAATGAAATAGCAATCTTTTTTAGATTGCGTATATATGAAGACCCCATATTGTTATGTAGTAGTTATATAAACTCATAGAAGTATAAGTTAGATGACTTCTAAATAGTTAAATTACTGGGCAAGATATATTATTATAAGTCTGTCTTTGCAAGTGAGTGATGTGGCAATGTCTTTTTAGGACAGTTTGCAAATAGCCAAGCTGGACACAAGACTCGAAAAGACGCTTAACTTATGGGAATTATGACCAGGTAAGAAATAAAAAGAAACAAATAGAAAATTATTTCATTCCTAGGTCATCCATTCATTCATTTCCTCATAAACCAAATCTTGACTTATCAACATTTGAAGGTTGGCAACGACAACCAAATGGATAAATTCATCAGATAAAATGATAAATTGTGGTGGTACAGTTAGGCGTACATAATACACGGATACAGTGTTAAAATAACGTAAAAATAGAATATTCACACATTGAAGCTTACCCATTAAACGCATGTGATTGGCGGGATCAATCCCCACCATATGCCTCAATTCCAACATCTCAAGCTTCATTAAGCTCTCAATAGCCGGACTATATCATCTGAGAAGCCAATTGGCATCCCGCGACCACACATAACCAAAGATGCATGCCCTCCGAACGAGAGCGGCTTGCGTAGCCAGGCGAACACGGCCGACATCTCTACGAATATCGCGCTCCTACGCCTCCGACGGCCATAAGGAACCCGGCCACGAAGATCACGGCCATAAAGAATCTAGCCATGACGACCACGGCCACGATAGCCACGGACATGACAGTCACGGGCACGACCACCACCACGCCCCCGAAGTACCCGAAGGACTAGGCGTACGTATACCTCTTACAGAAATCATTACCGGGACACCGAGAGCTAACCATGAGAGCACAGTCCGGCTTCTACGTCTTCGCCGCAGCGGCGCCCTTGAGTTTCCTCGGATACCAGCTAACGCGGCCGGGCGCCAACGGCGAGCCCTCGACCGTGACGTCCTGGATGCGGAACTTCGACTACTTCAACGACTACGAGGAGCGCAACGCCCTGCGCAGCAACTACATCGACCAGGCCTCCCACGACAAGCACCTGTTCCTGTACTCCGGCAGGAACCCGCACGTCGAGCTGAAGATGCCAGAGTATGTTTCTCTACCACTCTTCCATTTCACCACCTCTCCCACGTTGCTATATTCAAAGAACAGAAACGGGTGATGCTACCGCAAACTCCGAACCATCCACACCCTAGCGCAAAGTGCACATTATAGATACACAAAACCCACTAACCGCCCCCTCCAACAGACTAATCGACTCCGGCTCCCCGTGGAATGTACCCGCAGGCTTCTACCCCAACCTGAGCCACCTAACCGAGCACTACCGAAAGCAAGCGGCCGACGAAGAGGAGCGGAAGTACAAGAAGTTCCAAGAGATAGCAGCGAAAGCCGCAGCAGCAGCAGAAGAAGAGCAGAAGAAGGAAGCCGCGGCGTGAGGAGTGAAGATGTACACCGATATATCTATAAATACCTACATACTACTATCCTTGTGCAATGGACAGACGGACGTACATAGCATATTAGAGATGAAGAATCCAACGTGCGGGTTCCTACCTAGGGAATAGGCGGCCGCTTTTTGTTTTGTTATACTGGGCTGTTCCTGAGTGTGTTCGCAAGCGGGTGACATGTTGCCTTGTATTCCCCGGTCTGGTTTGGAGATAGCTTATCAAAACAGGTCCTAGTAGCAAGTGTAGTGGTCTATAAGACCTGTGACATATGGATATCTTTGCCAGAGTATCATATCCGCGATTATCATCTTTTAGGTACTCATCATTCCGGCTATAGATAGGTCAAAGCAACATCCAAATATCCAAATATCCAGGTAGGTAAGTATTGAGTAACATTTGTAGTAGATTAAATGTCTCGAAATTAGTATCATAGGGGAGGATCCAGATGTATATCCCCTTTGACAATGTTGAACTTCAGGATAGCAGCATAGTAGGGCTAGAGCTGATAGACGTCACCCATTCATCATGGATAAAATCATACATTGCATATTGTAATAGCGAAGTTGAACAATAGTTAACATGGCGATCTTCCCATTTCTAGACTTGATATGGATGTCGGAGAATCATGAATATATAGAATAATTGACCAGCAAGGGTAGCATCGATACATCAAGTTTCAATGTAGTTATTACTAGGATCCAGTCATTTAAACATGTCAGGAGTTCGAAGTCGTTCAAGTCACGGTAGATTCCCTGTCTGGTTTGTTATGCGCAAAATGATTTCATTCATTATCATGCAGCGCATCCATATCGGTTGATGGTCATTGCCTATCTACCGAAAAGAACCATTCCGTTCGCCCAATCCGTGAATGCAAGTAATACCCTCCATTTTCCACACATTTACTTGAGAGGGATGAAACGAGAAGAGTGAGTGGCACCGATACCGGGTCTACCGTGCTTGACAGGCTTGCTATAGAGTGTGTTAGTCACCTATCCAACTATCTTAAAATGCGCATGCGCCAGAAGAAGCGGAACGTACTATGAGATGGAGAATTCTCCTAGGTAGTGGCCAACCATCTCGGGTCGGACTTCGACCTGGTTGAACTCCTTTCCGGAGTAGATGCCGATAACGCTGCCAATCATCTCGGGGACAACGATCATGTCTCGCAGGTGCGTCTTGACGAGGTCGGGCTTCTCGTTGGGCTTAGCCTCTTGCTTGGCCTTGCGAAGCTTCTTGATCAAGCCCATAGGCTTGCGCTTAAGACCTCTGTTGATCCGGCGGCGGGCACGGGAGTGGACGACATCGCGAAGTTGCTCGGAAGAGAGGTCGAGAAGGCTGTTGGTGATATCATGTTAGTCTCAGTATTAATCAAATATTCAATATAATATATTTATGTTGATATTCCAGCGTCGAGATTTATTTTGGATAGCGAGATGATTGCGCCTTGGAATAGTGAAATGATTTCGGGTTAAACGTACGCGTCAAGGTCGATTCCTCGGTAGGAAAACTTGCGGAACTGACGGCGCTTCTTGAGCTCAGCGGCCTCCTCAGCGTTCTGCACTTCAAGTTAGTTGTCGCATTCCCATTAATTCATCCTAATTCTGCATCGCCGCAGCAGGTCTGCAATAAGAATTATCACGTACGTAATCGGGATCGTCAGCCATGATTTCGGTTTGTTGATGCTCAAGAAGTTTCGCTGATCGGTGCGGGTTGTCGTTGTCGAAGAGCGAATGTTCAAGATTGAGATGGGGGGTTGATGATTTTCTTGAGATGGTCAATTTGTTAGAGGGTTTCGCTTAGTTTACCTCCACACGCTTCGAAGGAATCCAGTAAATTTTTTGTGTGAGGGTTGTGGCCCCAAATCACGCACGGACCAGATTGAGTAGTGTCCACTAAATGGAAAGTGGCTAGAAAAAGTGGCTGATCATTGGCTCCACTCCATCATTTTGTTTAAAGTTCAAAGTTCCACTCTGATTCCATAAGCAGGAGACAGTGCGAATCAGGAGGCTTCCAAGTTGCCTTTTCATCAATGCCGTAGATACAGTTTACCTTTTCCTGTCAAACCTAGATCTATTTTTACTATCGGCAAAGTCACGTAAGCGCCGAGTAAAACCATGGGATAATTAAATCAATCAGTTAATGTCATTAATTTAGCGATGGCTCTGCCTTTTGTGCCCTGCCTCGAGGCATCTATCTGCGTTTGTATATAGTACACGGACTTGCGAGTGATAGTACGGAAGTAAAGTACTAGGTTCCATCCGGCTCCAAGTCCGAAAACCCATAGGGATATCACTGGAATCAAAACGAAAGACCTCAAGGGAACTCGTCAATAGACGCAAAACAATACCCCAGCTTTTTGTAGGCAACTTGAAAACTCCCCAAACGCCACCCATATCAGGATGAGCCTCCTTCCGTCGTAGTGGATGATGCCAACAACCGATAAGAATCAGATCCGCAACATCAGGTTCCTCATATGCGCCATGCATACATAATAAGTCCTTCGCCAATTCATGCTTTCCTAATCGTAATGACATGGTTCTTGTTTCCTCGTGTAAATTTCAGGGCACCATCTCAGCCGAGCTTATCGGCTACGTCCGTCTTCACTTCGGCTTGGCTTTGAAGGGTTGCCACCTCGTTGGTAAGATACGTAATCTTTTCCTCCTGAGACCTCCCCGCTGCTTCCATAGTTTGGACTCGTTCGTTCAGCTGCCTGACTTGCTCTTCGAGGCCGTGAATGTAGGCCCAAATGCCTTGGTCGGTTGCAAATATGTTATTGCTTGAGCTATCGCCACTTCCACCATTTTGTTCACCTGGCGCACTCGGGTGGTCGACTGCGGGACCAGGGGTTGCCGCTTGACCTGAGCTCCCGGGCACAGGTTGCGATGCGGGGGCAGCGCTTTGCAGACCGCTAGCAGAAGCGGCGTATCGAACAGCATCGGCTGCAACAAATCCGGGTACTTCGCGCATCATCTCAGTATAAATGTGTGGAGTAGGAGATTGTGAACTGTACGAACCTGGGGGTGTGTGTCGATCTGATTGGTGACGGCCGAAGTGTTGCTGTTGAAACTGAGCTGTCAGGCTGGGCGAGCGTTGTCTGTTAATGTTGGCAGAATCATGACTCTGTATGCCAGACGGGCTGAGTGGCTTGGGGCTCTCAGTCATGGCGTTTTGGGCGTACATGGCTGGATTGCCAGTTCCCACAGGAAGGGACGAAATACTCGTACCGGGGGTCTGGGAAGCATTTGAGCTCCCAGAGCCACGATCCATGTTAGGTGGGTACAGTCGACCTGCAGTGGATCCTGAGGGTTCACGCGTTAAAAATGCGGAGAGATGAATCTTGAGTAGTGCTTCGTTACCTTGGACATGTTGGGCCTTTATGCTGGGTAAACTTAGACGTCGCCTATCCTCTTCTGTTAATTCGCCATCGTTACCGCCGTCGTAAATAACACCAGACATTGCAGAATCATCGCCATCAAGATGGCTTGATCCTTCAACTTCTTCCTCGCCAAGGAAGCTTCCTAAGCTACTTCGCCGACCTACACAACCGCCAGGACCCTTACTATGTCGCGCCAAAGCATCGCCACGCGCAAACTTTCGATCGCACTTCGGGCACACGTGAGGTTTCTCTCCGGTATGAAGCTTAGTGTGGCGTTTAAGATCGTGTAGACGGCGGAAACGCATCGAGCACGTCTGGCAAACGTATGGTTTCTCTTGACTATGAGTCAGAAGATGACTCTTCAGATTGTGGTGGCGGGTGAATTCGGTTTCGCAGTACGGACACTTGTGTTTCTTCGAGTTCGGTGAACGTGGCGATTGTTGGTTGCCAGTCATTGGCATACTCATACCCCGAATTGGAGGGGCCGGCATGTTGGCATTTGGTGGCAGTATACCAGGATATGATAATGAGGCGACGCCCTTATCCTCCATTGGAGCCGACGGTTGGGCTCCAAAGCCGGACCGATCGCTACGTCCATCAATCTCCATGGGTCCTGGACTCGTTGTCACTTGAGCACCAGGCCCGCCCCCCAGGCTGCCTAAACTAGTCGCACTCTGGGGGCTTACGTTTTCGGGCTTGTGTTCCGGATCTTGGTTGTCGGGAAGAGGAATGGAGACGGGATGAGGAGCAGGTGGTGTACCATCTTCCTGGGGAGCATCTTGCGAAAGGTCGTGAGGAATTTCCTGAGCAACTTCTTCGGAAATAGCCTGAGGAACATCCTGTTGCGCATCTATAGGCGCGTCTTGAGGAGTCTCCTGAGGAGCTTCCTGAGGTCGACTCATGGACAACAGCGCAGATTGAGCCTTGAAAGCAGGGTTGTCACTGGCACCAGAAACTTCAAGTCTGTAGTGTTCTTCTTCTATTCGCCGCTCGTCTTCAATGGCCGCAGCACCAGTCATGGGTGTAGGAGAGAATCTCGATGTCGCGCCGATCAACCTAGCTGCTTTCGATGGTGATAATTCTCGATGGAGTGCAGCTGTGAGGGCTGACGACGGCGAGAGTGGTGAGGATTCCCGTTGCCTCTTCAGCGACTGCGTCGCGCGGGCGGCCTCAGCCGTCAAAGTCTCAACGGAAACGGGATCGGATGGGATGGTTGGTTGAGATGCAGCCGAGGAGAAGGGCGGGGCTTCCGTCGCGACGGGACCTTTCTCGGACGCCATGGGTTTAGACAGCGACGACGAAGGACGCGATTGAAGTTCCTACAGGAAATTAATCGAAATGGACTTGAAAGAGACGCAAATTGTGCCTGGGCGCATTAACGACGCATTGTTGAACTTGATGATAACAAGGCTAGATGGTGTGGCTGAAGTACGTGGCTGCTGCAATGAAATTGATGGTGTTGTTGATGATCGCGCCCTGCCGCGTCCAGATGCTGATCTTTTGGTGTGAATTTGGGAATTTTTCCTTAGTTGCAATTATAAAAGTTGTGTCGGATAAAAGATTAGATTGTCTCGCTTGCCTTCATAGAAAAGGAACGGATTTTCAAACAGCAATTGCCTCGATTGTGCTGGTAAGAAAGTCGACAAGGTCAACAGTGTAAGTGCACGACTGAGCCGCAAAGACGAGATGGTAGGTTGTGGATGAGCAGGAAAAAAAGGTGCTTGGGGGACGTCAAGTGTGGTGGTGCAGGTCCAGGTGGCAGTGGGAAGGGGAAGGAAAAAGAGGCGGAGGCGGCGGCAAGTTCCAGTTAATTGGGCTGGTTGTGTCGGAATTATTTTGGTTCGGTTCCAAAGCCCCACAGGCACCTGCCACACTGTGGGTACTTGTCTAATAAGTACCTATCTGCAATGACGCATCAGGTAGGCGTACATCAACCTGCACTTTACAGTATATTTAGGTACCCCATCGGTGAAGGTAGATAGACAGTGTACATTTATTCATTGTATCTATGTACTCAACATTCATACTATATTCTAAGCAGGCACAATTAGTAAGCTTCATATCCAGGAAGCCTAAGTGAAGTAAAGTTTGAGTTGAACATTGAAGCTGAAAGCTTAGAATATACATTTCAATATTACTACCCATCTACCTACTTGAATAAAGTCAAATATCCCACGTATCAAATACATATGTCCAGATATCTCAAAGCTTCGGATAGGTACCTCAGGCTGCTCAGGTTACGTGCAAGGATTAACGCAGCTGGAAATGTAACCTGTGGATGTGGCGGTACCTATCATCATCGAAAAGGCTCAAACTGCTAGCTGCCCAGAGTCGTTTGTGGCCGGTTTAACAATGTGTAATACGCCTTGCTAGGTAACAAGCAGATAAATTCTTTGTTTAACACTTAAGGTGACAAGTAATTTTAAATCGTGAAACTTAAGGACAATTGATCTAGGTAGGTAGGTATGTAACTGTACTGTACCAGTTGTAAGTGATGATTATTGTGGCTTGGGTAGGTATCTTTGTATAATACTGTAGGTTGGCAGGCAGGTAAGCAGGCTAGTAAAAAGTGGAACTTGGAACAAACAGATATCTGAATCTCTGGAATCTGGACAGACGAATTCGAAGGGAAACTAAGACGATTGAACAATAAACACGGACCTGTTACTTCCACCATAACTATGATCCATTGGGTTTCAGCCAATGACGTTCTTGATCCAGATTAGATCATACAACCGGCGCTTGCAGTTAATACAATAGAGTATCATGGTCGCCCATGCCATTTACGATCGATAGGATGTCATTTGTCATTTGCTATTTGCTATTTGGTAGTGCATATGTACCTCTGCCTCTGTACATATTTGCTTTTTCATGGGTCCACACCAGCTGTTTTTTTTTAAGTCTGCCGTCTTCCAAGCCACGACCCACCGAAATTATCTCCATTTACATATTGACATTAATATTCCCTGATCTGATAATTCGGACATCCGACAACTTCACTTCGTCATTATTGTACATTCCCATGTACCTCCTAGTTATGGACATGATTAAGCTTAATATAGACATTATTATCAAGGCGTAAGCTCAAGAATCTCAACCTAACATCAAAATAAAAAAAAAATGAAAAGGTTACAAAGTCGTAGCTCGGTAAGCTAGGCACAGATGATGCCAGGTAAGTACGCTGTTGGTGTCGCGCCAGCAAGTGAATCCTCGTCATTACATGCAAGTTATGTCTCTTCTGCTACCCTCCTACCTATAACATCCAGATTTAATAGTCCTATTACACGCTTCGCCGACCAAGATTGCAACCCCACAGACGCCAAGTTTCTCCTCCATCGCCAAAACCGGCCAAATGCTCCACTAGTCTCTTCCAAATCGGGACTCTCACGGCTCATCAATGTTCATCGATGCCCGTGATAATGGCTGCCAGCCACCTATTTAGGCCGCTATGAACTTCAAACCTCTCTCGCAGGATATGAGCCAGAGTTGATCACGTTACGGAGACATACCGGAATGGCAAGCCAAAGCGTGGTGCCCCTCCATAGGAGGCACCTGGTAGCACTTGGTGGCATAATAGTCATGAATCATATCAGCCTTGCTCGGTTAGCAAGGAGGTATGTAGCCTGGGGGGTTCCAGCGCCACGCGGTCTATTCAGGGAATTTACTGCTGAGCCTCAACATCTGGCCTTGCTGAGCATGTACATAATTAACTGCTGACAGATATCGATATGCGAGCTGACCTCTCGTGCTTACCTATGTGCTTACGTACCTAGGCAACAACGTGGGTGAATTTGATGAATTATTGTATGAGCCGTTGAAACATTTCCGCACTTCCGCGACGTCGGTTATCGTCAGACCCTAGCTCGTATCGCATATATACGCGGCATCAAGATGTCCTAAGATAGATCAAATATAAGGTATTGATTCGCAATTCACTTCATCAGCCTCACTAGTTGGTTTATTTTAAGGGTTTCTACAAGTTTTGGTTTCATAAGCCATATATTCCGAAAGGATACCGTATGTTTATTGGAGGTTATTGCACCTGGCATCCGATATTCCGCCGCCAGCTCTTCAATATGACCGTCTTGGTAGATATCAGACTCCTCATACCCGAGATTCGAGGTCTACTCAACTACCTGACCTACTGGAACCTCATACCTACCGGACGAGTAAATAATTTATGTTGGGCAGCTACTTTAATTGAAATCTCTACAGTCGCCAGACCAATCAACAAGTCATTATATTTCACCTCATAAATAACAGGGTGCTATCCGAGATATACTTCCGTTGCATTCACCTCTATTCCCTCCTTAGTCGAGCGTAATCATTCGTCAAGTAGGGACAATGATAATCCCCTCTATAAGCCATGTCCGATTTCGGTCGGATGATTCGAACGAGTCTCCGATCAATCTCGGCCGAGATACTCTAATTATACAGGTTCGGATGTGCGACCTTCGGCTCACAACATCTATAGCAACGTGTGAAAGTTCGTCATGGCGGCTATTGCGGTTGGTGTATCTACAATCTGTCATATGATAACATAGACGTACGTACCAGGTAAGTAGTATCCCTAGCTCTAGAGTTACTAAGGGTCGTATCTTTAGGGGGGCGAAAGCTTTAGGTACTCTTCACATTGCATTTGACTTCGTCTCTTCACAGTTCACGTTCCTTTAAGGCGATCAACCCAGACAATGATAGACCATGCCGCCCTCCCCAGAGATAGTTATCGTAGCACTCCTTAGTAAAAGCCAAATGCGAGTATTATCCACAAGGGTTAAAGGTGACATACCGGCTTTGGTCTTGTGACATCTCGTTATGCAAGCTTGAGAGGTCTATATATCTGGATAGGTATGTTATAATGATAGGTGTGCTAGTATGTAATACTACCTCTTCATGTTACCAGGTAGCTTTCCTTGAGAAACCGGAATTGTATGACCAGTGTATACCAACATCTCCTTTGATGCCGTAAGAGTTGACCCATACCCGCATATACGATTGTACAGCTTATAAATATATAGGTAGCATATATAGAATAAGAGTTTACCTATGCCATGTAAAACAAACCTGAAGCTTAAGAAAACACGACTAGATATATTACGGCGTGTTTCCATATAGGTAGGGAGATACGGAGGGAAATAAGGATGATGTTCTACGAGGGACCACCTTGGTATATAACCCGTATACACATGTTAAGTTCCTTCATTCGCACGTGTTTCCGATGAGCTGCAGACAAGTCAATGCTTCTAGACAAGTAGGGCTTTCAACACTGCGACCTCTAATTTGGTACATCAAATCTCTGGCGAGAGAACCAACAACACACCATCAAACTCCAGGACGACATGCCCTAGTATTACTAAAACTAGGTATATACTCATATATACATACATCCTATAGCGATATCTAACAAGTTGGTGCTTATAGCTTCAATTTGGTATTATCAACTCAACTCTAAAGCATCAGTTGATGGTGTGACTTCAAAGGATAAGATACACATCAGCTAGATTCGATCCCTTAGTGTGCATTTGGCTAGGTACTCTGGACACTTCATGCTGGCAAATCTCTGGGTAAGATTGATAGATCTTGGATGATTTGATATGATGTGAAGCGTCTTCGTGTATGAGACTCCAAGTTGATGATCTCACGAAATATATGTCCTTTCAATGGACAGATAGGACCTACCTGGGCAATTCGAAAGGGCTTCGAGATATCAAGTACCTATAAACCTCTCTACGCTCGGGTTCAGTACCAGTAGGCGGTATAGAGGAACCCTCTTCATCCGCTTTTCACTACCCTCTCTTGATGGTAATCCGACTGGATCCCCGATCGTTCGTTATCAACCGAATTACTTTATTCAAACTATGCAACACTCTCATGTTCCCATAAAAGTTCATGTAAGTCTCATGTAAGGAATAGAAAATTCTCCAAATATAGAGCAAGTTCTATGATCATGCCTAATGTATATCCAGAAGCTCCCACATACTCTACCCAAGGTATGTAACTCAGCCCTGATTGCTGATGATGTATCAAGCTCGCTACATAATTAATGAGGAATAGACAGTTAGATTATGCATATTGCAAAGTGAGTTATCGCGCGGCTCGCCACATATGCGGTGTCTCTTCTTGCTTGGTGAACCCCTGGGACGACATTAAAAGCCCATCTAAAATCTAAGCCATACTCGTGGACATCCAAGACATGTGTACGAACGGTTGGAGGAGCACGCTAACGTCGTCTCGAAAATAGTATGGGGTATCTATTCGTTAGACTTCAGCCCTTGCCGTTCTGCCGCGTCATGGTGCGGTAGTTAAATTATGTCGCCCTCGACGGCGTCGTGGACGGCTTCTCTGGAAATAGACAAGAATATACCTGTGGTAAGTAGTTATTCCCCTTCGGTAACCCGAGGAGAAGAGGAGGTATGAAGGGGCATGAAGTGTAGTCCGCAAATATTAAGAGGTAGATGAAGGCAATGGACCCCCGACGGATTCCCGCAGGAGCACGCGAGGGTCTGACGACTTGAAATATAATCTATTGTGGCACGTTTGATAGCGAAATATTCAACGTCTGAATAAATTAGTGGCTACCTACTGGCTGCGTAATATAAAACGTCACTGTAATTATTAATGTTGACTAGGCCGGCCTATTAGCTTAGGACCGTACCTGGGCAGGTAGGAATTAAGTGACTACCTAGTACCTAGCTTTCGATTGAGGCTACTGTACGATTTTGAATACCCTATGTATTGATTGGGTGATATCTTGAATTACCCAAGATGTGAGGTTTTGATACACTCGTCGATATTTCCTAGCCGATACGATAAAACATTGTTGTTTTTGAAAGGGTTGAACAGTCTCATAAATTCGCCTACAGTATCTCGCATACGAATCTAGAACACACTCATACATCTCATCTATATCATTTGCCTGGCTAGGGTCAATTGGATTAAGTCTGTATTGTCTCTTCAGCAGTTCCTGAGGTAGACATACATTCTTCTAAACTGAATTGTGTCTAACCATAGTTGCTCATACTTCCAAAGCTGACGATGTTGGGTATATTTACCAATTGTAAAACGACGTAGTATTCGCATTAGAATAAATGTATAGAATCAATACCGCAGGCACATCTTACTGTCTAACAAGTGCCATTTAGAGGACCCAACGTTTTGGCTTCTGGGTTGGTGATCGGCATAATGCAAGGGGCATACTATGAGCTGGCGGGCTTATCCAAGCAAGGCGAGCGAGCCCAAGAAGCCGATGACATTAAATACGCATAGTTCTTAATTCAACCAACTGGATTTGAATTGCGCAACGTACGATGAAGCGAAAAACGTGCGATGTAAGACGAGAAATATATGAAGTCGTGATAACCGTTGTTGTGTTAGCTATGGAAGCGTCCTATTGGTCAGCAACTTTTGGCACGTTCAATGAAGCATAGGAAGGTAGACATCTATGGTAGATACCAGCGATGGCGGTCCAGTGGAATAGCGACGATTGCCAGCGCTCATCTGAGGGGGGCAGATGGAGTGTAGTTGCTGATCATTTTGATTTACAAAGTGTCAAATTGTCAATCCCCCATACATAGGGCTTTAGAGGCTGAGAGGGGAATCGAAGAATATCGGAAGAACGATGCAATGGATGACGGGATCAAGAGGGTCATGGCTTGGAATGAAGATCAGCTAGCTAATCGATCTTTGTAGAAAGCTTGTAGGGAGCCAAATCAAGAAAGGAGTTGCAAAGGAGGTGCTGGCAGAGAGATTCCGACCAGTCAGGAGACAGATGTCCCTGACTGACAATCCCGAAATTGCTGCAATTAAAGCCAGGGGACAGACGCGCAACCCATCCACTCCTGCCACTTGTGGTATGTACTAAAAAGATCTCCATCGAGATATTAGCTTGTGTTTTTCCCTCTCTATTATTAGCCCAAATTATGAGTTGATGCGTAAAAGTCGTCGGTATTTTTCTTTTACCACATTCTGTTTTGTTTCTGCTGGATGGTAGATGCATATCAATTAGTGAAGCTATCCGAACTGCTGGGGTAATAGATCTTTTTTAGAATTACGAGCAAACTTCTAAAAGTAATATGAAACTCGCAAACTCGTTGTTGACCGGAGTGTGATAAATGTGAATAGGCCACAGAGAGTCCGAGAGTAGGTAATCTTGGAGATGCAACATTAACCGGTCGCGAAGAAGGGAAATGTCGGAGGAGGGGGTGGGAGAGAGGTACATACCTAGGCAGCTAGGTAGGTATATGACTAACGGCGACGGAGACGAGGAATGCCAATCGTCTAATAAGATCGCGATGCCGTTCAAGTTTACCTGCTCAGCTGCTGTACAACATCAAGGTACATACAACATAAGAAAAGTTCTCCATCAGAGCGCTCGTATTTCTTGTAGTAAATGATGAGAGCATCTATTTTTGTTAAGACAGAAATGTCGGCTAGATATTGACCACGACGCCACAGAAGCAACTTTTTTCTAGCAACTTCCAACTTTCAACTTCTGCTTTGTTGGCAGTGGATTGACCGTGGGTTGACCGTGGATTGGCAGATTGGTTCTATCATATCATGTATCTTGGTTGCTAGGTCATAGAAAAATCATGGAAAAGACAAAAATGGCAAGGGTTCGATTGTGGCCGTGTACTGATAAATTTGCCCTAAACTGTGAAGCTTATCCATAGGTACCTATATCCATCCCTGTCTTCTCCTTGTTGGCGTGCCTGCCACTTACTACGCTAAATTCTGGGTAATTTCAACAGGAATCAAAATAGTGCATCGTACCTTGCAGTAGTGGGCAGCATCGGTCGAGCACTGGCCACTCACTAGCATCGGTTGGAATCGTTACACCGCCAACCCTGCCTGTTAGGGTTAGTTCCTTCTTCCAATTGGACGCATCTCGGACTTCCCAGAGGAAAGGGCTAGGTAGGACCCGCCGTGGCAGACCCGTAGACCCTCGTGTGTTTTCAGGTACAGCAGGTACCAGACCTAGGTACAATCGCCCGTTCAGAAGAAACCCTGGTTCTTCCCCCTAAACTTACTACCACCCTGCAAACAATTAATTCCCACCGACTTCCCTCCTTCTCAACTTTCGGACGCTCATTGTCTCCTTTCAATTCGCGCCGTCTCCTCCAACTGAGAGTCATTCTGCTCTCTACCACATTCCTTTGGAACTGCGAACACACTCGTTTACGTTACGCATCTAACGAATCAAAATAAACAATCAAATATTCACCATTCCTTCTCTCTTCGACATCTATCACGATAGTCCATCGAAGTCACCTGGAATTAAAGGATATCAAAGCACGACATCAGTTACTCGATCGGTAAGTGCCCATGCGTGCGTACATGTAGATTGGGATCGCAACGATCGTAACTTTATAACTGCAAGGCACATCTACCGCACATTGCATTGCCCGCTGCTTTATGTCACGCCGCTTCGCCCTTCACACGCATAGAACCATTGCGCTCGCCTTCACTTCCCTCCCTGCAACCAGCCTTCTCTAACTCTAACACTTATTATCCCTTGCCTTGATACCAAATCCTCACCCACAATTGTCCTAATTGTGGACGCCGTTTCTTTAATCGTCAGACTAACAATGATTCTATACAGAACTACGACTCTAGGTCACGATTGCCAAATCTGATATCGCCGATTAGTAATTTCGAATTCAACAATCGCATCCGAACAAAATGAAGGCTACCGTTCTGAACATGGCCATTGCGGCCTCCCTCGCCGCTGGCGCTAACGCTCAGCCTCACCACCACGGTCATCACCATCATAAGAAGAATGTTGACAAGCGCGATGTTGAGACCACCTACGTTCCTGCTACCGTTACTCAGTACATGTTGGGCAGTGATGAAGTGAGCGCCGATGAAGCTAAGGCTGGTCTGGATAAGGGTCTCTACATCGTCGTTGGCGAGACTACCCCTACCTTCACACCCCCTCCCAAGCCCGTGGTTACCAGCTCCTCCTCCAAGGAAGATGCTGTCTTCATCCAGAAGGTCACTTCTACTTCCTCCTCATCTTCCGCTTACCCTACTACTACCAGCAGCACCACTTCGTCCGCCGCTGCCTCGTCCTCCAGCGCCAGCTCAGGTTACAGCACTGGCGCAACTGGTGTTGACGCCGAATTCCCAAGCGGCAAAGTCAAGTGCACCGACTTCCCTGAGGCCTACGGCGCCGTTCCTCTGAATTACCTTGGTCTTGGAGGTTGGACCGGTCTTCAGTTCACCCCTGACTACAAGATCGGCGATCTCTCGATCAGCTATATCATCAACGGTGTGAAGGGCATGGCCCAGCAGGCCGGCTTTTACTCCTACGCCTGCCCTGATGGATATGTCAAGACCCAGTGGCCTGAGGCTCAGGGAAGCACCAAGCAATCCGTTGGTGGTCTTCAGTGCAACTCAGACGGCTACCTCGAGCTCAGCCGCCCTACTTCCAAGACTCTTTGTGAGCCCGGTGTTGCTGGTATTACCATCAAGAACGATATGGCCAAGAACGTCGCCATCTGCCGTACTGACTACCCTGGTATCGAGGCTATGGTTATCCCCGTCGACTCTCAGCCTGGTACTACCCGTAACCTAGCTAACGTCGAATCCGCCGGTTACTACCACTGGACTGGACTGTCTACCACCCTCCAGTACTATGTCAACCAGCCTGGTGTCTCGACTGAGGACGGATGTGTCTGGGACTGTGCTAGCAACCACGATGAGTGCGGTAACTGGGCTCCTACCATTCTCGGCGTTGGCAAGGCTGCGGATGGAAACACTTACATCTCTCTCTTCCCCAACACGCCTACTAGCAGCGCCAAGCCAAGGATGAACATCAACATCACTGGTGACGTCAGCATACCATGCTACTTCCAAGATGGCGCGTACGCCGTTGGCAACAGTGGCTGCACCGTAAGTTGATACTCTATAATATGTGTTTTATGTACTTGACTAACTTTGCATAGACAACTATCCCGTCCGGTGGAAAGGCCGTCATCCACTTCACCTCGGCTTAAATAATGAAGTTCGTAGTTATTTTCGGTCATGCTGGGGTTATGGGTTTCTATATTGCTTTCTAATGGATACCTCTTGCCATCTTTCGCCTCAGTACGACGGGGTGTCAGAGGCGTGCTTGTCATGTGATTGAGCATGGCAATCTAATTTTTATTGTGTATATTTCTGGCTTTGCGGTTGGGAGATGGCAGGCATTGCTCAACACTGGTGGATGGATGTTGCGCGGGGACTTGGTACAACGAGACGTTTCGCAACATTTAGGGGTGGCTGTTCAGGATGGATTAGTCCCGTCGTCTGTATCTGCTTGTGTGGGCCCTACACGAAGCCGTCGACCGTAGCCTTCTTCGGTAGGGTTTACAGAGCAAGGGGGGATCGACCTTTCCTAAGCCGTGGGTTGGTGGATAGGAGTCCCGGCGGACGAGTTGGAAGTGAGACGGGGCGAGGAGGATCTCGGGAGTACACGTCACGAGCACTGACTCGGCGGAATATGGCTCTTTGCAGAGAACCAAAATCGCTCAATAAAATCGTTGATTTCTATTTGTTACAATAATTTTCCGAAGTGTACTTGTACTTTCCTTTTAATGTCGACTATTGCGATTTGTCAACCCATGACCCTGAACGTGTAACGGAGCTCTAGTGATAGTTTATCGACACTCGGTTTTATATGATAAGAGATTATATATTTCAAGAGGTAACCACCTACGCATATCCGACCAAGCTTGATCCCCTTATTACTACAATATTTAATCGATGTTGGAATAAACGAGGATATGAGACGATCAAAGCTTGGGAAGTGGTCATCTTAAGCTTGGAAATTCATATGATTGGTTCCGCAGACGTGAGGCTCTTTACTAGTTTCCGATCGCATGAATTATACTAGGGTGAGTTTAAGCTATGATATTTTGAAGGACGGCCAATAACACGCGTGACATTAGTGTCGAACTCTCTTGACAGGATATTCCCAGAGTCGCCAAAAGCAACGTGACTGGTGACAGGTCACGGCCACTGCAAAAATTTAAGACGTTCAGTGTTTCGGCGGTTAGTTAAGGTGCTGACCACCAGTATTGGTTAACGAATCTCACTTGCATGTTCCTCCTATTTTACCCCTGTCGGTTCATGGCGTCATATAATAATACCATTGAGTAACACCGACATTTTACGGGTTGTAAATTAGGTTTAGACTTTCATAAACGTTGAATAAACCGACCCTTCACCAATTGATATGTACCTACCTAGTACTTACCGGTATGTTTTTAGCCTGTATAACAATCAATGTCTTATGTTTGTCTTTTATATAATTTCGGACTTCTCATCTTCACATTTTCGTCCGACACCACCGACGCGGCGACGTCGCTCGATGTCTATCTTTTTACATAATTCCTCCAACCATCAAATGCTGCGGCGTAGCCATAGTCGCCTTACCATTGGCGGGTGTCTTTGTCTTGGCACATACCGTCAGTTCTCATCTTCGATTCCCCACCGGGTCTTGTCTGTCCAAGTTCCGGTATTGGAGAATCGCTTTCGAGCTTACCCCACATTGTACTAGGCACTCGCATCTTCTCTCATGTAGACTAGCGGGTATCTAAGTTCGTGCTTTAGCTCAAGGTTTATCTCTTCGATGTTCAGCGTCACGTTGATAGATAGGTCACTTAGTAGTATGTTGGTGGCGGGGGATAAGTATCTCAAATTTTCCACCTTTTATCTTCCCTTTCCAGTCTCTTATCTCTCTATCTCTTGGTCTGCGAGTCATTTTCTTTTTATTTCACAGTGACGCTCTGAGAAGCTATGTCTTTGCAGCGCGTTGCGTCCCTCGAGACCTTTGTAAATGTCCCTTCGGAGGGCCACAGATCGAGGCGGGGTTCTGTTTCCTCGGTTGCGGCCTCTGAGAGGGCTCGCAAGCTTACCTTCAACCCGCTTCCAGAGTCGTGGAATCCGGTCTTTGATGATCATGAAGAGGATCAGCTAGGCCAGTCCCGCGGGGCTTTTGAAGTTCCGCAATGGAAACGTATACGTGAGTATTTACCACCGGTCGCTATCGTCCAGCTGGGAATATTGAAACTGATACTTAAGTCCGATATGTAGTCCAAGTTGTTGTTATGGTCGTGATCTGCCTTTTTGCAGCCGGAATAGTGTTTGGATATGCTGCTTTAAAACCGGTCTTGAAAAAAGAAGGTGCATATCAAGATATGTGTGATGGCGGAGATACTTGTGTGGAAATTCATCTCAATCTCATGTTCACCGTTGCGGCTGTCGCTACCAATGTTGCTGCTCTGCCCGTCGGTGCGATCTTAGATCACTATGGTCCTCGAATCTGCGGAATGACCGGTGCTATTTTTCTAAGCATTGGTGCACTCCTCATGTCGTTTGCTAGAAGCTTACCTTTTGACGCGTTCCTCCTTGGCTACCTCTTCCTTGCACTAGGCGGGCCATTTACATATATATCCGCCTTCCAACTTTCCAATGCTTTCCCCCGACACTCCGGCTTGATATTGGCACTACTTACAGGAGCATTTGATGCATCGAGCGCATTGTTTCTCGTTTACCGTATCATCTACCTAAAGACGGAGGGCTCTTTTGGACATCACAAGTTCTTCCTAGGTTACCTTGTAGTGCCGGTAGTAATTCTTATCGTCCAATTCACGATACTCCCGAAGCAGTCTTATAAGACTATGGGAGAAATGATCGAGGAATACGAGGCGCCTCCATTCGGCGATGCTTCTGCTATTTCTATAACTGTGAATGCTGACGACCAGGTGGACGAACAGACTGCACTCTTACGAGAGGAACGGAGGGAGCATCAGGAAAGCATTGCGCAGGACATCGAGGACCTACTAGGTTCCGATGAAGCAGACAAAGACAAACAAGCTCAGCGCGAGGAGGCTAAAAATGAGAAGAGTGGCGTGTGGGGCATAATGCATACAAACACGGCATTAGAACAGATCCGTTCGCCTTGGTTTATACTGATATGTCTGTTTACCGTTGTGCAGATGACCCGGATCAACTACTTCGTCGCAACCATCCGGCCGCAGTACGAAGCGATCTTTGGTTCGACGGAAAAGGCCATCGAGATCAACAATTTCTTCGACCTTGCGCTACCTTTAGGCGGCATAATCTCTATCCCATTTATAGGAGCTATCTTAGACCACACCAGCACCGTCGCCGTTCTCTCGACCCTCGTCGTAGTCGCCACGACGATCGGGGTCTTAGGTGTGCTGCCGTACACATGGGCCGCGTACGCGAACATCGTGCTGTTCGTGCTGTACCGGCCTTTCTACTACACGGCCGTCAGCGATTACAGCGCCAAGGTGTTCGGCTTCCGCACGTTTGGCACGGTCTACGGGACTATCATCTGTCTCTCCGGCTTATTCAACTTCAGCCAGAGCGCGCTGGATTACCTGTTCCACCGCACTTTCCGCGGCGACCCAGTGCCGGTGAACTTGCTTTTGCTGGCACTGGGCTTGGTTATTGGGATTTGCCTTGTAGGGTTCGTGGCTATTAAGGCGAGGAGCTTGAGTTTGAAGAGGGCTGCTGGGTTTGGTCGCGGGGAGTTTTGAGGGGGATTCTTGGATCTTGCATGGCGATTTTTTTTTTAATTTTGCTTTTGTCGGGTGATGCATAGGGGGCTTGTTACTTCGTATATCTTGGCTATGTCTTAGGCCTGGCGTTTTTTATACAGTGCCTAGGTTGGTAGGTATACTTCCTGTTTAAGATACGATTATGAAGAATAAAAGCAAAAACATAGATACCCATAACCAAGGTCTACCGGACTTAGCAGCTTAGGTGTTCAGGAAGTACCTACCTATTAAGCAGTGATATGTGGCGCACCCCCTTACTTCGGAATTTCCGAGTGGTTGTCCGGGACATATCCATCCTCGGCCCGGTGCAATCTAGACGCTACTATGGCTTCGCTTAAGCTTCTTTTGCTTCTTTTGGCGGCTTGCCGGCCTTGCTACGTTACAAGAATATTGGGAGAGCCGGGTGGTTGAATGATGCGAGCTGAAATTGGAAAGCCGAGAGCTTGAGCGGTTTCCTTGATATTTTATGGAGCCCCCCTATATATTCGCAACAGGACCTTGGCCTAGGTTCTTGGTCTTAAGCGCGAGGCTGTGTTGGCAATTATTTACGTGCTTGCCTAGGTAAGTAGGTGGGTAAGTATACACATATTGAAGGCGTATGGGTTTACTCGTTCATGTGATACACATCTTATGTAAAGTACCTAGGTAGGTAGGCAGGTAGGCAGGTAGGTAGATTCACTACTCTTGAAGGGGGAACTCTTATTCAAAAGTGACATATAGTATACATCGAATATCTGAATTCAGTAGTCCATTTTTTCAGGTACTACCGATGGGAGTACCTTGAGATCGACTCTGTAGCGCCTATCATAAGTAGAGATGGCTTCGGCTGGCTGAATCTCCTTGCATCGTGGGTCTAACGCCTTGGCTTAAAGTGCCTAGGCGGTGACTAGATATTGGCCATTAAATGGCACCTCCGGTGGAATTGGCACTAGAACTCAATCACCATTGGGTTTAGCTGCTTGGTCCAATTCCATCGGTTTGTGCACCATGATCGTTGTGACTCATAGATGGATCATCGCATTGATGCTGCCGTTATTATGATATCTGGCGAGTGACATTTTTGGTAGGTTCCATTGGGATTTGTCGGATTGGAAAATCACTCGAACAGTCGCCTAATCACCCTTCTTTCGTTGTCTCGGGTGCATTATCCGACTTAGGTTCGCCGTCGGCGTCAAACCCGAGTGCTTCGAGTTCTCTCACAAGTTCGTTTATCTTAATGACCTTGGCGATCTGTTCCGGTAAGAGAGATTCGCCGCCCTCTTTCTTGCTCTTTAAGTCTTTCGCCTGCTTCAGCTTCTTCTTTAGGTTTCGGGCCTTCTTCTCTTTCTCGACTTCAGGGTCAACGACTTCTTCTGCTGTTGCCTTAGCAGCGTTCGCATCACCGGGCGCATCGTTGTCTACTGTTGATTTCGCCTTCTTTCTGGCTTCCCGGCGCTTGGCGTTCTTGTTGCTTGCAGCTGAGGCGGCGGCCGATTCTTGTTTTTGTTCCTTTAACCCTTCTGCGCCGATAACGCCGCCTTTGCCTCGGTTGCGGAACGACTCGGCCGTGCGGTTCTTGTAGACTTCGACATCCTCCGGGGGCCTGTAGCCGGGGCGTATCTTAATCGCTTTCCGGGTAGTGCCGTCTGCTCGTACTGATTCTGGGATGTGGCGTTGGCCACTGTTCTCGTCTGTGACGATGCCCGAAGTGGATGGTTTGGCTGGTTCGGAAGACATCGGGAGGGGTAGTCGAACACAACACACAATTGAAAAAATCTTCTCTTTATAACCATATAACGTTTCGAGGAAATAACGAAACCGAATTGTAGAAATTGAGAAATGTAAAGGCGGTAGTTTACATACTACAATAGGCCCTAGGTAGAATATAATGAGTAATATCAAATTGTAGCCCTGGAGATCAGAGATGGGTAAGTTAAGGCTTGCAGTGGTGAACGAACAGCCCACCTGCCCTAACAGAAAGAAAGTGGGTCTTTCAATTAAGGAAGCTTCAACCAATCAGCAATGACCATTTTCTAAATCACCAATTCTTCGGCTAGAACATTGTAAACCTTCGAAAGCCGGAACTTACGTTTTCTATGATCTCCTTCGCGACGCCTACCATTCAACCACATCGATAACCGCCTTGCCCGACACGATCCTCGATTAATTACACTTGGTCTCCGGTCTTATAGACTCTATTAGCCATGGTATGTTGTAACTCTCTGTCTGGCAATCCATTGATGTGTCGCAACTAACTAATCGCGCAATAGGCCGCCACCCGTTCTTTCTACAAGCAAGCCGACCACTCCCATAACCATCCGACTCGTTGAACTGACCATTTCCTGCGTAGCGCCCTCTTCCGAAACAACTGGCAAATGCTGGGAGCTGTCTTTGCCTCGGCCTTCGCTTTCGAGATGTGTGTAGTGTCAGAGACTTAGCAGGATGAACAACCGGTCACTGACGGAATCACAGGGTATATGACACAAGCATGAACAAGCTCTGGGATAATCACAACAGAGGGGTATGTGTCAATTCTGAAATTATATCGAGGATGATATGGCTAATATGTTCAAAGCGACAATGGAAAGACATCCGATCCCGATATGTCGAGGAGGAATAAGGGGCAACGATCAACTCGCGACATTAGAAAGAAAGAGCAAACGACATCTTTCAGGGACAATAGGATGGCTCTAAAACTACACAATTGTACCTTATAGACTTGAACCTTGGAGCAATATTCACCACAATTCACGTAAAGCCTTATCTCTTTTCGACCCTGCTTACAGTGAACAACAATCTGTATGACTTGAGAAGTCATTATATAAACATATCCTATGCCTTAAAAATGAGCCTCTTTCATGGGACAGAGTTGCTACAGGTAAGTTAATATGAGATCGAATTAATTCTCAAGGGCATGAGCCGTCAAAGTATGATAGGCCACCGTGACAGATTCTGTAGTATTTCATACATTTCATACACACGTCACATGCATAATATACATAACATACTCTATTTAGTTATATCGTTTGTCATATCCATATATATAAATTCACTAATTGCTTGTTTATTATGAGACGTACAGTATAGAAGAGCATTTGTTAGGTAAAAAATGAAATAACATTATCAATACCTCATAGCCCCTTATAAGTATACACCGGTGTATACGGAATCTGATCACTAAACCGCGAACACCCGTTCGCAGCTGCCAATACATATGACGATTATTCCCTCCAAATCCCTGCGATTCAGTCTTATCAATTGATAAGAAACCTGTCGGTGTCGAGGTAGGAGGGGGATGCTCCTAGTCGAAGCTTCTGAATGTCGATTTATTACCATAGTAACTACCCTTTTCATAACTTTTCTTCATCATTGGGAGGCGTGTTGCAATTCTTTGTCCTTATTATATAAGACCGAACACCGAATCTTAATTTAATAAGATACACATCACCCTCATAATCACCCTCTCAACTCTACTCCTCCCTGACACACTTTCATAAACGGAACCCACTACATTCCGAGAAAGACGTTTCTTGACACTCCACATGTGCCATCGCCACCTAACCTATCCATTTCGACTCTGTCCTTCGAATTTTCTCTAGGAATTCTTCTGGGACGTACACAATCGACTCACCTAACTTATCTCCTGAAACGAAACCTGTATTCTCGAATGCCAATTATGACACTACGCCGAGTCTAACTATGGACGCCGGACTGTCTACCCAAGAGCTGCAGCTCTGTCAGCACCTGATAGAGCTGCCCAGACGTTATGGATACCGATACGATGAAGCTGCCTCTCGCGATTTATTATATAACCTTTTCTGGTCTATGGCTGGAGGTAGACCTGAGAATCTACGACTATTCTTCCCCGATGGGAAGCTTACTCCAAAGAGCACCTTGAAGCTTAGAGAAGCGCAAGGAGCGGTCGATGGAGCCGAATACACAGAAGCCGCCCGCGGCAAGGCCTGCGGCCACATATTCCGAGCTGGAGAGGCGTCGTATAGTTGCAAGACATGCAGTACTGATGACACTTGTTGCCTATGCAGCAAATGTTTCAACGCTACAGATCATGCAGGCCATATGGTAAGGATCTCCATATCTCCCGGAAATAGTGGTTGTTGTGATTGCGGGGATCCTGAGGCTTGGAAGACTCCCATGTTCTGCACTATACACAGCGAACGCGAGGATGATCGGTCGAAAGGAAAAGGTAAAGAGGTTGCTGGATTGCCCGATGAGGTCATTTCCAACATTCGCATGACCGTCTCACGAGTCATCGATTTCATTTGCGACGTTATATCGTGTGCCCCAGAACAACTCCGACAACCCAAGACGAAAGAGTCTATCGAACGGGACGAGAAGATGTCTCGCTTGTCATCTACATATTGTGGGGGTGATATTGACTCTCCTGAGGAGTATGCATTGCTACTTTGGAACGATGAGAAGCATACTGTGAAGGAAGTGCAAGATCAAGTTGCACGTGCCTGTAGCACGACTGCGGATGAAGGATATAATCGAGCTGTGGAAACCGACTCCATCGGTCGGAGTATTTTGAAGTATGATACGAGCATTGAGAGGCTCTTAGCAAATGCAACCGTCCTCGAACACATCAAGATAACTGTTACTATTCGATCATCGCGCGACACGTTCAGAGAGCAGATGTGTGGGACGATGATCGACTGGCTGAACGACATTGCGGGTTGCGTAGTAGGAAATGATCAGAACATCCTTCGATTAGTTATATGTGAAGAACTACTGAAACCCTGGCGGAAAGGGAGTCCTGGAACACATGCTATGCCCGGCAAGGACGGCCTCGAGGATGAGGAAAAGCTCGAATATGATCCATTCGAGGCACAGTCAGCCACAATATTCATCCAACGCGCAAGATTCCTCGCGGAAACTGGGAACGCGGCCACTTTAGCCGAATTTCTCGACACTGACGAGGACGACGATGATGACGATGACGATGAGGATATGGATGGTGGTAACCGCACTCCTTCTAGTGAAGAGGATAACGATGAAGACGAAGACGACGAAGAGGATGTAATGATGATAGACATGGGTCGGCCAGATGCAGGTGCCGATGTAAACGTATCCGACTGGATCGCACCAGGTGTTGCATCTCTCGAAGAGGAAGAAGCTACGATGGCAGGTTATCCACCACCTCCACCGCCTCCCCCCGTTCCGAGACGTACGACCCGAGACCGGGACCTCACGCCGTCAGACTCAGATACCGCAGAGCCATTAATCGCACCAACTGTATACGCGAAGGCGAACCTCGAGATACCTAAAACTCCTGGTTTATCAAAGGTAGACAAGGCTGCGCCACCAAAACCTGGGCGTTACTGGGTTGAAACGCCAACAGCTTACATGGAACGTGAACGTATTCATCCATTCGAGGACGTCTTCCAACGAGTCCGTTTAGACTGGCTGATACTATTTGATCTGAGAATGTGGAAGAAAGTTCGTAACGATTTACGTTCTCTATACATCTCTACGGTCGTTACCATCCCCGAGTTCAAGAGAGTCTTAGGCCTCCGATTTGCTGCCTTATACACAACATTGGCGCAGTTGTACCTTATTGGAGACCGCGAGCCGGACCATTCGATCATCAACATCTCCCTGCAGATGCTTACCACACCATCAATTACCGCCGAAGTAGTAGAAAGAGGCAACTTTCTTACGACTCTCATGGCCATCTTATATACCTTCTTAACTACTCGACAAGTTGGCCATCCTTGGGAAGTCTCATCAAGCGCGGTCCTTGGGTTTGATACAGGCTCGGTGACGAATAGACGAATGTACCATTTCTACGTCGACCTCAAATTCCTTCTCGGCTCCCCTCATGTTCAGGAACGCATGAGGACAGAAGAGAGGTATCTAATGCAATTCCTCGATTTGGTGAAACTTCATCAGGGTATCTGCCCGAATATCCGAGCCGTTGGGGAGCACGTGGAATACGAAACCGATAGTTGGATCGGCGCCTCGTTGATGACTAGGGAGATCAACAGGCTCTGCAGGCTCCTATCCGGCTCTTTCCGGGGCCTTCAGGAACATGATTCTTTGTATCTGTCTAAGGCGATTCGAATGACAGCTAAGAGTGTTATCATCAATTCGGTGGGCGCCGAGCGTGCCAGATTCACTCAGGCCGAAATTAAGGATGAAATTCGGTTCAAATCATTGAGTGACTTTGAATTCGCCGGCCAGGATACAAAATTCGAAGTAGTCAGGTTCAATGTGGGTGAGCAGTCAATCAGTTTCCACCATGCGTTACACTATACTTTGTCGTGGCTGGTCGAATGTGGGAAGCATATGTCTTCGCAACAACTCAGGTCTATCTTGAACTTCACTTCACAAGAGCTTAAGCTAAAGCCTAGATCGATGGGCCGTAAATCTATGCCTCGACGAGAGTATTCCCCAGAAGATTATCTCATGGCTGCGTTTGACTACCCTCTACGCGTATGTACTTGGCTCGCCCAGATCAAGGCAGGGATGTGGGTGCGTAACGGTATTAGTCTTAGGCACCAGGCTGGAACATATAAGAATATCCTACATAGGGATGTTACCCATGCCCGAGATATCTTTCTATTGCAGACAGCGATGGTTATTTGTAACCCGAGCCGTGTCCTCGCCTCCATTGTCGATCGTTTCGGCATGGAAAATTGGGTTAAAGGACTATTTGGCACTCAGGATGAGATCCAACACCTTGACGTAGTCGAGGATATGATTCACTTTCTAATCGTCCTCTTGAGCGATCGAACCTCGCTTATCCCCGTGAAGGATGAACAGCAGACTCATATGATGGCAATGCGTCGAGACATTACTCATGTTTTGTGTTTCCGACCGCTGTCCTTCAATGAGATAGCTAGCAAGTTACCTGAGAAATTCCATGAGCACGAGGACTTCCAGCGTGTCTTGGACGAAGTGGCCACCTTTAAGTCTCCTGAAGGTGTGTCGGACGTGGGAACTTTTGAATTGAAGCCGCATTTCATTGAGGACATTGATCCGTATATTGCTCATTACAACAAAAACCAACGTGAGGAATCTGAGGCCGCTTACCGTAAATGGATAGCCAAGAAGACAGGAAAGCCTGTCGATGAGATTGTCTACGAGCCTAAACTGCGACCGATTGGGTACGGTGTCTTCGTAGGACTACCTCAATTCACGGGCACGGGGATGTTCTCGCAAATCATCTACCACTGCCTCCTATACCCTCTAGTAGCTGCCGAGATGACGCCCAAGGTTCCATTCACCAGGATAGAAACATTCCTGCAAGTGGTGTTGCATTTAATTCTCATCGCCATTGCCGAAGATAAGGCTGAAGTAACAGAGCCAGCTGCCGAAGCTGGATCTTTCGTCTACATCGCCTTGACTACGCAAGCCCGTTGTAGCTTCATGCAGGATGCACCAGACCGAAAAACTATTGTGTCGCTATTAGATATGATGTCAACTAAAGAGGAGTTCAAAGCCTGTCATGCTAAAATCGCATTAATCTTGAAGAGAATGAGGCAGAAATACCCACAGCACTTTGACATGGCATATAATCGACTGGGCATACCCGTGGATCGGATTGACACGGCATCACCAGCCAGCACCCATAATGCTGAAGAGGAACGCGAACGAAAGAAGAAAGCCGCGCTTGACCGGCAAGCCAAGGTTATGGCGCAGTTCCAACAGCAACAGAAGAGCTTCATAGAAATGCAAGGAGATGTTGACTGGGGTGATGAAGAGTGGGATGATATGGACGAAGCTAAGCCTGTAGAGGAGCAGAAGAACTTCTGGAAATACCCAAGAGGTACCTGCATATTATGCCAGGAAGATACCGACGATGGACGTCTCTACGGGACGTTTGCACTCTTCACTGAGAGTAAAATCTTACGCCAGACTGATCTTCAAGACCCAGACTTCGTGAGGGAGGCGGCAAGCACGCCAGTAAATCTTGATCGCTCAGCCGAGGCAATACGCCCATTCGGTCTTGCTCATGAAAACAGAGAGGTTATAGAAAAGGTGAAAGCAGATGGACAGACATTTGTCGCCGAAAAGCAGGGCCTCGGTAAAGGGTTCTCAGCCAAGCTTTGCCGAACAGGTCCCGTGTCTGTCGGATGCGGTCATATTATGCACTTCAGCTGCTTCGATATGTATATGGAAGCGACCGTCCGCCGACATGGACACCAGATTGCCCGCCATCATCCCGAATCATTAGACCGCTTAGAATTCGTGTGTCCTCTCTGCAAAGCTCTCGGGAATGCCTTCCTACCCATATCCTGGGATGGAAAAGAGGAGTCTTACCCAGGAATCTTACAAACAGAATCGGACTTTTCTTCCTTCATAACCACAAACATGGCAGACTCAGACAATTCGGTAATAAGAGGAGATCAGTCTCAAACAGCGTTCGTCAACTATTTGCGAACAAAGATGCCAGATTGTCTGGAGAAAACCAGCGCTAGCGTGCCGGCATTTTCCATTTGGGAACATACTCCTTTCAGAACTGTACCTTCTGTTTCGTCTTCCAGTGACACATTCTCTCTTGCAGCCACTCCTAGTTCGAGCATACGATCACATTCTCCAGAGTCACAGCATGGCGATAAAGAATTAATGCTGACTTATAGACGTCTGCGGGACACTCTTCGCAAGAACAGACTTGCAAAGGCCCTTGACAGCGAAGCTAGGGAGGATGATTTGTATGCTAGCGATGTGTTGGCCAAATCCGTAGGGTATTCAATTTCCGCTGCTGAGATCCAACAACGAGGCGTTGAAGCTCAATATGGGATGACTTTAATCGAACGTATGCCCGAGCAGCTCTTAGTCCAACTTCGAATCCTATCTGAGACAGTATCATCGTATATCGCGGTCGGCGGTCTCAGGCATGCAGGGGATAACCAGGTTGAGGCTGAATTCCGCGCAAGTAGCGAGCGCCAGTTCTGTCAACTCTTTTCGTCGCAGTACTACGATGGGGCCGTTGGAACTGAACATCGACCATTCGATGAATTTGCACCTTTACTAAGCCAAGATATATTCATCTTCTTGTGCGAGACTATGTTTGGCGTCTCCCCTGCGCTGAACATCGATCCGATGCATTTGGTTCGATTATGCTATCTCGCTGAGGTAGTCAAGGTTGTCTACAATATGTCTCAGAATCTGACACTTTCTAGATGGCTCGAATACATGGGCAACCGGAATTCTGACGACCCTGCAATGAACAATTTTGCCAATTTCTTCCACTATATTACGGTAGCTAGAATGAATTTGGAGCCATCAAACGACCAACCTAACAAAGGATTTGACCAGCCAGGCTTAGACAGTCTAGAAAGCCTCCATTCGTTCGTCAAGAAGTACGCCTTGGTATTCTTGCGAAAGGTCACGATTCTTCTCCATGTTCACCTTGGAGTTGACTTCAACAGTCACATCTCTCCAGTTCCGGAAGCAGATGAACTAACGCGCCTAACAGCTGCGCTGCGATTACCGTCTTTTGATGAGATGTGCACTGCTTTGACGCCCTTGAGCACCCAATACGGATGGCCACCGCGTATCGAAGCTATGATTAAGGGCTGGCTGCGTCATCAAATCCGTTCATACACCACAAAATACCTAGCTTCGGAGAAGGGTATTGAAGAGACTCCGTCTGTCTCCGCTCAACTTAGCCATCCCGGGATCTTCGAGCTTGTCGGATTACCTAGGAACTTTGATACACTGATTGAGGAGTGCGCTAAAAGAAGATGCCCTAAGACGGCTAAAGACTTAGCCGATCCCATTGTGTGTCTGATGTGCGGCGACATCTTTTGCGGACAGACTATGTGCTGCCTTATGGAATACTCGGAGCCCGGTCCGGATAAGCCCGTGATGAGAATCGGGGGTGCTCAGCAACATATGCTGTTCAAGTAAGTTATCACCGATCTCATATAATTTCCAATATTTACTGACCTGGTTTTCCCATTAGGTGTCAGGGCAACATTGGACTCTTCATCAATATTCGCAAGTGTGCTATCTTCTATTTGCATCGCACATCAGGTAGCTTTAGCAACGCACCATACATCGACAAGTATGGAGAGGTGGATATCGGACTGCGTCACGGACGCCAGCTCTTCCTCAACCAGAAGCGGTACGACTCGATGCTTCGCAACATGTGGCTCAGCCATGGCATTCCTAGCTTCATAAGTAGAAAGCTTGAAGCCGATATTAATAGTGGTGGATGGGAGACTATATGAGTTGACGAGCAGTGTACACTGTGCTGTGGTTGACATATAGCTTTCGACGGGGTAAACAGCAATATGCAAAACGGTTGCTGATATTCCCGATAACTCTTGACTCATTCCTTTTTTTGGTGTTAGGAGTTCTCCACTCATCGGTATAAAGAAGGGGCCGGGATTCATTCGCCATGCATTACGAGACTCAGATTCCTATAGGGAGGTTTACGATGATTATCAATATATATACCTCGTCATAATTAGTGCTGGCTGCTAATCCGTAGACGAACGAATATGCTTATACGTAGATTAAATCAGACTTTGTGACAGTTGTCTCTTAGTAGGTATTTATACGTGTAACAGCGAAGTCGATTTTATTTTCTTTCCTTCGCCCTTTTCGCTTTCCTGAAATGCTCATTTATACACGCCGCCTATATCCCCTCTAGGTACTTAGCTCTAGGTTCCTGGTATATTAATCATGCTTTCTAATCCTCCTTCTTCACATCCTCGTCTTTGAGCGGTGATATGCTTCCGCTTCCGTCCCCATTAGCAGTAGTATTAGCATTAGCCCCATCCTCCATAACTACATCTTTCGTCCCGGCAGCCACGCCGTTGACCTTGGCTACCGCGTCTGGGCCGCGGTGCTTGTATACGACGATACGGCCGTCCTTGCCCGCGCTAACCATGGTGTCGCCGTGGACATCGACCCAGAAGCAGACGCCGTCGTGGGCGCCGTCGATTCTTTGGACTACTTCCTTCGTCTTAACATCCCAGAGCACGACGGCCCCGTCTTCGCTCGGCGCCGCTATGAACGCCCTTCCGCTCTCGTCTGGGGTGTTGTCGTTGTCAGAGGGGGGTGAGGAAGAAGAGGGTACGGTGCCGAAGCAGCCGCCGATGCTGAAACCGCTGTTCTGGTGCCCCTGGTACGTCTTCTTCACCGTACCGGACACGTAGTCCCACAGACGCAGACACGAATCCATGCTGAAGGCGAGGACATACCGCCCGTTGGGCGCGAAGCAGACGGATGTTACGGGGGGGTTGTCTTCGTGCACTAAGGTTCGGAGACATTGGCCTGTGGAGGTGTCCCATATTCGACTATTTTGCTTAAGTTAGTTCGAAACGATTTCATATAGAGGGTGGGAGGAGGGTGGATAGAAAGTAGAAAGCGAACTCACGTCAACCCATCAGTACTACAACTAACGACCAAAGTCCCATCCCTACAGAAATCAATCCCGCTCACGGGGTCGCTGTGGGCAGGAAGACTCCTCATCAACCGGCCGGCACGCACGTCCCAGAGAAAAACAGCCTCGTCGTAGCTCCCGCTCGCCAGTATATTCCCCTTCGGCGAGAACGCGAGACAGTACACGTAGCTATGGTGTCCAAGCAACGGCTTGCCAGCGCGCGCTGGGCGTCCCGTAACCCGGTCCCACAGCCGGATCGCTTTGTCGTCGGACCCCGACGCCAGCGTCGCGCTGTCCGGCGACCAGGCCACGGCCGATACACCCGCCATATGGCCGACGAGCGTCTCCGCGTGCTGCCCCGTTACCGCGTCCCAGATCCGCACGGTGCCGTCCGCAGACGACGACGCGATCCATCGCCCGTCAGGCGAGATGCGCACTTGTGATATCCCATTCGTGTGTCCCTTCAACACCATCCGCGCCACGTAATTCGGCTTCGCGGGCTGCGAAGGCGTCGGCGCGTCGTGCGCGGCGAGCGCATCGTCGCGGAGCTGGCTGTTGGGCGAGGGGGACCGGGTTTCGGAGGGGGAGCGAGGGGACCGCGAGCGCGTTGAGGATCTGCTTCCTGTGCTGGAGCGCGGGGAGCGTATACGCGAACGCGTGCTAGACGTTGGCGATATGCTGTGGCGCGAGCGGTCGGTGGAGTAGTCGTCTGTGTCTCGGCGGCGTGGCCGGCTGCGGCTTCGGCTGCGGCTTCGGCTTGGGGTCATGGATGGGCTGTCTAGGGTCTTCTCGCGGATGGAGACGCGGAGGGTGGTTTTGTCGGAGGGCTTGGAGGCGGTGGTGTAGTCGCGGGCGGGTGTGGAGGCGGTGCTGTCGTCGTGGACTTTGCGGCGCTTGGAGGGGGGTTCGGGGGCGGTGGCTTCGATGCCAGGGCCTGGCATGGTGGTTTTGTTGCGTTATGTTGTGTGCTGTGTTGTGTTCTATTGAATTCGAACCCCTTTAAGCTGGATATTATCGAGTCCTCATGTGTGAAAGTTGAAGTTCCGAGTTATTGTGGCGTAAGTTGAAATTACTAGCTTAGATAAAGGGTATCAGTATGCAGATAGGAGATATCACAGCCTCGTGTTCGAGTTTGAGAAGTTCACGATGATGGGATTCGACAAGGCTGAATACTAGGTAGCAAATTGAAATTTTGGTGGGTCTTCATAATAAGCTTAAATCTTGATTGGGCTACCTTGTTGGCGATGTACTCCACTTTTGATGAGCTTCCCAGCTTCCTAAACCCGCTAATCTTTATCGTGGCTCCCGTGCCTGACATAAGATTGAATTAGGCATGTGGGGACCACGGTGCGATACAGTGTAAGCAGGCACTGGTCGTGATAAAATCATCGGCTTCCTCGGCAGGTACTGCCTTCTCAGGAACAAACCCCAGTCAGTGACGATTTAAGCAATCTTCCAATACAGGGGGAAACTGCAAGTGAAAAGTCTCCTATGCAGGCAAGGATGGAAAGACGGAAGCTTTAATGAAGAAATTGGCGTCATCCCTGTAATTCCGAGAAGGTGAGAAGGTACGAAGTTACATGTCTGGGTACAACTTCGACTTTGTGCCAATTTCCTCTTCATTGATCAAGTTACTCGGGTTTATGCAAATCTCACCAACCATTGTTCATTGTCTCTTCCCCGCGAAGTTCATGCGGAGCTGTCTCATCTCTCTGTGAAACCGGCGATTCGTCTTGAGATTACCGATTTAAAAGAGACTCATCCTTATTCTCGGGTCCTCTGTCTCAAAGATAGACTTATAAACGTCGGTCTAGCGAACAAACTTGGTTGAAAGGATCACCAAATCCTAGTCCACGCATGTTGTTATCGCGCAGGGGTGACACCCTACGGCACATGAACAACCACTTCACCTGTTGAAATATTTATTTCCTGGTGGAATTGCTTACTACCCTTCTCCTTAGAGTGCACAAGTCTACCGCGTAGGAAGTAGAGAAGAGGAAACGATAAACACCAAAGTCATCTATAAAAAAAGAAGAAAAGAAGAACCTAGGATCATCTCACCGGAATTGAAGATGGAAGAACTCCCCATCGAGCTAAATGTCATCACCCTCAACTGCTGGGGTCTTTTACACCTGAGCCAGCACCGCGCCGAGCGTCTTACCGCTATAGGCCGCGAGCTCGCCGCCACCGACCCAGCTCCACATATCGTCGCGTTGCAAGAATGCTGGACACAGGAGGACTATCGGAGTATCCGTCGCGAGACTCGCTTCGTTCTGCCATTTGGCAAGTTCTACCATAGCGGTGTATTTGGCGGCGGTCTCGCCATATTATCCAGATGGCCCATCGAGGAGAGCTCCATGGTCCGATACCCTCTAAATGGCCGGCCGACCGCATTTTATAGAGGCGATTGGTTCGTCGGCAAGGGCGTAGCGTGCGCGCGGATCCGATACGGTTCGGGAGATCGTGATATCGTTGAAGTTTTCAACACGCATACCCACGCCATCTATGAGCATCCGCCCGACAAAACCGACAGCTATGCCGTTCAGCGGCTCTCGCAGTCTTGGGAGATGGCCAAGCTAGTCCGGGGAGCCGCGGAGAGAGGACATCTAGCCATTGCTCTAGGTGATTTCAACGATGTACCACTATCACTATCGTATCGCATGTTGACGGCCCATGCTCCGATCAGAGATGTGTGGAGGGTACTAAACCCCGACTCATCCCTCGGCTCCGCTATCCACGAGCTCGAGCGCGCGCGGCGTCGACCCATACCCTCCGCCGCCTTCAACTTGGCCGAAAATGGCGTCACGAGCAATAGCGTGTACAACACATGGAGGTGGACCAAGTCCGACCAGCGGGCTCTACGCTCAGGAAAAGACCCTATGATCGTACCGCCGGACACTCCAGACCCGCGAGGTAAACGTATCGACTACATATTCTTCTCGCCGCAGGTCTCTTCAACCACGAATACACTTCTAAAGGAACTCAACCAAGCGCGCGCGAGCCGCGACATCGGTGAAAGCAGCACCAAGACCCAAGGCTGGGTCGTCAAGGACGCGCGTGTAGGCATGCTCGCACGACACCCGGACCTCGGCTGCTCTCTCTCCGACCATTTCTCCGTGGAAGCCACTCTCCTCCTGCACACAACCGACACCTCCCTCATCACCACATCCCCCTCCCGTCCACCCTCTCCTCCCTCGCCACCCCCAAACCGGCCCTCAAGCTCGAACTCGCACCTCTCAGCCAAAAACGCAGGAACCAACCACCACGCGCGCTCCCTCCTAGCCCTCGAACACGGGACCTACCTCTCCTCACCCACGGGCTCCGAAATCCGCGTCGCCTCGCGCCTCGAACTAAGCCAATCCTACGACGCCCAACTCCGCGACAGCGCCCTCGCCCTGCCCACCCTCCGCGGCGAAGGCCTGCACTGCACCATCTACGACGACGTCCTCCTGCTAATCCACACATACGACGAGCGCGAGCGCTCCCAGCGCCGCCTCCGCATCCTGCACTTCTACCTCTGGCTCTGCGTCGTCATCGGATGCTACATAGCCGTATGGTTCGTGCAGCCCTGGCCAGGCATCGCCTTCGCTTTTCTCGTGCTAAGCAGTCTTGGTTTCGCGATGGGCGTCGTGGATGGACTTATGGGATTCCTGTTCTTCGGGTCCGAGATCAGGGCTTTGAAGGAGTTCGAGTGGGAGATCCGGAACGCGAAGGCTACGGCTAGCGGGGCGCACGGGCTTAGGGATGAGGAGGGGGTGGGCGGCGGGGATGGGGTCGAGGAGAAGGTTTGGTGAGGTTTGGTGTGCGAGATGATTGATACCTTTTTTAAACATTTCATTCTTTGGGGAACGAAGTTTTTTTGGGACGAGGATATGATACCGACCGACATATTCTACTCATACGTAGAAACGGTGTTACTTATTTATAATGCATGGACATACATACATATACGAACGATCAAGAGAAGGAATGGCGATGCAAGTCGTGTTGAAAGGGCGATTACCTAGGTTATGAATTTGTAATGATACCACGAAGACGATACAGGTTCCATATAGGGGATACTGTTCTAATACTAATTGCTTTTCCCGCCTAACTGGACTGTTCCAGCAACCCTTATTTTCGTCCATCTTTTAATATTATTTCTTCTGTGCCAATTTCTTAAACAATGCAGGTTCCCTTCTCGCCAAAACAAGCCCTAATTCATCTCCCCGAAGCCACCATCAGCCCGCCGCACGGGCGTGGTACCAAGCCCGATAGGAAGCCAGTTCAGCGCTGTCATTCGATTTCCCCTTCCCTTTGCCATCTTCTCTAACATCCCAACCGGCGATCGCCAAGGGATTACACTCTTTCATGCGCTGATACGGGTATCCTATGAACGCAGTCTGTTTGCGCACTTCCAGCACAGTTGCCTTCGTATTTCGATCTCTTAGTAGTCTATCGCGGGGCCTCTTCCGCTCGCGACGCCCATATCCCCTCACGAACGCCTTCATTGCCTCGCAGAACTCTTCGTCGGGCGCCATGGCTTCAATTTCGTGGTCCATTCGTTTGAGCTTGGCTGAGTCGTACGGCACCGACACGAACTGCCCGATAACACCTCGTATATGGCGTGGGAATGTGGCCAGTTGCGCTTGCATGGCTGCTATCTTGTCGGGGCTCCTGTAAGGTGCCATCCGGGGGAGCGGAGGGCTAGGAAGTCCGCTTGCAATGCTGCCAGCATTCAAAGGGTTTACCGACAACGATAACTCCTCCATCTCAGAAGTCGTTTCCGGCTCCGATTCTGACCAATCCGATATTGGCTCTTCTTCATCGAAATAATGCGTATCCTCGCACCCGGAGAGTTGTGGAACAAACGGGGGAGGAATTTTCTGTAGCCGGTCCCAGGGGATATCACGGAACCACTTATGTGCTTTGATATCCTCTCCGTCGTAAGGATAGACCGCCCTTCCCGTCCAGTCCTGATATCCACGACGGTGCCGGCCTCTTCCTAGGTGCGAGGGCTCCTGCACTGTATCTCGGTAGCGATATCGTCTCGACGAAATACGGCCCTCTTTTTCGCAAATTAGGTTGACGATGAGATCCATACATCGTCTTGAGATCACAGGGCGAGCCGGGAAAGCGAATGTTTGCTTATGGTTTACAATATTGCGCTTCGTCTGCTGGCGACCGCCCTCGTCCGATAGAAATGGGGTGTGGCCGTATAGACACTCATACAAAATGACGCCGACACTCCACTAATCGCATCTTGCATCGTAAGCACCCTCTCGGATGACTTCTGGGGCCATATACTGGCTTGTTCCCACGCATGATCTGGCTGCACTTCGGTTGCCACACCTGTTACGCTAATTCAAGAGTGGCTCATCCGGCGTTGCTGGAGATGAGGCCAAGTGTGGTGGGTGGCGCTCATGCTTCTGCATCGCCTGAGCTACGCCTTGAGCCCACTTGATAGAGCCTTGTAGGCCATCGGCTCGATCAATGGCATCTCCATCTACTGGTATACCGAATCTCTGTAGTAGGCTATACCGTTGGGTATGGTAGTAACTGGTATCGTGCGACCAATGGCCATCAAAAGCTAGACCAAAGTCCGAGATTTTCAAATGGCCAGACGCGGAAATAAGAAAATTGTCCGGTTTGACATCCCGGTGTATACATCGCAACGAGTGTGCTTCCTCGATACACAGAATCATTTCAGCGATATAAAATTTGGCGACTGGTTCGTTGAGAATGTTTTCTCGGATCAAGAGGCCGAGGAAGTCTCCTCCGGGCATATAGTCCATCATAAGGTATAAGTTCGCACAGTCCTGAAAACTAGTGACCAAGGACACGATCCTAGGATTGTATTTGTTAGCCCGGTGAATTATGGTATTAGCGAGTAGGAACGAACCATTTTGAGCCTTCTGAAGCAACTAAGAAGTCTCGTTCGGCACGTAAATGAGCTTCTTGACTTGTCCGTAACATTGCCGACTTGCGTATCACTTTCATAGCATACACCCGCTTATCTCGGGACACATCGCGCCCGAAATCAGCTGCTTTTGGCTTCTCGCGTACAAGCCTCACAACGCCGAAGCTCCCCTTGCCGAGAATCTTCAAGACTTCATAACCGCCGGCAAGTTGGTTGTGTTTCCCTTGTACTGCACCAATACTTTTCGCCTTCAAAACGCGACTTTCACGGAGGTAATCAGTCTCTTGCTTGTAAAACTTCCGACGTCTAGCGTCCTTCTCTGCTTCAGTCAGCCCATTGCCATGATACAATTCCCCTTCTAGGTAACGTCGGCGAAGAGAGCGTGGACTAGGCTTGGAGAGTTGTTCGTCATAGTAAGTCTCAAGAAAGATCTTTGCGGCCGCAGCTCTCTCGACAGTCAGAATAGTAGGCGATGTTATATCGAGAGCTGTCTCTTGAATTGTTGTCAGGTTCGACTCGGGGATTGAGGTGCTAGTTTCTGGTTCTTTATCACGAATCACCAAAAAAGTTTTCTTGTCTCCCGAGTTATTCTCTCGCTTAGACTCAAACGAAGTCTTGCCGGTAGTTACAGTTCCCCCGGTAGTTTGACCAGACGATTTCCCGCTCGAAGTTGTATTGCTATTGCTATACGAGTTGCCGCCAGAATTTGAAGAGATAATAGTCTCAGGGGGGTGGAGGGAATCATTAGCAGTTCTCTCCCCGGACTCGAAGGACGGTCTAGATTTAGATCGAATTCGATGAATGACGGTAACAGAGGCGCCAAAAGGACTTCGAAGGAACGGCATAGACATCTTCTTCCTGAACCGTCGGCGTGTTTGAGATGGTTCTCCGTTAAAGGTGGGAGAGGGTGACGGCCATGTTGCTGGTTCCTTAACGGAGTTATTTGAGTCTAGCGCTACCATTAGAAGGATTGAACATGATATATTCTCCTAGGCTGGGAGGCCCTACTGCCATTCGTCAACGAGCGTAGTACGGACAAAATCCGCGAACCACGTCGTCTTAGATTCCGAGAAGGTTCACCTCTTTCAGGCATCGATAAAGGGGTGTAGGACGGAGTAGCGAATGGGGAATGACCATCGTCCAACGGGAGAGTTGGCGTGCTGCCCACCATGTGCAGCTCGTGTGCCGTCATGCTTGGAATTCATGGGTGGCGTGTAATGTAATCTACCTAATAGCTAGAATCCAAGAGACCGTGATGTAATAGAAATGATATCGAATAACTTGGCCTGGGCCCTGCTGAATAAGTTAACATAAGGGCCCAGGCTACCATCCAGAGGTATGGTGTCTGTTGAGAGCTAGATGGTGATGTAAGATTATGATCCAGTGAAAACAAACATATCGATATATATTTTAGTCAAAATAAGCGTAGAAGAAAAGGGGTAGCTTCCTTATATGATGGTGGAACAGGGATAGAGCGGCTCACATTTAGATCGTAGCTTCTTCACATATCACGACTATAAGGCTCAGTTAAGGAAGACGTCAAATTTACTAACGTAGACTTGATTGGTAGCATTGCAACTACCTACAAAAAGCCGTGGATTCATTTACACGAGAGGATAACCAACCAGCCCTTGCACTTTTTACGCCTTTGATGCAATACAGACCTCGTCATCCCTTATGACAACATCTGCTTCCCGCGTCCAAACGACGCCGGATCCTAGCAGACCTGCGCAGGTCGGAGACCACGCAGCGCATGATTAAGGAAACCCGACGACAGTTCATACCGCACATATACTTGGCCATAGCGACCAAAAATAGAATACAACCAACCCGGATGGTATCAGGAAATAATAGCGTAAGGAGAATTTTGCGGTGAACCACGCGATCATTTAATTGCTAACAGCTTGATGTCAAAGATCAGGGTGCTGTTTGCGGGAATGCCGGGTTGGCCTTTGCTGCCGTAGGCAAGGTTGGCCGGGATGGTGAGGCGACGCTCTCCACCTACGGACATGCCCTGAACACCGACGTCCCATCCCTTGATGACCTCGCCTTTGCCTACCGAGAAGCTAAAAGGCTTGCCTTTCTTGTTGGCTATTTTCTTATTAGCATGTTTCTAGACCCCTCTTCCTAGATCAAGACTTACCATCAAAGACCTTGCCGTTTTGGAGCTTGCCGATGTATCGGACCTCGACCTTGTTACCCTTCTTGGCAATGCGACCGGAACCGATCTTGCGGTCGTCGACGGTGACGCCCTGGACAACCTTGACACCGAGACTAGCTCCCTTCTCTGCGGCGGCCGAGCCGGTAGGACCTTGCTCGAGGTTCTTGGCGAATTGGACCTTCTTGTCGTTCTTAGAAGCATCCTTGGCTTCGGCCTTGGCCTCCTCCTTAACAGCAACCGCTTCGCCTTTATTGTTCTTCAGCTTCTTCTGCTGCTTTTTGCTAAGCTTGGTCTCTTCGGCCTTAGCCATCAGCTCGTCAAGACCCTCGGTCTCGTCTTCGGCAGGGCGTTTGTTCTTGCTCTTCTTGGACTCCGTCTTGACTAGCTTGGGAGGCTCATCCTCAGAGTCTACCTCTGTGATACGAGGGTCCTGGAGATCATCAAGTTCGTCGACCTCGGAGTCATCAGTGTCGTACTCCTCGATTCCTTCCATGTCGTATTCATCGTCATCGCCATCCTCAGAGCCAGAGTGGGGCTCATCGGTGTCAATAAGGTAGTTGCCAGTCAAGTGAATGGCGTGTGTTCCCCTAACTACGAAGAACACCTCCTCATCAGGAAGAATGGTGATGTCAATGGGCTGCTGGTAGTTCTTTGGGGTGGGTTAGCTTAGGCTCGATAGTACGAAATAGAGAAGACATACGCGTTCAGTGTCAAGAGTGCACACAACAAACTCCTCAAGCTCCAATGACTCAGATCCGACACTCTCGTCCTCATCCTCATCATCGCTGGACGTAGCAGGCTCCTTGCCTTTCTTGCCCTTCTTGCCGGCCTTGATGCCGTTGGGCTTGACATCGTCCATCTCCTCGTCAGAGTCTTCCTCTTCTTGGGCAGCTTGAATGAGCTTCTGTAAAGCAGCAGCCTGTCGAGCTTTCTTCGACTTAGCCGGGTCGCTAGGGCCACCGTTCGGCTCATCATCATCGTCATCATCTTCGTCAGATGAGCCACCCATCAACTCATTAAGGTATTCATCATCCGATTCATCATCGTGAGAAGGCACGCGGCGGATAAGTTTAAGAGTAGCACGAGGGACGGCAGCGATATTGCCCTCCTCGTCAGCCTCGGGCGCCTCGGTCGGGTCGAGAGCAGCCATAGTGATGCGATACTATAATTTCCATGTTAGCGACTAAAAATTGATCGAGGCGCAGGCAACAATGCTGCGACAGAGTGGAGAGCGGGGAGAATTGATGCGATAGCGATGGGAGAGTCTATATGTGCGAAAGGTAAATCTAGCGACATATATTAAAATGTACTTACAGCGGCACCTGGGACACCACCCTCCGTCATGGCAGGAACCAAGACACCTTGCGCCGGGACCTCAAGCCCATAGAGGCCGAGAGCTACGATCGTCATGATGAATTGATGTGAAGGTTAGCTGAATGGATAAAATGTGTGCGACTATAAGTCTGTGATACGATTTAATAAAGAGAATGGTCGAAATCGCAAATGCCAATGACCAACTGCAATCGTAAAAAGCTAGGAAGAAAAAGTAAGGTTGTATGAGGAAAGACGAGAAAGGACGTTGAACGCGACTCGAGCCGTTGAAGAGAAGGAGGAAAAAAAAAAGTTCGAAGCTTAGCGTAGCTTTCATCCCGTTTTTGCAACTGCACTCCAAATTTTTTTTCCGCCGCAGCAACCACCCCACCCAAAATGTCTTACCGCCTTCGACGATAAGGTAGCGCTAGTATGAAATAGGCTTATCTGCAGGCGGCCTTTACCAAAATCAGTTTTCTAGCGGCCGTCAACTACATAGCAACCACTAACTGCCGTAAGTTTTAATGCAGCCAATCGTCGTTAAGAACTTGATGCAACAACAACAAATGTCCGGATATATTACCTTTTATTTCGTAATTATACAATTGCGCTTCGTTTTATAAGATGATTAATACTAACGTACGATGCATCCTTCAATATGGTATGTTGTATACCGAAATAGGGGCCACTTGTGATAGTGGGTGATGGGTCGTGAGGACGACTACATTTTTTACGTCTATATCCTGTGAAAGCCACAAAAAATCGTGGCCCGGGTGTGACGGATAAGAGAGGGGAGAAAAAAAGCAAAATTAGAGCAACGTTCACAAGTCTCGGTATATATAGCATTTTCAAACCATGTCTCTGGCAATGGAACCCTTCGATTTCAAGTTGTCTTAACCAGATACAGTGCCATAAAGTTATGTCTTAGCCCAAGAATGACGCGGGTGTACATCCTCACAGGACTATGAATGCCAGCATTCAGAAGACAAAAGATGAGAACAATCCTCATTTCATCCCACTTCAATCCTTCCCTCACTGGATGAGTTCCCATCCCAAACCGCATCCAAACAATGGATATACCCAAGCACTCATACCAGCAGCCTAAGCAGCTCCCCCGGGAATCTCAAACGCAATCATCTCTATTTGTGCCGCGAAGTAAAGCTAATCAGCCACGCTCGAAACGCACCAAAAACTATCTTAAGAACGAACATCGACTGACCTTTATTATACGCCTGGGCACGATCTCCCACCCCGATCATCTCGCACACGACATCGACGAGGGGCGTCGGGAAGTGGTGCGAGGCACGGCAGTACGCCGCCACGAGGTCGTTTCCGTGAGTCACGCCACCTATATCGTTAACATCGTCCCTAAAGACTCACAAGAAGGGATAATTCAACCAGCAGGAAAAAGAACGAACTCACCACTAGACCAGAAATTCCCATCCTGAATCCACCTCAACTTATCTCCCACAAGCTCCTTCTCGCCAAACCCCTTCGCGCGGATCATATCCTGCATGCCCCTCGGTCCACACGCCGTCTTCCCCTTCAACAGCCCCGCCTCGCCACAAACCAGGATCCCAGAGCAAATGCTCAAGATATCCACGCCGGGCGTCTCACTATGTTTCTTCAGCCATTCCAAGGACTTCTTCTCGAGCACTTTGAACGGGTCCGGGCCGGGGATCATGACGATGTCGAGCTTGCCGGGGGCGACATCGGCGTCGGAGTAATGGTTCGTCGACACGAGGCCTTGGTTTGCCGTGAGCTGGATGGGCTGGCCGGCTGGGACGGTGCCGATGTACCGGATGTCCACCGAGGGCGCGAGGTCGAGGAAGGATTGGGGGACGAGCGAGGCTACCATGCTCATGTCTGCTAGGTGGTAAGTGTCTTGCCCATCCCACGAAATAAGGGGCTAGGGGAAAGGTAAGTTCGGTATTAGTAGAACATACTGCGATCATATTAGCTTGTATGCAAAATCAGAGGCGTGAGGATCTCGCCTCGACGGCATTCGTACTGACCATTCGTAGCTTAGAGACCCCATGATATCGACAGCCGCCGCGTCGAGAACCTGACAGTCCGTCGGGATGAATACACCAATTCTCACCACATGTCGAGCACCCCCGGTCTTGCCTTCGCTAGCCATTTTGTAAAGTTGGACTGGGAAACCGTAGAAGCTTCCTAAGAATACTGAAATAGTCTGTAGTTGGGTAAATCGGATATATGAACCTGTCTGTTAAGCGTGAGTATGGATAGAACTAAAAACACAAACTAAGAGAAGTAGTGAAGGGTTATTTGTATTCTCACGACCTCTCCTCCTGAGTCCATACGTACATGGCTTTTAGAGCTCGTCCTAGAAGGCTCATACACTTAAAGCCAATTCCCGAGGTCGATCGGACTAGAAGAATGCCAATTATTCTCGATGCCGCTGAGGATGTGCGGTCTAATAGGGGTCCGAGATCATCAGGAACGGTGTAACGTGATTGGTCAATTGCCTGGTGTCAACTCCGACTTGACTCGGAGCCAAGGCGTATAGATTGCGCGTAACCGGATATAGAGCTCTATAGTCCTAACTGCTGGACTCCTTCCCTATTCTTACTGCCATCCTATCATGCATAGCTCGTATATTGAGGCGGACGTATTCTGTAGGTACGTAAATTATAATATCAAATAGCTTGTGTAGCAGTTAGCCTAGGCTATACCTACATACGGATTTTCTGTAATTATTCTCTGTTCTCTATTATATATTAACTAAACTAAACATGAGGATGAAAAATTCCAGGTAAAAAGCTGCGTCACTAACTCGTCAATTCATGAGAGGCATATGTAGTTCTAGAGCAATACGATTTTTATCATTTATTGTTGTAAGCTTGAAGAGTACTGCTTGACAACTATTCTCGGTCGCCATGTTGCTCGTAATCTTCAGCCCCGTCAGGTGACTGATCTTCTTATGTACATTCATTATTAGTTATTACCGGGCCAGATTTGCGCATTAGGTGTCGTGGGTTGCTCTCCATCGTGAACCCCCGTCTTGTCGTCCTCGCTGGGCTAGCCCGCCCCCCAATTGGACGGATGTGTCCTTCGACCTCGACGAGTCGAACTAGACTACAGAGCCGTGTTCATCCCGGCCCTCTTCTCTTCTTTGCCACGTAAACGAATGCCGGCAGGAAGTCTTTTTCACTCCTGCGATTTGCTCCATGAACTCCGTGAGCCCAGAAAAAAGTATCCCCGTATCTAGAATGCCAATGCCGATGCCATGCATATCAACATCATGTCCTCTATTTACACACGCTCCGTGGAGCTATTCTTTCAAAAATTCGGAAAAGGTCGCTCGCTTCTTCGGTCTTCAACGGGTATGTGGAGAATCGAACAGAAAGCGCGCATCAGGCTCAACCATCGCAATAGTCAGCCTGGACGAAGATTATTAAACTCAAAACAACTCATCCGTTAAGGTCCATTAGGGCATGACACTGGCAATTATAGACTTTGCTCTTTGCCTTGTGACCTTCTTACTGACTGTGTAAACGAGATCAAGCGTGAAGAAGTGCATAAGCTGAGCTTGTGCGGTGGGGATAGCACCGTATAACGGTGCGACTAGGGGTGCCATGACGTAGTCGACATAGTTTTGTCTGATGTTTCGGTGAGAGAAGCACATTCCCTTGGAGAGACCGGCCTCAGTCATTTCCCTCTCACGCGTGGTGGCACAGATTTTATGTAGTCGCTCATATAGGAATAGCATCAGAACGACCTCCATGAAACCGGCAGTTCTTAATACGTTGCAGACAATGAAGATCCAGCTGATTTGGTGAGGATCCGAACTGCCATCTGTAACCCAGATGTAGAGGGTGGAAGCAATGATGAGGATAGTGGTTTGAAGAGGTAAGAAGTGGGCCTCGAAGAGTCGGTGGAAGAGAAAGATGATTCGTTGCCAGTCAGGCTCTTTCAGGGTGTCAGAAGTAACGTCGCTGAAGATTCCACTCTCAAGAGTCTGTTCGGGGCTCATATCCAATTGGGTCTGCGTAAGGTACGAATCGGTAGGGTGGTTCCTGTTCTGTGTTAGCGAGTACTATTGAGGACCTTGATATACTGAAACCTACAAGGCGACGTGTAGAGGTCGGAAAGCTCTGGCAGTGTGCTTGCGCTCTTGCCAGAGCTCCATGAACTTCCTGATAGCAAAGCCAGAATCGAGAGCTCCCCACATGTGTCGTAGAGCTTGCTTGTAACGGGCACCCATATCGTTGTAGAGTCCTTGAACGCCCTTGCCACCATCACCCTTGACGTTGCTCTGGCTGACAGGGCTCATGATGGTTCTCACAGTCAGATTTCCGTTTAGCGCAAAGAAACACTTCAGATACATGTGCAAATCCTCGCCGATAGCCTCGGAGTCGCAGTCCCAACCACCAACTCGGTCAACCAATTCAAGAGGCACAGAGTAGACAGACGTAGGAGGAGCAATAGTCGAACCACTGTAGAGACCAGACAGACCGGCACCAGCCCATAGAATATCGGCTACACGAACAATGGCGGGAACAGCGTGTGCGTTACGGTCGAAGATGATAGGAGCGGCATAGAGAGTAGTGCTGGCAGTTTCCTTGTACGATAGATGCATGCTAGTTAGGTGAGCGAAATAGTTGGTGGACAAATGACTGTCAGCTAAATTGTCATGTTGGTTAGCCTTCTGCATAAAAAATGCCCCAAACAGGCTTCTTGTAACACGTGCACGTACCATCAATTCCAGTAACGATTACATCCTTCCTGCAGCCCATAGAATATCTCTCGCTAAGCTTGCGCGCAGCCCATGCCAAATTGCTACCTTTTCCAGGAGACTCGCCAGGGATATCAGACGGGTGCAGAGTGAAATCAATTGAGCGAAACTTCTTGACAAATTCCTGGATAATGTTCATTGCCTTGAGTTCGACATTATGTTCGCGCTGTTCCATAGCAAGGTAAATCTGCGGGCAAATTTAATTAGTACTTTGAAACGACGATCACTAGCGCGACGTCATGCTTAAAAAAGGAGCCACGTAATTCGTCCAAATTGGGGGTATGAACAAATCCAACCGCGTTTTTACTCAAATTTAGAGGAAAATGACTTACATCGTAGGAATCACGAGCCTGGGGGTGGCACGCCAAAACGTCAAGTGTTTCCCTCAAGCTATCGACTTCTTCCTTGTAGTTGGGAATAACGATTGCGTGAACGACACGGTCGGAATCCGCATCATTATCAGTGTAGAATTCAGGTTCAATATCGCCAATTTCGCTGCTTGTAGTCGAGGAAGGGAGAGAATCTTCTTTGGAAGAGGTCAATGTCTCGGAGCTAGATAGAGAGGTAGATGAACCGCGACGACGGTGGGATAGCTTGAAATCCCTTAGAGATCGACCCCGCGCAGCTTTCGTCAAGCCTCGAGTAACGTCGAAAATGGCGTAGCAAGAACGCATCGGGAAGGCGAAAACCAGAATATGTATTAATAGAGAGTAGTAGGCAAATACGACCGTCCATAGTCCACCACCTTGTCCTTCAGACATAGAGCTGGCAGAGTGTGTTGGCCTGCTTAAGGTATCTTGCTGTGCGTACTTGTAATCATATCGCGACGCAGTTGCTTCCCTCGAGATGACATAGTAGCTGAGAGCTAGTGTCATCAACATAGCCAACCCTCCAGCTCTTCTCGTACACCAGTTGAAGAGCGACATGATGGGCAGGCGGGGGAGAGGGGACGTGTAAAGATTGATTCCTCGGAGGGGGGGTTTGGCGATGGTTGGCCTACGGTGGGATAGATAAGGAGTGTGATGGTGAGGCGCCAACGAGGAATAAGGAAGAAAAGAGAAGAAGAAATGGCGTTCAGTAGCGAATTCGGGAAAAGATAACACAAGGAAGGACGTTGAGTGGGAAGGGGGTTAGAGGGAGAGGGGGGGCTGGGATGCTTGAGCAGAGAACGCGATGTTCGTGCGCTACTGCACAGTAACCTTGGGCCTTTGGTAATGATCCTCTCTTAGGTTGTATTGACTGGGTGTGAAGGAAAAAAAAGGAAAGGAGGAAAAAATCTAGTAGTAAATCGGTAAAGTCAGGGCAAAGAGAGAAAAAAAAAAACGGGAGAGGAGCTGGAAAATTACTAGGTTGAACCTCATGAAGGTAATAACAATTAGGGAAAAAGGGGAGCCTGGTTTAGTACGATTGAGAAATTAGATGGGTAGGGATTCTGCGCCCCAAAGTGGACAGTAGCTCTGACGACGAGAAAGGTTCCAATTCCCAGATATTTCAAGCCTGGGACCCAGACAAGCTAGTGACCTCATTTAGGTCTAGCGTCAGTAGTTTATGGTTATGGTTATGGGGGGCAAGGGGAGCGTTTATGGGGCTTGTCTCTACAAAGTACAGTACTTAATTTCTGATCTAGTTACTACATGCAAGGCTAGTCGATTGTTAGCCACACACTCTTTATGCAATTCACTGATATGTCCAGGTGGTAAAATGAAAGAACACTTTGCCCTGTCAGCTCCTGTTTCTTTGCCTTCTTTCGAACTAGATGCACCGCCAATCACCATTTTATTCAATTGAGCGAAGGAAATCACTAACAAAGCATGCTTAGATGGGTGTGGTCTACCGATGACGGCCTTGTACAGCATTTAGGTCTGATGTATCCATTACAATATGTACAGTACAATACAGTTGTGGCAGGTACGACACATGTGTTTTAAAACACACCCACAAAGACCTAAAACGGGACGGCATGATAGACTTTGAAGATGGGTACTGTAGGTCAGTTCTTTCTTTACAGCGTACTTTGGATGGAGCGACTTCCCAAAGACGTGAACAATTAAAATAATAATCACCAATCAAGTTTCGAATCTTGAAAGGCATTTTCTCCTTCATCAAATCTATTGGCGTTTAGAGCGTTTCTAGGTCGAAATTCAATATTCGACTTAATTCCTCATGTGACAAAACATGTGTCGTCGAATCATATAATCTATCTTTTCAATACCCCGGATGATAGCTGCCTATGCAAGATGCTACTTAGCACGGCCAACTAAGTCCTTTCGACTCTTCACGTTTTCGAGGCTAAGTTGTAAGTGCGAGATGCATCTAAACTCTACGAGGCAAAGCAGTCCTCGATAGTCACCAAGTGGCCACTGGCAAGGGACCAAGTTCAATCTAACCCATACCTTCGAGTGGCGTACCTAATCGCTACGCCGTATTGACCATTCGACGTTCGACATTCGACCTTTGAGTCTTTCGACCTAATGTTAGAAAAACCTTGTAGTTACGTATTGTTTCTTCGCTCTAATTACATCATTCGATGGTATGCCTTCTATGTAGGTCATTGTTCGTTCCCCGATGTTAAAGGGCTGAAGAAGATTATTAGACTAAATCCTTATTTTCTTACCTTTGAGAGCGATGACTTCAGCTTCTATTCTTGTCACCAACCATACATAAGGGCGTATGTATGGCCATGTATGGTCTTTCTTACATGCGCCATCCCAAGTACTGTACATGTATTTACAACGGGACCAGGCACCCATATTACCGTAGTTCGGTACTATTAGGTTACGTGGGGAGAGGGATGAAGGTTGCATATGGGATGTGCAAGGTTCACAGCCATCCCGCCCCAAGGCTGACCAGTTAGTCGATTAGGTCTGTTTAGTGTACATTCTACGCCTTCGAACGCTGCTGCGCCGGTCCTAGTTGGCTAAGCAGGCCAATCGTCGGCGAACGAATCCATCTCAGCCTCTTTGATCTTCAAGAAAGGCGGAAGAAGGTCGGGTTGATCTTTGGAAGAGAGGAAAGACGTACGATAATGACTCTAGCTTGTTCAGCTATTGTGATACAGATTCTGCAGTCCTGGCTGGGGGTTCTACGATGAGATTACGATGATAGGTTCTCCACTCGTCACCCATCGTCGATAACCTCAAACCGGCACTATGGTTACAGTAGCACATTGCTATATTAGCCCTGAGTGGTCGCAGACCTGCTGACCGCACGAGTTGAATACGGATAGCGGTTCTTCGTTGTGGAAGCTCGAGTTCAATTCCAAGCGTCCTTTGCATCTGATTATCTTGCCGAACGGCATGCACGCAGCCACTCTCCCACCCCAGACAGCCCAGAGTCGGCTTTTCTCTGATGGTGTGTGCGTGCTCCCTTCTTTCGTCACCATCTGACTTATTGGTAGCAGACCGCATCCCAACCTGCATGCCTGATACTGGTTAACCCGCCAATCCTATCCAATCCCAACTTCTGATCTCTCTACGATGATTGTATCACAACTCCCACAACTCCTGCTAAAGACACATAATGCCCGTCAGCCGGGTCTGAGCCGATCAACTTGATGAATGCTGTGTTGCATATTATGTACGTCGACATGATTCCATGTCTGATCCTTCACATGCCCACGTACCACCTGTCGACAGTGGGCACCGCTACATACTACTAGTTATTATGTCCTATTATGGCCTATTATGTGTGGGATGTGGTGGCATAGTCGAGAGTCTAGGTAATCCCTTACGCTAAGCGTGCTAAACATATAAACGCCTCTTGTTTCGCATTCTGCGCGGATATCGTATTATAGGCCTGCGAAAAATAATTCCCCCACGACTAGGCTATGTTCTGAGTGGCCTAAATGACCTAAACACTCGGCTTTTTAGTGCCGGACGACGTTGCTTCAAGCCACTAAGACAGAGCCGAGCTTCTTCTATAGGATATACTATCCTACATACCATAGTAGTGCACAGGTAAGCTAACTTGATATGTTTGCGCCTTGGAAGCTATTCCTTTCCTGCGATTCGACATCGCTGATGCATATGCACACGCATAGACCGCGTGGGCGACGGTGGCTTGTTTCCTTGTCTAGCCACGATGCCAACGCTAGTCGTCACCTTTTCATCGTCATCAAGCCATGTTTAATTGTCATCAAGATACCAAGCGCCTATGATTGCGATTGCGGACGACATACATATCCCTGGTACATAGACAATCATGAGGCTTATCATCAGTGCCGTCGCACGCCACGCCATATCCCCCCGCTCTTATACTATTTTCTCTAGCGATAACATCGAGGTGTTATCGTTGCACATGTGTATAGTAAGTCGGACGTCATTGTGGTAAGACGGCACTACTTGAAGAAAAGTTCTATAAGAAATCGGATAATTGCATTTACGTTAATTGCCGACAGTTGCAACAGTTAATAATAATTGCGATTCGGAAATGACCTCACTTCGTACCTTCTGTACCAAAGGTTGTACCTATGTACCTCGGTATAATCGATCCTATCTCGACCTCAAGAGCCACCGATACACAGTATGACTTACGTACTGTTTACATACTGTGACTTGCCCCTCGCGAATTGAATTGCGCTTTTTCGAGACAAATTGCCAGAAGTAGAATTCCGATTGCCTTTCTGTCTTCGGATTTTATTTTTCGAATCCTGAAACCTGCTTTACTTAGCAGCCTAACCAACGTATTACTATGAAACGGCCTCCAAAAATGATCCTATTTACGAAGAGATCATCTTTCTCTTTCTTTGGATATTCCCTCTTTTTCAAAACATCCATTGTCGTTCCTCGTTTGAAAATAGTTTCCCTCCTATTCTGATTCGCATGCAGAAAGGACCAGTACAGTGTGGAGGCCGCCAACGAAGGACCATCTTCATCATGTAAGGTAGCACCGAAAAGGTACAGATTGCCTACAGCGGTGGGGTATCAAGATGAGTTCTCTCTTGGCTCAATGGCACACGACCCCCGGTCTTTGCAGCGTCGCTATGCTCGCTATGCCTGGTATGCTCACCATTGATCCTCAGTGCGACGGTGCGAATTAATTTAACTTGCGGCTCGGGCAATTCTCATTGGTCCGTTGCGGATCCGGCATCCACGTTTATTTGTCAGTCGAGATTACTTGCCCACTGTCGATCTGGATCCGTCACTAAAACCACTGCAAAATTCTGTCTTTTCCGAAGTCTGACGGGGGACGGGGCCAATTGCAGGCCAATTGAGGCAATACGTTTCTGCGTCCTGTCTGTTTCTCTCTTTTTAAACCGTCTGCCTAGAAACGGATCTATCGCACGGTCTTTTTTCGTCGACCTGCTTGATACTTATTGCTTAATGCAGTGTGCTACTGCTACTACTGCTGATTCTGTTACAGATCCTTGAAATCGATAGGGGCAGTAAGGGCAATAAGGGTAGCAGAGACTAACGGGTTAACCGCTGAGCTAGCTAGGTAATGAAAGGGTCCGCATATAAAACAGCTCGTTAAGCCGTTTCCCGTAATAATAGGAGAAACGAGCTCGGGGAGCTCCAGGTCTCTGCCGAATAGACCTAGGTCTAGGTTCCGGGGTCGCATTGTCAAAAAAGATCCTATCCTAGCCAGCCTAGCAGACCGTAGGTATTCAGGTGTCAGGGTCCTCGGCAGGGCTTATCGAAATACGGGCAAGCTTGGCGATGGGATAGCCGATGGCCGATGTTTTCACGCGAGAACCCCACCGGGCCACGGTTCGTGAGACGCGTTCTGGGTATTCGGGTCACGATTGGAAGAAAGCTGCTAAAAACGCGTCATTTCGACATTTAGCAGAACTATGCCCGACAGACCAATCATTGCGCGCCGCGGGTCCCTTTTATCGTCCCAAGTCTCTGTAAAACCAGCAAGCTGTCAGATCCCATGTCTTGATACGCAAATCTCCTGATAGATGTCATAGCCATGTATCACCGCAGGTGACTTGCGTTTTGATTCATTACTGCATGCAGTTACGAGAATCACACCCTTCCTTACATAGTAGGCGGCATTGTAATCTCATCTCATAGGCCTACATCTGTGGTTTCATGAACAAACCATATATACATATATAAACGCTCGTACGTCTTTTATATCAATTGATTAGTCTCGTGAGATATTCCGGGCTTCAATGTCATTGCGCGTGCATTTCAAAAACATTGATCATCTCTATGCTGTCTCACAGGATCAGGCCAGATAAATGCAGTGAACACGATGAATCAATTCTTGCATAGAGTAGATGGGACACGACGTTGGGTGCCGACCATGCTGCACTGCTGCAGGAAGTGGGTTATCAGCAAGATTATCGACAGAGCCTGATATACAATCCCGTCCCAGCCAATACGGTGTGCTAATTAATCCTGCTGCCTGCCTGTCTGATTCGGAGGCATTCTTCCACGATCATTCAATTTTCTTGCTGCTGAATGTTCCTGCTGCCATAATGAACTTCCATAAGATCCTCCTATCCAGTGAAATTCAACCGACGAAAATGTACGATGTACTCTTTTAATGCTCAGTTGGTCGATCGAGGTTTGATGCGGTATAATTACGCCGTACACATGGCCAATACTATTGCTCGACCTTTCTCGATTATATGGCGGCTGATCTCTTCAATTTTTGTTTTCGCAAGAACTGGCGAGTTGGATGAGAAAAAGACTCTTCTGACAGTGTTGATAATAATAGCCTTACCTCGATGTTCCCTTAGATGCACTGGTGAAGAAGCGTATGATGGCCATGAAAATCCATACTAGTACGTCCATAAAGTAGCGCCACGAAAAGCGCTGGCTCTTTCCTCTACTGCTGCTCGAGAATGTGGCCTAGACGTTCTTATCGAGAAGCTTCTGGATGGGTTTGGCAGCCTGGTTAGATGTTAGCATCGGCACGCACTACTAAACAGGGAATTTCCGAATATGAACGTACATCGATGAACTTCTCGAGCTCCTTGTCGAGGTTCGCGAGGTCCTCCTTGCGCTTCTTGTTATCGGCGATAAGCTTCTGCTTCCTCTTAAGAAGCTCCATGCGTTTCTGCTCGAGAGCTTCGCGTTCGCTTCGCTCGTGGTCGATTCGCGCAATCATCAAGGTAACCTCGTCATCCTCGGTGTGATCTGGTTTCAAGGCAATGAAATCCTCGAGTGGGATGAGGGGAAGCTGCTGATACGTGTGACTATTTGCGTACTAGGTTAGCTATTGCGAAAGCTCAAGTGCCGATACTGGATAATTGTAGCTAAAGTTGATGTCACTTGACTTGAAATATTTGCTGGGTATGTCTGTATTGGTTAAAGGGAAAGCTTCATCGGCCACTAACTCGTAGGATTCACATGCTGATATCTCTCCCTGCAAGTGCCGCTGTTCGTAGTACAGGTTCTGGAGTTGCAGATGCAGACGATCAACCTCCTGACGCGCCTCGGACGTTTGCGACTTGGTCTGTCGCGCAGCGAAGTAGGCTGCTCGGTGAAGGCCGCGAAGCTGTGCGAGGTTGGTGATAAGCAGTTTCTGCTGCTTGGAAGCTTCTTGTAGAGCCTCTGGAGAAGCGTTCTCGATCGGACCAGTTGCCGCGATCTGGTCAACCAGGTTCAACGCCTGTACTCGGGTGTCGCGGGACGCATTAAGCACCGTCAATAGGTTCGCATCGGTCACAATCTCATCGATCGCCATGGTGAAGGGAGACGCAAGCAGCTCGAGGTAGAGAGCTGGGTTCGAGACAAGATTTTGACTAAAGATCGCAGGATGCTGATGTTTATTCAAGTATGGTTTGTAATGTTCAATCAAGGCGAAATTTAGCTGTAGCCAGGATATTTTGAAAAAGTGACCAATCAAAATCGCAGTGGTCTTCAAAGGTTCTAGCCTTATGGTTACATAAGCAAAGATTTGCTATGTACAAGATTAAGGTTGAGAAAGGCAATCCATGTCCCGTTAGAAATATGGGACTCCTAGATTTGGGTCGGATGATTCAATCGCCGTTGCCGGTCTCCGAGGATCTTAACCTTCTAAAAGCCACTGTGATTGGTAGATACATAGGTACAATGAAGTGGAAATTGGAAATTGGGGTCAGCACTCATTTTTCCTCCGCCACCACCAACAGCGACACCACCATAACGAACTTTGGGGCTTTCGCAGCTCTTTTCAGCTGAAGATGCATACCAACTTTGGTACAATTGCTTGGGTTCCTCCAACACGTTGGTGTCTAATATGCGGTATTGAAAATAAAATGGCAATAAATCCATAGAGGAGGTTAGTGGAGTCACAGTATAAGGTAAGTGATTGGTTGAATTTAAACAATCAATGCAAACTGTAGCTAGTACTAGGGACATAATTCGGTATGTCATAGGTTCAAACGTTGAATGTATCTGGTACTTTCAACAGATCAATATATGGCGTTCCGATGGTGGGGAACCTACGCAAACCAGACCCTTGCATGAAGTTTATTGAGTTTACGCTGTACGATCTTATCTAAGCTCCCTCCGTCCTCCCCGATTCAATGTTTCTCCCCTTGAAAAGTTACCGCTCTTCAACCAATAACAACCACAAACTTCCACATGTGAAAGTTACAAACCCTCCACTTTGGTTCAGTTCGCTTCTTACTATTCCTTCGCCAGCAACCTTAGAACATTCAAACCAATCTTTCGGCAGTATTGCGCACTTCCATACTTTGACTGGTCAACTCTATCTCCGTGGATGTCTCATGCAGGGACGTCTGACAGCGTAGACTTGCCCAAGCCTTGGTATTCTTAGTTGGCACCAACGAACTCAACATATTATTTGCTACCTAGTATACTTTATCCTCGTTCACTGCACACGTTTCTCACCATGTCTTGCACTTCGACTTTCGCCGCCTTTGGCTCTCACCAAGACCAGAACCCCGGTGCCCGAGGTTCCAGCACCGCAACCGAACAAAACGTCCCCCCGCGGCGGAGACGGCATTCTTCCTTTATGCCTCGGAGGAGACATTCTTTAGTTCAGCATATCATGGACGGGGAAGAAGGCCTGCTGCTTCGGGTATATAACCTATTTTACTATTAACCTCGACTAATTTTTTAAGTTTTGATTGCCTATGGTCCTAACGAAGATAGGTCGATCTGTTCCTCTCCGAGCTAGAGAGGAGGCTTGAATACCTCGAAGGTTATAGCGAGCTAATCGACCTCGACTCGAGTATATCCAAAACCTTCGCCACTCTACAAACGGTGCGGGAACGATGTTCGCAGGTCTCGGAAGAGGTCATCGGTGCGGGCCGCCGGCGGTTGCAGGTCATGGTCGAAACCTTGGACACTAGATACCACGAGGCATTGGGCGCGGCCGGATCCATGAATGAGAAGGCCCGTGTGGGTGTTGAAATACTCGATACTATGCTCACGGACTTCGAAACCCGAGCCTTGAAGTTCCGCGACAACGGATTTGCGAATGCGGCCGATGCTGCCGGGAGTTTGATAGGTGAGGGCCGACGAGTCGTGGACGAAGGACTAGAACGTGCTCGTGGTGTTGTTGACGACGGTCTCGGAAGAGCCTGGCGCGCTGCAGAAACGGTCGAAGAACACATTCAAAGAGCCATTGCCAGTGCAAGAGAGAAGGGTCTGATTAAGTATGAGGAGCTTCCCATACCCTGGCGAGTCAATCCTCATATCCTTGGCGGATATAGATTCACCGAATCTAAAATCGGCTGCGTACGCTCCATGTTCGGCGTCTCGAACGAGACTGTCAATATCTGGTCTCACGCACTTGGTTTGATAATAATCCTGTCCATCGCCTTTTACTTCTACCCGATGTCCGCAAACTTCTCCCTCTACACAAAGACGGATGTCTTCATCGCTGCCGTTTTCTTTTTCGCGGCTTGCAAGTGCCTAGTCTGCAGTACTATTTGGCACACCATGAACTGCGTCGCAGATCAATGTCTTATGGAACGATTCGCATGCATCGACTACACTGGCATCTCCTTGCTTATCGCTGCATCGATTATGACGACCGAGTATACCGCCTTCTATTGCGAACCCATTAGCCGATGGACGTACTTGACGGCGACGGCTGTATTGGGCATTGCTGGTACTATCCTGCCGTGGCACCCGAAGTTTAATGGCCAGGATATGGCATGGTTAAGAGTAGGCTTTTTCGTGGGATTAGGCGCTACCGGTTTTTTGCCAATATTCCAGATCATCCTCACCCGTGGTCCCGAATGGGCGTATGAGTTCTACGCCGGTTCGAATTTACTCAAGTCCCTTTGCGTCTATGTCGTTGGAGCTTGTGTTTACGCAAGCAAGGTTCCGGAACGGTGGTTCCCCGGAGCGTTTGATTACTGTGGTAATGCGCACAACCTATGGCATGTGAGTATTATAGAGGGTCGAAACATCATCACACCATCGCTAATGCAGTGTCCAGCTTGCCGTACTTGGCGGAATCCTTTATCATTATGTCGCTATGCAAGAATTTTTCTCCGGCGCCTTCCAGCGCGCGCAAGGGGGCTGCCCGACCTACTAAGCAGCATCCTCGAACGATTCCGGGGTATGATCTATCTACAGTCGACCGCGCAAAATCCTATTGGATATGGGATTACACATTATTAATTCCCTGAATATTCGTCCTTCAATAAACCTGCAGAATCCGTTCTAATGGGCCCTTCCTTTACCCTCTTATGATATAGAGTTTAAATCATGTTCAAATTAGTATTGTCAAAAGACAAACTATTCCGACCATTGCCATTGGTCTAGCTATAGGGTCGGCCCGCCTCCTTGCGAAGGAAACTTGCACAAGGGACGTTGGAGTTGTTGTATTCGTATGCGGTACGGTGGTTGATGTGGATGTGGTCGAGTTGGCTATAGCTTCGGCAGGTTCAGGCGAACCACAATTTTCGATATCTATTGAGGGCGGCACCGACGACTCCTTGAGAAAGGGAGCTACTGTCATTGTTGGACTAGCAACGGTTGCCGATCCGGCCATCGCATTGGCGCCCGCCGAGGACGATGAGTTGGAAATGGAAGCTGGGAGTGTGAAGCCGGCATTTTGAGCGCACGTCGCGAGATCTTCACCCTATTTACGGTTAACAAATGCGACTTTCTATCGATCAAGACGGTCGAATACTTACTTCGAAACAGCAATAGCCTCCAACAGGCGCGCAGTATTTCCCTGCGTCGCAGAACCCGTGGTCGGCTTCGCAGCACGACTATTCCTTGTCAGCATTTCCTAGGGTTGGGAATGGGATGGAATTGAACGGGGTGTATCGGCTGCTTACCTGGCCAGAAGTAGGGTTGAAGCAGTATGTGCTATCGGGTCCTCCGCAGGTCTGCGAGCCGCTGCCGTACATCCCCTCGCATGTTGGCGTCTCCCGCCTATGAACGACGGAGACGCGGACGTGTCCGTGCTTCTCCTGCGCGAAAGCGAAGAGCCCGAACCAGGCGAGGAGCATCAGTGAAATGACGAACATGGTGACTTGGTTATAACAAGTTACTCGATTTTATTTGATTTGATTTGGATACGGCGTTTAAAGTGCGTTTTTGGAGTATAAGTGAATGGCGGTTTTATAGGTTAAGCATAGGAGCATATAGCATAGAGATAGATAGCATGGGAGCGATGGGGGATAAGAGCGAGGTGAGGGCCTTTTCTAGACCATGATGGGGAGGGGCCCGTTGTATATAATGCATAATACCATTACTACTACCGAACACACACCTTCCAAATGACACTGCTCTTCGCGACTCCTTGATACTTAGTGCGGTGGGAAATGTTTCGATGGCGGACATGCGATATCGATACTTTAATTATACTCCTCCGGAATTTGGGACCGATACATTGCGATGCATAGCCCCCTAATTCGGCGCGGGTTCGGTTTATCGTTCTTGTGTGTCTGGCGCTGGTGAGGAGGGGGTTGGAGGCGTGGTTGGAAATAGGTATGTAGGGAGGTGGTGGGAGGTGGTTAAGGGAGAATGCATTTTTCGGATGGGGTGAGAACATCCCTTGCGATTCTAGCCCGGCGCGAGGATGCAATTATCGTGTTCCGGATTCCTTGTCTTACACATTTCGAAACTAATAGTTTCTTGTTGGCGTCGGTAGGAGGTATTGAGGTCTTTCTATTAAGCATTTAGAGTTTATAGTCGTAGGTTATATATAGGTATGTAAGTATATACGGGACGGAGAATCATCATCACGCCGTCACGAGAGAATTAAAGAGTATATCAAGATTACAGCACGCGAAGCGCGCCTATTAGTGTATTGAATTCGTGTTCCGCGTAAACTAGATAGGTACATATGTTTATAGGTCAATCATCTAACACAACCGGCAATCCGTTTTCTCGCCCTCATACAGTGGTGGTGATACAATAACAAAGGAAAAAGCGTGCGCTATATGGTGTTCGTAACTTCATTATGCGTGATTCGTTGCCCTGTAGGTCTTCTCTCCTTTTGATGTTCGTTCGTCGTCCATGTCGTCTGATCATATTGTACAAGTAGATTTTCGTTCTTTCTTGCGCATTCCCACAACTAGACGTATGCAGAGAAGCCGTTTTTCCGGGGTTCCGATCTCGCGAGAGGAATCTATATGCAAAGGTCATTATCATAGGTATCTCCCGAGATGAGGATCCAATGTCATCCGGTGCCTCGGCTGTCTGGGTATACGCCAAGGTCTCCAAGTTCCTTCGATTCGTCGTCATGGGCTGTTGTTACAAAAGGGGCTGGTTCAAAGCCAGCCCCATATCCTATAGACCGGGTTGCATCATGTGGAATGACGTTTTCGCTAGGTGGTACATTATAGAGCGTGCTTGACGATCTCTGCATAGACATCTTCGGGTATCATCTTTATGATAGCAAGTGTAGTTCGCTTGATCATCTCTGCTCGTAAAGCTGGGAATGATCGAAGTAGTTTGTTAGGGCTATTTCTTATTAGTGCCTAGTCATTGCATCCTAACTTTTTCTGTTCGCTGTTCGAGAAGAGCACTTACTTGGCAGTGGTCAGAAGCTCGTTACGCATCATGATCAGTTGGGCAACAATGCACAGAATGTTTAAGTGGGGTCCGTAAGCAAAGAGAAAATCCCAGTGCTTCAATACTTCCGGAAGAGGGGGTGTACATGCACACAAGGTAAGGACGGATGGGAAGGCGTAAATTTCCGCCGATAGAGCCTTAGACTTCAAGTGACAGCTAAGCTTAGTGTCCACGATTCCTAATACCTTGTCGACTAGAGCTAAGCCGCGATGAACTCCGTCCATTGCGCCCCGAATGTATCCGGGACACTCCTTCGTCAGGAGAGTATGGAAAGAAGCAAAAGCTTCGACTTCGCTGCGAGCTGCATATAGGAACGGAGCTGCAAGCACGTTCATGCCCTGCACATAGGTACCGGGTTCCGATGTGGTAGCATCAGAGTCTTCTGTCGTAAGCGTAAGAGCACGATTACGGTTTCTAGAAAACGGCGAGACATCCGTCTGAGACAGATCGCTATGAGAGCTACTAGCACTCTCAGTATGAGCAATAGAAAGTCTACTGCTAGTTGGTCGGCGTTCTTCCTTTGCATCATGAAGTTTCCACGCAATAGCGTTCAGAAGACGAATCAAGCTTGCTTCGCTAACGCGACGACGGAAGAGGGGATCGGTAGTTAAGGTTCGAAATGTATCGTTTCGGATCTTAGAGTAAGCTGGTGAAGCACCTCGATGTATCAGGCCGAGGTATTCATTGGTGTCAAGGATAGGCGCATCGAGAAAAATGAGCCATACGTAGATTCGAGTTCGCGACTGGACGATGTCAGCTTGATTATTGCCAAGTTTTCAAGTAAAGAACAAAGCGAACCATTCCATCACTGTCGCTACGGATACCTTGATCCAGGACCTTCAGACGTGCGCTCTCTAAGGCAGCATCTATGTCACCATCGGGTGGGCCTTCTCTAATCAACCTGTCCAAAGACATGTTGTCGGCTACTCTCGAAGTTCTGGTTAAAGCAGTTCTCTTGCTATTCAATGATATGAGAATATTATTGGGAAATGTTGCGGGCGGAGGCGTGGCAGCGTCGGAGTTTGCTCTGTTTCGCTGAGGAGATCGGTTTACAGGTCTGTTGTTCGGCGCAGGCGACGCGACGCGGTCCTGGATATCTGCACGAAAAACTTGCTGCGACATGATGGAGTTCTGAGCAGAAATTCGGGCGGCAGCACCGAGATTGTGTGCGGATTGAAGTTTGCGCAGTGCCCTGTGAGTATGCGGCGATGGCGGGGCGTTAAGCTGGGTTGTGAGCTGTGTGGTTAAAGAAGGGTTCGCGTGGATGGTGTTGAATGGCTGCGCAGCAGGTGGGATTGGCTCCCGGGTTGGACTAGTCATTTTGGCTCGTGTGCAGCAAACAGCTGCTTTAGCAATTGCGGAGACAGGCGAGTTGAAGCTATCGTCGTTGGCCAAAAAATCATGCTCGACGTGTTCTGGAGTTGTAGGTGCGACGGGGGCGATGGGGTGCGACGATCAGGTACAATAAACGAATAAAATCTGATAAAAATCGAGGCAGGAAAAGAGGTTGGTCAGTTTTAGCCCGAGTGGGGACTCTAGGTACCCATAACTCAGCCCTTCCTGCCCTGCTGCCCTCACTCCGAGTACGAAGTACATAGGTACAGGTCCCCTCACTCTTTCTTCAGCAGGATTAACGCGAATAGAACGCGTTGTCTCAAAAAGGTTATTTATTTAGATTTGTGTAACTTGTTATGTTCCTAGGAGGATGCGAGTTGGTAAGTTTCTCTTGCGATAATATTGAATTATCTTGTATAAAATATCACCATTTTGAAAGAGCAATAATAAATGCTTCTGTGGTATTAAACCATTTCTATATTTGCATCTTCAAGAAACATGTGAAAATTAGTATTGATGTCAAGAGGTTACAATGGGTCAATAATAGAGTGGCCGGCGCCAAGAAATCCCCGTAAGAAATAGTCCCCATCTGCAGGTACAGTTGCTTCGCATTGTTTGCATATAGAGATCAATACTAGCTTTCATTCAAAGATCATCTATCTCACCAACGACATAGATCTATACGTACCTAGAAAAGCACTGGTATATATGTACATACAAATTATTGTTGATATTTACCAAAGGTGTAGTTTCGACTCCCGGCCAATCGTACTTAGCAGCAAGTGATAATGGCATATCGAATTGGAGAAGTAAACTTTCCCATTAACAGGCACCTCCAGGGCTAACTTAAAATAGTTGATGTGGTTCTTTAGCTTTTAAACCCCCCTAAGATCTAGAAGATCTGAAAGAATCCATTTACTATTAATGGATCTACCGCAGATACATAGGTAATGTTTAGGGGAAATCTTCAGAATTTTCTTAGCATAAGGCTAAGAAGCATTCGTAAGTCTAGATTCGTAAGCAGGCGATCTCGGTGGATATACTCGCTTTACATCTCCCGACAACTCTAATGAGTAACATTTTCAGATATATTTCCGTGGAATGCGCGCCAGTTTAATATTCGTTCAATCGATTAATTAAATGCACATATAATAGAAGTCATGTACCTTTGTATATTAAGAATATTTTGGATTTATATGGGGTTGACGTATTTCTAATGATGGCATCAGCTTGTGGTGAAATCGCGTCATCGGCGCTTAGACCAGTTTGTACAGATTTAAGCTTTGTGATTGGCTGAGGTTGTGCCTTTTTCGCCTAATTGGGAACAATCCACTTCTTCTTATTCTCCATTCTCCATTCTCACCTTCCCCGTGGTCATCCACTCTATCCCACCTACTCCTCCATATCTGTTCACGAGATCCAATATGCAACTGTGCGAAAGCATCGTCTGTAGGTAGTTTACCCTGCTAAGAAATATCTGCCGAATTTGTCGTTCGATGTATCATTGAGATGGTGGATTCGCTGCGGACGAGTACGGACGAATACTGCAAGATCGGTCTTCGGCTATCTTCGAAGACCGAGTTATAAATCCAGTTCAACTTGTAATTCGCCCTTATAAAAGAGTAACGATCGAATATGAAGGTGATCGACCTGAACATTTCCGCTAGACTTTATATGGTATAAAGCCAATTGCGCCATCGAAGACCAGCCAATCCCGGGGCACCCGCAGAGTACCAGAACGCCATAACGGACCGTATACTAGTAGTACCTATCTTGTTAGTTGCTAAGCCTCTAGCTCATACCTTCACATTTTCTCCATCGGATTTGATTATTATATCTCTTCGAGCCTCATCTGAAAAAGGGACCGTTATGCCCATATAGATCTACATAATTGTTATTACTTTATATCAAGCTTATACCTCGGCTCATCAGCTTTCCTTGGTGGCAATCTTAAGATCTCCAGTCCCCACAGAGACTACGTACTTTCATACCACGACTCGGTCTGTTTCTAATTAAGCCTACGTGGATAACACACCTTTATAACTTGGAAGGCACGTCCTCTAAGCAAACTCTTTCTTAATATTACTTATTTGATATTTCACTTCATCTTTTTCATCTACGTCCGTGGATCAAATTACCATTCTCGACCATTACGACTAGCGACAGCATCTTGACCGATTGCTAAAATCGCAATTACCAAATACTCTTGCCCCTTGTATAATACCGATCTTATATTGGATTGCTATAAAATTCAACGTGTAATACGACAGTCTCTTATCCCTTACCTGTGTGGAATACTCACCCCCTGAATCGACCTATAACTTTCAATTTGTTCAAGAGCTTAATTCGGTCTTAACATTCACTCTGTTCAAATTCACCCCAATGGCCACTGGTACCTCTTTATAGCGCTACTTTAGGGTTGCATTTCCTTGGCCCGCGGGCTCATTCGTGGGGTGTTAAGCTCGTCTTTCATAGAGGCATCACGTACCACATCTCGACTATAAGCCCATCATATCCTTCCAGCAACTACCCACGCTTGCTACTCTTACAAATTCACTATTGCCACGATGCCTCAATCAAGGCAATTCGGCCAAAAATTGGCAAAGGCCTTGGGCATTAAACTTGAGGATCCGGATACGGACAACGTAACTAGAGGAGAGTCGGTCTTCTCGACGCACACCACGGACAGTTTCATCGAGCAGCAGCCTACAAGTGCAGAATGGCTAGCAGAGACTATGCCCTCCGGGAAGGACATGGCTAATTACGTCAAATCTCTATTTCCCTTCCTATCTTGGATTGGATTTTACAATTTACAATGGTTCCTCGGCGACCTTGTGGCAGGTCTGTCCCCCTTGTCGGACTAAGGCTGGTTCGTAGCTAACTTACTTCGAGGTATAACTATTGGTGCCGTTGTTGTACCCCAAGGAATGGCATATGCCAAGTTAGCCAACCTTCCAGTGCAGTTCGGGTTATACTCCTCGTTTATGGGTGTCCTTATCTATTGGTTCTTCGCTACCTCTAAAGATATTACGATTGGGGTGAGTTGACAAATCACCAAACCAGGTATATATGAAAATGAACAATCTGCTAACCTATGAAAGCCTGTCGCTGTTGTGTCTACCGTTACTGGTACCGTCGTTTCAAAAGCCATCAAGGAATACCCAGAGTATGCAGATGAGCCTTGGGTCATTGCCAGTGCTCTCGCTCTTATATCTGGCTGCATTGTGCTTTTCATCGGTTTGATTCGATGTGGATGGATCGTGGAGTTGATACCTCTAGTGTCCCTTGCCGCTTTCATGACCGGATCCGCCATCAACATCGCCGCAGGGCAAGTCCCCACACTTATGGGCATCACCGGTTTCTCGACGAGAGATTCAACATATTTGGTGATCATTAACACCTTGAAAAACCTTGGAAAGACCGATCTAAATGCAGCTATGGGGCTAACTGCTCTTGCGATGCTCTATTTGATTCGATTTTCATGCTCCTTTGCAGCAAAGAAATTTCCGAACCACAACAAATTATTTTTCTTCTTATCAACACTTAGAGCTGTGTTTGTCATTCTACTGTATACCATGATCAGTTGGCTGGTTAACATGTACCGCCGTTCAAACCCGGCCTTTGCGATCCTCAAGGACGTCCCTCGAGGTTTCCAACATGCCGCTGTCCCAAAGATCAACACAAATATTATCCGATCATTTATCAGCGAACTTCCCGCGACAGTCATCGTTCTACTAATCGAACATATTGCCATCTCTAAATCTTTCGGCCGTGTCAACAACTATATAATCAACCCATCGCAGGAGATGGTCGCTATCGGTGTGACCAACGTCCTCGCGCCCTTCCTTGGGGGCTATCCATCTACCGGTTCTTTCAGCCGTACTGCGATCAAGTCGAAGGCAGGCGTTCGAACTCCTTTTGCCGGTGTTATTACGGCGGTTGTGGTCCTCTTAGCGATCTACGCACTTACCGCCGTGTTCTTCTATATCCCATCCGCATCTCTCGCCGCCGTTATCATCCACGCCGTTGGGGATCTTATTACGTCACCGAACACGCTTTACAAGTTCTGGAGAATTTCGCCGATTGAGGTCATCATTTTCTTCGTCGGTGTGTTCGTTACCATATTTTCGACCATTGAAAACGGTATCTACGCGACAATATGCATCTCATTCGCCGTCTTCATATTCCGTGTTTTGAAGTCGCATGGAAGATTCCTAGGTAGAGTACAGGTACATTCTGTGATTGGGGATCACCTTATCGGAAACGACAGCAACGTGGTGAGTGGATATGGAACAATCGACGTCGATTCCGCCCCTTCGCCGCCGACACGCAATGTCTTCCTCCCGATCGACCACGGCGATGGCTCTAATCCAGAAGTCGAGGTGGCCAGCCCCTATCCGGGCATATTCATCTACCGTTTCTCCGAGGGATTTAACTACCCAAGTGCTAGTCACACTCTCGACTACCTCACAAGTCACATCTTTGCCAACACGCGTCGCAATAGAACAAACACCTACTCCCGTCCCGGCGACCGACCGTGGAACGACCCGGGCCCGAAGAAGGGACAGCAGGAAAACGACGAGCTCCCGACGCTAAAAGCCATAATCTTCGACTTCAGCTCCGTTAACAACGTCGATGTGACCTCGGTGCAGCAGCTGATCGACGTGCGCAACCAGCTAGACCGATACGCAGCGCCAGACCCAGTAGACTTCCACTTCGCGTGCATCAACAACCGGTGGACGAAGCGCGGCCTCGTCTCCGCCGGCTTCGGCTACCCGACGCCGCGCCCCGAACACGCGCGCTGGAAGTCCATCTTCAGTGTCGCCGAGATCGGGGGCTCCGAATCCGCCGCGGCCGCCGCAGAACTCGAGGCCAGCGAGAAGGAAGGCGGCGTCTTACGAACAACGATCAGCAGACCCGATACCGATACTATCAGCCCGTCGCAGGACAGCCCCGGTCCTAGTAAAGCGTCGAGCATCACGCAGTCGGCCGCGAAGAACAAGGCGCCAGAGTTCCTGACTCGTACTGCGAACGAGCCTAGGAAGGTCGTTGTTCATGGCCTCAATCGCCCGCTCTTCCATATCGATCTTACGAGCGCGCTGCAGAGCTCTATCGCTAATGTTAGGGCGAGGGAGGAGGTTGAGGCTGCTGGGGGTGCGGATATTGGGGTTGAGGTTTGAGGTTGAGGCTGCGGTTGGGGAAGGATTGTACATATTTACATACATGCATGCATACCAACACGATTGGGTTTTGGGATAGGAAACTAGAAAAGGGTTTTTTTTGCATTTTCTGCATTTTTTTATTTGCATCATGGCGGCTGGGTTGTAGAAAAGGAATCGGAATCGGGATACTTCGTTACTGTTGTTGTTGAGGAACTTTGTTTCGTTTTAGGGGATCTCGGTTATGCTTTGAGGTGTGATTGATCCTTCTGGAGCGAGATGAGATGAGATGAGATGCGTGTGATGTTACTTGCATAAACAGCTGGGGGGCGGGGTGTATGGTGGAGGCGGACGTGGAGGTGGGGGAGGGGGAGTGCGCTGATGGTTGGAGGTTGGATTTGGATATACCCCGAGTATATAGTGCGAATTGATACTCGCCTGCGAGATGACGAAATGAAACTTTTGATCTTTTTTGATGGGTGAAACTATTATTGCGAGATTCGAATTCCTTCATTTCTTATTTTGTTTTTGGTTTTTTTGTAAATACCTATAAATATGTTTTTGTTGGGAAGAAGTATTGAAGTTCCGGCGTAGTCGTTTAGGTACAATACAATACAATACCGGAAATCCCCTTGCATTGCGAGATTACGGGGTGTCCTGGGCTGCAACCGAGACCGCCACGACCGCCACGAGTTTGAGTTGTGCGAGGTTCCATTCGGCCACCACCGTGCGGTACTTTTCGGGATGGTTTGTAGGAGACGTACTTACTAACCTCCATTACATACAATATCACAGACCAAACCGCCATTCGGGAAATTAAAATCGGCTTTTTGTTTGTGCTACTTACTCACTCGTTGGTGTGGTGTGGTTTAACGAGATCCAGGTCTGAAATGCGACATCTCGAAGCCAGCGTCGTAGCGCGCAAGCGAATAACACGGTCGAATGTACAGCCCTCACCATAACTTTTTTTCGTCCCCCGGCGACGGCGACGACGGGATGAGACGAGACGAAATCAAACGAGATGAGGTGGGTTTTAGGATAGAAGCGAAGGAAGGGAAAGGGGGGATAGATAGGTAGATGATTACGCGGCCGTTGGATTCGGCGTACCGGCCCCGACCCGTTCGCGGTCGGGTTTGGGACGGCGGTTACGGATCGCTCGCTTGGAAATTAGGTAGGCACCTGTCTGCGGATGAGGCTCGTTCAGGGGAGGGAGGGAGGGGGGAAATATTGGGCCGTTGACGCGGGTAGGTTGGGTATGGGAGGGAGAATACGAGATGCGCATAATTGCCTAGGTAGAAACCCAGATAGGCGTACAATTGATTTTTTACATATCGGGGATAGACTTAAGTACGGGGTTGACATTAAGCGCTGCTTCATTGGGTCGGCCGGTCGGTTATTATGGCGGATATTTAGGAGATGAGGAGAAGAGGCGAAAGGGAGGGCACTCAATACACGCGATAGGTAAGTAATCTTGGGAGTTCGCGAGAAAGGAGTAGGTAGCGTTTTGCTAGAATTGAATTTTATTTTTTGGGCACCCTATTTATTTATCATTTATTCTTCATATATTTTCGTGAGAACTAGCCGTCTAGACGTAAAAGTGTAACCGTACGTTGTATAGTCGTCGAGCATAGGTAGGTAAGCAAGGGAAGAATTGCCTCCGCTGTCGAAGCTACTTAGGTAGGCGTTTTGATAAGAAATTGAAAAGGAGAGACGAGAAGTGAAAAGAAGAATAGCCCCGTTCTTGAAGAGGTTTATGTAGTATCTGTCGTGAGATCAGATCAAGTTTCTCGTAGGTACATTGTTCGCGCACATGGTTCCGGTAACAAGAATACCTGCTCGTTAGTTATGTGAAAGCACTAGGTGAAGTTGTGCGCCTATGTATGTGGGAAAATAGAAACGAAGTAAGCCAGCTCACTTCATCCTCTTCGCCCTGCGATCCTGCCCCTGGCTTGTCCTCTTCGAACCCGTAGCTGTCCTGTGGGAGCGTAAATGGTTTACGAGTGAGCTCAATCGCGTGATATATGAGTCTGGTGCGCCGAGCTCGGAGATCTTCTCCTGAATCGCCGTCAGATCGTCTATCCAAAGACTAAGGACCTGCGGTGGGATAGAGGATAGAACATCTACAGCGAAGTTGCGGTCTTGGTCGCCGACTAGCCGGAAGAATAGGTTGCGCTTTTCCTTTGGTAGGTCGGGAGGGCCGACGTCCTCGTTATGGTCGACGACTTGCTCGAGGGCGTGGATGGCGGTACGTGCAGCCGCGCGCAGCTCCCAAGTCTCGAGCGGCCGGTCGGTGTTATGGATGACGGAGTGGATTTGGTGTGTTACCATGGCCAGATGCATTGCGCACCATTCCACATTCTTCGGCTGAGCGACATTTTGTAGATGCGGGTTTTCCGAATACTGTTGTAAGCCAGCGAGTGCCGCGTCCGCTCGGTGCTGAAGACTCCGAAACCGGTTCTTGTTGAGCTCGTCGGCGCGCATCGATGTTAGGAAGTATTGGAAGAAGTCGTCATTGCAGAGCAGCATGCGAAATATTGTCTGTTCCAGGTCGCCTCTTTTGATGACTTTTTTGCCCTTCCTAGGGTTGTCGAATAGATCCGGGCGGTACTCGTCGATGGGGACCTCGTTGAGGGAGGCGAGCATCTCCCGTGATTCTTGGATCCGCCTAGGGTTTGGATCTGGTGACTGGCCGACAACATCGCAATGGAGGCTATCCGCTAGCATATCGAGATGGAAATCAGATATGGCATCATATGGATTCCCGAGCTCCGTCGCGATGCCGTGTTGAGATAGAGTGAAGGGACCCCTCTGGACACTTAGCACCTGGCTAGTGATTTGATCAAACAGCCAGAGGATATGGCGGCAAGGTGACTCGCCACGCTCACCACTCTCACAGGTACAACTTGGAACTCCATAGCCGCTGTCCTCCATCCCAGTCCGGATCGTATATTCTATCGGTTCTGTTATCAAGAAAAGGCAGCGTTGGTCTCCGGCTTGGCAGCCACGCAACACAAACTGAGAAGGGACTTCTATAGCCCTCGTGATGTTGTCTCGGGTCTCATCATCTAGTAGGTCAAGTGAGTATCTGAGGTTCGACGGGGACGTCATGTAACCATCATCATCGAAGTCGAAGTCCGGCTCGGTCTCAGACTCGGAGCTCGAGTCTTCCGCCTGTAGCCTCTGGCTCTGGAGACGAGTTACGGGAGGCATGCCTTCTAGTGAAAGCTTCTTGAAGCGTTCGGTTGGAGGGGACATCGAGGGTTGTAGATGAAACGACGATGATACTGAAGGATTTACTAGACATGATTTGGAAGCACGAGGATGGTTATATAGGATAATTATCACGGAAGTAGGCTGACATTAGGTCATCCCCTGTGTGCTAGTATACCTACGTAGGTAATGAAAGAGGCGGCCCATTATCAAGGCCACTCGGACCGCGTTGGTTCAGCGATAGTCATACGTTACTTAGTTGGTCTAAGTCGCCCGAATTACAGGAGGGTATTGGGCCGTGGGGGAGGAAGCACTGACGAGGGCGTCTCTACCGCCCGCCCGCTACGGGCCGGAAATGACAGCGAAACAAAAGGGAATGGTTCATTGTAGGAAATCTCGTCGCCGAAATGGAAGCCTGGGTACTTGGTAACTTCGTATGCAGAATCTGAGAGGCTGAGTCGCAAATGCAGGTAGAAAGAGACGCTGTAGATCAAACGAATGCTACCTGATCCTGACATGACACGCCTTTGGTGCGTGATTAATGTCTAGAACGAGTAACCATTCGATACCGAGGGAATGGATAGGACTGGCAATGCCGAATAGAGTCTTACGGAAAGTTTGGGTACTGCATAAGGCATGCAAGTAGGATATCGACAATCTGAAGTCGCTATAATACAATGGATCTTTTGTAGATGAATTGATCTGAATGCTCATCAGCCACACGGCGAGACCGGGATTGTGATTGGTGAACAAGCGGGATTGTGTAATCGGAGCGGGATTTTGTTCACTCACCTCCTTTTCTAATTTCTGCCTTGGGGAGGAACATAATCCGGATCTGGAGCTCGTGGGTTAGTATATAAAAGCACGGCCAGGGCCATCGATGCGACCGCCGCTCATTTGAGAGGTCCGTCGTGGTTACGGGCCACGATATCAGGCCCCAAAGCCTCGAACTAGGCCGCTTCTTGGCCGACCGCCTAGTCCGTCTTCAGCGAATCCGGCCCACTAGGCGACCAACAAGGCTTCTCACTCTCTCCCTCACCTTATTACCTTACTGTAAATTGCTTCGAGAAGGAAAGGAAAAAAAGAAATTGAGGGCTCCCACCACGAGCGATCCCATCTCGAACGGCTTAGTATCACCAGACGAAGTCTAAATGTTATCGCGGCTCTTGCGCATCGTGTTAAAATCGAGCGATCAAAGCAATCGAACTAGAACATAATCCGAATTACCCCCCGGGCGATTGCACTACTGCATTACCTATTTCGGTACTGAATACCGGGGTGTTAACCCGGCGCTCACGGCGGTCGAAATATCTGATATCCCAGGGAATCGGCAAGCATAAAACCTGCCTAGGTAGCTTTGGTGTATAGCCTCGAGAAACGCGTTTGTCTCATCATGCCAATGCGCGGGGAGGAACACTGCCGCAGAAGAGCAAGCAGGCATCAGCGCAGAATTCTTACATCTGCCAGTGTCTGCTGGTAACTTCGGCAAAATGGATAGGTACCTAGGTAGGTATGCACTGCTCTGCCTCCCCCAAAGTTTTCGAGCTTCGATCCAATTAGGTGCTGTGGTTCGTTCCCATCACCCGCTTCCCAAGGACCCCTAGGCATGGTCACTAGATAACTTGAGATGGCGGTTTGCTGCGCCGCTCTGTATATTCCCTTTGCCCTCGCCGATTCGCCACTTCACCTGCTTCTCGATTGAGACAGCAGCGGTGTGATTATACTTGCATAGCTGGGACAATCAAGCAGCTCCCAAAAAACTCATAGGGCTGACACGAAATTATTGAAATTCTTCTTTACGTCACTTCATCGTGGGTATGATGCCAATAAGTCTCCTGCCTTGTTGGTCTGCAGTCCTAAAATTCTTCAAGTTTCCTCTTTGAACACGAGGCTGCTACTACATGTCTCGATTCCTACTCCGTCCCCTTGTTGGTTCTGATGCTCCTGATGGTGGAATGTTCAGTCAGCTTATCCCCCCTATCTGGAGTATGTGTGGTTCCGGCCGGAGCCTTACTGGTTACCGTTCAGTCGGGAGTTGGTATAAAGTCGGTGAAGACTGGAAGCGACGCGGAAGGTAATGACGAGTGTCAATTCGGGCGTATACGGTAGCTCAGAATTTGATTGTTCTGCTAGCTACCTAGGTAGAGAGCCTGCCTACCTAGGTAGTAGCCAGACCAAGTAGAAATAGCGTGCGAGCCGTTTAACATAACCGCCTAACTGCCAAACACAGGTGATATAGGTAAGCTGATCACTATGCGGTAGCAGTCGCCCATGGTGAGTCAAAGCGGAAGTTATGATCATTGAGCACTAGAACGAGAGAAGAGGAAAAGTTGCTTGCAATGACTAGGTAGGTAGGTAGGTAGGTATATATTGTAGAGTCGACATGAGGAATGGGTGACGCTCCTCAACCGAACAAGGTACCTAGGTAGGTAACTTAAGGAGTCTGTCGTCTTACTTTAAGTGCGTGACCGGATGGTCTAGGGTGGTGCGAAGTTCAAGCGACGCCCATCAAGAGCTGTTCATTGGAATGATTTCCACAGGTACTCACATTTGTTGGTATCACCTATGTGGGTTACGTTGTGGCATATGCGCGACATTCGATAAGAATGTCTAACCTCTAGAAACGTTAGTGTAACACTGTTTATAAAAAATGATCTCTATGAGAGACTAAAACTTCTTGAAGGCATCGAATCCATACTGTCTTACTGTTGACTTCCATCCATGGGCGAGGCGGAATGTTGACCTAGACTTCTCACACAACCTCAGGAAACTTGGGTCTGAAATGTCTCTAGAGCCTCTAAAACCTGCTTCAGAGTCGGACGGCCATAGTAGTTGTCATTCCACTCCCCTTTTGAACGTTGAGAGTCTCGATATGCCAGAAATTTCTCTGCTTCCTCGATCTCAACTGACCAGAAGCGCTTCGCAGCCTCCCTGACGTCGTCGGCGCTTTGCTCCGTGGTATCCTTGGCCGTTAAAACGAGCTGGCTGTGTTTTCTCATTATAACATTGCTAAGCGTGCCCCTTCTTCCTCTGGTACATTTATCTATGAGATTCCTCATTGCGGGGGGAGTCTTCTTATATTCGGGGAATTCGATGTCGGGTTCCCATCGGTATGATTGCCAAACGGCCGCCCTCTGAGGACCACTGACCCCTTCAAATATGCACCATAGGACCCTGCCGAGCATGTATACCTCAGCTGCTTCTTGTTCTCCCGCGCTAAGCGCGATCCAAGGTAAGTTGAATCCATGTTTAGGATTTGTGTATCGTTCGTCGTCAAGTGATTCGAAAGAGGGGACCAGACCTCGCAGTATGCGTCGATATTTATCACTTACCGATTCGGGCACGCATTCGTCGGTCGCAATCAAACGGATGTATTCGATGGCATTGACTTCCGGGGCGGAAAACTCGCACCATACTCCTCTCTGTTCGAAATCAACCATAATAATATTAAAGCTCTCTGATAGGACAATATTGTCTAGGCGCAAATCAGGATAGTATGTCCCGGAGCGAGTCAAATGTTCGAGAGCCTTGGTCAGCTGGATCGACCACTTCAACTGATCGACACGCCGTAATTGGCCATGGGCGCGCGAGAGGGGTAGAATATCTCGGAGGGTGCCTTTCGAGTGATAGAACGTAGTGAACCCGGCAACAGCTTTCTTGGTGCCGAATTTGCATCTCTTTGTGACTATATGCATTGGCCGTACGATGATGTTTTCATGTGGTTCGATTGTACAGAGCGTCTTCAGCTCGTGATAGAGGTATTTTGCCGCGCTGGTCAATGCTTTGAATATGCAGAGCTGTTTGTTTATTTGGACAAGGCAAACGCTATCGTGTAAGACGCTGACAACGTGAAGGTCGAAGAAGTCAATGACCTCGGGAAACGGAAACCCCGGTCCCCAGAGCTCGGCCAGCCTTGGAAGCGGGAGCAGTTTATGTTCTAGGTCGTGGTTAAGTCCAGGCTTGATACGAACCCGACGTACATCGAGAGACATATTCTCCAGGACTAGACGTGATCCGAAAGGCACGCCTTTGTAAAAGTCCTCGAAAGCCGCGAGGTCCTTGAATTCGGATGTAGTCCAGTTCTGCAGGATTCGGACGATATGTTTTGCGATGGCAAGTCTAGGCAATCGAACAGAGTCTTTCATATGGAACGCCTTATGGAGTTCGAGCTGTTCCCGGATGAGGGGCGTTTGGAAATCGGAAACAAACACGTCCATGCGCAAAGGAGGGATTTTTTTAAGGAAAAGCGGAAGGACATAGTACTGGGTTCCCAACCCAGCACAGCCGTCTACACGCCATAGGGGATTCTGAGGTAAATCAAGGCTGTCTATCCGATTCTTCGGATTCAGAAGAGAAATTTCCCATGGGGGCTCAATGACCGAATCCGTTAGGTTAAGTGGTGTTTCTTGAGTTTCTTGAGTTTCATGAATTTCTTGAGTCCCCAAATGAGATCCGTAGAAGGCTGCGGTGGGGTGAACGACCTCCTCTATGGCTTTTGTGGACAATTTCATGTTTAGGTCGATATCGCTTTCGATGGCTTTCCGATGGCTTTTTGATGACTGAATATGCTGATAACCTTGGAGATAGACGAATACTCGATCAATAAGTAGTCGGATTCCGGCCAATGCATAAGAATAAGACTCAAGAGATTGAAGAGGGGACGTGGGTTTGGAGGATGCAAAAGACCGTGCCCAAAAGCTGCCCAAAAACTGGTCCGGCTCTAATTGTATGTTGGAATTAAACATAAAGACCGCGTGATGCTTCCTTGACGAGAAGCCACGTCTGCCATGTCCCGAGATTTTCATCAAGGTTTCCTTAACCGAAGACAGAGGCGCACCAAAAGCAATATGGCTGGCTACTTGACCTACCTAATGAAACTTACATAGGTGACGCCTGCCTACATGTTACGTCGAGATCCGATGTATCACGTAGATACCCGACGTTCGATGCTGCTAGGTATGTAGGGAAGTGCATACGCACAAGGGTTCAAATCAATCCTTAGGTAGATCGACTTTCGCCTTTAGCGTTGCGTGTTGACGCCAGTTTTGAGTTTCTTTGCTTTTTTCCCCCTAGGGCTTTCCTTCTGCTCGAGAAACAAGTCGTGTATACTCCCTTCCCCGCGGAATGCCCAAAACCTAAGAGCTGAATGTGGTTGTCTGCGTGGCTTGGTTATTTGGCAATGGCTGAAGGAAGGCAGAGTTGCCGCGGTTTTGTGGCTATTAAAACCGAGCAGCCGCTCCAAGCCGCAACGGGCGTTAGCAGCTGCCCTTAGTATGCCGAATTTCCTAATCTTCTAATCTCCTAATCTTAGCCTGTGTGATTGCGCCTACTACCTATTAATACTAGGTACGCATGATCCGGCAAGGACCAGAAAAGACAACTTGGGACGACAACCACGGGTGGGTGGCGAGATCACGATGCCTCGACACTTAGCCAACTAAAATGGAATCCTCGCTGACCGAGTGCCAGACCGGATGCACGTTGTGCCAGCCATTTCTCTAAGCTGAGCGGTAGTCGGCCCTAAAACGAAAAAAAGCAAAAATAGGGGGAATCTTGCCGGGTTAATGATTGGTCGGGGCTGTCCGGTTTGGCTCCGCATTGCTTACATACCTGGTATGTAGGTACCTAGTTACCTAGGTACCTACCTATTACTTGTAACTTTGCAACTTGATTCCTCCCTATGTCAGCTAGCACAGTGTTGACCGTCGCAGATGAGGCTGGTTTCTTTGATTTTATCGGTCGAAGGACTGTTGGGAAAGCTCCTCGATATCTCGTTAGTCTGCGTTGATGGCATTTACCTACCTTGGTAGGTAGCTTCAGAATACCCATCTACTTAGGTAGTAGTGGAGACATAAGAGTTGAATCATCAATAGGTATCGGCGTACTACATAGTAATAGTAAAGACGGAAATCTATTTAGATTATTGATGGCTTTCGTATATAAACTTTTCACTTTGGATAGGTGCTTTGAAACCGCGCTGATGAGGGCATTGCTATTACAGCGTATACGCGTTGCCGTACCTGATTCGAATACCTACCAGGCATCGACCTATTCATGTCTGCATTATCGTGATTAGTCAAGATACTGATTTCATAGGGCTGACACATAAAGGCTTGGCATTTCCCCTATCTAGGTACCTACTTTCCCCATTGCTAAGAATGTACGGGAGCCACAGAAGATATTGGAAGCGATGATGGTATTTGGGTTGACTTGTTTGATAAATTAGATGCAACATATGTAAGTGCCTATATATCATGATTATTGAGAATAATCATTAGAATAATAAGTAATCTGGAACTTATGTAAACATGAGGCTCTATATGTGGAAATCAGGGGGCGAAATAAACTTGACTCACTACCTCCTTACTTACCTAGACTATCAGATACCCAAATATTATGATGACTTGAATGACCAAACTAAGAACTTAGATAGAATAGAGAGCAGTGAAGTATGGAGCAACGGTTTGATTAAAAGGAGGTCAATATATCTTATAAGTAAGTTATTCATTCTGGGTGTGAGTGTTGCTATGACACCGGTGATTAGACATTGCGGGGTTGTTATTTGCTTGAAGTCAAATTAAAGTAGGTAGGTGATATAGAAAAGTGTAAGTTCGAAATTCTGATAATCATAAATTTCGTGTATCTCAAAGTTTCTTGACAAAATAAATCGTGACTTCCACTTCCACGTGGCGTGTGCTATGGAAACGTTTTCCCGTCAAAATAACATCGAACATCCATGAACCTCCCAAACGGGAAGTTTCCGCAATGTGGGGGTCCCTAATTTTGGTTAATCATCCCCTGGCTGATGATGTCAAGTTAGGGAAAGAGGAGAGGGGAAATGAGGAGGAGCAACCTGGAGTTAGGGTACCTATGTGTAACAGCAAATGACATCATGAATTGGGGGGTCCCTTAAAGTTACCTAAAATGATCAATAAATCGGAACAATGAGATGTTCACATGTTAGCCACGTCTGCCACGTGCAGGATGTAGATACTGATAATGAATAACGAGGAAACCAACTCCCTTCACATTCGGTAATTTTTTGCAAAACTTCCAAATAAGCGTTGCTTCCGACATCTTGAACTTCCATTTTCTACCAAGACGGATGCACGAATCCCGAGACGAAGACGTACATCTCTAAACCACAATCAGACGAAAACGCATGCCTCTTAAACTTAGGTGTAGGCATGTGCATCTAAACATTTGTCGCAGATCTTGAGAGATGCATTATGCTTGAAGTTTCCTGGTTCATGATAAGCTCTACCATTCAAACCCCAAAGTCGGTAATCGCGTGACCTATCCGCGTCAAGCGTCAACGGTTAGTTTGAGACCCTGTGACTAGGTACTCGGTAGAGCTAACCCGAAAATACCCAACATAATCCATCGGTATATAGCCATGCTATATCTCTAGCCAACTAGTTAGTCTTCAACGATGCAAGGCTCTCTGGTTCATCGGACGTCTCGGTCTGGTCATGTTCGATGTCGCACGACTTGGGCATCAGTGTCAGCTCTCACCGGTCGCCTATCTATTGCCACTTCACATATATTGAAACCTAACATGAGGTGCACTTTCAGGTATATACGCTAGGGGCGGTGAGCTATACACGGAGAAGTTTGAGTGGACGAGAACGCGTGCGGAGATCACGATGTTGCCCAGATTATATGAGCATAAGCGGCAGGCATGTATCACAACCACAGCCGATGTTTCGTTGTGGTGACTCGTAAGCCGCACATCCATGGTATAGGGGGAGATATATTACCTCAGCCGACAGGTTTAAGCTTAGGAATCCACGTGTAAGAGTATGCGGGGTGAACTGAGATGGTAGTAAAATTTCCGAGCCGCCTTTAAATTTGGAAAAAGGGTAGGTGCATGTACCTACCTTGGTCCTTACTAACCTAGGTTCATAACTTGGGATGAATGGCATGATGATCCTAAGTTGAAACGTTTATAGGTATGTACATGGGCTGATATAACAAGTAACTGTATGATTACCTATTCTGCAATAACTACTTGCCTGTCAGTCTGTGTAGTACCTGGTAAGTATGTAGGTAGGTAGGGATGTATGTACTGTAAATCTATATCCTCCAAGCCTTACACCTACCGAGCGCTAGTAGCCTTACATACAAGCAGCTCCACCTAAACTGTCAATTGATTAAATCGTCGAGCACGTGTTTTAACTTCCACTCTCTTACATCTGAGCTACATTCTCAGATCATGGAATCATGCAATTTGCTTGATCGCAGGGAGGGATAAGCAATGAAATGTAACTCACCAAGGTGGTCGCCGTCGTGGAGAATCCTAGTTGAGTATTAGTTACTACCTTATTGTGTTCGGGATTCGGCTCGAGGGATTTTGGTGTCTATAAAAATTCAATCCGAGTTCCTAATTCGGTAGGTATCGCATCGCGTCCGCGTAAGTTGATAGGCTTAATAATAAGGGTCCCCCCCCTTTACTCTCGCGCTATCACACGTGAACCCTTAGCAGCACAACCCTTAAAAAACCCCTGTGCTCGACGGGAGACTACGGTAGGCGGAACTTTGAGGCTGGAGGTGATGGACGTACGCGATTACTTGCCGATTATTAAGATCCGCCGTAGCGGGTCCGGCGAAATACATAGAAATGATATATGCCGTTGTTTCGTTGGCTCGTGGAGCTCGTGTATCCCCAAGACCAAGAATGAGATCTGAAGCGGTTGGATACCTACGTTGGATACGTTGGCAGTCAGGCAGTCAGGTCAGTTGACACGGCTGATATAGACCTCGCCTTTCCTGATTTGCCTAGGGTCGAAGAACAAACTCCACATTCCGTTCAACGTCGTTTTTTGGGTCGCCGCAATTTACCTACGTTTTAGCAGATTTCCATTCTAGACCGATCATGCCTGTTTCTACTTTGCCGACGACCTACTTAACGTACCTAGGTACGTGCTCAAATATACGTACGATCAGCATCGAGTTCCTTGGGCTTCAATTGGGTTCCCTCTTATTAGCTTCTGCAAGGCGGAGAATAGTTCAATCGAGTTTCGTCGTTCAATGGTACGTAAGCATGAATCGGTCCATTGAACTTATGCGAACAGATGTTTTAATTTTCGCCCGAGACTAATGATTATCTTCGGGTTAACGGGTTGATATTCGAGCAGGGGTTTAAGAATTAAGGTCAGGGAATAGGGAAAATGAACCCGAAATGTGAAAAGAGAGGGAAAAAGAGATGCTAGTGCGGCTTTGGTGGAATGATGACATCTCTTACTTGCATTAAAGCTTACATTCAATGATCATCCTACGTAGTACGGGAAAGTACACCAGATCCCACACTGCGCACGCCGCCCACGGTTCGCTTGGGTCCCTTCCAAGGTTTATCTTTCGATGCTATACCCCTCAGGTCCCGAATTGCCCACAAATGTCCGTAACTGCCCCAATTCGATCAAGTTCGCAGGGCTGCTCCATACCTATCCTTACCTATTCCTTACTGAGTTGCGTGGAAAGTTTGAGGTAAAATTTCGGAGACTTCTTTTTTGAGCCGTATTTGAGCAGGTACAACCCAAGCTTGGAAGCCGTCGACCCGTATCGTACCGTACATGGTAACTTCTTTCCCAGATCCCTGCCCCTTGCTTATCCCTTGACATCCCGACATCTTCCCCCAGGTCGCCCTCCACTTCTCTTCCCCCCCTTAAGTCCCTTGGTCCTATCAAGTTTATCTACTCACTAACCCCCAAATCTGACGATTGAAACCCTTGGTCAGCAACAGATTTGTATTGCCTCATTGTAACTAATACAACCAAAGCTAAGCTTATTTGCCCATTTTGCCCATTGCCCTGTCGAACGGTTGCACAAGGTCCAACTCTCATTAACTAGGTATTTCCCCCTCTTCTTTAAACCGGTGAATGCGCCGATTCAACGGTCGCGTAGAAACTTCCTCACCGAGTTATCTTTCTTCATCAGTTGCCGCATTTCTTCTTCCAATCATCACCTCTCCCGTACGGCGTACATCTCATCGGGCGGCAGCATACCGCCGTTTTTTTCCCTCTCTTTTTCTTTCCATCCTCTCTTTGGACCTCCTCCACATTTCACCCCCAGCCTCTATCCACCTGCTGACAGTTAATTCAGCCCCCTTCAAGTTTCTAATTGCCCAGATAGGCTCATCGACGCAGGCGGCTCGTCCCAGTATAGCTATTGTACCTCACAGCACAGCATAAAATAACATAATACAACGCGACACCAAGACATAGTCGCATTAGCTCTCTGATGATCCTGGTAGTCTTATTAGCGGCAATGACGCCCGTGAGACATTGACGTACGCCGCCTTTTACACACCCTTATCCCTCAGACGCTCGGTGAGGCGTAAGGAAGAGGAGAAGAAAAAAAAGACGCCCGCAGCTCTTTGATTACCGCAGCTGTTACTACTGCTGGCTCTCGTTCTGTTGTACACATAGAGGCGTCTGGACCTCGTACACACACCGGTGACAAGATTTCGTTTAACACACCTCCGTCTTCATACGCTCCCTTACGGAACGTACAATGGTAAGGTTTTTCTTACTATATCCCTCTCCTCTAGATAGCCCAAGTAGTGCATACCTTGTCTGGATTCCAGAGTGCAGTCCGTTGACTTGCATATAGAATAATCATAATATCAGAAAGCGCCGGCCCTATGGCCACGGGGATCCCCCGGCAGTGCCCGTGCCCTTGGATCCCTCGTACTCACCCTCTACTTCTATTCCTTCATCTCATTCGGAGGGCTTCTCCGTCCAGGATCTACATATACTCCAGCAAGCAGCATCCATATTAAATTGCCATGTTTCCCAGTTGCTAGGACTTAATAGAAGCTCTCATCCGCAGCAATACCCACCCTCTTCTATCTCATCTATACCATATCCAATTTCATCGAAAAGACAACGTCTTAGTGCAGACATGACACCGGCATCCCCTCAGGAGAAGTCCTCGCCACCTACGCCCCCCGTCCAAGATGGCTCTGACCGACCCCGTGCCCCCGAGGTACCAAATAATGGTTTCTCTATGGGCATAGATCGCTCCCGTCTGGCGCAGTACTTTTCAACCTTCTCTGTCTGCTCGCCCTGCACAACCTGCGAACCCCAAGGTTTGCTTCCTATTCTAGTTTATCGTGTCCCACCAAACATACTAAATTGGACTTAGTCTACGGCCAAATCCCGGCCACCTCGCCTTATTCTTATGCCCCAGCACGGCAATATTTCGATGACAGTTCGTCGTCCCCCGGGCCAGCACCCGGAACCATATCTCCAGACCCATCTAGTGTCTTTGCTCCTAATGACCCCTCCACAGCCCCATCGATGATGTCCAATTATCCTATTCTGCAGCCGAACCGACCTATGACAATCCAGCCTTCTACTAGCGGCGAAGGTATGGTATATCCAGAGTCCGTGTCCGGCCAGCAGTATTTTACTCAGCCAGACTTTCGCCCGGATTTACCTAGTCCTATGACGAATGACATGATGGGAGCTCAGCACCATTACACCCCGTCGTCTTTAAGACAGAACAGCACAGCCGAGGATGTCCTACCTCAAGAAGTAGATAGAACTCGGACTGCCAGTAAGACTCGTGAGTTGGACATCTTGCATCCAAATCAACGCCCCCCGGCTGCGAGAAGAGGCCCGTTTAGATCAAATGAAATACGGCAGGAAACTGCCGAAACGAGACGAATAGGTTCTTGTATTAGGTGCCGTATGCAGAGGATCCGCGTAAGTCACCACATCGTAGCCCCCATCGTTCATTTTCTAGTAGCACCTGAAGGTTTTAGGCACTAATCTTTCAATTTCAGTGTGAAATCAATCCTGATGACAAGCTTGGCACGTGTAAAACGTGCTTGAAGGTAGCTAACATGAAGGTGTGGCGAATGCCTTGCCTTCGTTACAAGATCACCGACGTGAAGTTGTTCAAGCCGGGGAACGTAAAGGGGTACGAATGGACACGAAGGTGGATTGAGGGTATCCCAGACGACATATCGCAATGGGAATCAATGGATATAAAAAGAGTCAAGGTCACTGAAGGCTACACTAACCAACCTATAGAGCTCCGAGTCCGTCGATTCATCCCCCAAGAAGGTGACAAGCTTGAGCGAAGTTGGGTTCACGACGGTAATAGGAAAAATGTCAACATACCTCCTTATGCTATCGTGAATCTTGAAGAAGCGAAAAGCATCTATATCGAATACATCAGACAGGGATTGCCTGAATGCTGCAAGAAGGTACTCTTAGGCAAGGATAGGCTATTAATTGCAACGTACGGTGCCGCAATCAAGGCCTCAAGAGATCAGGCGATCGATCCCAAGGAAAGTGCACTTCTCAAGAAAGCACTCCAGTTGTGGATGGCTATTCGATTGACAACAAAATCGACCATTATTGTTGGGGATGAAACGTTGGGGATGCCTCTCGATATCATGGATGATACAAGCCCACTTCGAGGATGTATCCCGTTGCCGCCGGTAATGGGTGCGCAAATCGAGTTGGTCCTCATTCACCAAATCCAATCTAGCCTTCGTCGGGAGATGTTAGAAAACTTACAGACGATGACGCAAGCAAACAAACACCAAACATGGTTCACGACATACCTTATTACCTTCATCTTGCTCCACAACGTAGCCCTTCTCTGCCAGCACGACGCCGGATATGCTCGTAAGCACGGCATCAAGGTGTGTAACGAATGAGTGCCAACGAACCATAAGGGCTGCCTCGCTCACTAATCAAGTTGCAGAGTCGATTCGCGAGAGAAGAGATGGTGAGGGAGTACCAGATGGGTAAGCCGTTGTGTCTCTTCGAGCGGACTCAAACTTTCAGTATCAGCGTTTTAGTTCGTAGCTTCTGACACCCGACTCTGCAATAGGTGCGAATATCCTGCTGGCGTATTTTCATTACTGTAATAAAAGTAAGAAAGACCGGTATCCCCTACAGCTTCCTACTTACCAATGGTTCTGACCGCTGATAGACATATACCCATTCTCCACGAAATGCAAGGAGCAAGATCTGTCAACGATAGCCGAGCTAGATGAGACCCAGATTAAGCTCATTCAGTTCACAAGGTCAAACATTGAAAAATATAGTAAGTCTTGCGATATTTAGTTTCCTGTCGGGCTCTTAGGATTGTACCTTCCAAGGCGGGTAGATCATTAGGTAACTAATTGGTCTCGTAGAGAGGCACTGGGCGAAAATACGTCAAACAGAGGATTATGAAAACGATTTCTATTACATCAGCCAGATGTATGAGGAGAACTGGACACCGCAATCGACGATCTGAATCCATTACCTAGTAGTATGGCGGAAACTCTAAAAGGTGTATAGGCGAAACCTCAAGTTGAGACTAATGAAAAAGCATATACGAAGAAACTTGGAAACTCAAACATTACCTAAGTTGAACTTGCATTGCGTTTACGGAACTTCGACTGTATGCTGGTGCAGCAGTATGCATCAGGGACGGAAGCTGCACGCACTCCTATTCGCTGGAATTCGCTAGGTACTGCTCCAGGCCGTCTAGGTTGGTCAGTGACGATGATCTATAATCTACTAGGTACCTACCCACCTACCTAGTAACCAATGCAGCTTCCCCTGGAATAAAAACAAGAAAAGAAAGAAAGAACATTGAAATGAAGGAAGGAAGAACTGCAAGCATGGACGAGACATACGCACTGATAAATAGCTATAAAGTTTGAGCTCGATCGATGTTGCCGTTATATCAAGTAGGTCTCGAGAGCACTACACTGCATCATTCTCACCTAACAATGACTATAGAGGCTGGAAGCAGCTCTGCAACGGTCCGGTCCTCCCGCATGAAAAATACGAGCCGTCCTACCTAGGTACCTAGTAGGTATGCACCAAGGATGCAATATTCCTCTGGTTGAAGCGATATCGAAGATCAAGTCGGTGTATCCCGTCTGCTAAAGTACCTGGGCCGATCGCTTGGGCCATCCGCGGAAGTGTATCGTTACCTAGTAGCTACACGGCACAATAATTCTTTCTACAAACCACCTCCCAGTATACCTACTGGATACCTACAAAGTAGGTGCGGATACGCCACTTGTTGGACAATACATACCTACCGACAAGACATTCAATGTTCCCGGTATTTGCAGAAAGGGCAAATGATGAACTAGCGCCAAGAAATTACTATATAGGTACATTGCGACGACGATTTTAAGTCCGAGAAGTACCTACCTACCTACCTACCTACTACCTACTAGGTAGTATTCATCGGATCAATACATGCATGTGGGAAACTGCATAGGTACCTAGGTACTAGGTACATATTATGCGGCTCAAGGGAAGCCACATTACCATCAACCCGGTTAACGTCCTGGCCATTCGATCTTGCATAATATATTTAGCACTTGCAGAAAAAGCAAAAAACCAAGCCTAGGTGGATGAGAAAGCAAGACTGGGTAGGTGATACGAAATGACGGCCAGCCGTGCGTATATATATGTATCTTCGATACCGTCATACAACGCCATACATACGTATCTCCTACTTCTGCAGTAGGTACGTACGTATGTAGTTTCCATAGGTTCCAAGGTTGTCTAGGCAGACACTGGTGTACGGAAGGTATAATCAGCAAAAGAGTTCGGTCTGATTCAGGATGAATGTGGCTTGAATGTTGCTTCCTGAAAGTATTTGCTCTTGTTTGCCCTTTGATATTTATGAGCTGGTCCTCAATTTCCAGAATCTCTCTTCTCTTTTTTTTAGATCCATATCCATATCTTACCATACGTCTCTAAATTTTGGTACCAACCAGAGCAATCCTTCGTCCGTTTCAGTATATTAGATGTAAGTTGATAGCACAGAGTTATCATTGGTGCAGCTAACAAAACTAAAGATAGCTACAATATGGAATTCGAGAGCCCAGTTTGCCACGGTCTTGCACCTAGCTGGATTGCATCTGTGCATGGATCTCGCACCAATTGCGTTTCCGAGGGGTTGTCTAGCCTCCCCAGCGGTTTTCCTCATCATCTGCATCAAGACCTTGCTTGGACAGGTCCTCAGCTAGACAGTAGTGAGCCCCACTACATTCTCAGCTTGACCGCAGACGAGCTGGTGGAAGTACGATCCGCCAAAGATCACTTCAAAGGTATGCCTTCTCAAGAGCCTTTCTTTGAGGTTCGTTCCGTTTGATTTCATCTTACTTTCACTGACTCTCAACCTCCAGCACTGGAATTGGACGGAGATTTAGTCAGTCGAGAAAATTTCCCTCTTCCCACCCTTGGCTCTAAGCTAGAAGCGCTTGGTCAAGACCTTTATAATGGGAAGGGCCTCTCGGTTGTTCGTGGTATCAACCCAGATGATTACTCTGTCGAGGACCTTACCATCATCTGGTTGGGAATTCAAGCCTACATTGCCGATCAGAGAGGATGCCAAGATCATCGTGGAAATATGCTTGGTAAGTAGTTCTACGACATCATGAACTAAAGATCATTTTTATTAACGTTGCTTTTAGTCCACATCGTCGCCGATGGCTCCTCCATGATGAAGCTGGGCCACCACCGGCACTCTACCTCCGCTATTGTGAGTTAGACTTGCTAATTATAATATTGTCTTGTTATGCGTTCTGACGATATGTATAGTCGTTTCACAATGAGGAGGCAGGCGATGTGGTTGCTTGGTTAACCCGCAGCACGGCAGCTTCCGGTGGCAAGTGTATTGTTGCTTCAGCATACACGATATACAACGTTCTAGCGGCCCATCGTCCCGACATCATACGTACCCTTGCAAAATCGGATTGGCCGTTTGCTTTGTAAGCTCATTCTACATCCCATTATACCCATAAACAGTTCTAATATCGCGACTTAAGACCTCACTTCCAATGTCGTCCGATACTATTTTACCAGGACTCGAGGTTGATCATGAATTTTGGCCGCACACCCCTACTGGGTAATGCCGTCCACCCACGCCCAGAGCATCTCCCAAAACTCAATGATCGCCAACGCGAGGCGCTCGATATAGTCGAAGCCATCGCCCAGGCAGTTCAGCTTGAAATCAAAACCCAGGCTGGCGATATGCATTTCATCAACAACCTTGCCGTACTTCATAGACGGGAAGGTTTCGTCGATGGCCAATCCGCTCAGCAGAAGAGACATCTAGTCCGCATGAGACTAAGAAACCCGCAGCTAGGGTGGGATATCCCCGACGATCTAAAGCAGGAATGGCACGATGCATTCGAGACAGACACTTGCCAGACGTGGCACCTCGAGCCGATGCCCGGCGACGTGTTCCCCCTCCGCAAATACACTAACTAATGGGACAACGCAGATGCCTTAGGAAAGGGCGGGTATAGATGCGTTACACTCCAAGGGTATATGGAAATTCGCGTTAGAATTCCAAGTGGGGAGAATGATGACATCTCAATATGGTTGTTTCTTTTCTCATCGTTTCTCCTTGTTTCGTTGGACTGTTTGATTGTTTCGTCAGCAGGGACTCAATTGTGAGAGAAAGGAGGGAGTTTGTTCACTATCAAAATCGGCGGCACTACCTAATGGGATCAACAAGTCTGTTCAATAACTACCTAGAACTAAACTCGAAAAAGACCTAATAAAATATTCTTCACTACGTCTTAGTTACCCTACCTGAGATATCTTTTATTCCGATATTGTTGCAGTCTGGGCCGGTCTCCTCAAAACATCCCCACAGCAGTGGCGCGTATTGGCCCTACGCCCTCTCAGCATTGACTTGGCAACACAGTTTTCTCTATAATACTACTCATGTTCGAATCAAATCGCGAACCTACCTAGTGTGGCCATATTGGCATTGTCAGTAGCCGGCCGGGGATTTAATATCCTTACGCGGACGACGTATGTTTAGTGGCGGTAGGGCATTTCCCGGGAGCGACAACATTGGTTGATAATAGAATGAATAAGTGTGATCCAGATCAGCCCGCTTTTTTTCTTCTTGGTAGGTAAATAGGAGTAGCAACGGCTGCCACCGTCTCTTTTGACCTTCTTTAAGCTACCGTCGGATACTTCTTCGCGCGTCTAGGGCTACATACGTACATACATATGTATGTGGTAACTACCTCCCTCTGTACACATGTAGCAAAATCTATACGTGGTACGTATCTGGACGTCTTGATAATACCCTTAGTCATTAACCAAGAAAGACGTAACCACGGCTCTGTCCCATCTATGATACCCTCCCAAGGCTTTGGTGATTGGGGCTAAGATCGGAGATCAAACCGGGACCTGTGCCTATCTCTGTCATACACACGCGCATATACACACATACGGATGAGACCTTTTTCTAACACTTTTTCTTCTTCTCTCCCCAATCTTCCCTCGTCTAGTGAAACATTTCTCAACACTAACGAACCTAGGCTCTCTCGAACTGCAGGAATTCAAACCGTTTTGATCGATATGCATCGTGCGCACATCCGGTAGCCAGCCGTTGGCCATCCAAGATGTTATATATAGCGTGATTGCGGAGGAGTTGTCACCTATTTAGTGGAGCTGGCATCTAGAGCCTTTCACTAGTGCTACGACAGTAGTTTTTGCAGTAGACTATTCTCGTAAATACCTACATGGGACGGAATAGTGAAGTAGTATGTGGCTATACCCAAATTTCCCCTGTCTCTACTCCCCCCTTTTCGGAAAAGTTTTATGCTGGAGAAAGATCTCGCTAGCTGGTTCCTATCGCCTTTCAACCTCACCCGCCGACCCGACCGGCCGCATTCGTTGGCCTCGAACCTTGCAGTGTGCGTCGTAGTATGAAATTAAAGGATGTGTAATGTCCGTGTAGGTGCCGCACTCCGTGGCCGTGTGGGCTGATGTCCGGTCTACTTGGCTACTTCGCCACTTCGCCACTCCGGCTACTGCACGTTAGTAAGACCGACTAGCCCCGGCTTGACCAAGGCAAAAGACCAAAAGTCTTTACGCTAAGCATCGAGAAAATTTTAGCGACGCGAATGTTTTCCGAGGAGGCGGAGAACAGCGTTTCGGTCGTTGAATGTCGTACAAGCTTAAGCCCACCCCATCCATACCTGCAACGTACGTACCTAGGTATCTGCATATGCAAAGCATCATGTAGGCGACCTGCCTACGGCATGGCGGCTGCTTCTTTAGTAGATAGTCATTACTGAGCATCTGCTATGTACTATCATATATCTTGTGTGACCGACCTAGGTATGCGTTAAACCCTGACCCTCTCGGAGCGCGCGCACCGGTCCGGATCTTCCGCACGCGCACAGCGTAGGTATGCCAAGACTAGTATTCAGCCACCTCCAATTGAAGCTAGAGTTGGCAGCCCTGTTATTCCTCATAGGTATCTACATTACCACTCACTCACGTGGCTAGCCTACTACAATCGTCACCGGTCCTTATTTTTCTTTTCTCACATCCCGTGGGCTGAAACAACGGGCACGGCAAAAGAAAAGAATATTAAAGCCCATAACGCCCCTCTGCAACACTCCTGCTTCTTCAAAGAAGCGGTCGGGAGCTGAGAGATTAGACCGACCGTAACTCGCATTTATGAATACCTAGATCCTGTGTGATCGGCAACATTTTGTTGATTCCAGAGACGCCTCATGCATATCGTCAAGGTCTGGACTCTCATCTATCACTTCGACCCACGTTATGCCCACGTCAGTATTCTGTCAGTTTATTGACGACGACCAGTGTTTTGACTGCAAAGCTCGACTAGAAACGACAAGGGCGAACCGTCAGTGGATCGGAGCAGACGGAACCAGCGACCCGTCCCTTATTTGATACGTATTATTTGCCTCAGCACTAAGGGATAAGAAGAGGCACTTCTATCATATCTCACAAAACTGCAGGTGGAAAAATTACATGTAGGTTATTGAGGGGGGTTGGTGTGGTGATAGAAAGGGGAAAAAACACAAGCCTGGGCTTCTCCGTTCAAATTTGGCTATCACAGGCTCATCTTCGCGGCGTCGGAGTTCCTCCTAGAGATAACCCCAGTTTTTCCAGTACCGTAGACTGCTAAGTGCTCCAGATCTCCCGACGTACGATGTGCCGCCTAGCGCCGTCTATGGAACCCGAACTCCCAATATTTGGGAACTCCGTGTTCTCGGATAGCTACCTACACCTTGGTAGGGAGACGCGAAGGTACAAGAACGGCCCAGGCAGCCCAGGTTCCAGGTAGTACGTGACGAAGGATAGGAAGGGTAAGCACAGGTAACCCTGCCGTGGCTGCGTGGTACATAGCGCCAAAACGCCTCTGTGGGTAGGTACTATGTACCATACTGTGCCGCTAGCGAATACCTGGTTCTAGCAGGAAGCCAAGCACGCCTCCAACATCACTCTGCTAGGGAAGTGGATGGACGCACTTACATCCACATTTGAGATCTTGAAGGTATGGGGTCCAGGGCAAGGGCTAAAGTATGGGTCTGGGTCTGGATATGGGTATGGGTAAATCTGCAAGGTGAGCGTGCATTTAGACTGGATGTTGCGACGGTTGACGCTAGTGCAAGACGGGCTGACGGGCTGCTTGCCTACTTTTGTGTTCTTCGACATACACAAATTGCCACTCCTCCTTTCTGCAACATATCGGGATGCTGAGTTTCCACCTACATTTTGCATAGGCGAACAACGGGAACTCAACGGCATCCTTTTGCTAGACACACCCGCGCACATATGGACGAGCCAAGCATCATTGTGTTGTCATCGGGAGCCACGACGCAAAGCCGACGAAAATGCACGATAAGGGGGAATGTATAGGATCAATGATCCTTTATCCTATTACAACGAAGACGGCCAACAGAATCCAATCATAGTGACGAGGTTCTGCACTCATATCTGAAGAGACTTCCTCGTGCACAGGTAAAGAATAGCTGATCTCGATCAGCACAACGACGGTCCATACAGAGTCGTAGCTATCTTAAAAATCTTCAACGGGAGTAGAAAGGGTGTAACATAAGCCACGAACTCGTGAACTGTGCGCAATTCTGTAATCGGATTACCCGATGGGGGTGTAGGAACGCATCAGGTACGGTTTCTCCATGTCATCGATCTTCGGGAATCACGCCGTCGAAATTCCAGAGGCGAGAGGCGCGCTTGGGAAGAAATAGTGACTAATGAGACCGCACTTCGGCCGTTTTCATCGCGTGACCCGTTGCAACTCGACGCAGGACGGGCTCCATTCCAAAGGAACCATTCCTTGCGTCAATCCTTGAATGGTGACGAATTAAGTCAGCCCATCCTCCACATTCGTTGAAGATGTGAACTTTTGCGAATGTGTAAGAATCTTAAAGTCGGAATAGAAGTGAGTAGAGCGAAGCGGGCTTTGGACGTTGATGATGATTTGGTAAAGCAACTTCCACTACCTACATGTCGACAGGGGGGGCAAGGGGGGCAAATTTTGGTTATTGGGCCTTGCCTGCCCAACCCAAATCCCGGATGAGGAAATAGAGAGTCCCTTAGTCCGCCAGCTTCAAGTAAGGTTCTCATTGAAGTATGAGTTGTACCTTACTCCATGCCTACCTACATACATACCTACATACCTAGTACATGCTTTCCATGTCTCAACATTGAATAGTACCGTCGGTGGCACTGCCTCTAGTCTTCTGTATATGTATGTACGTAAACTAGGGTGCGTACATAATAAACTCGTGTCTAGTACTCAGTACTCAGCATGTACTCGATACTCGAACGTCGGCTAATGCTTTCGGGTAAACAAGGGGGCCAAGATGTGCAGGTAACCACATAAGCACATAGCCACATTCTGCAGAGTCTGGAGGTTGGAGGTAGCTATTACCTTGTATGCCCCCTAACTAAGGCAGGCATCATCTAGGTTTGTGCCTATCGAGGATCAAGGCTTCCTCGATACATGAGAGAGGGTAAACTTACTTAGTACCTTTCTCTTTCTCCTTCTCACTTTGCATACTTCCATACCTAGTAGTTTTCTCCATATTCCCATACCTCCATACATCCATACTTCTAGATATCTCCTTCACAGGTAAATTTGTCATTCTTTTCTCCTATTGTTCACCCAAACCGTCTAGACCTCCAGGGATTCCTTGACAAAAGCCACCCACCCAATGAACTTGGGCGGCATAGGAGTGTGTCGTATCAGTCAACCGGCGTCGGAGCACTTCGGGCATGTTCGGTCCTCTAATCAATGGCTGTATTTTCATGATAACCTGATCGACCTCTTTGCTTCAGTAAGCGCTCCAATGGTTAGCTTATCAAGCCTCGGCTTGAAGGTAACTCAGAAGATTTTGCCTTCATCAAGAAGGCAAACCGAGTGATCAGCGTCTTGGTAAGCTCAATATGATAAGATCTAGGAAGACCATTAACCCATAATCTATATTCATATGCAGGACAAGACGTCCAATCATACATACCTCTAAACCTCAGCTTGATGTACCCGAAACCGGTATAATCGTGATTTGAAACAAAAGTTTCAGATTAGTTCAAGCCCATCTCACCAAGTGATAACACCTGCGTACCTACAGTACTATTCAATCCAACTTCGGGGCCAAAAATCACCGACGACTAACTTAAGCCAGTATTAGAGGATGGATGAAGGTTATGCTAGAGTTGATCGGAGCTCTCGGTCTATCTCCGTACAAGGTAGCTCGGGGCTCCGCTGAAAGGAGTCGACTTGCGACCGTGCGTGGCGTGTTTTCAAGAATTCAGACGTCATATGGTCCGATCATGACAAGCATCGCTCCCAACACAAGAGAGACAGAGTCGAACTTCTCAGGACCAGGTTGATATGAAGAGATGAGGACTAAACATAGTCGGTAAGTAGGAGGGATTGCGGAGGTTTTATATTAACTTCGAGACGTCTATTAAGAGGTTGCCTGGGTCACAAATACAAGGTCTGCCCATCTTCAACTTGTGCAACAGTCGCATCTAGATCGTGTGCTGCCCGCTATTCAGATCTACGCGGTGTTACAATACCGAAGCGGCGACTACAATACAAGCACTAAAAAGCGATCATTTTAATCTAAGAGGTACGACGTCGCCGCTGAGGCGCACGGCCTCTTCGTTCTCGAACACGTGGGTCGGCAGACGTGCAGGTACCAACGGCCCATTCAACATGTGTTATGTGTATGGGGCCAAGTCTAGGCCCCTTTATTATGATACCCATTTATAGAATGGGGGCAAGACTACGGGACTGCGGTGAGATCGAGATTTACCGACAGGATAGGTCACGAGGTATCTGAGCAAGACGAGGGTGTACGGAATTCCTAACGTTTCTTCGGAACTGGGGGCTTCGATGGCAACCTACGTGTGCCTAGTAGGCATGAGAACCGAGAAGCGAGATCAGTTGTATGAAGATGCAAGGTCTCCCTTTGAATCACTGTATTCAAAACATTCCAATTGGAGGTTTGCATACCTAGTATGAATGCAACACAGGGAAATAAGAGCTCGGGCTTTCCGAATAAACATCCATTTGCCACCAACATCTACTATCTATACCACTACATTGGAGTTCTAGGATTGGTTTCCCTTTACAATGTTGTGAGCGTTGAGAAGGTTATGACGTCCTTGTCAAGATGCTGTGTGACCAGATGTGAGCTAGGCGATGTAGAGTAGCATACGAAGTATGTCAAGGAGACCAAGGGTAGTAAGCCGGGTGATACCTTGTACATGACCTCGGTGATGGGATGTAAGATCTTGCTATGGCGCTTACATTAGGTAGGTATGTTCGGATGTACCAGACATATTAATCAAGTCACTCTGCTAGAGTCATGCCTAATCGGGCTTCATGAAGGTGAAATCTGCTTTCGTAGGCTTCCATCCAATCGTACATAATGCTTCGCACGAGGCCTAACTCCTTAAGAAGCCGTCGTATCTCTGTAATTCTTCGAGACAACAGTTGGGTACCTGTCATTATCACCCCCTATTCCAACCTCCTATCTGACTGCGACAACCAGAATACCATAGGTCTACGTTCCCTCCATGATAACCCATCTTTTACCTATGTCTAAGGATGTTTCTATTCCTAAACATGTTACCCACGACACATACGCCCCCATGTCACTATCATATAAGCTTGGGTGTCTCCGCTTCATAGCAACCTGTGTTTCATCATTCTAGAAGGAGGGCGTTGACTTCTAATTGACCTACTGGAGATATTTCACCTACAACATACGGTCAATTCCTTCGTGGGCAGTCACAAATACTAGGTAGTAGCGATAGTAGCCACACATTAAGGATTTATGCCATCATAGATGATAGATACCTAGTAGTATAACTGCAGCGAGAGAGGAAGGTGATGATTCAATGGAGTTTTTGTCTTACAACAACTCTACTTCATCCATTTTTTTCATCGAGTCTAGCAGGCATACATGTTGGCCTCGCCGCTATTTGTGCGTAAGGGGCTAAGAGGAAGATGCGAGGTAGCTGCGTATGAGCTGCGTGCCTAGTATTGTGTAACATGTGCGCAGGCAAATCCGAATGCCCCTTAGAGAGAAGAGAAAGAGGGTAGAAATCGATCACTGTCCAAACCTATGTATCTATCACCATCGCTATTGCCAGTTTACGAACCTATAGCGGGCTAACCGCTACTATCACCCGCCTGGCATTCTATGATGTGTCTCCAACTACGGGCTTCTCCCCTGACAATGCGTCAATGGGGAAATTATATATCAAATGGTGCGTGAATAGATAGCTAGTTAGTAAACCCACCTTGGGGAGGTAACTAAGAAAAGAATACATGGGGACCTACCTACCTACTTATCATGTTATGAACACATAAAATAGGAACAATGGTGTAGAAAGGGGTAGGCAGACGAACTGACTTGTTCAGACTACCTACGATCATTCTTAACTTAATAACACACCCCATTTCCTACTAACTACTACCTACCTAGGTAGGTATTCTCATAAGGCTAATACTTATGGTGACATAGGTACATACGCAAATACCTAATGAAAGTTCAGTGGTAATGCAAATCATGGAACAACTCTCGAGTATGTTCCCCTTAGAGATGTTACGGATCGGAGATACATTCTACCTCTCCCCTTATTACGTACCTACCTACGTATCTAACTTAGCTATTAGTTAATTTATATTGACCTTTATTTTCTGTACAGCTACGGCTAACTTTACTTTGCCCATTAACATAATATTCAACTGGATCGTTAGGCATCTTACCATTCGTGCCTCCATTCAGAAAGCTTCCAAACTAAAAGGAATACTTACTTCGTAACACCTATTGAACAAATCAAATATAAAGGCCGGGTTAAATCCACTTTTTTTAAGACAGATCAAGGTACCTAGATAATTGTTTGGCATTTAACCTGATTTGAGTGTCTACAAGTTATATTTCGTGGACAAGTCAAGTATTAAGTATATTTTGAAAACTACCTACGTAATAACCTTATACCCTCAAGAAATAGATAACGACACCTAGGTAGGTACCTATCCCCATAAGTATAAATATTATGATAATAATTGCTTGATTTACTCCGTTGTTAGTAATTGGATTCTTGCGAACGGCGCACTCCAGGAGGAGGAATTGTAATAAGTTGAGGTTCGTTATTATCTATACGGCGTTTTTATATCTCATTTCCAACTTCGACTTTGCATTAAAATAATATATAATCAAATATTTTCTAAATATATATGCTAGAATTTGTGCCTATTTTACTGACTCCTTATTACCTATCTCATACCTAGTTGGTATGGGGTTATATAATCCCATTCATTCAATTAGGCTCCTCACGATTTGTAAGGAGACTCAAGCTAATTATTTGTATAACAATGATGTTATCTAGAATAAGCCATGTTCTAGGAACAATACGAATGTAGCAGGAGACATGTATTCTAAGAATAGGAGATAGAATTTAGTTGAAAGGAAGACGGCGTTCATGAATGAAGTTGGAGATATTTCTGGTGGGGGTTCGTGTTTGTGTCACGGGTGTTGACAGTAGTAACTAGAAATTATGTAAGACACTTGATAATGATTGGTGGATGTTTTGAGTAACATCCTTGTATATATGGAGACTAAGGAATTACCTAGTAGGTACCTAGTATTTTTGGTTCATAGAATTTCAACATCAATCATTGATGCGTCCAGTTGTCTCTAGGCCTTGTGCTGATCTTTCCACCTCGTTGAAAGTAAACGGTCATATGGGCATTCTATGCGGAAGGACCAAAGACAAAGTCATCAAAAACTATCTACATGCACGTGCACCTGAAATAGGTACGTGCGCGTAGGTATGTAATTTGCGGGGAATGTCGGTACCAGTACGTACCTAGGTAATCGCCCCTTCCAGTTGTTCCAGTTGAGGCTGTAAACCGGAAGCTTCCAAAGTCGAGCTTCACCTCCACTATCAATTACCAAACCTAAATCCCCCCACCATTGTGCATTAAGCGGGTGTTGTTATGACTTCTAACTTCAAGAAATTACGCCACTTACCTTTAATTGTTCATATCGTCATCCTCTAACAGCAACTAACTGTATTTGTTGAGGCTAACTATCTGTGATGATATGGCGAGGGCTACGAGCTCCGAAGGGGCGCTCCGAGTGAGCAGAAGTTACAGGGAAACTGGTCGCAAGAGGGTAAGTAAGCAGCTAATATTATGTGGCTTTTGAGTTACCCATTGCCGATTGCTGCTGACGCCGTTACTCTCCTAGCACCGAATTCCAAGCTCAGTACATATCCCTTTTGAGAGTTCCTTACATCTCACCGTGCCCAACGAAGATCATCATATGGAAGATGAACCTCCCGACGATGACGATGATGACAACGACACTACCGATTCCGACGAAAGCGACCAGGAGAATGATGCCTTCTTGGAAGAGAACGCTTTCCTATTCGAAGAACCTCCCGGAATTAATGACGGACCCGTGATAGTAGATATGATGACGCCACAAGGAGTATTAGCTGCCGGATTAGGTGCTGGTTTCTTTGAAGGCGGCGTGTTGGAACTGGATATTCCTGACCCCGATGAAGAAGAAGATGACCAAGATGAGACCAATGAGGCTGATGAGGCCGATGATGCGATGGAGGGGGAGGGCCCACCGCAGGTTGCGACATGGAGGATGAATCTCACGGCGTTATCACAGGTCTACAATATTTACATGGTAGCATACAGAGACAAGATCTATGTCTCCCGGCCCCGTAGCTGCGTTACCAATGCCCTACCTGTTGAACCTGACCTTATTTTGCAACCCGAAGCGAGTACGATGGGAATTTCTATCGGTGGTTACCTAGATGATAACTTTCCGCACCAGGTCAATCATCTTATCGTTCGCGACTTCGGAAACGAGGAAATTCTACTACTTGCCTACGACGACGGCGACGTCATAGGCTACTATACTCGTCATATCGAGAATGAGCTTCTACGCCGTGAGAAGGAAGGTCGAAACAATAAGTCTGTTCCTAACCCCTTCTTCCACGAAAACGTCGAAAAGAGCGCCTGGGGATTGGCAGTTCACAAGCAATCTCGTATCATCGCTGCCAGTTCTAACACCCACAATGTTTCTGTCTTCGTTTTTGCCTTGACCGGCCATCCATATCGACACACTCCTGAGGCTGATGAGATCGAACTCTTCAGAAATGTTGTTAAAGATGACCATGGCGAATTCGTGGACCCGAGAAGATATTCATTCCCGGACTGTGACGCTGAACACGTCTCGAATGGTTCGAAGATCGCTGCACTGGAAAGTGCAATCCGACGTCGAGATGCCAATTGGCGTATTGTCCTTGAGACCGGTCGCTTAGGGGTTAATATCCCGAACATTGATTTCAGTAGCGATGCGGATGGAGAGGCAGATAAGGTCGTGGCAGTAGACATCAACGGACGACTCTGGTTGATGGATATTTGGTCCTTTAATCATCACCCCCATGTCAAAATTGATGGTCTTCATCTAGGTCAACCTCGTCTTAGGCACCAAGGAGCTACCCTTAATTCACATAAGTGAGTTTATCATATCTTATTATATCGCAAAGATGCTAATAGAAATTGAGACCTAGGGGGTGGGGCGTACTTGTGTTGCCTGAAAGCAGTTTTCTTCCGATGAAGAACAAGGAGGAAGCGATCGGCATGGCGTTGGACGACGCCAGATACGTCTCGAACGACAAAGTCGGCCGTTGGGTGGATATTAGCCTAGGCATTAAGAATGTGGAAAACAATTCAAGGGTACATCCATGGGTTAGATGGGGACATCATACACAATTCGCCTTCAACCCCCTCGAGCCTAGGAGGGTCCAGCTCGAGGTACCATGGTGTGATTTTGGTAGCTCTACATCGCCTCCTTCAAAGAAGGACGCCATGGGAGACAAAATGTCACGTCATGAGCGCGAATCTCGTACAACTTTTAAACCTCAGCCGAAATTAAGGACTGTCCTAAGGGATGGAAGCAGTATCATGCGTACGTACGAAATGGATATCGAACTTCGCAGCTTCGAGGAAGAAGGTAGAGGCATCATGTTTGAGAAAGTTATCGATCAACTGCGGCCTTCTCAAGCAGTATTGCCACTGATGAGAGTAGCACACGAACGTCTAGCAAACCTCATTCACGTCCCGGAATTGTCGTTGGTCGTAGCCGCCTCATTATGTGGAAGGGTAGCGCTTATCACCTTGACACGTCCAGAGGAAAAAGGCCTCTCTTTTAAACGTGCATTCAGGGTTGAAGCGATTTTACCCACTGCACATGACGAAGACAGTGACAGACGACCCATCTGTCCCTTATTAGGCGTGGCTATCGGGCCTATCCCATTTTCCGGAAGTCCTGAATTAGCAGACAAGCCTATTAACGCAAGGCCATACCGCATCATGCTTCATTTCTACGATCTCAGCATCCTGAGCTACGACTTGTCTCGGTGCTCAGCAACGGATTCTCTCTCTATTAGCTAAAGACACAATTTCCCTTCTTCCCTAGACTATGCTGTCATGATACCCAAGGGTTTTGCGTGGTCTATTTTCATGGAGGCCGGTAGGCGTTTAGGTTGCATGAAGATGACGGATGGTGGACGAGGCTTCCCAATCATCCACGAGCTCGTCCTCGTGAGGCGTTAGGTGAAATAGGATTGGAAACAATGTCATGAATGAAAATGAGTCTTTAAGTCAATTTCTTTTGCGCTGTTACTAAGCAGCCTGGTTTGAAATGTATGGATGTGACATGAAATTCAGTGGCGGCTGACCGTGGGGGAATCAAACCGATCCAGCAAGGATGTTTCCTTCTAGAACAACTCTCCACGGCAAGGATGGATAGGTACGTATGGCGATATGTCAGGAACATGAATTTGGACCTGCGTTCTCTCTTAGGATGGCCACTTTTACATACGTACTATGTATGTGTATGTGTATCGATAAGGAGTGATAACTTACGAGCTGAGCTTTGTCTATCTTGTGTCTATGTAGGTATTTATGGTTAAAATATTCGAGAGTAGATTCAATAACTGAGTTGCTCATATGAACATTCAAGTCGGGAGACTCTTTAAGACTTTCAAGAGTACCTAGGTACGTAGATTTATGGAGATGAGATGCCAAGCCACGATTTCGTAGAGGAATGATAAATCGATGAAGGGATTGAAAGTTCTGATTGGACGGGATCCCGAAGATAAGGCTCTAAGCTGACCTTTCCGTTTGAAGTTAGAGTTTTGCGGGTCGCGCTTTATTTCCGGGGGTGAATGGGGTTGACGGGGACCCATTTTGTCATTTAAAAAGGTAACTTTTGGGAAGGCAAGCTGACGAAAGAGACTTCAGCCCTCAGCCCAAGCTTGCTAATTTCCGACAGCCTCATGCGTCTCCTAACATGCGACGGTGACACGATATTCTCTCCGGCTGCTACCTTCGAAGCGTACAGCAGGATACCCAATGTCGTCAATTTATCTAGGTGATATCGTTTTAATACACACTTAGAGGTTGAAACGCACGTGTTTAAATGGTTACCGAACCAAGATAGCCAAGAGGTGGTATTTAAACAAATCGACAACTTGACATCATACGGTACTCAATTTTATGGCACCTCGTGTGAAAATTGTTAGGGCGGTACTTTCAGATCTCCTCGGTCTCAATTAAAAAAAAAAGCGTAGCCTATCGTCGATCCCGGCACTAGTGGACCATGTCTCTAAAGAGAGCGCTCTGTTGCCCAAAAAGACATTAATGACATATCAACGCTGGAAGAAAAAAAATCTCTCAAGCCCGTCCTGCCTGGGCTTGGAGGGCGCGGGATGTTTTAAAGCTAACCGACATTTTTTCGTTGCATTTCGTCTAGAAGCTAGTTTCTCACTTGCATGTGAATTAAGATGCAGCTGGGATAATGGTCATGCAAATGGGCAAGATCGTGAAGTTTCAAGATTCTGAGGCTAATAAATGATTAAGCTTTGACGGTTCGAAAAGATGCAAAAGTATCTCGCTATTTTCCCTTGTCTCGTCCCCAGTTCTACGCAGCTGGTTCCGATCTCAGCCCCATTACACGACTCATCAAGGATACGACAAAAGATAGGAACTGTTCGGGCTGAAAGCTGACGTTCTCATTCGCCTGAGTTGAGGTTGTTGTAATGGTTTGCAGGGAAGCAGACAAACTATTTCGTAACAGATACTCCCGTCCCACGCGATCTAGAGGGCTCAAGCTTCGCTTGGCTATGGAACTAAGGGACCTGCATCGAGGGACCCTTGGGTTTGGGATCTACATCGACAAAATAATTAAACGACATCGATTTCAACATTGTTCGAGATTCCGACATGTTGATATATTGAATATCGCGAACAACTCTCCCAACTACATTGGCGACATGATGCAGTGTAGATTATTAGCGTCGGTACTAAACCCCCTAGACCTGGCAATTGGAAATCCTAGCGACATGAAGCCCCTGGTCATGCAGTAGGTAGCCGCGTAGCTCCACGTACCCCACAGACTCCGGATATGCCTAGACTGAGAGAAGGGCGACAATGTTGACAAGGACAACAATACCATTGTTTGTAGAGATATCAACGTAAGTGGCTACTTCGATATTCTGTCGGCTTACGTCTTCTTCAGATCTGAATACCCCCAGGAAAGACAAAATGAAACAGATCGGAGCCGAACAGACAGGTCCGAAAGACTGGGACCAAACAGCTTACAGAAGTGACACACCACTGTCAAGATCAATCGTGACCGAGATTGTATATGAATAGGTTCTTGATGTGTTGCACATGTTTCATTTAGGATGACTGGAGGATGGACCCTGAATAGGTAAGGTACCTGCCGCCTAGGTAAGCTAAGGTAAACGCCTCGGTCTAAAAGACTCAGCGATGTCGCTCAAGGAAGGCGCCCTTCTCGCACACCTGGAAGTGACTACCTATTCTACATTACACAAACCAAGCTGCTCTTGAATGCATGTAAGCCTCCGGTGGAGACATCCATGGATACATGGGGGTCCCGTAAATGGTAGGTACCCAACCATCATTAGGGTTTGGAGAGCTGCACCCCGGTACTCGATTACATACGGGCTACAAGTAAGACTTTAAACTCTGATTGGTCGGATACTTATCTATCATCCCAAATTTGGTTCCGTCTTCTTTCAAGGTCCATGTTGCATCTACATACCTTTTGGCTGCTAGGGTCTAGCCAGATCTTCAAAGTCTAAGAAAAGTTCGGCCTTTCCTCTCATATATACTCGCGTAGATCCCGTCTCGTTGCGAACTTTAAGATCAGATGTTATTTCATCTCTTTTTCGCCTCTTCCCATTCTCGCCGCCCTCGTTTCCGAGTAAATATCACCACCTAAGTACCCACTTCGAATCATCATCCTTATTCAAAGAAAGTGAATACGACCGCATAACCACTGATATTCAACAACAATAACTTCCACCGATCAACCGGCAACATGTCGTGGCAACCGTCCTACTCGTGGGTCGGCGCGCCCACAACGTTCAATGGCACGAACGATGAGACCGGAGGTGATTCCAGTATGTACGCCCAATTATACATGATTCTTGATGCGCTTAAAAGAAGAGGGAAAAAAACATCTTTCGACTAAGACTAACATCATTTTTTCACAGGCACCGAGAACCTGAACCAATGGTACCAATCGGGTGATCAGGCGTTCATCCTCGTCGCAGCATGTATGGTCTTGCTTATGGTACCCGGAATCGCATTTCTGTATTCCGGCCTATCTCGAAGAAAGTCGGCTCTATCCCTGATCTGGGTTTGCATGATGTCTTTCAGTGTCATCATCTTCCAGTGGTACTTCTGGGGCTACTCGCTGGCTTTCAGCTCGACCGCCACCAATGGCTTCATTGGTGATCTCCACCATTTCGGCCTCATGAACACCCTCGCGAAGCCCTCTCCCGGCTCTCCCCTAATACCCGAATTGCTCTATTCTTTCTACCAGGTAAGTTGCGATTTACATTTCTTATTACCTTTAAACTAAGAAAAAAATATTTGCCTCACAATCTGAAAACGTATCGACTAACGCCTGATTTAGATGATGTTCTGCGCCGTAACAGCGGCTCTCGTCATCGGAGCGGTTGCCGAACGTGGTCGCATGCTTCCCGCCATGGTCTTTACCTTTTTCTGGGCCACATTGGTCTACTGTCCCCTCGCCTGTTGGGTTTGGAATGTGAATGGGTGGGCCTACAAGTACGGTGTCCTCGACTACGCTGGAGGCGGCCCTGTCGAAATCGGTTCCGGTCTATCCGCCTTGGCCTATTCATGGGTCCTCGGCCGACGTCACGAGAAGATGATGCTCAACTTCCGTCCCCATAACGTTTCCCTAGTCACGCTCGGCACGGTCTTCCTGTGGTTCGGCTGGCTCGGTTTCAACGGTGGATCTGCCTTCGGCGCCAACTTGCGAGCGACGATGGCGTGCTGGAACTCTTGCCTGACTGCCACGTTTGCCGCCATGACCTGGTGTCTTCTTGATTTCCGCCTCGCGAAGAAGTGGTCGATGGTTGGTTGGTGTTCTGGTGTTATCTCTGGACTCGTTGCCGCCACGCCTGCGTCGGGATTCATTCCTCCTTATGCGTCTATCATTCTCGGCGTTGTTACTGGCGTGTGCTGTAACTTTGGCACCAAAGGTATTGTCACTTGAAAATCTACATGAAAGTAGAAGCTAACACCCGAAACAGTCAAGTTCCTGGTTAGAATCGACGACTCCCTCGATGTATTCGCTGAACACGGTATCGGCGGTATCGTCGGACTCATTTTCAACGCCCTATTCGGCGCGAACTACATCATCGGCCTGGATGGCGTCAACAACGGTGTTATGCCTGGCGGTTGGATCGACCACCATTATGCGCAATTATACATCCAGATTGCGTACATTGTAGCAGCTTGTGGTTATAGTTTTGTTATGTCGGCCATCATTGCCAAGCTCGTGGACCTTGTCCCGGGCCTACACCTGCGCGCAACGGAAGAGGCTGAACTTCTAGGCATGGACGATGACCAGCTCGGCGAATTCGCGTACGACTACGTCGAGGTGCGCCGTGACTTCCTGGCCTGGACCCCAGCTAAGGAAGAGCCCACCTCCGCCGGCCACCGCTTCATCCCCCAACACGGCATTGAGGAACACCAAAACATGGCCAACACAAACGGCCAAATTCTAGAAAAGGAGCAGGAGAAGATTGGTGCTTCTGTCAGGGCCCCTGCTAAAGAGGATGCAGCTGAAGAGGCGGCGGACGCGGCTACCGAGAGCAGTAGCCGGTGAGGAGTAGTCCGTTACGTGAATTAGTCCCCGCATATTTGCTCCCGGGGAGGAGGTTGATCTGTTGATACAAGTTGCTATATAATACCCATCTGTTCTCTATTATCTTTTTTTTGTTTTTGCTGTCTTGTATCAGGAGTCGGAAAATCAAAACATCAGGGAGGTTAAAAAAGATCTGCTTGGGGGCACGGTGTATAAGGCGTTGAATACCAATCCAGATGAACTGAGTCACTGTTGAATTTGAATCGTTTGATTGCGGGTCTTTGCTTGTTCGTGATTGTTCAATGTGCTGTGATTCTCCTAATACTCGCCTATCCCTGGACGTTTACAAGAAGCCGGATTCCTCATACGAATCTATCTCGTGTCATCGGAGCCACCGATGTCTCCCTACCTACCTTGGTAATTATCATGCTTACATCGTGCTCTCTTTCCATACATACATACATTGCCTCTCCAATCAGCCCTACTTAAGTATATAGCCGGTCTCGGTTAGCGCTAGGGATCGTATAATGCCCCCCTTTCATCTCATCTGCATATACTAACCACTTGCACCAACTAGCCTATATACATATCACTTTGAAAAAAGCTAATTCATTAAAGCCTTATCTTAATATGGGAATCTTCTTTCGTCTACCTACAGCTACCTAAGAAAGTCAGTTACCTAGGTAGTTATAGTGCCTTAGGTAGGTGCTCGTCTGCTCCTCGGTCTATATCAGACTCATCACTCAACCTCGAAAAGCTTCAACCTATCCCAGGCGAACGCCTACTCCAACTTCAGAGCCTCAAACTGCTTAATCGTGCCCTCGAAGCCCTTGGCCTCAGACTCGAAGTCAGCAAGCCTCTTCTTTTCGACCTCCTGGATGTCGGCCGAGACCTTCTGCTGGTATCCCGGGTCAGAGAGGAGTTTCGACTGCTTCGCGATGGCGAGGCGTGTCTTTTCGAGTTTCTTGTTGGCCTTGGAGATTTCGTCGTCGATGTCTACGCGGCCCTTGACGTGTAGGAATACTGCTGCGGAGCTCGATACTGGGAATGCTACGCATCCCGCCGGTCGGGCTTGTGAGCCTGGGATCACCTCGATGTCTGTAACGGCCTTGCCGCCTAGCGACTTGATGGACTGCACCTGCTCGACAGCGGTTTCGTGTGCCGTCTCATCGTAGGTTTGGATGAAGACTATGGTTGTTCGTGTTAGTTTATATCGGCGAAACACAAAGTACGAATAGACTTAAGCAACTTACCTTTGACTTCGTCCTTCAAAGTATATTCAGCCATCAAAGACCGAATACCTTTAGAGCAGCCCTGGACAAGTTCGTAAGCAGCCTCAGCTACGGGGTTGTCCAACTCTGGGTCGAAAGTGGGGTACCGTGCGAGCATGATCGACGGGGTTTCGTCGCCAGGTCGACGCGGAAGACGCTGCCACAATTCTTCTGTAAGGAAAGGCATGAACGGGTGGATTAATCTTAACGCATTGTCAAGTGCTGTATATAGAGTATCGACAGCCGAGCGCTTCTCATCTTCTGAGCCGTCCTGGATGAGGGCCTTCGAGTTTTCTATGTACACGTCGCAAAGATGGTTGTACCAGTATTGATAGACAGTCAACGTTGACTTGTTAAACTCTCGGTCCGCGATGGACTCGTTGATCTCCTTAGCGGCTATGTTCATTTTATGGAGAATCCACTTTTCAGCAAGGGATTCCTTTCCGGTCAGTTTTCCGGTCTTCTGAGGAACAAAATCTTGGTCTAATTTACCAAGCACGAATTTCGTGGCCTGGTAAATTTTGTTGCAGAATTTTCGGTAGCCGTGCATGACTTTGATATCGAAATTGATATCTCCTCCACCAGTGGTGTAGTTGATCATGCAGAACCGAAGAGCATCGGCTCCACATTGAGGAATGCCATCTGGGAAAGCTGTTTTTTGGTATTTCGTGGCCTTCTCGACTTCGCTGGGATGCAGGTTTCCGAGAGCTAATTTCTCGTGAAGCTGTTCTAGGGGAATTCCACTAATGACATCGAGGGGGTCGATGACATTACCTAAAGATTTAGACATCTTTCTTCCTTCCGAATCTCGCACAAGGGAGTGACAGTAAACCTCGCGGAACGGAATTTCTCCAACCATCTTCAGGCCGAGCATAATCATTCTAGCAATCCAGAAGAACAAGATGTCCCATCCTGTTTCAAGGATGCTAGTCGGGTAAAGTGTCTGTAAATCATGGGTCTTGTTGGGCCATCCAAGAGTTGAGAAGGGCCATAATCCGGAAGAAAACCATGTATCTAAAACATCTTCGTCGCGCTCCAACGTGAACTTCTTGCCCGGCAAAGCTTTTTCAGCCTTTGCTCGGGCTTCTTCCTCGGTTCGGCCGGAGAACCACTGCTTGTCGTCTGACCGATCGCCTGCCTCACCCTCGACCTTAGCGAAGTAGACAGGACATTGGTGACCCCACCAGAGTTGACGCGAAAGACACCAATCATTAATATCTTCCATCCACCTGTAGTAGCTCTTTTCAGCTGTCTCCGGCTTGATCTTGATATCACCATTCTTGACTACCTTAATCGCCTCGGCGGCTAGATCCTTCATTCTCATCCACCACTGGGGTTTCATAATGGGCTCGATGATATCCTTCGACTTCTCGCAAAGAGGGACCTTCATCGGATTGTCCTTCTTATCCACATATAGTCCACGCTCCTTGAGATCAGTCTGAATAGAATACCTTACATCGAATCGCTTCTGGCCCTTGTACGGACCGGCATTTTCGTTCATGAAACCGTCATCTGTTAAGATGTTGATGAACTCCAACTTATGTCTCTGGCCTAGGGCAAAATCATTGGGATCGTGAGCTGGGGTAATCTTTACAGCACCGGTACCAAATTCTAAGTCAACGTAGTCATCTGCTACAATAGGCAGCAAGCGACCAGGAATGAAAGGGTGAATGGCATTCTTGCCAACAAGGTGCTTGTATCGCTCGTCCTTGGGATGGACGGCAATGCCAGTATCACCCAGCATCGTCTCAGGACGTGTAGTAGCCACCTCAATAGTCTCATCAGTACCCTCGATGGGGTATTTGAAGTGGACGATAATTCCGAATTCAACCTTCTTATCGTATCCGGGCACGTCAAGAAGCGTTCTGCCGGTCAACTCCTTGTTGATGACTTCTAGGTTGGAAAGCGCCGTGTTGAGCTTCGTGCACCAGTTAACGAGGCGATTCGCACGATAAATGGTCCCTTCCTCGTGGAGCTTGACGAACGTTTCCGTTACGGCCGCACTCAGGTTCTTATCCATTGTGAAGGCCTCTCTGCTCCAATCAGTAGAGCCGCCCATCTTACGTTGTGCATTGTTGATTCGCTTGTGGTAGTCCTCTTTCCATTCCCAAACGGTCTCTACGAACTTCTTACGGCCAAGGTCGTGTCGAGTCTTACCCTGTCGTCTCCATAACATGTTTTCGACAACGCTTTGGGTGCTAATACCAGCATGATCACAGCCAGGTAGCCATAAGGTTGTCTTGCCATGCATACGGTTCCATCTGATCATGACATCCTGAAGAGAATTACCCAAAGCGTGACCCATATGTAGGGCTCCTGTCACGTTGGGGGGTGGTATGACGATCACGAAGGATCCCTCCTCTTTCACCTTGCCATCAGGGGTGAATTCGGGCTTGAAGAAGCCTGACTTCTCCCACCACTCGTACCAGGCACTCTCAACAGCGATCGGGTTATAAGCTTTGAGCTGAGGGTCGTCGAGGGATCGAAGTCGTTTCTTCTCGCCGAGGGGAGTCTCTTCGACATAAGGGGGGAGGGCCTCTTCTTCGGCTTTCTGAGCCTTGGTCTTCTTCTCCTTGTTCTTAGGGGCATGTGCAGCAGCTCTGGCCTGCTTCTGTTCAAACTTGGCCGCTTTCTCAGCCTTTTTACGTTCCTTCTCTAATTCCTTTTCCGTCTTGATCTTGGCACCAGCTGGTGCTGCACCTGCATCTTGGCCTTGGGCATGCACACCAGGACCATCAGACTGTCCCGCAGCTTCTTTCACAGCACCCTTGACATCGGCAGAGACTGGGGGTGGTGCGCCTTCGCCAACCTTACTTGGACCTTCGGACGCGTTGATGGGGTTACCACGACCACTGTTGGTAGCCATTGTGGCACGATTGAAGTAAAGAATTGGTCTGTATGGAGGCCTGTGCACCCGGAGTGCTCTAAGTAATAGCCTAGACAACTTGGCGGTATTTTATGAAGGAGAAGTTAAGAAACGGTTCGCAGCATTTGGTTGGAGTCGAAGTTGGAGTGGGTTGTTTATATTAACACACACGTCGCTTCTTCCGATCTCGAAATTTTCTTGACTCACTGTAAAATGGCAGAGTCACAGAGGGGTAAGCACCACCCACCACCCGCCGGTTCTTTACGTGCCGCTATTATCGCTTATCGATAATCGATAGTGGGATGTCTATGTACTTTGGTACCTTTCCTCATATTATCAAGGTTATTCCTTCACCTTTTCGTTACTTGCGACGGACATCCGTAATCAACACATTCATAATATCTTCATTTCTTTGATCAAGGCGACAATTAATTATTCTAGTGCTATACATCTTTCTCTACGTTCCCCTAGACTTGGGCTTCTAGTTCAAATTGACCCATCATTAGGAAATGATGGAAGATAAAGTACATACGACAAATGGCCAGCATGAAGATTTACAAGATAATATGGGATTTCTCTATGTACAGCCCAGGCTGATGAAACCTCCTAATTAGACGCCTGATTGGATATCCTCACCATCCATACCACTTGGATTGTCATACCTCTATAACACGTTTACTCCTCGACCGGCGAAACCACAACCTGAGTCATATTAGGATATTCCTGGCCATACCATTAATCCCCCCCAAATAGAATCAAGAGTTTCCGGACAACTTCGCCGCCTGAATAGCCTGTATTAAATTACCTGGGGGCTTGTAGTTCGGGGTCGTTCGACGTTTCCTCGGAGACTGTTGGTAAACTACCAACATCTAACCCGGATGAAACCCGCGGTATTGTGCCCCTATCACCATCCGTATCCATGCTCTTGATATTATCTTCCTTCTTCCCCCCACCGTTAGGCACCACGTCCATCGTCTTCGCCCTCTTCACTCTGTCTCTCACGATCCATCCCAAAAACAAGGGAACGTCTTTCCAAATAACTCCCGGCGCCGCTAGATTCTGCACCCAAGCGGGTAGCACACCCGCAGCATCGCTCGCCGTCGCCATTAACCATTCGATCTTCTTCTGTCCCTCGTCCCCAATCATCCGTATCCGTTCCACACTAACGTAGTACGCGACCTGCGCGCCCTTCTCCTTCGCCAACATGCTCTTGTCAGACTTCTCCCCAAAATCCGGCACCGGGATGCTGACGACCACGAACTCCCTGTCCGCCTCGCCCAGTGCCGCCGCTGTCATCTGCAGAACTGGAAACGTGCGATCCTTCAGCACCGGCTTCCCGATCCGATGTCGCATCTCTTCAATGACCAATTTAAACCGGCCCCATCTGACGCCCCCCTCTTCGACCTCGACACCCGCGCAGTCCCAACTCTGCGCCTCGTGCGCTGCAAGACATGCCGGCGTAAACGCCTTCTCGGACTGCGCATGCTCCTCGCGGAATGCGCGCGTGAACTCTTCCCAGCTAGCAGTCCCGCGCTCCGCTGCGTCATTGTGTGCGCTCCGGCGACAACACCAAGTTTCGCCCCTGAGCTTGCCTTCCTTCCCACCTTTCCCCTCGCCTCCCTCACTCGTCGCGCTCCTACTCTCTACCTTCTCCAGCTCACTCGCCGGGACCACGCGCTCGAGAACCTCGACCCTGGCCTTGGAGTCCGGGTGCACGTGCGTCCCCTTCAGCTTCCAGATCTTAGGATCAGGCTTGGCATCCGAAGAAGCTTTGGGCGCCGCAGAGTCGGCAAAGGGTATTGCTTCTTGCAGGATGGCGAGGAGCAGTGGCGCAAGCTCATCCGGCGACGCGGACGCTGCGGGGAGCTGCTCTGTTCGCAGGCCCCGTAGGCGGACCAAGGGGCCTAGCGTGTTCGACGACATCGTGATTTGTCGTAAATCTCCAAACCAATTTTATTCTTCTTCCTTCAATCTTATCCCCCAAAATGATTTCATTAAATTGGGTAATAAGTTAACAAATAAAATCCCGGCTTTTTTAACTATAAAAAAGTTGAGAATCTGAATGTTTGTCTACGAGCGTTGCGTGTCTCGGAATTTCGACGCAAGCAGAAAATTAGGTAGTTAAGGTAGGCGCAAATCTGCTGGACTTAAACCGTTTCAAGGGGTTTCCCAGGACCTTCAGAAAATCAATCCGCTCCGATCCAAACCGATGGGACCAAGCCTCATTAAACACCAAAAGATAAACCATCCATGTGGTAGCACGAGCCCAAATTAAAACCAAAAAAATAGATTGCTAAATGATCATTACATAGCGTCGCGTCGATTCCTTAGGCAAAAGCTCGTATGAGTTATCGAATATGTAGATCATCGACCCTACTGCGACACTATATATCCGACCTCAAAATGCCGAAGTCGAATCGTGATGTGTAGCGCCCCGGTGACCTGCGTCATCCAATATGTGGGGATGCGCAAAAAGGGAAAAATCAGAAAAAACGTTGGGTTCCATGAGCGATTGCCGGCAGGGTTCCCAGCCGGGGAAGCATTCGAACTCGACCACTCAACCCCCTTTACTGTGCGAAGCTGAGTCGTATCTGCGTAGTAATAACATGGAAAGGGAGGCCAATCCGTACAGATTCATACACTCGTGCAGCAGCGCAGTCACATGCGGGGTGAGTAGCAATTACACAGCTATGGTATGATAGGGGGACTTTCTTCCCCAGTTATGTTTGTTTGTTTAGTTGTCTTATTAATATTAGGGTACTCTAGCTATATGCTTTCTTCTTTCATATCATATCCGGTCCAAAGCTCTTTTTCGCATCGGACCGTGCTCGTCATCTAATAAGTGGCATGTGTATGTACAGATCTCTAGGTATGGTATTTAGTAAGTGCGCCTCCGCTTCATCATCCAAAATCATTCCCAGTCTCGCTTTTCCCAGTGGATGTTGGCTGGCTCAAGAGGCCGCGAGAACATAGAGGCGTAATCTGTTCCAATGACGTCGTTGCTTCCGTCGACATTCCTGAATTTGAATGCGCGAACGATCATAGCTGTGATAGTCTGTAATTGAACATTGGCGAACTGCTCGCCGATGCATCGATGCCTTCCGGCGCCGAATGGTAGGTAAGGTGAGTTTCCGCCCTTGCTGACCAATCCATATCCGTAATCTATCTTCTCCTCTTCCTCTACCACGTTGCGTACGACAGTCGGGGCAATAGGAGAGTTCTTGTCCCATCGCGTAGGCTCCCATTTATCCGGCTCGGGGAAGTACTGGGGATCTGTTGAGGACACGCCGGAGGCAGAGAGGAGAGTGTGGCTAGTAGGGATGACATATTTCGTTCCAGGAACTTGCATAGGAGACTTGACAGCTCGCATAATAGAGTGGATGGGAGCGTGAAGTCTAAGCGTCTCCTTGACGATGGCCTGGTTCAACGGAAGCTTCGCGAGATCCTCGTATTTCAGTGCAGGTAGGTCAGCGCCAAGAGCCTCGACTTGCTCGCGGTACAAAGCCTCCATGATATCCGGACGCGAAGCAAGACGTAGCATCATCCATGAGCTTGTCGAAGAGGAAGAGTGTTGGCCGGCCATCAGTAATGCAATCAACATGTGTGCGATTTCGTGATCGGGGACCATGATACCGTTCTTGTAAGTCGAGTTCATCAAATGCCACATCATATCTTGCGCATCACTCTTGCCAGCAGCACGACGTTCCTTGATGATATCCATGTAGATCTTAGAGATAGTCTGCTGGGCGTGGTCGCGTCTCTTGTTCCAAGGCAACGGGGCCCAGTGAAGCATGAAGTTAATCGGAGTAAAACCCATATCCAAATCGTGGTATAAGGCAGCCAGGGACTCGTCGAACTTGCTTCGGACCTCCTTTCCTTGGAGAGAGTGAGAGGCAGTGAAGATGGTGATCTCGGCCATGTTCTTGGGAATGTTCACGACTCCGGACTTGCCCTTGAAATCGGGGCATCTCTTGAGGTAGCTAGAGACCTCATCGGCAATAATGGGCACGTAGGATTGGAAGGCAGCGGTGGTGAGGGCGACTTTCATGAACTTCTTCTGTTCCATCAGCTTGGAGTTGGGGCAGTCGTAAACGACGTCCCTTCCGAAGACAGGGGTAGTCAAGACGGTGTAGATATCTTCGGCGCATACATCCTTAATCTTGCCGTTAAGGACGAAGTCGTTGCCGGTGGTACCAAGATATACGGTGGTCTTCTTTCCAAGGAGGATGAAAGTGAAGATATCGCCATGCTGTCGCGTCTCTTGTTAGTACGCGACCTAATTTCAGGGGGTGGGAATAAGGGGCACTGTACCTTTTTTCGGTTCTCCTTAAAGAATCGAGGAGGGTCCATTCCATAGGTGATGGTACTCCCTATCACGGGAAACCAGTGAAAGACGACGGGGGGCTCATTTGCGTTCTTGAAGAGGACTTGTTGTAGGACATTGAAAAATACGGTCAAGAATAAAGCGCCAGCAGCGATAACAGCGACTTGCGACGGTGTAGAAAGCTGTGACATGTATTGGGAAACAGGTCCCTGAATTTCCTCTAAAAGCCCCATTTCGAAAAGCAATCGCTACTGAGCGGTTGTTAACTGCACATGTAGCTATCAAGATTCTTGAAGACTTTAGAATGCGAGGACGAAATTGGGATAGGGAAGTCTTAGGAGATAGTTTAATAAATACAAAAAATTGAGGGTCAAGTCGAAACCCTTTTTGGTAAAAGATGGCAAGAGATTGGCCAATCGATAGGGGGTTCTGGGGTTCAACATCGGACCATGTTCCCCACCTGGGCATCCAGGAACCACGCTAAAGAATGTACAAAGGTACCTCGTATTCGGATTTCCACGCGTTTCCTTTCAAATATTTACTTCGTAAGTCCATACTTTATTTCCAGAAAGTCGAATGCCGCGCATGGAATTTTCCAATCGACTGTTCCTTAGCCAATTACGAAACCAGAACATCTCATAGGCTTTACACCGCTACCGAAACATTTCAACTACGTCAATCTGTGAAATTGCGCCCGATATGGATATGTCTAGACTTGCTAGCTGGCAATTCCGCACATCAGGTATCCAGTACGATCAGTCTGTTAAGGCATGACAATGATACGATGTAGAATTACATTTGACTCGATATGGCTTGGCAAGACTCTTTAACACAGTAACTTTAACGACACGACACTTTTTCCGTAACGACACGACACCTTCCTAATTCGGCTTAGTGCAGCCACACAACATTACTTCGCCACAACTTCAATTGCACCAAAAAAGTAAAAACATCGAATTGCTAATTTTAGTTTAAACCATTTTATTTAATTGGCTTAATAATTAGGACCCGCTTTTTCATGATAAGTTATTGGTCCTTATGACTTTTAAAGTATGATTATGTAAGCTTACAGCCGCCGCCGGGCTTATTATGTAATACTCGAATGCCCCGCACTGATTACATAATACTCTACTTAAATCTGAATAACAATTGAGAATCAGTATAAATCGTAAAGAAACTGATATTATTTTATAGGTCTCTTTTCAGCGAATCTAATGATATAGCTTTCAATTAGGTGCATTAGCTTTTGATACTTGTATCAGGGTTTAAAGTGGACAGGTGATCGTTTCGATTAAGTCACGTGATACCCATCGGAGTCAACACAGTTGCTTACTCATCCCCCTACAGCTTTCCAAGTAGCTAATCGATTATATCATGCATGAAAATAGAACTTATATCAATCAATCCGCCTGATCGCGCGCTATGCATCAATGTCTTAAGTTGATTTTTATTATTTTTTAGGAAATTAATAATAAATTTTAAAAGTTAGTATCGCAGTGCGCACGCTTATTGGCTGAATTGCTAATGTTTCGAAGTCATTATGCCAACTTAAGTAATGAGGTGTGTGTGGCTGAACTAAGCTCAATTAGGAAGGTGTCGTGTCGTTACGGAAAAAGTGTCGTGTCGTTAAAGTTACTGCTTTAACACACTCTTATTCAATACTATCAGCTGAGTAGTCTTTAAAACTTTATGTTTAATAGTTAAACCATCCAGTGATATCAATAAGACAAATAATTGTCATTCTTTTATCATTACTTAATCATTTATTCCAATTAGAATATTGCGTCTACCTACTTCAGGTTCATTAGGAGCTAGGAGGTATCCTCCTTACTCTTTGAATATCATTCTTTTCGCCATCGTCAGTGAGTGATTGAATTATTTTTGCCAGCATTAATTAATTACATAATATTCTGTCTACTAAGTACCTTAACTCCGAAGTCTCTTGCTTATCAACACTCAAGTAGCTGTTACTAACAAATGTCAAGAACCACTTCTTCCCCCCCGAACCGGCAAAGGAACCCGTTGCAGAATGATAGACTAGAGATAATCATCATTGGTTATCAAAAAGATTGACGTATGCAAGCCCCCTAAACCATCTTGTCAATATTCGGGTGGTCGATGGCCGTCTATAACATCTCGTATTCGGGTTCGGGCTTATCTAATTTGCGTCACACTCACGACCTAAGCCAGCATTGAGGCGCAGAGTTATTGTGAATGGTTTCAAGACTCTATGACCTTGGAAACTTGGACTATTAATCGTCATGACATGTACCTCGGTGCAGAAAGTGACATGCCGGTTATGCGTGTTGGCGATAAGAAGTATCTTGCCAGCATAAGATATTGCTTTCTTGAGCTCCTCGCTTACAGGAACGCTGAATCAAACTGTATCAAGGTTCTAGGAATACGGGGTATCGAAGTCCTCCGCAAGAGCATTCGCGGCTCACTAGGATAATCGGGCTCTCTGCAATCTGCTAGGCTGGCGGTCTAAGAGTAAGTTATGCAAGCTAGCTATGGAGAGTGTCGGTGATGACAACGGGAAGATATCCTTACTAAGGTAGGCTCAAATCCCGAGGGCACTATGATGATAATTTCGTTACATGAGATGCTAGAAAATCAAGATATGAATACTTACTATTGTCATTGTCAATGCAAGAAAGAGCTTACCTTGCCTTTGAATGGTAAATGCGTATATCTGTAGTGAACCGACTGTAGTTGGTAGGCAAGAAGATCCCGTCCCCCCTTAGTGTAACTTTAGCTAGGTAGGTAGGTGCCCAGTAGGGCCATTACTTGAAGGCTTCATAATGGGTGACATTTTACCTGAAGCCTTTCCATACGACTGTAGGTCTATTATGTGAACTAGGTATCAAGTCAACGTCTCTTGAAAGGGTTTTCTAATTTAACACCGTGCCTAGAGAAACTTCATCCAAAGATTATTCGTATATGTGTAGCCGTGTAACCATTCATGAATACAGTATACATAGTAGCTTGGATTATTACAATCTTCATGATGCCTTGCTGCTCTTTAAACACTGTAAGTTTAGCGGACCTGCCTACCCATACTACAGTATGAAAGTGTCGCCAGTGCATTTCTTAATGATAGAAGCAGGATAGGAAGTGGTCAATGGCCCGTAACGAAAAAGTTTGCACTAGGCAAACTCTATCTCTTAGCGTCACGGTCCTGCCGGTCTGTCAAGCTTCACTTCTCACTGTGCCTAGCAGCTGCCGTCCATCGAAACTAGCCAGACCGCCCGCGATTCTGCCGTGGCAGGAAAGTCTATATATACTCAGCTCCCCGCGTCCCTTTTACGATTTTCTTTCTTTCTTCTTCATGTCGACAAGTGAGTTCTCCCCCCTCCCCTACATGGTCCCAAGCCTCGAAATACCCATACCTACACCTATCCTACCTAAATCATCACAATACAAATCAATCAATCAATCAATGAACCAGTAGACCAATACTAACCACCCCCCGCGCAACAGTACTTCAGAGAATCATTTCTATAGTATTCGTCCCACTCTGTGTTCCCTACAGGAGCCACAGATCCCACCCTGGTTGATGAACCATATCCCCATCGCTCTAGAGTGAAAATCTTTTTACGGGAGCACTTTGACCTCTGGTCGCTTTGCTCCTTACTCTCGATCTGCCCGCAAGGGTGGCGGTACTTCTGGCAACAGATGCTGTATAGAGAGTGGTGATGATCTCAACCCCGATTCGCCGCGGTCTTGCCTTCGGGCGCGCGGCCGGGGTGGGCGATGGTGGACGTCTGACAGGTTGTTTTTTTCGTGTTTTTTCGTTGCTGTCGTGTGCTTGTCGCGCGATGTGAGGAAGAAGCTACTCTCGTGCATTTTCGTGCCACTTACAATTGATCGCTGTGACGAACGTACATCGCCTGGGTGACACAACTTTCTGCCATTCGAGATAATATCCATCATATCGACCAAAGTACCGTACCGTACCATAGCATACCAATATCTGGAAATATTGCGCTAGTCAATAGAAAATTTGCAAATACCATGGCTATTTTTCATCGTGCTAAATTTCACATATTATCACATGTCACACCAGCCCATATCAGTATTTTGTGTTGTAAAATGAAATATCACTTGCAGCCTTTGAGGCTTGTACGGGACTATCCCCCTCCCCCATTGTCCTAACCTCGCGGTTGGCATATATGCTCTGATTCTTTGGTGCTCTCATACAACAATCTCCCTCCGTATGCTTCGTTGAGATGTCGTATTTCCATCAATCAACAAAGCACATTTTCTACATCAACCCAACGCCGAATGCCGAATGGATATGCTATATGCAGGATATCTTAATTTTTCTGGTGCCGGCCTTTTTAGCTCTTACGCAAACAAACTCCGAATAACGCCATGCAAGGGTGCTTATAATGACAACGCCGTCCACTGGAAATCACCATCGATATTGACCCATTTCCCATCCTCCATTGCCTTCTCCCAGCCCATGATCACAGCTATCAACCGACACCCCATCGCACTCATAGTACAAATGACGGTGTCGCTAGCTTGACCAAGGACAGCTAGGTCCATCGCGTATGCCCGCCCAATTAGCCCTCTAAGCCGCATGGTCTCCGCCGACGGTCGTAACGTTGGTTGTACACCGTCTCCCGCGTTGGCATTATTTATCGTCGACCGACCTAGGTTCCAGAACATGCTCGCGAAGAATCCACCCTCCCAGCCAAAGGTTTCGTCGACGAATTTGTGCATCACCGACTTATCCTGATTCGCATTCTGGATATGTTGCTTACTAGCAAGCTTGATTTGCTCCTGAGCTCGAAGCGAACTTGAAAATTCTTCTGTTTCGTAAACATCAGGATCGTCTGATGCGACTATAGAAAATGAGTGTTGTTTTGCGACTAGATCCTCACCTCCGAGAGGTGTACTGAAGTTGTGGTATTCCTCAATAATCTCCTTAGATCTTTGCGCATATATATTGAGGGGTATATATGCCCCATTGTACTGGTATTCGTACGGGTGTAGATCGCCATGTCGAATGTGGACCCCGATGATCATACCATCGTGATAGGCACCTTCTGTTGCCTTGGCCCTCGCTCTTAGCTCCTTGACGCGATGCGCCACATAGGGCTGATCTTCGTCATTAAGACGGAACAGGGCATCGTAACCAACTCGGGCGAGATCGTATATCGGTCTTTCTCGATCAACATTACTGCGACGAAGATTCTCGTACTCGTCGTTGAAGTTCTTGCCGAACGTCTCAGACGCGGTCGCAGACGAAACAACCAAATGTCGTGCGCTGTGGGGGCATGGAACCATCTCGTGACGTGGTGGTGGGTTGCAGTCGGGCATTGGGGGCGGTTTGAAGATGGCCGTATACTCGCCATATACCCATCGCGAGTCGTCAATGAAGAAGGACCGCTTTTCTTTCTGGGCCAGACCATATGCCATCCACATCATCATCAACGTGGGACCTAATCCAGCATCGGCTGACTCGAGGACATATGTCAAGGACGTTTTGCAAATGCCCCTGTCGACTAATCCGTCTGCCCTATCCCCCACCAAGTGACCGTCTTGAGCCTGAGCGGTTACTTTCCACGCCTTCCCCTCTACGCCCGGTAGTAGTCCACGTTTCTCAGCATCCCTGACATCAATGAAGTAAGGGTCCTCGTAATAGTAATCCGTCTGAGCCTGTTGATTCGTATGCCCATGCAACTCTCTGACATGAGCAGCGACCTCTTGGCACTTAACACAGATATCGGAATACTCCTTGACAGTTAGAGGGAAAGAATACGTAGGCGGAATAGAGACTGTCCACTTCGACCTGCCGCTCCGGTCCGTCACGGCAATAGGCGTAGGAAAGTCGGGTAAGTCGTATTGTCCAACCATCTCATATTCTTCACGGTCCAAGGCCCATGAAACAACCGGCACTCGTACCTCCTTCTTCACGACGGCCCTAATGACAAACGTAACAAGCGCCAGTCCGAGAACCCATGCAAGAACTCGGACAACTCGACTCGGCCTCGGTCCGTTAGATAACTTCCGTGGCCGGGGTACCAAGGCTGGCAGTCCGGGAGAGGGCGGAGGCGAAAACATTAGGTGGTTAAAGTTAAATCGTGACGAGGTTGCGGATAGAGGTGCCTTTTCATGCTGATAGGACGCGGCTCTGCGCAAATTGATTCGAGGTGGCGAGACGATCATCTTGGCGTGGGTGCTTTGGGATAAGTCCAAAGTCGGCGGCATAGCTGAAGTATGTATGTACGTAGTGACGTCGAAAGCGACCTCACTACTGTAGTATGTATCCACGGAGACGGGACGGGATATCGGGATTCGACGTTATACGGTAAGATCAGCCCGTAGGCTTGTATAAGGAGTGACAGAAAGCCCAGCTGAAAGAGGCTGCGGCAGTGGCAGAAAGAGAAGTTTGTATTCAAGTGTGCAAAGGAATGACAGATGATTCAAAGACAACGAAGACGGCGATTACCTATTAGAGCCAGGCATCAGGGCATACAGCTTGTGTAGTTTCTCATCTACATCTGTGGTGTATCGAAGAACAAGTTACCACCTAACTACCGAAGATGGTGAACCTCGAGTGGCAGAAAGTGAGGAAACTCCGGGTGGTGGCCGAGCCTTCGTGCGACGCGGTACTTGTATGCCTTATGTCTTCGACACTTGGAGGAGATCGTGTCCGGAAAAAGTAGGTGATCGCTCAGGCGCAGGTGAGCGACGATCTTCTACTAGTTTTTTTCTTTCCCTTCTCGGCACTAGATCGCAGAGACCAGCCGTCCACCGGTGCTTAGTATGCTAGGTATGTACAATATTTCCCAGGAAATGGGGGAAACGGGGGTCGAGAAGGACCCAATATATTTGACCGCCCAATGCTTTTTGGTGGTGAGACGACGATCACAGGTATGTGGTCCAATGGAGCCGAGGAATACGATGTGGTCGACGTGCATATGAATAGCCAAATACTCTTGGCATAAAATGAGAGGAGAAAGCCCACGCAGCCCACGATACTAGCAGACTAGGTAGCTTACAGGGCTGAGGCAACCAGGCCGGGGGAGAGATAGACGGGAAATATTTCGTCGATCGAACAGAAAAAGCAATTAAAATAAAACAGGAAGTAGTATGTACTTGACAGTACTATTATTGAATAAAAAGAGCCAGTGGAAATAAATAATACCTTCGGTCTTCTCTAAATCCTTTCAATGCAAAGGAAGATGTGCCGAGCCACTTAATGGAAAGAGGATAAGTGTGTGGGAACGGAATGGTAAAAAAGAAAAGAGATGACAACATCGTGGGTTACGCAGGATAGCGGGATGATGTCAGACCACACAGACGAAAGATGCAAAGACTCAGATTTCCCATTTTTTCCTTCCAGGAAGATCGACCAACCGTAATCTTAGGAGTTCCTGATCTCCATCGGCCCTGTTATGGATTTACAAGGGGTATAGGGAACTCTGATAGTGCTTGATAATGTATCTGAAGCAGCAGATGGAATTTTGAAATAGTACTAGAGTGTTAGAATTGCCTAACCGCTCTGCCGTTTAATAGAAAACAAACCAACCCAACGGTTTTTCTCCAACAGCAACAAACAACCTAAACGGATTGATGGGATAAAATGTGGTACGTACAAGTACCTACCTGTTTACCTATTTTTAATCTGTCATGATTCAATGTTGGAAGAAAGTACAAACGGCAAAAGCTTACATGTATGTTGCCTAGAGGACAGGACATGGCCGGCACCTGCTCCCATATTTCCATACTACGTGTGTACTTTCCTTATCCATGAATATCATTATATTATTCAAATAATTAATACGCGGTTGCAGTTGGATGATGTCGTTCCGCCTTGGGATGTTAAGCTTTATGATAATAGTAGGTAGCAAGATGTACCCTCTTAAGCTCTTAAGCAATAAAAAGCTAGCCCCAAACTACTCCAATTATTTAAAAAGAGCCAATTGCAATTTCGTTAGCAATTTAGGTTCGCCGACATTATTTTTTCATGCATTATATTTTTTTCATCATTCCCCATGTCTAGTACTAACATAGGCATGTGTACCCCAATCCTCGGGTGACACGGTGCCATCGAGTTTGACGGCGTAAAAACATCGTGTTAGATGATTGGTCGGCTTCGACCAGAGATGATCGCCATTTGAAACCCCTGATCGTTTTGAAACAGCGCTAAATGTCGCTACAGGGTGGATTCTACCTCATTGGTGTATTGATTCGGAATTTGGGGGCATGACGACTGTTTAGGTACCATTCCAAGTACCGCCAGGGCTAATTCTAAGTGGATCGCTTCTCGCTCCCCTTGTATGTCCCCAGGTCCCCTGTTGGTCCCTTGAATTCCTCTCTTTTCATCACAAGCTCACTTGACTGACTTTAGAAAATGCTCTGCACAATTCCATGAATTCCATGTTTACATAAGACGTACAAGACACGGACTTGATTCCCGTTGGCTTTCCTAAACTTCGGATCGTCGGATACCTCGGGGTCCCTTCTCCAAACTTCATGGATGTCGTGGATGACAGCGGCGAAGTTGGCATTGGCTGGCAGACGGCTGGTCCTCTGGCTGGTGTGGCAGTTCATCGTCGCAAGATCTTACGTTGATACTGGGTTAAGTTCTTGATTTGTTCGTTTTCTGACCGGCCACCGACGATCTTGTCAGACACTCTGCCGCGAATGTCTGTCAATTGAAAGCTAATAGGCAAATTCGCAACCCGCCTCTTGGTAGCTGGATCCGCTAGGTCTGAGTGGCGTCAGACCCCGCCATGAACTCCTATTGGTCTGCCCGTCTGCCGTGCGAACACCAGTTAGACGCAGCATTGGGACCAGCGGACGAGAGGTGACCGCGAAGGCACCGGTGGAGAGGCATAAGTTGGTTCCAAACTGGCTGACTGACTACCTACATTAGTTCCTGTATTCACCGAGTGGTCCTCATAAACGAGCACGTTGTAGTTGCAGGAATGCAGTGCAGCATCGACGAAACGACAATTCTGTGTTCCCACCAATCCTTTTTAACCTGGTTACGTCCTCACCACATTCTGCCGTACCACATTAAGTCAAAAGCCACGAGTATTTAGCTCTGGGAGAGAGATCTCTGGGGACCACATCCTCTCTCCGGTATCGTATTAATCGCTGCTAGCTGTTTTTCCTCCTTTCGCGGAGCAAAGTGTCCTTCCGGACGCCATCCGTGAAAGAGCCATCTAGACCTTCCCAACTCCGCCGGGTAATCATAAGATTACGGAGAAGCCTGTATTTTTAAAAATAGCATCATAAAGCCCGCACATGTCTAAGTATGTATAATTATTGCATGCCTAATCCCTTTCGGACGGTCGCCTTACTACGACGGAGCTGAGCCTGGTTGAGTTGTTTGTGAAACTTCATTAGTTCATAGAATCCAATGCCACGTTGGGAGAATTCCCATATTGAATCCAGTTTCAACTTAACCGCACGACGTATTGACTTTGAAGGACCGCGGGCCAACATCCCATCACCTAACCCACAGGTACCGCCCACGCACTTGCAAAGGTTCCTCGTGTTCGATCGCTTAAATAGGCACGTGCAGGATCCCGAAGGGATCTACCGTCTTTTGAATCATCACGTCCGAATCTGGAGCGGGAAGCAAGCCTAGCACGTAAAACATACATAACATTGTTGAGGGAAATGCCATCTTATCGTTTGCAGATGTTAAATAACATGGCGATGTGCCACCAAAATTTCCCTAACGAGATGGAATCGGCCGCTAAACAATGCAGCCGTCCGAACTCCGAGCGAACACTTGCTCCGGCGCTTGACGGAAGGCTAGCCACTTCGCTGTTCTTCAAGAATCTAAGAATCTCCCTGTATATAGGTAGGATGTGATCACCTATTGTATCTACACCTGAAAAATAAAAGCTGGGGATACTATCCCGGGTACCGTATGTCAGCTTCGTATTCTTCAGCTTGTCATGAAGGTCCCTAAAGGTCCTGTGTGGTTTCACAGATTCAACAAATCATGCATAGAAAAATCCCGTGGCAATTAGATCATATTTACGCCTCCTTTTTTTATGAGCCTGGGCCTGGCATAGGTTTCAATAATATACAGAGAAGAAACCCCCCTAGGGGCTAAAACAAGGTTGCTCTGCCACCTATTCACGTTCCTATCGACTGCCATTAGGAAATAAAACAATCCCATCGCCCTCATTTAATACATGTTAATAATAAAAAAACATTGTCCGCCGGCTCGGAAACGGTAAAAATGATCCGTCAACTTCCTTTCCTTCGTCAGGACATTCACGTTCCACAGGCCCCTCGCCGTAGCAAACAGATGAATTGGATCGGGTATAAAACAAACGGAAGAAGCAGCGCCTAACCGGAACGCCTCGTTAATTCGCAAAGATGATGGATGCTGCCTCCTGAATCGCACATGGGGATATCTACGCCTCCAGCACGACTTGCTTCGACTCGTTTCCGTGCAAGGGTTCGAGGTCCCCGTTGTTCGCTTCAGCTAACGTCTCGCGTTTGCGGTCGTTAGCTACCCGAACGCTGCCCCGAGAGCCCCTGACGATATCGCCTGCTTCGACCCGGTCCTGAATCATCTCGTCTAGAATGCGACTCATCTCATCGACGCTTCTGGTTCGCTTCTTCATCGGCGAGTGACCCTTGGATACCGGTGGATCGGGGAGAGCTCCTTGGGGCGGCGGGCTTGCTGCTTGTTCATACAAAAGTGATGAGCGAGTATCGTTCCTAGAATGGTCGCTCCTCGAAAAATCAATACCCTCAGCAACATCTCTCGAACGAGCCGCACTCCGCAGAGCGGCTAACATCCGGTCCTTGTCATCAAGTCTTGCTCTCAACTCTGCAATCTCAGCATCCTTCTCCTTCATAAGGGTGGAAACGCTGTGATCTTCGCCAACCATAATGCCCTTGTTCGGGGCTGAGAGGCCGACCGAAGTTCGCGAGGAGCTAGCACGACGAGCTTGCAGGAGCCGCTTCTCGAGCGTGGCGATATATCGGTTCTTATCGGCGAGATCTGCCTGTAGAGCCTGATTCTGGGCTTGCATCGACGCCGTGCCATCGCCATATTCACCCAGACTGTCCTCGTCCTCATTCGACGCTTGTTCCCCTATACTGGACCGCCGCTGTCCTATTGATCTTCGGCCAATAGTAGACGAGGAAGAATTCATGGAGGCGGTTCTCTCCAGGACAGAACGACTGCAGTTAGAAGTCGTGACGGATGTCCGGATAGATGTTTGAGAAAATCTGGAGTTGGAGTGAATTCCCAACGCACTATACGTCCCGCCAGTATTGACTCCTGTCGATTTCGAGCTAAGGATTAGTCGGTTCAGATGATCGATTCGCTCCTTCAATGCCGTACGTGCTAGCTGCATCTCCAGTATTTGCTCCTCATGCCTTGCTTCTTGTTCCTTTTCACGAGCACGTTCCTCTTCCTCATCTTTGTCCCTCTCTTCTTCCTCAGCCTTGGCGGTATTGGACTTGGCTTGAGTCTCCAGTTGGTTTCTGAGCTCGAGAATCTCCATCCGGTAACGTTCCAAGAGAACCCTGGCTCCTCCTTCTCCTCCAGCGCCTAGAGCCTCTTCGGCTCGTTTAGCATGACTGACAATGCTATTCTTTGCTCTCGACGCAAACTTAAGGGTATTTATCGTCTCATTTGCATGTGTGTTGGCGGAGGCCGTACTACCAGCAGCGCCGGTCTGAATTGTGCACAAAATACTTACCAACGAGTTGCCAGACAGAGCCCCTTGAAGGAGTCGAGTCAGCTTGCTGTCTCGGTAAGGTAAGTGCTTCCCGTCCTTGTCTGCTCCCTTCCCGTCCTTTTCCTTGTGTTCCGACAGCTTGGATATAACGGTTCCTAGAGTAAGCAAACTCTTGTTGATATGGGAACCTTCCGTCCGGCGCTCCTTCGACTCGGCAGCTTTTTCCGAACCTGCTAAATCGATCAAGCTGAGTGTAGAGACACGAACTCCACCAGGTGGCAAGGCTTGACGTTTATTGTCGGCGCCCGTTCCGCCAGGTATACGCTCTCTGCTTTCAACCACAATCTGCACAACAGCATGACTGCGAGAGCTCCTAGCGTTGAATTGCGTGCTCGCGGTCCTACGGGCTTGATCACCACGGGCAATCACTCGTAAAAGTTGGGTGGGACTTTGGACGATCTCCTCTTTCAGTGGAGTGGCGTAGACACCCCGCTTGCTGTCCTCCCGTAACTTGATCTCCTCTTGCGCACCTGTTCCGGGGGCATTGCCGGAGGCCATGCTCAGAAGATCGTGGATCTTCTCATTGTAAATTTCCAGGTAGCTAACACGTAATAGGAACTCTCTGGAAGGGGTCTCTCGGATGTATGAGAAAATGTCCGTTATAGCAAGAGGAATCACACCAGGAGACGACGCGGTTCCTTGCATGGAAAATGTCTTTCCGGTGCCCGTCATACCATATGCGAATACAGTACCATGGTACCCTTCCATAACCCGACGAACTAGGCGCTTGGCAATGTGGTCGTAGACTCTACTATTGTCGTCATGCGTCGTGAAGACATTATCTATCCAAATAGTTAGTTAACCCTATTGTAAAAGATGCACGAAGCACGCTTACCGTAGTAGTAATCGCCCCCTTCGCGGCCGCGATAGGCTACTAAAGACCTGCGGCCATCTACCATCCATTCACCCTCTGGGCTGCCGTTGCTACTTCCTGCATCAGGCCTCACCCTGACACTGACGATGACGTTACCCTTTCCCTCCATCCCTTTAGAGGAACGCTTATCAACGGTTGAAGTACCCGATGTATCAGCTAGATCGTCATATGTTGTTGCCGACGTAGAATATGAATCTTGCGCAGAAGAACTTCGGCTTTGTGGAGGAGACGAAATACTAATAAGTCCATCCGAATTCCTCGCGCCGGCTCCGCCGAGAAGTGACTTACCCTCACCGCTACCATTTAATAAACTTGGTACTCCACTGCCCATATGGGCCATCTTAGAGGTTGGTTGAGGTGTCCGTGATTTCCTCGATGGGGTCACAGCCCCAGATAAGGGGCTTGGGAGGCTTGTGCGGCTCGGCGGTTGAGGAAACGAATTTATGCTCACAGTTTTCCTAATGGTCTTTCCAGCGCTGTTAATCCCATGTGAGCTTCTTGGGACTGGAAGGGCCGTCGTTGGCGCGGGAGACGGAGGAGGGCCGGGATAGTTCGCGGAAGGTGCTCGGAGGCCACTCTTAGGCGTACCATGATGAGTCGCTAAGGTGCCAGTACTTTTCCGGGTCTTTGCGATGGGTAGAGCCGGTAGGGCACCGGTTGGCGGGCCATTCGATGGGCGCGGTCGTGGCAGTGTGGTTGCCATATTAAAGGTGTGTCTATGACCTGACACAAGTAGGCGGGACGAAAAGGTAGGTTGGTGGTGATGATTTTTTATGTTACCAATTACAACTCCCTACAATACGGTTCTAACCGATTTACCGCAGACAAACCAGATCTAAGAAGACAATAAGATCAATGGCATTCTTTTCGTTTCATAGTAAAGACTTCCGTATATGGGAGTTTCTAGAACAGAGGCTCTTTATTCGAGGATAGTCACAGTCGGGATGAATAGGGTAGCGGGTATCGGGTTGGTGTGACAAAACGTAGCCGAAAGTTACGACCCCTCACAGGTCTAGGATGCGATTATCTCGATTATATCGATATGGACGACTTAATAGGGTAGAGTGTTGGTGAAACTCCACGTGGGTGAACAAGAATCCAAGTTGATTTCAAAAAGGTTCCAGATTAATCTATTCGAGCACCTGTCAATACGGTACGGATTCGAACAGCTAAAGTCTGCCTGAACTGGGATTGCAATTCTAAACATTGCTAATTGAACCACTTACTTCAGTCGCAAGTACCTCTATGTAGGTAGGTTAATATGTAAGTAAGTACGTATCTGTTTGTACGTCCGATGGGTATTGTATGTTGATACAAAGTCCAAACGCGCAAAGGTGGACGATTGGAACGGGGGGTATCTCCAAAGTAATCGAAAGATTGTTAAGAATGTATTGCCGGAAACCGACAATAGAAAAATCCAGTAATTCCTGGTTTCGCAAAGTAACAACGGATACAAAGAACAAATGAGACTGTGTCGGTGGTTGGGTTATTTTTTCGGCGGTTCGTGATCTACTTTCTTTTGCTGAGGTCCTTGCGAAGATGGATGGGGCCGAGACACTTTTTAGAGACACCGCGTAACCGACTTCTATTTTCGGTGAAAAAGCGAACGAATATACAAAGTAGATATCTTAAAAACAAATCGTCGGGGCGGGGGACGGAGGGGGGGTTGCTGAGGTAGGAGGTTAGGTAAGTACGTATATTACAATGAATGAATGGCGGGCGTCGCGATCGGGTAAGCAACTACCTCAAAGCACCAAACGATGAATCTTCTCAAAAGAAGCATGCGCGAAGGTTAAGAAACTGGAGTTCGTGGATCCGGTGGAGAGAAGGGCGATAGAGGTAGCGGAAAGTGCTTGCTTGCTTGCACGTAACTTGCCTACACTACTTGCCCTGGTGGAAGCAGTGGAAGCAGGGGAAGTAACAACCTTGAAGTTGGTCCGGGCTTAGGTACTTTGGGTTGGGGTAGGCTTTTGAGTGGGAGAGTGGAGGGGGCAAGGGGGTAGAATGCGCGGCCAGAAAGTTCACCTAGGTCGCTGATTCCTTGCACACAGCAATCGACATTGCCCTAATTGTCCAATATTTGCTAACCTTAAATTCAATCGTAGATTACCTATACATGTACATATGTATTTTAGATCTTCAATGCTCTTCTCATCTTATCATCTTCTCAGCTTTATCCACGATCGAATCTTCTCAACACCTCAACTACTACTATAAAAATATCTCGAGCGATGCAAAAAGGAGATTGGCATCTCCTATGACAACACCAAATGACGCGTGGGAGGATTAACAAATGTACTTTCTAGTATATATTTCCCTTAATATCCCCTGATACGTGCCTGGCCAATTACAGTACCTTGCATCCAAATTAGGGTCAAGCTCACTGTAGGGGCTCGCACTATCACAGACCATGCACAATTGTATGGTCCAGATCCAGGGATTGGATATGCAAGCTCTTCACGACAAGGGGGACCCCCTGCCGTGATAGAAGACTTATTTTCGTTAATATGAATTTGTCGAAAGTCACTTCGCGTACCGAGAAGAGACTCGATCGCGATGATCCTATCATTGCCTCTTTTCCTCTTATCCATTTCATCTCTTCCATAACAATGCACACCTACTTACATACATATCAGTCTATTAAGTTTCAACTCATCGGCAGCGCTGATGATCTTCCTTTTGCTTCAGCAGCCTTGCTTCGATGTCTCATTTACTCGTGGCACTCGTTCGAGCCGGGACGCTATCTCGGCTGTGGCTGATCTTGATTTAGTCTGGCGGCGAATTTGGGAACTACTAAAAAAGTAAATACGACCGACGGCACCGTATTACTTTTTCTCTCTCTCATTCTCCCTTCCTATTATTAACGAAGTAAAACAAACACAACGGTCGGCATCGGTTCTCGATGCCTTGCTTGAACCCCTTTTATTATGAGGGCTGCGCTACCATGCCAGGCAGGGCTGGCTATCTGAATCAAGAATTTCCTACTAGGTCTAATGAGAGTCGTGCTAAACCCTTCTGCCGGGCTACCGGGCTGTCTTGCACCCTAGTCTTTCATCCGCCACAACGGGTTGACTTTCCCTTTTCGAAAGAAAAGAGGATTCGCGGGAAAAGATTTACGAGAAGTATCCGTTGGAGATGCTTGGAGATGTTAGGAGATGCGATATCGACAACCTAAAAAAATTCTCCTATTTAACCTAGGTATAACAGCTTACCTATCGTCCTCCCATTTTTCGAAGATTATGGTTCGATGTTCTGTGCAGATGCAAGTTGCTTGCATTTGTATGGACTTCCTTGCGGGTTAGTACATACACTAGGTAGGCACCTAGTTTATTGCATTTGCTGATCCAAATGGGTTCTCCCAGTTAGGTCTAGGTGTTGCAGCAGCGGGAGACCTAGGATGTAAATGCAATGGAACTGCACCTACGCAGGTCCCACGGCTGTTATTCGCGTATTTCTTGTTGCATGGTGGGTGAGAACAGCAACGCGACAACGGATTACAACCACTGCAAGCCGTAAACTTCAGCTTTCGTCGTAAAATTCTACTTCCAGTACGGTAGTATTGGAAGAACCTTCAGGGGACCCCTTTCCATATTCCCCCCACGATCAACTGTCAACCAACATTCAGGGGTCTCTCCACGCACATCAGTCAGCCTCTCTAACTTATCACTCACATATTTGTCATGTGGTATTGGCCTAAGGATTTAATCATTTAGGTTGTATGCATAAAAACGGCCGATAATCGAGGTAATTTCGGAAGTTGCCAACCATGGTCTGTGTCCCTTAGCATTGTCAGCACTCTACCAAGAGCAATGTTTTGCACGGACTCGACGAAGAGGAGCCTTAGCACTTGTCACGTATGCGCTTGCGCTCTTATCCCACTATTACGTATGAAAACATGTACGTGATCAGATCCCAAGTCTGTGCAGTAGCGTCAATGTCGACAAGTGCTAAACTGCCTCTGATATTGGGATCACATATCATTGCGTCTTTAGCACCTTTTAGCACACAGATATAAGGTGGACCAGAATCCATTTTCGCCCCATCCCATCTTGTCTTGCTGCTACTCAGCTAACGGTAGAGATCGTGCCACAACCATAAAGTCTTGGGTGGTCAGTGTGGTCAGTGTGGTTAAACAGCGGGCTTCCTTGCGTGAACCGCGTCCGTGAACCGTCTTATCTATTGCGGACGGACAGATATCCCTACCTGACTACCAAATCCGAAGCCCGCCTTTCTCTATTTCAGCGAATTCCCGGTTTCCCAAAGCCACGTCTCCGGCTCGCCGGCCGGGAAGATGAGGCTGAGCAATCGACCCCGGTCCCAGTCCGGGGTTTCAATTAAGTTCTTATCGTCAAAGCGAAACTCCATACAGACGCTTATGTTAGTACATGCAGACCATAGCACCTGACAAGGGATTTTGACAGATGATTTATGACTTATGATAAGTAAGACGTATATAATATAGGTTGGTGAAATGTATAGAAAGTATGACGATGAAATAACGAAATCGAAAGATTCTCGTTTCCCTTTGAATAAGTCTCCCCCTCTCCCTTTTCGCACGTATCGTTTCGTACATATTGGGTTACCCAAAGATTTACACGACCAGAATTTACAGGCACGATATCCGATTACGTCGCACTGCGTAGGAGCAATGCCATACCACCACGATCTAGAAGAATCCTATCGCAGCTAATAGCCTTATACGTGAGGTAACATAGCCTATCATACTAAGTTGGTGTATGCAAAAAGGAAAATAAAAGGACGAGGATTCTATTCTTCTTTGTCCTCCGCATCCGAAGAGTGTACATAAACTTACCTACCTGGTGTGTTAGTGTCCTTCCCAAGCATTAAGTAATCGACGTCTCCGAAGCCACGGCTCCGGACTGCCCCGGTCCCCTGCTCCCCCTGCGTCTACGATGCATATGGAGCTGCACATACCTACCTAGGTAGATGCCGCTAGGGCAAGCAATAAATAACGTTTCGACTCCGGCTGCGCATAAAAGAAGCTAGAATTCCTGCCCTCGAATGATTGCGGGGAAGATGATCTGCCCCTTATATAGAAGTATATATTCATGGGTTTGGACACGTTCCTCGGGATTGTATGTACTATCAGTCTCGAAACCTTGCTGCATATGTAGTTCTGATACGTGTGTAACCGTCTTGTTCATGCCGTCTACCTAAACACCTAATGGTATGAAGCTTATCTAATCATCTATATGAATGTACCTATCTAAATGCCTTCATATATGTATGTATATCCTAAGAATGCTCGTTATATACCTGGGTATGGAACAAACAATCTGTCCTGCTCAGTGGCATTGTCTATGATATGCGTTTCCTTCTAGATCGCCGTCGATGATACAGACGAAAGATCATGATCGAGATCTACCGGGGATCTGCGGATCTGTTCGATACCGGACCGTCGTTATCTTTCTGGTTTGCTGTTTCACATGTACGCTCTCAAGCTTCTTGATCGACCTGCGTGCTCTTGTCGCAATGCCGAATAGTATGGCGTCCAATCGCATCATCGGCCCTACCCATCACGGCTTCGCCCGTTTGCATTAACTCTTCGTCCTCAATGGTCAATGTAGGGAAGGGCCTAGTTAAGTTTTAGTATATCATCGCATAGCAACGATCGACGATATTTCACGTTTCTCTGGGATCTCCCTTGTTGAGGCTGAACGGTAGAAACGCTCAGCTCTCTGGTTTCTGCATCGCACGAGTTTCATCTGCTGTCCAACCACCATCGTCGGCATAGTTGACATAGGGTACCGCAACACCTTTCCAACACAACCTCAGGCCATAGGTGCAGTAGCCTGTGTTGCGTGATCTGGGGTAAGGCCTACAATACTAGGGCGACGAGGTACGACGCCAAGCTTTGTGATACCGCACTTCGGTAGTCCATCTATCGCATAGAAGACTCACAGAGCACGTACGCCTCGGCCGACGCTTCGAGTTTCAAAGACTTCGATTAAGCCGGACCCCACTGCTTCTTGTAAAACCCAGTCAAAAGAAAGTCCGTAGAATTGCCTCCACTTCCTAGTCTGACCAGGCAATACACTTGAGAACTCTCCTCGTGAGCGCTTTGCTGCGTAGCGCGCCTCGTCTTTTGCGATACCGCCGTCCCATCGATCACGAAGAACCGTTTCTGGTGCCTCGCGGAAGCGTGACTTGCTCAATAACGTGACGAGGTGATCGAGCGCTGAAGAAAGAAGCTTCAGGAACGTGCCGTTTCCAGGCACGGCAAGCTTCAGCTCCGTAGCACCCGTGTCGAGCCAGGACATACCGAGTGAGCCCCCTCCACTACCACCAGCTTTATGTATTGCGCCCTCGCCTCCTACGGCGCCGAGCGAACCAGTTGGCTGTCTTGATATATTGTCTAAGGAGGTAAATGTCACCTTATTCCCGGGCCGTGAGTATAGATTCGCGGTATGTGAGGAACGAACATGGTGGATCGAGCCGGTATTATGAGACGTCAGAAACCCAGCCTTGAGAAGCTGGTCGATCTCTAACATACTAAAAGCACCCGACTTTACCACTTGAGTTCCATGATTTTCTGTCAAAAATGTATTCAAACTTCTCTTCACGTCATCGTCTAAACTTGTAGAATCTTTCACCATCTGTTCATAGTCCGCAGCAAGTACTACAGTCTCTCCTATATCTCCCCGCCGAGGAACAACCACCTTGCGAACAAACCCTGCCCGCGCAAGCTCCGCGATTTCTCGTTCTACTGCGCTCGGCGACGATAATAGGGTTTGTATGTGCGATATCGTTACGATAGGAGGAAGCGATTTTCGATAATTAAGAACCTCTGCTATCCTTGTGGAGTTCATTCCGGCTGCTCGATCGGGCATTGGGGAGAACATGTGGTTGCGTATATGGAGGATGGCTTGGGAGGTGTCGCGCAAGTTCAGGTCGGTCGCTAGGGCCTTGACAAGCCCATAATCGTCAAGTTTATCGTCAAAAAGGTCATCTTCATTGTATTCTTCATCGTCACCTGCAGATGACTTTCCACGCTGTATTCCTGGCTTGCGGCGGGGCAGAGAGGAGGCCCAAGGAGAGGATGAAGGTGAAGATCGATTTGCGCCGGACTTCTTGGAGGCTTTCTTAATCCGGCTGGAGCCTCCTAATATTTTCCGTAAACTCATTTCTAGCAAGAGATAACATGAGATATTTCAAAACGTACGAAATGAGAAAGATTGGAAGCAGGCAGCCGTTAGTGAAGTTTGTCTTATTAAAACAAGGCTACCTGCACTTAAAGAATCGTAGGTAGTACCTGCCTGCCTAGCACCTGCGCTTATGTGCCTGTAAAGCCTGTGTGACGTTAGCGGAATGTGGCGTATATTGGCTGGGCGATACCTAGGGGCGACCATCATCTCATCCTCACTGGAATTTAAGATTTGATTGGCCTTCCGCGCCGCACTAGCCGGATTCGGCTTTCTATGAATAAGTAAATGTGACACCATGAAGCTTCAAAAGTCTATTCTCTTGTGTTATGTTCTTTCCTTATTGAAGGGCAATCCCCAATATTCTTTAATTCAAACTGTTTGGATTTTGCAAAAATACAAACTTGAAGTTAGGTGTGATTCAATTCAAATTCGACAGAGATAAAAGAATGCCTCGGTCCGGAGAGCTGGCCAAGAGAATACCTGCCCGCTTCGCAACTCACCTCCTTGCCTAAAATAAACACCAGGATATCCTATTCGAGATGCCGCCAACCATTATTCTAATACGTCATGGCGAAGCTTTACACAGTAGGCATCCATCATCAATTGCTTGAAAATAATATCTAATTGATTACAGACATTACCAATAAGTTATATCAAGGAATTATGCCGAATCACGTAAACTAACATGATGCAGCACATAACTGGTCACTCCCGGACCCGGGTCTAAGTGACAGAGGTATACACCTAACCAAGACTCTCCAAGGTGAATTCGAGCCGGGTTTCCCTTTCAAGCCGGATGAATGCCTCATCGTGGTGAGCCCTCTGAAGAGAACGCTGGAGACCGTGAAATATGGTTTCCAGTGGCTTAGAAACCGTGGCGTTCGCGTTGAAGTTCGCGCCGAATGGCAGGTAAGTAAAATGCACCGCCAGAAGCTATTCACAGGAACAGGCGTTGACCATATTTAGGAAACCACGGACAACCCTTGTGATATTGGAGCTGATCCTAAGATCATCCAGTCTGAATGGCCTGATATAGATTTCTCGAGGCTAGACCCCGTCTATCCTCAGAAGATTGGTCTATATGAGAATTCAGAAGAGGCTTTTCAAAGAAGAGGAGCTGTTGCCAAAGAGTGGCTCTACAATCGTCCCGAAAAATGTATCATCGTCGTGACACACTCCGGGTTTATTCGAAGACTTGTCAAAGGGCCAAGATACAAGAACCTGGAGTACGGATCGTACAGGCTTGTCCAGAATTCGGAAGGTCTCGAATTTGAGGAGACCCACAGGGTTATCGTCGACGATTTATAGGATTGCCGTTAATAATGACTGAGCCGGTTCGGAGGTGCAGCGAACATCGAAGGCAAAGAAAAATAATAATGGGTCCGTAGATAGGGATTTAAAATGCAACAAATTCCTGTCAAGTGAGAAATTCATATGCATCTTTGCCGGCGAAATTACTGCATGAAACCATATGCGGACACTTGAGGAGGGGGATGATACAGTGGCATCCCGCTTAATCCCGTGCTAGAACGAGACGACATGAGACAACAACATAATAATGCTGGAAACATCTGGTTATAAACTACCTACTATATGAATGGTAGTTGAACAGACACAATGCAACCTAAATACTTGACATACATACGATATAGATATCGGAAATGCGGCCTCTAGTGACACGTGTCGTACCTTAGAAGAAGCGATTGATATGTATGAGATTGCAATGTCGCCGAAAAATTACCATGGGAACCCAATGTTTTGAAAAATATCGGGCTCCCTCAAACGAACGGCATATATTACTCTCGCACTAGACTCGGCCTTGAAGACGGTGTGAGAGTTCGTCTTTGAGCAATCGTAAACGATCGGGAATCAGATGTGCTGTCGAATGTAAAGATTAAAAGAGAAGGTAAAAAATATCTTCATCCCGCACAGAAAAATTTTAGGTGTACCTGTTACGTAGACGCTCTTATGTAAGCACACGTTAGTCCTAAAGCAGAGAGACCCCTATTGAATCTAAGAGTTGCGATTGGTCAATACATCCAGGGGTCTTGTTGCATTTATGTATGTACGTATACACGTACATATGTATGTCTTCCTTCGTCACTGCCAATTTTCAACAGTCTATTTCTTAGCTCGACACTTATAGACCAGTTGACATGAAGTGGGTATTCTAAACTTCCAAGTTTACAAACTTCCCCATGGCACAATCTAGATCACAAGGGCATCAATTATGAAATGAAATTCCCAAGATTCATCTCCTAACCAGTCAGCAATGTGGCAATGAATAGATTCATTTTTAGACCAACGGACTAGTTCCAACACGGAATTCACGGCTTTTCGTCTTACTCAGTGTATTAGGTCTGACGTCACTCGATCCTCGAAGGGTCAATTAAAGGATCGCCGAATTGTGCTATTGACTTAGAATAGCACCTTGATGGCCAGTAGGACTTGGCAGTCGGTTAGCTGCAGGAGGCACGAGAACGGGAAATCGGCAGAGAGGAGGTTCTTTGTCTTCATCACGGCCATACCTCCACCAGACGACCCGGGTGATGAACTTGCAGAACGACTCCATTTGCAGATGACCTTAGCAAACACTCGGATATTGATCTTTCGACAAACAAGTGGGTGGGAATTTAGGCAAGTGTGTGGATCTAACCGACCTAGCCACCGTCTTGTGCTCTTGAAGGTGGCGCTTGGGGGAGGTCCACGATGTCTCAGTTGCTCGATTCTCCGCGATTAACCACCTACACGTGCGGAATACAGCGCTGTGATTCGTCGCCTATCATCAGCCTTCAGCCTCGTGAACAGTAATCCCCTTAAACGTGAGGGAACACGAGGAAATAGCTTAAGAAGCCTGTAAGCCGCCCTCGATTCACTTGTGATTATTTGGATTTTAGAATGTTCTATGTTTGGAAGATTCATTTAAGACTCAGGAGTCAGTAGTAGGTACGTAGTATTCTAGATTCTTTTTTACCTATCGCTCAATATCCACTTGGCACCGAACCCTTGGCTAAAAAAAACGCCTTTTGGCTTCTACAGCTGGTTTTATTGGCCCCTAGACGGACAGCTAGCCCTGTTTGACGTCCGCTGTCGATCATTTTGATCAATTTTCGAATCCACGATTGCCAATGACGGAAGTGTCACACTGTTGACCACGACAACTTTACAATTTTTTTCTCCTGCATCGGTCTATAAGCTGATACTTTCCCCTGGCTATGCGACTTGTTCCCTTCCATCAGGAATAGCTCTCTTAGAGCACCGTAAACGGTCAAATATGGCTCCAAATCAACTAACCTGGTTATGGGCTGTTCCCAGCCTACTGGCGAGTTTCGTCATAGGTGCGCCAACTACTACCGGAGGTCAATACGTCCTGCAGGCAGGCAAAGATGGTAGACCACTCACATCGCAGCGCCAGTTGCACGGCAGATTCCTCCATATAACAGGTACTGTATATCGCCATTCGTAACATCCCACCACACCTCGATCTATATAACATTTATTATGATACCTAATACTGACATATCTCGTACCTTGCGTAGATCTACACCCCGACGAATTCTACAAAGTGCACACATCTACGGAGGAGAATATCGCATGCCACCGAGGTCATGGCCCAGCTGGCACTTATGGCGCAGAAACGTCTGATTGCGATTCTCCCCTGGCATTGGTAGATGCAACTCTCGATTGGATTACGGCCAATTTGAAAGACTCGATTGATTTTGTCGTTTGGACTGGCGACTCTGCCCGCCATGACAGCGATGAGAAAACACCCCGCCATAATAAAGATATTTTGGCCATGAACCGCAGAATCGCGGATTCATTTGTCAAGACATTCTCCGACGATAAAGGATTAGTAGTTCCTGTCGTCCCGACATTTGGCAATAATGATATATACCCGCACAACGTATTGATGCCAGGTCCAAACGACATTTTGAGGGCTTATACCGATGTTTGGAGGGCCTTCATCCCAGAAGATCAACGACACTCGTTCGAATTTGGAGGATGGTTCTACGTTGAAGTTATCCCCAACAAGCTCGCTGTCTTTAGTCTTAATACTTTATACTTTTTCGATCGCAATGCCGGAGTTGATGATTGCGCACACCCAAGCGAGCCCGGATACCAGCATTTCGAATGGTTGCGAATCCAATTACAATTTCTACGAGAGCGCGGCATGAAGGCTATACTTATGGGACATGTTCCTCCCGCTAGAACTTCCGGCAAGCAATTATGGGACGAGACATGCTGGCAGAAATACACTCTCTGGCTGCAGCAGTATCGCGACGTCGTCATTAGCTCTCTATATGGTCATATGAACATAGACCATTTTCTTCTGCAAGATACAAAGGAGATTGACTTTTCCTACCTTGAATCTACGTCTAGTCAGCGAGCAAGCATTCGCGAGACCATGGAAGACGAAATTTCAGTTGAGTCTAGCAAAGATTACCTCATGGAATTGCGAGAGGATTGGGCCAAACTACCGGACCCCGTCCAGACCCAGGACTTCGGAGAGTTTAAGAAAAAGAAGAAGGGAAACAAGAAGAAGAAGCTCGGTGGTCCATGGGCGGAGAGATACCAACTCACTCTCATCAGCCCTAGCGTTGTCCCAAATTACCTTCCAACTCTGAGGGTCTTCGAGTACAACATCACCGGTATCGAGGATACTCCGACATGGGTAGATACAGTTCGCAAGTCGGGTGTGCAAAGTACTTCTGCACCTGACTTTGAAATGCATTCGCTAGAACTACGCGGCGAACCTAACGTAGAAATTGAGAAGAAGAAGAAAAAAAAGAAGGGAAAGCATGGCAAGGACCCTAATATCCCCCCTGTGCAAATTCCAGATGCGCCAGCAAAGGGAAGTCTACCAGGTCCGGGATACTATCCCCAACCCTTGACACTCAAAGGCTACATCCAATACTATGCCAACTTGACCATGATTAACAATGATATTACCGCGGACAACATTGACGGGGATGAGTTGTCGTCTTCTAAGTGGGACGCGGGAAAGCATAAGGACAAGAAGCCGAAATACACCAAACCACAACCAAAAGAGTTTGGCTACGAGATCGAATACACTACATTCGACGACAAGATCTACAAGCTGAAAGACTTGACCGTCAAGAGCTTCCTACGCCTTGCCCACAGAATAGGGCAGACCTCCACCGAGTCCACTGGACTTGGCGAGATATACGATGATTATGAAGAGGAGAATGACGATGATGAAGTCGTCGATAATGAAGTAGAAGATGTCGAGTCCATTGATGAAGAAGAAAACTCAGACGGCCTTGATGCCGAGAAGAAGAAGAAGAAAAAGAAGGGAGGCCATAAGATGAGAAACACGAAGATATGGCTCCATTTCTTGAAACACGCGTTCGTCAGCACGAAAAGCATCGATGAACTCAAAGACATCAAATAATCCTAAACAACCTAAGGGATAGAGGGGACAGAGGGAATTAAATGAATTAAGTTCGTTTGATCTAGGGAGTTATTGTCTTTCGTTATTTTACCTATATCTCTTTCGGTTTCGCATGGCATGAGAGCGGCGCACATTGGTTGGTATACCTAGGGGTTATGACGGCGACGTTGGGTATATACCTATCCAACGTCTTTGAATGAATGATGGGAAGCGGGCACAGCATTGGCGGATTCGGTATATCATATGCTTTACACGCACTGCACTGCATTACATACATTGCATCGCATCGCATCGCATTACACGACACGGAATTTAGGTACGCATCTAGATCCTAGATTTAGATTATTAGGACGGTGTTTAAGGCGACGAGCTATGGATGTGTTTTGAACATATTAGATATTAGTGTGTGCTTCATTTGGTTCGGCTTGGTAGTTATGGATGAGATAGCATCGTATAGCTAAGACACGGCGCGCATTTTATGACATGTGGATATAGTCCCAATTGAATGTTGAAAAGTTATCGTCATTGCTATCATTATCGTTTGTAGTATCCTGAGACCATCTTTCATGCGTCCTGCTTTATAGACACGTAGATCACCCAACTACCTAGTCAGAATCGCTGTCCGACGAAGAGGGAAACCCATTCCACTCCTCTTCCGTATCGTCGAGTACCCCCTCGCCATTAGCCTGATTACCGTCCTCATCATCGTCGTCTAGCTCTTCGACCTCGAACGTGCCGCTGATATCCCACCTATCGCCAGGAGCTTTTTGGCTGATGTACTTGACGAACTTGAGAGCGCCGCTGTCGCGCAGCACCAAGGACATATTGTTCCAAGAAACAGCTTCAAAGAATAGGATGTTGTCATCGTCGTTGCCTGATTTGTATATAGCCGCGTCCTCGTTGGCGTCGTCATCTCCTGCCATGTATACCTCGTGGCCACCGACTTCGATTGGTTCTTCCTTTTCAGGTTCTTTCTTGCTGCTCTTCTTCGGGGCTTTACCCTTGCTTTTTCCTTTACCGTTGGACTTGGATTGTTCCTCTTCAGCCGCGGCTTCATCTTCGTCTTCGTCCTCGTCTTCGGCGCCGCCCCATCCGCTTGTCGGCGTGATGCCGATGGTCATTTCTAGGCGCGGCTTGCCCTCGTGCCCTGTTGCTAATGTGTAGTCTTTGCCGTGTCGGAAGCGGCGCGCGATGAAGTCATGACTCTCGACTACGCTACCGGTGGCTATCTGTAACCAGCGGCGGAACTGCGGGCTTGGAAGGAATTCTTCCAGAAGCTCTTTGATGGGTGAGGAGTCTTCTTTCGAGGCTCCATTCTTTTTCGAGCTATCTGCTTGGAGGTATAGGTAACGGTGCTTGTGAGGCGGTTTTGCGACTCGCCAGGGGCCTTTCTCGATCTTGGCACTATCTTCTGGCAGAGGCGAGCTTTCTTGGGCGACGACGTAGTCTCTTAATCTTTTGGCGAATTTCTTGCCTAGGAGATTGGGTAGTGTGATGGTAGAAAATTCTTCGAATTGTTCGGTGACTTGTTCGAGGGTGTCGGGGGTTAGATAGGTCGGGGTCATGTACTTGAGTAGAAACTCTAGATCGGCCTCGTCAAATTCCTCTTGTGAGCTCGATTGTGGCTGTTCGACTTTCACCGGTTTCAATTGAGGTAAGTCGTACTGATCCGGATTTCCTTGTAATTGCATCAAGCCACTATTCTTGGCTAATTTCTCCTCGGCACCCTCGACGTATCCGTCTTCTCCGATCTGGGGGATGTGGAACCAGCCACTGATGGCCATACGGACTCTGCCTCCCTCCTTTTCTAATTGCTTCTTGCTTTCGGCGTGGTATACTTCCTCAACATCATGGAAACTCTCCCCAGGCTGAACGGCGAAGAAACTCAGCTGGTTCCAGGCAGGTGGTATTATTTTGGAAACGTCTGGCGCGGGTGTCCTCGCAACTTCTCCATCCTTGCCTTTAATCGTGCGAACGGGGAACAACCTTAGCGCACCGCCCCATTCAGCCTTCCACGGGATATCGGGGTCCGTCAGGTAGAGGATGTAGCTAACTTTGCGGCTGCCGATAACGTCGTCATGGCACAGGAGATAGCACCCGGGTGTGTACACATTAATAGCCATGTCCGTCTTCCTACCGCTCAGGGGTCCGCATCCAGTGATATGAGCAACATAGTCTCGAAATGCTTGAGAGTACATAGCATCTCTAAGAGCAAGTAAAGACGGTAGTTTTGCCAGAGCCTCGTCGTCTAAGCCATCAAGGTTCGCAAGGTCGCCAGATTGGTGGATCTTGTAGATGTCAGTCTCCTTGGGTGTGAAGGATACATTGTCCTTGATCTCCTCGCGGACGGTTCGTAGTAGGGTGTCGTCTATTAGCTCGTGGATGACGCTGTGCTTGTAAGGCGTGGATTTGGCATAGCCTTTTGTATATTTGTCTAGGACATCTTTGTCGAAGAGTCCTTTCCTGAACTTCTTTTTGGCATCTTCATCACCCAATGCTGTGGTGGCAGTCAATCTTTCTGCTATGAAAATTTGTAGCAGGATCGTACGATGGGCGATCGCGATCTGTTAGGTAGATGGCTTACAAGTCTTAAACTTTTTCTTGTGAGGTTTGTGGCTTTCAGCTTGGGAGTGAGCTTTGCGCTTCATGTTGGACAAGCAATAAGACTTGTGCTAGAAGAGTATATATATCAATTGTGAGTTTGAGAGGTTTAAAAAGCTTATGGAAGCCGTAGAAAACATAGACAAAAATCGTAGCTTCCTACTTTATCGACTGACAATCGTTCTAGTCTCGCACTTTTAACGAGGGAAAGCAGCGGCAGAAAAAAAGAAAAATGGTCCACGCTAACCCGCACTTTCCAAAGCTTCATGGATGATAGCCCTAGGAAGTTGGTATGATCTTCACCGCCCGACCCACCAACTCTAATAGACAAAGTGGATACTTCTACCGGGTAGGTAATTGCCCCTCGTCCCCTCTCGTCCTCCTATTCGCAAACCTCCCGCTTTCACACTCTCCCGCTTGTCCCCTTACCGCTATGGCTGCTACATCTCCTACATTTATTTAATTATTCGGCTCCAATGAATCAACAAATCCAACGCCAACGTAGTTGGTATGATCTGACTGCATGATGGTTGAAGCGCCCATCAATTCCGACTCGCAGGATTCCTATTCTCTAGTTTCACTGGTCGTGAGCGGATGCATTCAAAAACCATGTATAGCCAAGTATATATAGATCATGCGCTATGCATAATCGACACCATCACTCTCCCCGATGGCCTATATAGTGGAACCGTATTGGCGGTTAACACATCAAGTCCGGCAATTATCTAAATCGGAGTAATAAGTTTGCGTTATATTGACCGGATCTCCTACTGGATGAGATCTCTGGATACATACCTAGGTAGGTATTCATGTAGACCGGGCTAACACTAGGTGCACCATGGCCGGCGGTTCTAGTCCTCAGTGTCGAGTTCCATTAGGGCACCATCTATGAACCTATATATGTATAGTGAATTCACCAATGAGAAGGAGAATTGAGCATATGCCTCCTCCCTCAGAGATAGATGCCTCTGACTCTCTTGAGAGGGAAAAGGCAATTTTATCTATGAAATGAAGCTATACTGACCTAATGCTAGTCACAAGAATAGTGCGAACAATCGTTATAGCTTTACATGTTTGCTAACGTTCTCGCCCCATAACACAGCATTAACCCCTTTCTCCTTGCTAGAAATTCATGATATATTACCATCCTTACCGAGTCTTATGATCACCGCTTCCCGTGTTATCGGAGCTAGCTAATGCTACACCGACACTGTCTCCGTGCTTCGTGGGACCCCTTTAAGACATTCGTTGGAGTCTAATGAATTCGATTCTGGTTCTCATTTCCCTCCTCGTGAAACAGCTCGGAAATGGTACACATCATCTTATCGTAAATTCTCCTCGCTGCTCTTCGACAATCCAATCCTTGGGGTGAGCTTGCGTGATACGTACGACATACCGCATATGCCCAGAATCATCACGGTTCCCCTCAATGTTGAAGATAGGATACACCAAACTGTCTTCCAAGGAGGGTATATGCTACGCTAGTAGTTAGGATCCATGATCCGGCGGCCCGGCCTCAGATATTAGGTAAGTACACATGAGATGGTCTTCTAATGAGATATAGTCAATGGACTTCTGTCTACATTGGATCTCATCGACGACAGATACAGGCAAGACATAATTTATGAAGACATACTGAGTATGTCAAAAGTTTGATAACTCCCGAAGTCTCCTCGAGGATTTAAACGCTTTGAATATATTAGCCCCTGATCTTCGTGTCTCTACGCGGGAGATTTTCTTCTTACATACCCGATTCTTTTGTCATATTTTCTGTCCCCTTTTCTATACTCGTCTCCGTATCGCTAGCCAACGATATCTAGCATATGAGGGTATCCTCGAGAGTAACGCCCCAGAAGGGCACCAGTGCCATTGGTGCATACAGTTTGAATTCATAGTTAAATGTATTAAAAATTCACGATTATAGGTAGGTGATTAGATATTCTAGTTCACACTTAGGTAGGGATATAGCTATTATAAGCCCACATACGCTCGAACCTCCTTTTCTCGTCACTTACGCTACCCGACTATTTTCGGTAATACCAAATCTTACTATATTTGGTATCGTACCTGCATTGACATCTCCCTTGCTTCACCATTCCCTATCAGATTTCGCCCCTTACCTAAAGAGCGGCTATTGACGAAGCGCTCATATGTATATTTTGCCGCCGTGCTAGTATGTAGCATCAATTCGTAATATGGGTTGGATAAGGCAAGGATAATCGGTAATGATGGGAATTATAGACTAACAGGTTTTCCAACAATCCTCCTTGTCGTCAAAAAGCATATAGCTTCCAACTACCGACTAAACTAGGTAGTTGTGAAGCATCGAAGTTAGTACTCACGGCCTCGAGGTATAGATAATAACTTTACGTGGCACGCATTACGCCATAATATTGTGGGAAGAGTGCATGCCTACATCGGACGATTCGATGAATCCATATCCAGAGAAACAAGATAAAGTATTGGAGAACCTAGATGTATTCGGAATAGGAATGTGCTTCTGCAGCGTACCCCCGCACAAGCGTCATTAGTTGGGCTCTAAACTCGGTAACGATTAGATTCTAGGTTATTGGTTCCAATACACTTCTGATAGTTAACTGTTCTACTTCACATGTACCGAAGAGGTTAAATAGACGATAAACATAGGGAAAAGATACAATTAGAAGTGCCATTTTAGACGACTGTTGAAACAAATGGCTACCTTCGACGTCGAAACTGCCAGGTCCAAATTCCCGGCCTTTAAGGAGGATCAGGTGTTCCTGGATAATGCAGGCGGAAGCCAGATTCTAGGAAGTGTTGTCGAATCGTGAGTAAGATGATACTTTAACGTCTATACGAAAATAAAGCTTTATGTAAACTAATACGACTTAGTATATCCGACTACTTGATCAAGAGCAACGTCCAGTTTGGTGGAGGCTATAAGGTCAGCAAAGCATCGAGTTCTCGATACGATGACGGCATAACGGCCGGAGCCAAGTTCCTGAACGCCCAGAAGGATGAGATAGGTGAGTCTATCTACACCAGGATATGAGCACAGGAGGCGATTTAATCACCTACGCCAGCATACGGCTCTTCCGCCACCCAGCTCCTCCGCAACCTATCATTCACCTTCCCGTTCCAAGAAGGGGACGAAATCGTGCTATCCGCCATCGACCACGAGGCCAACATCGCTCCATGGAAGAGCCTCGCGGAACGGCTGAAGCTCGTGATCAAGTCGTGGGTTCCGCAGGAGGGCTCAACTAACCCCAAACTACTACCCGAAGATCTCAAGGGTCTCCTATCCCCTAAGACACGACTGGTGACATGCACCCACGCGAGCAACATCCTAGGGACAATCCACGACGTCAAGGCCATCGCCGAAGTCGTGCACACCATCCCCAACGCCCTCCTCTGCGTCGACGGCGTATCGTACGCGCCACATAGACCCGTCGACGTCAAGGAGCTAGGAGTTGACTTCTACGTGCTGTCATGGTACAAGGTCTTCGGCCCGCACATCGCCATGCTGTACGCAAGCCGCAAGGCGCAGGAGCAGATGGGCACGCTGGGGCACTGGTTTAACTCCCAAGTGACGCTCGAGAATAAGATTACTCTCGGTGGGTGTACCTAGGCTGCAACCCTTTTTCAAGTAGGCGTTTTTTGGAGAAAGAAAATGCTGATAAAAAGATAGGAAGCTGCTGCTACGAACTAGTCCAATCCATCCCAGCAGTCACCGCGTACCTCGGCCCCGCCAAAGCCGGCTCCTGGGGCGGCTTGCACGCGCAGGAGACGCTGCTGCAGACTACTTTACTCGAATACCTCACCTCCAAACCCAATATCACTATATACGGCGAGAGGAGCGCGGACGAAAAACTCCGACTTCCTACGGTGAGCTTCAAGGTAGCGGGGTTGGACTCGAGGGAACTAGTCGAGACGCTGGAACGGACTACGAATTTCGGGTTCCGCTGGGGCGCTTTTTATTCGAATTATTTGGTGAATGAATACTTCGGGCTGGATGCTAGTGGTGTTGTGAGGGTTAGTATGGTTCATTATAATACTCGTAAGTACCTATTGTAATTCTTTTGAGAGGTTTCGTTGTCTGACAATATTGTGTAGTGGAGGAGGTAAAGGGGTTGATTGAAGCGATGGATGGTGTTATATCGAAGATTTAGATATAGGGGCTAGAATCGTCTGTTAGCATTTTGTTTTGTTGATAGCCATGTCGAAATGGGGTCTGGAGTATGTGTCGTCTCTAGAGATGTAGTTTCCTAGAGATTTAGGCCATATGAATAGATGTTGGTCTTCCAGTCCAATGAGTTCATAGTGATGCGAAGTGTATATTCATCTCTTTCGTAACTTCCAAAATCTTGCGCTAGTATGCTACTCGCTGCTAAGCAACCCACAACACCCTATTCACAGCTTCCCCGACCTAGAATCAACAGCCGTCCTCAACAACGAAATCACCTCGGCCGGATCTTTTGCCCCAAATACAGCGCTCCCGGCTACGATCACGTTGGCGCCCGCGTCGGCCGCCTGGTCGATGGTGCCGGGGCCCAGGCCGCCGTCGACCTCGATGTTCAGATCCGGGTATTTCTGTCGTAGCGCCTGCACCTTCGGTAGTTCCGACGCCATGAACTTCTGACCGCCAAAGCCGGGCTCAACCGTCATGATTAGGACCATCTGTTTGTGTTTGGTTAGCTGACTGTTTGAATCCGATTACTACGCCCATATTTCCACCCATAGATTGCAAGGTATGAATTTGGTATTATGTATGTAGGAAATGTTTCGTAAATTATAAAGGGAGAGGAAGAACGCACATCCGGCCGTTCCTTCGGATCCGGGTTCTCGAGTATATCGGTTAGGACGTCGACGCCTGTCGCCGGCTTAAGCGCGATTCCCGCTAGGAGACCTTGGTCGTGTATGTAGCGTATCAGCTCTTTCGGGCTCGTCTTCGCATCGGTCTTGGCTTCGGGGCTCTCGGCGGCGCTCGAGAACGCGGCTTCGTAGTGGAAGCAGTACAGGTCGCAACCCGCCTTCTGGAATTCCTTGACCCATTTCTTAGGCTGTGGGTACCCGTTGCCGGACGGGGTTTATGATTAGCCCATGGTCTCTTTTAACAAAACCCTCTTTGTTATTGGATGTGTGTATAGTACCCCTAGTCGAAACTAGGAAACGGGAAAGATGTAATGGTATATATACCTCGGCGATCATCATATGGCAGTCGAACGTCCCGCGTCCATGGTTTTCCTCGGGCTTATCGACGTGCTTCCTGATCTTGGCCACGACCGGTGCGCCGAAGGTGATGTTCGGTACGAAATGGCCGTCCCTGCGAGAGAAACCGCATTTAGCTCGATCAATGTTATTCTCCATCTACAACCCTCCGATACGATATTATATACGAAGCCCGACGGATACGTACATAATATCCACGTGAAGCCAGTCGGCACCTTGCTCCATCGTCCTCTTGCAGTCGGCGCCTAGCTGCGCAAAATCCGCCGACAGGATCGATGGCGCTATAATCGCCTTTGGCGCCATGGTCCTGTTTATCTGTTTATAGGGACGAGGGAGGGTAGGTATCTCGTGCGAATGTGAGGTTTTCTCGTTGTGAACTGAGGGAATTGTCTGGTGATTTGTACCTATACAGGTTTGCGAATTGAGGCATCTAAATGTTACAAACAGACGTCACTGAAGAAATATGGCGGGGCATCAATATGGTGGGGTTGAGGGTGGGGTAGTCCCCTCATCCCCTAATGATTCCCCTGGAAATAGTATATCTAATACTAGTAGGTATTCGTTTGTCGGATAACCATGGACGAATAATAATTTACATATAAAAGTTATGACACGGTATTTACACGTCACGGATAACAATTAATCAAGAATTTAAAGGCTAGGATTGATGTTCTCTATTGCGAACGCTTTTTAGCTCCTAGGTAATATCACCGGTTCGCCCGCAAGTGGACAACTAGTGAACTCCAGTACTACCTATGTAGACCAAGCCCCCTAAAGCCCCCTCTTCTTAAACGACTGAACTTATTCTTCCTCAGCAACAGTCTCAGGAATCAATTCATCCTCGGCATCCTCGTCGAAGCTACCGGCGGGAACTTCGTACAGACGAAGGATAGACTTGTTGGGATCCTTCACAAGTACAAACTTGCCGTCTTCGCGCTTAAGGCACATGTCAGCAATAGTGCGGACGATACCCCAACCGTTGGAGAGAGACAAGTTCATCTGGTTGGCGAAATCCTTAGGCTTCCAGCCAATGACTCCTAGGATGATATGCTTGTCGTTGGTCTTCGGGTTGGCACGAGAAACGAAACTAGAAAACAAATTAGTAATGAATATCAAATAGTATAAGAATTTAGCGGAAACGTACCCAAGCTTCATGACATCGGCCTTAGACAAGATACTCTGTACCGTCCATCGGGCAAGCTTGACGCTGTTGTTCTTCATCTCCGTCGCGACGACCGCACCACGCTGGCTGACCAGCTTAGTTCTCCAATCCAAAGCACCTCCACTACCTTGGGCCTTGTTATCGAATTCGTTCAGGGCCTTGACGGTCACAAACTGGTCCTCGCCGTTAATAGCGTTCTTTTGGACGGCGTCTAGCTCGGTTCGGACGATTAGGTACATAGGATCCTCTTCGCTAGTTGAAAGATCAAATCTACGGTACTTGTATGCCTTGCTCGCAGGAGGCTCGGTCTCCTCGGAAGCGTTATAGAATGGGTTGTCGTGAGTCATATCGACCTTGTTAGACTCGTTCTCTAGAACAACCTGGTTGGCAAAGTTGTGGTTGATGTAAGTAGCCTCTTCCGCAAGGGCACCAGGCTGGTTGATACCATCCTTGTTGCCATCGGAAGACTCCAACGGCGCGTCTGCAGCATTCTCGTTTACCGTCACCATGTCGAGCGCAGCACTATCGCGCTTGTCGAGGAAGATCTTGTTGCCTTGCCTGACGATGACGATATCCCACGGGTAAACCGAGCGGGTGGAGCACATGAGCATAGACAGGATGCTGTCAGTGGCGAAGATAGTGGCCTCGTCTTTATCAGCTAGCTCCTGAATAACGGGATCGGAAGAGGTGGTAACGTTGTAGGCGGCACGGTCCAGAGGTACAAGTCTCCTCTCGGCTGTCTTGACGGGTTGCTTGTCGAAAGATCGGTCATAGTAGTATAGGAATCCGTAGCTATCCATATCCTCACCCTCGTCAGCATCCAGGTTCAACTTGGCGAGTCTGTTAAAATCAATCTCCTCTAATAATTGCCAGTCGGCCTTGATGTTAATGGACGCATCTCGGTTTCGGGTCGGCTTGTCGTAGTCTTTCCATCCAAAACGGCGACCACGAGGCGCGTTATTACGTCCACCACGGCTATCATATCCATAGCCTTGCTGACCTCCGCGGCCAGGACGCTGAGGCTGGGAACGGCCACCTCGAGTATCTTGGCGGGCGCCTCGTTGTCCACGGCCGCGTGTGAAGACGGCTCCGCGACCGTATCGTGTCTTGGTAGGCTCTCGGCTGACAACGGAGAAAGTGTTTTCGTCTTCGGCAACAGGTGCGGTAAATAGCGCGGCACTACCAGCGCCATAAATTTGTTGATCTATATCGATTTAAAAATTAGCACTAAGCGAATGGTTTTCGTGGCCGAGACCAAGTTGATCCAGTCTTTCGTACCCCTAAAGTTGCGATTATATTGCTGTCTTCCACCACGACCATCGCGAGAATCCTTGCTATCTGCGGTCCAGTCTGCCATGCGACCTAGTTTATCACCCTTCGAGAAGGGAGCATATGGGACACCGTTCAGGGTGGTTTCGGTTACGGGAGGAGGACCCCATCCATCGCCTTCAGGCAGGGCCGAAATAAGATCAGCCAAAGAGGTGGTCGCCATATTGAATTATTTCAAAAGCAAGTCAATAATTTCTCGTAGAATCTGTTCTGAAATAATGGGGAATCGTTGCAAGTTGCTAGTTGCTTCGGCGTTGATTTTATGAAGTTTGAAGTGCGCCGAAATTTTAGTCGAGGGCGAATATTTTACTGAGAAATCAGAGAGTTTTGGTGGGGTGTGGGGCAGTCGCAAACCATCGCCGGTACCTCCAGTACGTACCTGCCTTAACACTGAAAATACGTAATGTGTGAATAAGAATGTGCACTGTATCATAAATATCATTATGAAGTCTTCATGAAAGTGACCCCTTTTCTACTTCACAGTCGTACCTTACAAGTGAACGTATTTGATAGTCTTAAAATTTCCAATATCTACCTAACAATGTTTGATTGAAATTGAATATCGATATACTATTTAAGTACATCTTCTTAAAAGTCCCATAATAGACATTGTTAATATTTGGGGTGTAAAGCAGGGCAGGTGTAGATGGACTTTATATAAGCTTACAAGTTGAATAGCGCTTGCTCAATTGCAATACTATGAAACATGATTTTAATTCGTCATATGTAACACATACATAGGTACATATATCTAAATGATCTAACGCCCAACAATCATAACCCCTCCCATCATCATAACCGTCGTCACCATTGCTACACCCGCATCGTAATTATCACACTAATTGTATAAGGTACCACCTAACGGAACAACAAACACGGCGAGGCCCAAAGTGGTCTGTTGCCTAAAAAGCCAAACCCATAGTCATCTCTGGCTTCGCAGAGAAGACGGCGTTCAGAGCGTCCCTTACCTCGAACTCTTCCATCACGGCCCCGAACCTGGGGGATAGTTAGCATGTGCGACTTTTATATATAGACAAGGAAGAGGTCACGATACGTACCCGTAACAACGGACTTTCCCCTTGAGATCGTCGGTCAATCTCTCAAAGTCCTCTCTCTTCAAGTCCGTCAGTCTCGGGTGGGCGAGAACCATACCCCAAGCCATGACGGGGGTGATCTCGCCGTCGAGGTCGAGCTTCTTGCTGAGGTGGAGCAGGGTGGTCAGGTCGCCCTTGGACAGCTCCCAGGTCTGCTGGGTCGATTGGATCGGGTTGTCCCCCCCTTTGCCGATGGCGTGGGTGTGCGCGTACCCGAACGGGATCTCGTCGCTCAGCTCGGGAAAGGGCTCCGGCGGGCACGAGGCCATCAGCGCGTGGCCGCAGGCGTCGCCGCTCGTGTCCTGCGCCCGCTCTATCAGCCACGGCATGTGGTCCATGCAGGGTCTCTCCAGCCTATACGCCCGCGTCAGCCTAGCTGTTTTTTTTTCGTCTTCGTCTTCGTCTTCTTTTTTTTTCGCGCCCGCTCTGTGCCACGTCCGTGAAATTTACATTTTCGTGCGTGCGTGCGTGTAATATATGATATTATCTATGCGTTGCAGCGAGCGAACCTGTTTTCCTTGTTTTTCTTCTTCTTCCTATTCTTATTTTTTTCAAAGTAAAAGAAGGAAAAATAGGTAGGTATGTAGGTAGGTAAACAGGGGTTTCACTGCGGGGGAGGCGATATGTACGCCTTCGAGGGGTCATCGGGGTTCTCGTACGTTAAGACGAAATCTATCCCAGCTTGCTCGTAATCCACGCGATTCTGACCGGGTTGTTGCTGGCGCTGCTGGCCCTGGGAAGACACGGACATGGAGGGGGGGCTCGACATCGACGTCAGGGGCGGCGTGTACGCAGTGTTGGAACTTCCGGGTGCGTAGCTGCCCGAGATGCTTCCGCTCGACGTGTACCCAGGGCTCAGACCGCTGGCGACGTCGTCTATGCCGGCTCCCGACCCGAGCGAGACGCCGTTCTGCCGCAGTAGCGTCTTCAGCTGCCTGTTCTCCTCGGCAAGCTTATCCTTGTCTTGTGAGACGTTGCTATATATTTCCTTCAACCGCAGCACCTCGTCTTCCAGAGCCTTTATATACAATTCTTTACGTTCTCGGTGCGTCCTACCCAATCCAAGGTCAGAACGAGTTTACTTTCATCACGCCGGACTTCGGTCGACCGGAAGAAATTAGGATACTATACCTTTGCGCTTGGCGGTTCAATTCTTGGCGTCTTGTTAATGCCGGTTTGCTGTCGGGTTTGGGTCCTCGTCGCTTGGGCGGGTTTCCATCGCGGGTTGTCTTCTTATCGTTGAGAGATTTGAGGAAGTTGAGGTTGAGCGACGAGAGCGGACCCCCCTTGTCGGGCTGTGCGCCGTTATTGGAGTTCTGGGGCGAGGAGGAAGACGACATCGATACGTGTTCGTAGAGCGATCCCAATGAAGGCTTGTGATCAGACGGAGAATAATGCGTCGGAGGCGACGGATAGCCGGCTGTGGGCCCTGGGTCAGTCATTCTAGCCATGATTCACATCGGGGCGAAACTCGACGGCGAAGTGCGCGATCCGAGATCTAGGGAATGAGGGGGGGTATCCAATACGGGCTGTAGGGTCCAAATTGATGGGAGACACATTCATATATGTGCCTCGCGAAGCGGGGTGAAGAATGTTACATACCTACTTAAGAAATAGATGAATCGCCTCCCACACCTTTCGATTCAGCCTTGAACGGCCCTGGGAGCGGTATCTAATTCAGGATGTGAAAAGATCGCTTCTAGTAGTCGACGGCTCTTTTGGGGTCGTCACTATGCAGAAGGTCTATGAGATCCAATTTGCGCCGCGTGGTATTGGAAAGTAAATAATTTGACGATGAGCATCTGGGCAAGTATATAGATATGAAACGGGTTTCCCTCCAAATCCGATATGGTACTGGAGATGATGCGTTCTCAATGGCGGAGGCCGATCATCTTGGGGGGCGCAGGCACAAAGCTGGTTAACCGTTGGAGAGCTTTACGGTGCTCGGATAAGCCCCACGAGTTTGGATAAGACGGTGGGTAATTTTGACGACTCGGGACTGGTGGGATAGCTAGGATAGGTTCTTCCTTAACAGCTTCGATGGCTTAGACACCGCTTACGTTGCTGCGGATGTCGTGATGGGTTGATACGCGGATACATAGTCCATACAGATCCCTTCACTGTCTGACAGTTAACTGCTTCAGTAATAATACCTAAATAATAGCGCAGCCTCCTAATCTCGCTACTGCATAGGTACTAGTTAGGTAGTATTCTGTCTTCTTTATTCTGTATTCTGTACCTGCTGTTGGGCAATTGCCGTTAAATCTCGTGGCTTTCTAAGAATTATTAAGAAGCTTGATCTTTTAGCCTTGGGGCCTATTATTCTTGGATATGTTATGCATGTAGCCTAGATAAGTTGCGTGCTCTCTTCTCCAATAGGTATGCTTACCATCGTGAGATTAAACTTGAGTTTTAATTACGTTGTATCCTTAAACCCAATCACACCCTTGACCTTTCCAGCGTGCGTCAGCGAGTCACATAGTAAGACTTGTCAGCGCTGTCATTCCTGATATTTTGCGAAGGTCTACGGCGTCAAAGAGGTATAATGTGTCAGTGCGGTATGTAAGAGGAACTCGTTCGTCTCCTTCGGCTGATTCAGCAACAGCTGATGAAATGATAAAACATCATCGATTCGTTTGGCAGTCCATTGATTTTCCTTGGCAATGGCATGTATGAGCTTGGAAACTGGAAATAATTGTTTACTCGGATATAATACCGACGAGCACATCCAGTCAAGCCTTTTCCCAACAATGGAGCGTACATAGTAATATCTATGCACGAACCACGCGAATGTGGTAGGTAGCTTCAACCCCGGATGATCACGGAAAGCTTCCATTTGGGAACTAGAGGACGCATAGGAACCGTGGCGTTACTTAGAAGGGTAACTCTGAGTTTCCTTTTGCTTTTTATCGTCATAATAGTCATAATTTCATGATTATGAGGCCGTCAGGGTAGGAGTTATGATCCAGAAAGCTGTTGACTGTTGATATCGCACATCGCATTCATGGATGAGGACATACTCTGTAAGTACCTCTCTTTACACTAGAGAGGTACCCATGCAACTGCTGCTATCCCATATTACCTAAATCGTCAAGCATAGCGATCTCTACTTTCGTGAATTGGTTCAGGAGAAGGATAGGCATGCCTTTTAAGGTCTTCTGACCGCCCATCTATTGTCGAAGACGAAAGTCAATCGAAGAATGAAGCGGAGGTTGCATCGATTCTACCTGTAGCGATCTTGAATGTAGATCGGGCAGTAGTCCCATGCAGCTCGGTCCCATCCTCCAGTTTCCTTCTACGTACAATTGAACTTTACCCGTAAAGTGGTGTCTTAGCTAACCACTAGGTACCTAGCCAGGCTCTCTCGTAGCCCTTTGGAATGGAGTATCATTGAGCGAGTCGCGTACCGAACCCAATAACACCCAATAGCATTGACGTAACAGTCGTAACTTAATAAACACCAACCCCGGAACGGGCCGTTTGATATTTGTTCTTGCATCGCGGCATCTTTATGGTAAATCTCTACGGGAGCTTCACTTGTGGATAGGTATAGTGAGTGTATGCTTGTTTGCTTTTTCTGACCCGACAACCCGATACAGTCGATAGCTTGAGTGATAATGCCAATCTAAGTGATCGCCGGGTCTGATCTCCAAGCGCTAAGCCGAGGCCGAGGCCCGAATCTGAAACGACGGGGCTACGAGTCATTGTGACAAGTTGAGTCTTGACCGAGCTGCCGAATTTCCTGTGGCCGGAATTGCCTCTCGACTCTTAAGCTCGACGGAGGACCGACTTTTATTTCTTTTCGGTCCGTCGCTCATCCAGTCGGACCTTGTATCACCCCCGTTATTTCGACGCTTATGCGGAGCCCTGGATGGCTCTATTAGCGAGAATTGCCGCCAACCTGAGGGGCGCAGTGCTAGTAGCCCCTTGGGTTCTTCACCTGGCGGTGTGCGATCTTGCGCTATCACTTCTCTTGCCGGTGAAGGTATTCGCGCCGGACTTTGTCTATCGTCTTTCTTCCCGCATTGCATACTCCGTGTGGAAGTGGATCCAGGTCATATTCGAGAGTTGCAATGGCGCAAAGATCACGTTTTCAGGGGACCATTTACCGATGAAGGAGTCGGCTGTTGTCATCTCGAATCATGTTACATGGGCCGACTTTTACATGATCCAGGCCTGTGCCCTGCGCTCGGGTATGCTGGGGCAGTGCCGATGGTTTGCGAAGATCCAGCTCAGATGGGTTCCATTCCTTGGTTGGGGCTTGTGGGCGATGGGCATGCCTATGGTATCCAGGAATTGGATGCGAGATCAACGTGAGCTTCAACGCGTCTTTGGTGGGATCGTGCGTAGGAAGTGGCCAATGTGTAAGTCCGTCCGATAAAGTCATATTCCAAAATAGGTAACCTTGAGAATAAAACAAGAGAAATATAGACTGCACCGCTAACAAGATGGTCATCTGCAGGGCTGATAAGTTTCAGTGAGGCTACACGATTTACGCCAAAGAAGTATGAGGAGTCTAGACTCTGGTGCAACGAAAATGGACGCCCGCAGCCCTTGCATTTGTTATACCCCCGTACTAAGGGGTTTGTGACTACCGTACAACATCTGAGAAAGGCACCTCACGTAAAGGCCGTGTATGACTTCACTATTGCGTATCAGCATAACGATAGATTTCATATTGCTCCCAACATGTGGGAAACTTTGAAGCTTCCGAATCTGAGCGGTTCCCGTGGATATAGGTTCCATGTTCATACGCGACGCTTTCCTCTGGAAGAACTCCCTTCAACGGACGAAGAATTGGTGAAATGGTTAGAGCAGCGGTGGATTGAGAAAGGGGAATGGCTCGATGCTATCAAGACTGAATGGGCTGCAAGGTAGATTGTTCATGAGATGTATGTATGTATATGACATACGAGACCAACACCAGTCTTTAAGACATAACTTCCTTCATGTTGGAGCTGTGACTGGGGGTGGCGCTCTGATATGCGAATCCTAGATGTGTTAGAGCCGCATTGCATAGTCGGCCTTGGTATTCTTAACCGATTATCCGTGGCATATGACTTCCATATGCACATAACTTGGAAGGTGTTTTGCCTAATTACTTGCATCACGAGCGTGTTGGATGAATATCGTACACGGTTTTTGCTGCAAGGAGTTCTCGTGCATTCGCAGGCCTTTCCAAGGTTGTCCGTTTCCACGGACACATTGACCGTGATAGTGACCGTGGGCTGATGAAGCTAGTTGGTCTAGACCATCTTCGTCATGTGCCATATATGCACCAATATACCGAACTATACTATCCCTATAACTAAAGCCATGTTTATGGGAATCAAGGGATAACCGCCATTGAGTCGGGAATGCATCGTGGAGTACTGTATTGTTCTCTCTCTTGACCCGATACAACATTACGAACCCACCATGTTGCTCAAGAGAATGAGATGTAGGAGTAAATCTACGATAGCACAGGAAATCTGTGTGAATTGGCACTGGTGATAGGTTTGACATCATTCGGTTAAAGCGAGGTTGCGTAGCATCGGCTGCGAGACACAATCCCACCCACTGATCGGTATACAATGAATCGTCATCTCGAGGAACCTCGATAATCGAACAAATGTTTAACTGCTCACGAAAAGTAGGAGATGACGGGGTAGTGCAAGACGGGCAGTACCTATATAGATTACTGTCGTTGATCGTAGAATAAACCAACCACGTCGGTGACTGGATAGAGCTAGCTGTATTTAAAGGTGAGTTGACGGATATAAATCATTATCAAGGAGGGTTGGCTAAGGCATCTATTGCCTTGATATGTAAGCGTACATGAGCATATGTACATGATGCAGACTAGTTCTAGCTACATATTGTATTGGAGAGAGGAGAGAGGGGTTCGGAGAACTAGGCATGTACGAAGTATTATGGTGGGCAATGAAAACTTGGTGGGGTGATGGTCGTGATGATGTTGTGGAATGGGATGTGGTTTCAGTGACCCAAGATCGCTCCATATTACCGGTCGTTACACTTTTTTTTTTTTTTTTTTTTTAATTCCTCCATGTATCTCTTGAGGTAAGTGTTCTGTCTAAGGAAAATACATAGAAACTGAATTGTAGGATCTCGAAAGGCTTTGTGTACCTAGATACCACCTACCTAGCAGTCTGACAAAATAGGCTATTGGGGCATGTCTAGGTAGTTGTAGGTCGTATGTATCTACATACATAACCCCTAATGTATGTCTCTCTCAGGAGGAGGGGGAGGGAAGGCGGGGAGTGGTCCCTATTATAGAACAAGAATAGGGGATAATATTTCCGGCACTCACGCAGCTAAGACATGCCAGATATGGGCTCCGGGAATGAAGTGGAAATCCTTTGCCGATTCAGCATCCAACTGGAAGGCATGGAACCGTGATAATAGCGGGATTTTGGATATCTATCGGCCGATGTCTCGTGATAACCGTCTTGCAACGTAGACGCATACGCATCGCGTTTACAAAAAGGGAGGAATATTACCACTAGTTTGACTCCCGATTGAGCATAAGGTGTGTTTGCTAATTCGGTTCTGTTTCCCAAGACGAGGTGACTGCATAAACAATGGTAATGAAGACGAAGCCATCGTCCTCTTGGGACGCAGCATTGACGTATACCCCTTGGTGGGCATTGTTTTGTATGGTCCAAGAAGTAAACACTGGCTTAAGACTCGTCGGATTGGGTTGGTTGTTCTGCAAGAGGATCACTGGACCCATGTTTTGCCGCTGCTCATTTGCTGACAGGAACACAACTGACAACCAGCTAAAGTATGCTGTCGGAGTAAACTAGTTGCTCCGCTGCACATATTACTTGGACATTGAAGACCTAAGATCTTTTGGTCCGTATCGTGGGCTGGGCAAGTTGGAGAAGACCCAGTACCTCCCGCGGGTGGATGAGAAGGTTAGAAGCTATCGTGAGTTGCGAGTAATCGTTGGCTCTCGATGTTAGTATGTTAGTATCTGTCATCAAATATCGCGAAATATCACGTTTAAGCGAAGATATAAAACACACTGCAAATGCGTGCGTATGTAAGTAGGCACTAATCTGACGCGGCTTAGAGTAACCTGGACTAGAAGAATACCTAGAACTTAGAAGCGAAGAAGAAGAAAGGAGATGGAAGTTCCTTGGAATGTTTGTAAAACACTTCCAGAATGGATCTCAACCGTACCTAAGTATATATTCAAGGGTAGCTACTATGTACCTCGTTGTGGCATAATCTACCTAAGGTTAGCGGGATACCCTGTCCCCGCTTGAGGAGGGATTTCCGCATGACTACCCTGGTGTTGACAACGTTTAAAAGGCGCTAAAAAGAAACCTAGCTGCGTTAAACGTTATGCATCTCCAACCGGTTTACAGAATAACATGAATTAATAAGCCTTGTATCTACATATGTGAGAGCACTGGAGAGCATACAAGGAAAGTTATGCTTGTAGGTAAGGGTTAAGGAACGAAAGGAACGAAAGGACGTACAGGTTACCCCCTGTATTAATGTTAGTTTGTGTCAATATAAATACCGCTATGAACTAGGATATGGAAGTCTCGAGCAAGGCTTTGATACGTATTTCTAAAACGTATAGATTTTTATTCTTTTTTATACCGAATAATAATTGTAGCATGCCAATCGGCTATAATATAAAAAAAAAATATATGTTTTAAGGATAAGATTCTGTTACGTTATTTAAGGTTGAAACTTAGCGAGATACTTCTTTAACAGGCCTTGATGAAGTATAAAAACGATTCCGTACTAACATTAATACAGGGGGTGACCTGTACAGCCGGCTGTCGAATGTAACTCCCTGCTCGTTCCCCCGCTCTGGGTCTTCGAATGTTCACGGTACCCAGAAGAAAGAAGAAGTTACTTTGATAGTGGATCCACATGGCGTTTATGGTACGTCCAATGCCTGTAGAGTACGTAAAGAATGGTACCTATGGTACCTATCTACAAGGTAGGTACCTAGGTAATCCTGTGTACATAGAAACTTTCCTTTGCTGACTCTTTCTTTCCTTTACGCGCCGCCCAAAAGGGAAGAAAAAAGTCTAATGTTTAATCGACCCGCGCTGTAAAAGGTATATCCACTCCGACTCAAAATTGGGTGCTCCTTCAATTAACTTACCTGCCCTACGTCAGGCATAGTCATTCTCTCAATCTGAACGGAAAGTTTTGTACATTGGTGATACTTCGAAAAAAAGGGAATTAGGTTGGTTCTTACCTCGATTTTTCTCCAGGTAGAACTTCTTGCTATTTCAATCCTCTTCTTCCCTTTTCCTTTACGGGCTCCTCCGTAAGCCTCCGTCGATACCGCCCTTTGTCAACAATACGACCGGATCGCGATAGTGCTCGAGCGTGTCGGCCGCTCTTGTGAGCACACAGAGAGAGAGAGAGGCTCGCCCTCAATCCTTCAAACGCATCGAATCTCTTGCTAAATCGAGTGGCCCGAACAATTACGAACGTCACTCACAGTCATGTCTCGGGTTCTCGCGGGCTTCTGACTCTGGCTTCCTGCCAGATAACTTGGCTTTGCATAAGGTCCTTTTTTTGACCAAGAACCAAATTTCGATATACGCCAGCTCCGTTCCGTCTAGGACGCGTTTGCGCCCCTAGCTAAACTACACATAGCTTCATTTCGATCCGAAAGACTCCCTACCCGATGCCATCCTCGCAATTGAGCACAGCGCCTGTCTCTTTTCTACAATGGACGAGGATACTAGTAGATTAGCCCCTCCGGCTATTAGCTCGCTTCGGGCTCAAGCCATCGGCCGTTCAATGGAAAGGTCTATAAGTGCTGATATTAGGGAAGAGCGTGAGGAACTTCGTGAAGCTGCCGAGCAGACTTTAAACGTTATCGTCGACCTTAACCTCGATGGCACCATTCGGTGGGTCAGCCCCTCGTGGGTCGATGTCGTTGGGACACAACCAAACACCGTCGAAGGCACTCCGATTGCCGACCTGATCATTAGCGAGAATAAGTCTGCGTTTGCTGAAACTATTGCCTCTATGAGAGAGGACGATTCGCGTAGCCAGTACATCCGTTTCACTGTTGCACTAGGGCCACTGTCTAGATTATACCCCACGGAAGAGTGTAAGGACCCAGAGGATGATGGATCCAGTTCTACTGCCGTCGAACTCGAGGCCCAAGGAATAATGGTCTATGATCGTACGACTGGAAGTGAAAGCCATGTAAGAAATCATTTTTTCTTCTGCCAGTAAATTATAAGCTCACCTCTTTAGACAATGTGGATGATACGACCGTGGATCGCACCCCGAGAGATTAAAATCGATCTTGCGCCGTTGCTTGTTGACTCGCTTGGGTCCGGCGCCGAAGTCCTTGCCAGCTATCTAACACAACTGGCCGAGTCTGGGAACGATGATCCTGCTAATCACCCACCCCCACTGCCAGTCCTTTGTCGTATCTGCGAGCGACAGATTCCACCTTGGTGGTTTGAGAAGCATACGGATTTATGTCTTCAAGAGCATCGAGCCGAAATGGATGTTCAAATGGCCCAGGAAAACTTGACCGAACATCGTCACGCTATCGTCAAAGTATTAGATGCCTTAGAAGCACGCAAGAGCCGTACCTTATCGGAGATCCCCGTATCTCTTCCCATTGCCGAGTATAAGGGCTTGCCAATCGGGCCATCTTCTAGTACATCTTCTCCCGGGGCAGCATCGCCTACCCCCTCGTCAAGAGATCGCTCAACAGGGTATGCCCATTCGCGCTCTCGGTCATTTGCTGTACGCCGCCCTCAGGCCCGTATTGTTGAGTTGCTTTTGGATCTTTGTGATACTGCTATCGAGATTAGTACCCCAGCAGTTAAAGAATCTACGTCTCAGGGTACCGGTGAGTTTCGTACCCAGTCACCACAATCCGAATCTCGCATATCTCAGGTGCTTCAATGGCAATCTCCTGGTTCAAACACCCTTGAACAAGAGCAAGGTCTGGCTTTGTTGTGCGCAGAGACCGAGAAGGTCTCTAAGGAGAAAGTCGAGGCTGTATTCCGTCACAGGAGAATAATTGAGTACGCGGAACGGATACGGATTGAGTTTACTGTCATTGTTGAAAATTGCATCGAAGATGCGATGCACAAAGCGGCGCGAATCGCGGCCGGTCTGAGTGATTCGACTGAGGACGAAGAAGGCGACGAAGACGAAGACGATGTTGAAGAAACTCCAGTAGTACAGGAAGAGCCTATGTTCCCTGGATCTTTCGATACGCCCTCTACATTAGCAGTTGCCCTAAAGAACGTGGAGCTGAGTGATACGGATGATAGAAAACGCCCTTCTTCCGTCATTGAATCGACAAGGTCGAGCAGCCCGAGGGAATGTCCAACCCCGAAGTCCCATCGTGAAGTCTTAGGGACAACTAGCCAGTCTCGAGATTCGCGTCGAGGATCCACCCTGCTTGATCATGATGCTGGAGATAGCGACGGTAGCGGCAGGTCTGCCTCCGTAGCGCGCCAACCACCTCGAACAGATTCGCCTATGTCTGAATTGAGTGATTTACGACGTGCTACTAGTGCGCGGCAGCACCATAGGCGAAGTCTCATTCTTGCCGGCACGTCTTCGCCCCACCGTCAAGAATCGCCTTCCAGAGGCACTCAGCCATCGTCTCCACTTCGAATTCATAAGCCTCGAAATTTTCAATATTCGCAAGACGGTGTCACTTCCCCCGAGGCATCTCCTATGCTCCCTAGTAGTGAGTTTAGTTCTCCAGCTATAATCCCGCACCATCGCCGACAGTCCTCCGCGGCTCTATCGGAGTTTCCAAGCCGACCAGCTACATCGCCACGCTTAAACGCTGCTAACCACGCTCCAATGGCACGTGCTGTTCCGCCATCCATTAAAGATTTTGAAATCATCAAGCCTATCAGCAAGGGCGCGTTTGGTAGTGTCTATTTATCAAAGAAGAAATCTACAGGCGAATACTTCGCCATCAAGGTTTTAAAGAAGGCAGACATGGTAGCCAAGAATCAAGTCACTAACGTCAAAGCGGAAAGAGCTATAATGATGTGGCAAGGGGAGAGCGAGTTTGTTGCAAAGTTGTATTGGACATTCTCTAGCAAGGATTATTTATACCTTGTGATGGAGTACTTAAACGGTGGCGATTGTGCTTCGCTTATCAAAGTGCTCGGTGGCCTACCCGAGGAATGGGTGAAGAAATATCTCGGCGAGGTTATCCTTGGAGTTGAGCATCTACACGACCGAGACATCATTCATCGTGACCTTAAGCCCGATAACTTACTCATCGACCAAAAAGGTCACCTCAAACTGACCGATTTTGGTCTGTCGCGTATGGGACTGATTGGGCGCCAGAAGAGGGCCCTGGATAGTGGGACTGCCGAACCTACTCCTGACTTGCTAAAGACAGGCCCCTTTGTTCGGTCGACTTCTGTTGCTTCATCCCGGTCGACTTCACTAGATTTCCATGGCAGTCATCACTCCCCTTCTACTACACCCCAAATTACCCCCGACAATGGAGTTGGACAGCCATCATATTTTAACTTGTCACAGGCTCATGTAGAACCACGCCGTATCTCTGGCCACCGTAGCGATAGTGGTGGTAGTGAGACATTGACACATATGATGGGTAACTTTTCATTAAATGACCCCCAGCACAGCCAGTCTAGTTTACGTTCGCCGCATGACGATGGGAGCGACGCTGGAAATGCTTCTCCTGATTTCCCGTTGCTCCACCAGACGAATAGTCATAATAGTGACGTACATAGGAGTACACCGCCCCAGTCGAGTATGATGCCTCCCCCGATGGCTCTGTTTGATCCCGATGATACTAATCGTCGGTTCGTGGGCACTCCTGATTATCTTGCGCCTGAAACGATTAAGGGTGCTAGGCAAGATCAAACTAGTGACTGGTGGTCAGTTGGTTGTATTATGTTCGAGTTTCTCTATGGTTATCCGCCTTTCCATGCCACGGAAGCCGAACAAGTGTTTGAAAATATACTCGCCAGAAAGATTATGTGGCCTGAAGAACCAGATGACGTTTCACCAGAGGCCAAGGATCTTATTAACAAACTGCTCTGCATTGACCCTCAGCAAAGATTAGGCGCCAACCGCGATGAAAAGTCCGCTTCTGGAGGACAAGGGATTAGAAACCATCCTTGGTTTGAGGGCATTAATTGGGATACGCTGCTCCAAGATGATGCTCAATTCGTCCCACAGCCAGAAAACCCCGAGGATACAGAGTACTTCGATGATCGCGGTGCTACCTTGCAATCATTTACTGAGGAGATAGAAGACCAGTCATCTCCTCCTTCTGCCCCAACACCGGATTATTCTGATCGTCCACATGACGCTCTCTCACGTGTGCGTTCTCAAGTTCAGGTCAACCAGATAAAACGGGGCCTGATGCCACTACACATACCTCCTCACATCCGGGATCTGAAGAGTCGACGGCTTAGTGAGCCGGTAGCGTCGGACGATTTTGGAACATTCGCTTTTAAGAACCTTACAGTCCTCGACAAGGCCAATAAAGATGTGATTCAACAGTTGAAAGCTAAAGCAATGGCAGCACAGAATAGATCTGGAATCAGTCCAGGAGGTAATAACCCAACCTCCCCATCTCCGGCTCTCGAGGGGAGCCCAGTTATGGCTATGCCGATACAACGGAACTTGTCAAATGCCAAGGCGTCGGCATCCCAACGTCCTGCGTCGCCCTCCACGGCTAGTCACGCCAATTCGTCACCAAGTCGCGCTTCACAACCGTCTTCGCCTCTACTTGTATCTTTTCACGCAGGCCAGGGAGCCGAGGGTCGTAGAAAAGCTTCTAGTAATTCTTCCAGCTTATCGCAGCAATCTGGATCGGGCTCTCTGCAACCTGGGAGCTTTTTTGACGTACCACGCGTCACTCCTAGTCTACAAAAGTCAACAAGTGCTTCTGCCGCTGCTGCTGTTGCTGCCGTATCCCCGGTGAAAGGGAAAGGTGCGCCGCCACCTCTGCCGCTCTCTCCGCAGAAATCAGTAGGGACTCCAAGACAGGCGAGCGGATCCTCGACGCGATCGCGATCTTTGACCGTAGGTTCCCAAGAAGGCAGTCCTATCGCGGCCGACCTTCTTGCACACCATCGCAATCGTCGAAGCCAAGTGTTCGACATGTCTCCATCATCATCAGATAACGAAGGTGAGAGGGCCAATGCTCTGCTTAAAGTACAGCGGCGACGCCAATCTTCCCGTCGAATGTCGGCTATTATGCTTGATAGTCCAACGTTCCGTTCTCTAGATGTTTTGATATGCGAAGATCATCCAGTTTCACGAATGGTTATGGAGAAATTACTCGAAAAACTTCGCTGTCGCACTATTTCTGCATCAACTGGTTCCGACGCCGCTCGATACGCCGTGAGTGAAATCAAATTCGACATAATCTTCACTGAATTCAAATTGCCAGAAGTCAGCGGGACAGATGTTGCTCGAATGGTTCGTGAAGTCAAGAATGTTAACGCCCATACGCCAATCGTCGCAATTACTGCCTATCTAAAAGAGCTTCAGGCTCCTCATTACTTCGACTCTCTGATTGAGAAGCCTATTAGCTCTTCAAAACTAATTGAGGTTCTCTCTAACCTTTGCCAGTGGAAGCCGCCTTCACCAGGCCAAGCCCAAGCACTACCAATGCCAAATCCTATTTCTAGTGCAAAATTGAGCAACGCACGCTTGGGAGATAGTCCTACGTCGGCATCGTCTGGATTTGCCCACCCTGGAAGTAGTAGTTTTAGAGGCTCCAGTAGAGAAGATTCTATCAGTTCCAGCTTTTTCGGCGACTCCGAATCGGCAACCACGGATGAAATACCTGTGGTGGTCAGCCGCAAAACTACAGGAGAGTGGGGTGAGGAGTCAGGTCTTGGAATTAGTAATGAAGAGGCTGTTGTGGGCACCGGAGGAACCTCAAAGGTACCCATCCCACTCATCTCGCAACAGTCAGCCCCAGCCCAAATGGAACAGCCTAGATTGCCGGTTCCTCAACGATCCTTGGAGAAACTACGTTCGAGGCGTGAACACCTCGAAAAGCGGCGTCTTGAAGGCAATGACTCCGCGGACGACGAAGATGATGAACTTGGCACACATCGAGACCGTGGTTTCCGTGGAAAGCCACCACCTCCTAGTTCAAAACTTGGTATCGAAATGATGCGAGCAAATAGTCACGATAGTGTTGCTATTTCATCTGATACCACGCCAGAACCTATAACACAGGTAGTGACCCCCGCGAGAGAAGCAGATGTTTCTCCATTTTCCGGTGCTAGATCGCCTCTTAAGAACTCTTTGCAAACACCGCCAGATGTTTCTCCGACATTTAGTCCGAGTACTAGCGAAGAAGGCTTGGATAAAACACCGCGATCAATAGCTACTGCGGAAGACGAGGAAGCAGTAGAAGAACCAACACCACGTCCCCCGATGAAATCTTCTGACACTGCTCTTCGAGTAAACCAAAATTGATGCACTATTTCATCATGCGTCTCTCAGAAACGGTCTATTGTTTCTACTACATTACAATCTTTTCTATAAGTATTATCCACAGCATGGCGTTTTACGGATTGGCGTGCCGTGTATGCATTCTATTTCTTTTGTTAAGGAAGTGATAGCAACGGAGTTTGGTATCTCTCAAAGGAATGGGACTCGTTGGCGGCTAAAAGATGCCCCAGAAAGAAGTAGGGTGGATTAGTCGTCGCATTTACACCACATTTTGGGTTTTTCTCGCATCTGTTGTATTGTCGCGCCACTACTCACGTGTCCATACGTAACCAGGTATGGTCAACGGTGTCGGTGTTCTAAACCAATTACAACGTCAAACTTTCCCATTCCTTTTACTTTCCTACGAAACCTCGTCCTTCCCCCCCCGGCCGACCGGGAAATGCGCTATTCATGTACCAATATGTTGGTTGCGAGAGGGAGCCAATGGTTTAACCAGAAGAGAATTTGACCTGGATTTTCTTTTCATGTGGCTTGTTTTTTACGATTTTACGGTGTGTTTCTCGCAAGGGTGTAGCCAGGCGCCCCCGAATAGGTAGCTGTCTATACCTTTTCCTTGCAGATCAAAATGACGAGATGGACGAATATAAAAAAAAATTCGTAGATTGGATTTTTTTATGACTCGGATGATATGTGCCTGTGTTATGACCTGTGACTTGCCCTTCGAATATTTTGTATGGATTCCATGGATTAAAGTGACAAGATATGGAAAAGGGAGAAATGCTGAGTGCCATAGCATGGGTGAGTTTGACCTTATGTAATCACGAAATTGAGGAGTGCTTACATAATAGAAAATATTACGTAAAAGCTGAATGCTTATCTAAGAAAATATATTATGTAAGAATTGGTGCTGACATAAGCAGGTAGTGTAAAATGGAATATCCTCACACCGTGCGGCATTTTTCTCTAGTGAATAAGCCCCCTAACGAGGCTCAAGTTTATAGTGGTTATCTACTAAAATTTAGCGAATATATCACTGCCAGGTCTCAGTTTTGGCCTAGACCCAACACAGTGTATAATAATGGCTTATCTCATCATGTATTAGCTAAGGGATTTGGGAATCCAAGCTTTTGGCTTAATGTTCATATACGAGACGATATCTTTGGAGAATAACCTTTCTGGGTTGTATATCTTCATTTCATATTATTCTTTATGTTCTGTGAATTCCCCTTCCCATATGACTTATATACACATAATAAAATGCAATGCTCGCCAAGAACACCGATTCCGATGATTCGTCCGCATGTCCTCGTATTCCACTGCCCCAGATTACCACTTCCAGACATTTCTCTCGTTCAACATTCATCTCTCATATATTCCTTAGTCAACTGTAGGTTTAGACGTCTTCTCCATAAGAGCGCGGGGCCAGGGGAACAAGACGGGCCGGGATGGTGATTCCTCGAAGATACTGAGCCCGTCGAGGCAGAGTCCGTTGAGCCAGCGTTTGATGTAGAGTTTCGGGAGTGAGGAAACTGGTTTTTCGGATGCGTCCTGTTTCGGCCATTCGACGGCGACTTCTAGCGACACGTGTTTGTCGATCTCCACCAATGAATTGAATTTGGCGGGCCGCGAGGAGGTGAAAGCGTATCTTTCCACGGTCTCGTCTTCCCAATCATCCTTGCCGTCGCCCACGAAGATCGCGGTGTAAGGTATGTCCTTCGCCCCTTGCCTAGGATGTACAAGACATCCTAACCGAATGGCCTTCCCTTCCAGGAGGGCTTCCTCGATTTTGTTAGTCATTCGCACGTGCCATCTCCAACGACGAGAACGGTGATTGCTGCGATACGGGGAAGAATCGTCACGGGCCCAATAAATGAGACGAACTGCCATCTCCGGATACGATTTTCCAAATGTTCTGAACTGTAAATCGGTTGCAAGCTGTTCCAGTGGTGGTACCCTGTTGTATTTCTGCAGTTTTAGGGGTTTGCAGCGTATGACCTTGCCCAATTTCCAGAGGTGGCCAGTCGTTTGCGTCCCTTCTAAAGTCAATACGGGATTGACAAAGCGGCAGCTCTTAATGAAAGTAAGGCCTTCGTCAACTGGAGGCCTGAAGCTGCTGAGGGATTGTTTAGACAAGTATTCGTGGATGTTATCGCCGAGTGTTCCTTGACTAGGTTGCTTTGGATCGTTTTCTATTATCTCGCCGTTCAAAAGATACAAGGCAAGAATCGAAAGACTTAAGCTGCTGCTGTCGTTGTTGAGAGAATTCGTGTCGAGCCGTGTGTTATATCCACAACAGTTAGCCATTATAGCGAGGCGATCCGATTCTTTTCCGATGTCACGCGAGACTATATCCGAGAGAATTGTTGGTGACATAGAACGCGATATAGATCCAAAACCAGGCGGCGGAGATTCCTCTTTGAGGAGAACGTTATATTTTGGGGCCGTCCTGAGTATCCTGTCGCAAATAATTTTGTCCTTCGACCTTTTCCGATACTCAAGGCAGAATTCTGTAGCCCGTCTCCTGAAGAGTGCGGATTCGATAGCAATCTCGCCTTGAATTTTCCCTAGTAGAAGCCGCTCCTGGTCGTCTATCGCATCCCGCTTACGCCTTTCTAGATCACGGTGGTGTGGGATCAAAAGTGTCATATAGATGGACGCTTTATAATCTTCCTGGAATGGCCAGGCCCTTGTCCACCAGTAATTGGACGTGATTTTGCTTAGAAGAGCTAGTACGGCTTCTTCATCTTCGGAATCCACCTCGCCGTCTAGCAAATTCGCAAGGAGATCAAGTTCTTCCTCGGTTTCAATTGTGCATGTAAGGAGAGCAATTGGCCATTTGCTTAGGCTATACACTAGGTGCATGCTTTGGATTGCTTCTTCCTGTGCTGCTCCGTCTTGTTGATCAATGCATTCGCGGTCGATCCAGATATTTTCGCAGCCCACATGATTAGCGTAGTTGAGTACCCTGCTCCATACCCCATCCCTCACCTCGCTGGGCAGCGCAGGCTCGCCAGCCCTACGCGGTTCGACAAGGTATTTTCCATCGGTCCTCTCCCCAGCTTCTTCCTCTTCTTTTGAGGGGTCCCAGGTATACGAGACGGCGATGTAGTCTGTTTCCTTCTCGTCGCCTGACACAGGATTAAGATACCGCCTTCTCAGCAGCTTTGAGGCGCCGGTAGTAATGCTACCATCAGCGACGCGTCTCCGCTTTCCACTCGGTTCCTCGTTGTCCTCGGCCAAGTAGAGACATTCGAGTGACTTGAGCCAATTCTCCCTGGTGACAGCTTGTTTCCGAATATCTAACACGGAAGAGATGATTGAAGAATTGTTTCGATCCCGGATTTGGCTGAGGGGTAATGAGGTGTCTTTAACGACGCCAAAATCACCGGACATGCTCAGAAATTGTCCTAGCCAGCCAATTCCAAGATCGACGGTGTTTTGATGGGAATTGATGCATACGTGATTGTTGGAATTGAAAAGTTGGAAAGAATTCTGCCGTTTGAAACGAAAGGTTTCATTGCTCCAGTGCCATTGCCCGGCCTGCCAGCGGAGCTCGGACGCTAGCCAGCCCTGTCTTAGTCCCCGACTCACCGCCCACTTGGTTCGGTACTTAGGTGCCATTTATAGTAACTGCCCTAATTTTATCGCAACTCCGGATTGCAACTGGCGGCAGCTGCGACTGCTAGTAGCGTTTTATGGGACTACTCCAGTAGGCTATCTCCTTAATAACACCTTGATAAGAAAAAGTAAAGTCATCCGGATGACATGCTGTCAAAGTTAATATCCGAATTCCTTAAACAGGTCATTATTCCACTTTGTTAAGAAACAATTCACTAGGTACCTATATATGTAGGTAATCAACTTCAGCTTTCAATTACAGCTCATAAGTAGGCTTCGTTGAGCCCTTTAATCACTTAAAACGACCACTGCCTCATCCAGTTTTGCATCCATCCGTCATGGACTGGCCCCAAGTTCGCTAATGTCTGTGAGACTCGGATCGTCTCCCGCGTATCAAGGAGAATCGATTCGTCATCCTCGCTAACCCTAGTCAAACTTTCAAAGAATTCCAAAATCTTGACAGCTGGATTCTCAGCCAAATCCTCTGTCTTGGATGCGCTCTCACGCAGCGCCTTAATCCATTCATCCCATGCTACTGTCTTCAGCGCGAGATGTTGTGCAACAGTGGCTACCAACCCCGCCCAGCTCGTGCGCTGAGGATTCACTGCGTGGTACACTGTAGCGCCAGCTTCCGGGGTACTCGGAGAATGGATCGCGAGTTCGACGATGCTTTCGCCGAGTATATCTACGGGAATCCAGTCCACGGTCTCCATCCTACCTAAAGATGAAGGCAGCTTTCCTAGGTACTTTGAACTCGCGATTAAGCTCGGTAGCCATTCTCGTTTGGGCCACATTCCACTTGCTGAAGTCGGGCCCGCCACCTGGCCGACGCGGCAAGCAACGGTAGAGATTCCGGATATTTTGGCCGCAGTATCAAGTAGTCGTTCGGAGACAAACTTGGATTTTCCGTATCCCGTTTCTCCTGGCGTATGCCAGTTTTCGAAGATCTGTTCCGCGACGACGCCCTTTAGTCCACCGGTGGCGCTAATGCTGGAGACAAAGAAAAGATGCGCGCCGAAGCGAGAATGTGATGAGAAATCTACGAGCCGCCGGACGACGCTGATGTGATTGGCAAATGAGTCGATAGATAGGTTGAAGTCAACCTGCCATGCATTATGAATAATGTGAGTAACTTGATTGATCAATTCCCTGTACTCCTGAATTGAGAGTCCGAAATACGATTTCGAAAGGTCCGCATCTAGACACTGGACTTTATCCGAAAGTGGTTGAAGATCTTTGGCGGATTGCGACTTTTTCTGTCGTTGAAGACTGTTGGGTCCGCGGTTAAGGCAGTAGATTCGACGTACACGAGAATCATTATGCAGTGAGTCAAGTACATACGAGCCAAGGGACCCGGTAGATCCAGTCAACAGGAAAACCAGACCGTCTGAAGGTTGCGGTTGTGCTTGCCTTCCAGAAATTGGCATGTTTGCTGCATGGAGCTCGTAGAGTTTCTGCATTTTCTGCGCATCAGTTTCTCCGTCGCGTGAAATCGTTCTTCCTTCTACCAAGACTGAAATAACGGCCGTGAGGGCAGAGATACTAGAATTCGAGTACACATTCTTAATTTCTAGGGACTCTGTCTTTCCACGAAGGGAAAGGTACTTATTAAGCTCCCTAGCTATGACCATTACTTGTAAAGAATCAAGTCCCAGCTCAAAGAGGTCGGCGGTGGGGGAAAGCGAATCAATATCGATGTCTGTAGACGAAGTGAGAATATTCCGGATAGCGTCTTCTACGCCGCTGTTATTTTCTATGGCAATGTTCATTGTCTCACCGTCGGGCAACTTGCTCGCTCCATAGAGAGCATCAATTTCTGACGCGTATGCATCGACTGTGAACATCCGCTGCACGGTTCCTTTACCAGCTCTGAGCATGGGCTTCTCTGGGGATGTGAAGGCAATCATATTGCGATGAATACGCCCGTGCGAAGGAGCCTCCTTATTAGCTTCTTGGACTGACGGCCATAGGAATTTCAGAAGCTCTTCTTTTTCAACATCGCTTGTCGGAGGATGAACAGCCTCGATAAGGAGACTCGCTTGGAAACGCCCAAGACCGGTTACGAGAACAGCCCTTACAATTGGATTCATTCCAATTATACTCTCCATGTCGAGAGGGTTAAGCTTCTCGCCGTTAGAAAAGACGATAATATCATCCGCCCGCCCCTTATACAGCCAGAGGTCTTCTTTAGTCGGATGTTTCAAGAACAGATCTTTCATATTCCACTCATTTAATTCGGGGAAAGTGCCGAAGACCCCTTGATATTTCTCAAGTGCTTGATTTCGTACGATGACTTGCTCGTACAAGTCTCCAGAGAAGGGACGATATTCATACCCCAATACTTTGCTGAGGCTGACATAAGCTGAATCTTCCGGATCGCAGAGTTGAGCAGGGAAAACGCTGCTTTCAGTCGAACCAAAAGATGTGAGAAGCTTGGTCTTCGTGCTGATGAGTTCGGCCACTACCTTAGGACAAGGGCCCCCACCATATGCAATTAGTTCCAGCCTACCAAGATTCTGCAGATACTCGGGGTTATTGGCTAGGTCGATTAACATTGTCGGAACAAGGCAGCTTTGGTCTACATTTCCGTAGACATGAACCCCATTGATAACGTTTACGGAAGGCGGAAAAGGTCCTAGTACTATCGTGAAACCAGCAAATATAGAAGCTGGGAGAAGCATCGTGATTCCTCCACAGTGGAATAGGGGGAACGACAAATAGACCCTCTTGCCTGCACACATGGCTGGATATGTCGGCTGGTATCCCAACGACGGTAAGGCTGTGAAGGCATCGAAGGGTGAAATTGTGGCGTGTGTTTGTATGATAGGTTTTGGCAAGCCTGTCGAACCCGACGTATGGAGCACAACAAATGGCTCGGCTTTAGCTTCCGCAAATGTCTTCGTATACGGATACGGTTTTCCTTCAAGTTGACCATCAAGCCAGTGGTTTACCGCGGGTACTTCCAAGTAGCGCATTGGCTTTGCTGTTAGGATCTGCTTGACGATTGGCAAGGGGAAGTTGGTAGGGCATATGAGAGTCCCACAATCTGTTTTCTCAAACAACGACAAGTTTGATTCAAGCGTGTTGCGAGTCGAGATAAGAAGGAGCTTATATCCAGTCTTGATACAAGCGAGGACGGATATCGCATACAGAATATCTTGAGGACCTATGTAGGCGAGGGTTGGGAAGCCTTGACCCTTCCCTAGATGCTCATCGATGTACCACGAGAAGCGATCAACAGCGCGGGCAAATGATTTTACATCTATGTCATCGAAGCCATCTTTGAGATTTTTGGTCTTCGCCACGGAATACAATACACGATGGGGGTCGGATAGTGCAATCTCATCTACGAGAGATGGTAACAAACGTTCGCCAAGCACGGAAGCCATCATTAGAAAACCTGAAGTGGGGAGTTGGGTTAACGAAAGATAATAATTCTATGAGAGTCGGCAGAGGATGTGATACCATCTAGCTGCTTGATTCAGGGGAGTACTAGGTAGGTAGGTGTTAAATCAGTCTTCGCTAATCGATCACTCTCTTTTCTCACATGAAGGCGACAGTGCCACTCTTACCCTGTTATATGCTACACCCGAATTATAGTGGTTAGATTCCGAACTTTTGTTGTTGGCAATCCGTTCTGGTTAGTTGCTGACGTTATATTTGCAGATCCATAAAATGCCCGTCACATTCGAAAGTTAACTCGCTATTAAAATCGTGAATACATTTCATTGGCTAACTATAAGGTGGATAGGCTATCTATTCTCACTTCCCAGTACGGATCTATACTTTTCTCTAGCTTTATCCGTCATATAGAACTGCAGCAGTTGTTAGGATCGAAAGCACGCGATCCTTGTGATGCTTTCTCGATCTGGCTAACCGCCTTGTCACGACCCAAGCATTTCCAGGTCATGTAGCTTAACCTACAAATACTAATTACCTATACGAATGTGAACCATTCGGCTTCTTTGCCCGCTTTTTGTTGTGTCTGCACTAATTCCCCTTCCATAATACCGTCGACATAACATTCGCCAAGAAGAATGTACTTCTGGCTTTCTTGATCTTCGGTCCTCCTAACAATAAAGGGGACAGGGACGCCTAAGATAACTACCACGAGATCACCAGATTTCATGCAAGCGGGACCTATGCCAATGAAGCCCCTTTTAGTCATGAAGAACTTCCTGCCTACACACGACCGTAACAATGCAGCTTGGAACAGCATGCCTGCCCCCGGATACCACTTATCTCTGACGGTATGCCAGATTTTGGTCACCCAAGAGGCGGGATGGGAGGACCACCCCACATTCTGTTGGAACCAGGCCTCTGCCGAGTCAACCATATCTTCAGCCTCCTCTCCCCGTTCGTCGGGGGATCCTCCATTTGTCTGAACCGACAAAGTACTCACGAAGGCCTCGAAAACTCCCTTTTCGGTGAGGTAAGTCGGGAGACAGAGTTGACTGGTCGAATCCTGAGATGCAGCATCGGCTGCGGTATTCTCGTTCCCACTACCAACTCCTCGACGGTAATACTCAGTGGTCAAGGTCCATGCGGACCTGACGAAATCTATTTCGGCCTGCCGTGGTGGGTAATGCCACTCTATCAACTCGTCCTGAGCTCGTAATTGTGTAGTTGTGTCAATAAGGGGGTCGGTGATCGATACTACGCAGTCTAAAAAGTGCCCGGAGGCTCGTAAAAGGTTGGAATTTCCGGTTTTTTGAATGTCCATCTTTTGGTTCGCGTCTGCGCTGAAGAGGTCATAGTCGAAAGCAGATGTTCGGCGAGGTTCCGACCAGACTGGAGTCCAAGATGGACAATTGGGTATAGATGGATCGTCTAAAATTTCTACTGCTGCGAGCGGTCGAAGTGTTGCGTGGGTGAGGATGATGAACCAAGTCGCGTCCCTGAAAATCTGGGCGACTGGTTTTTCGTAGTTGATAGAGATCAGTTTACTACTTAGCTCGGTGGCGTTTGCTACGTCCCCGGCTATCCCAAGCACGGCGAATACATGGTCGGCAGGATTAGTCGCCCTACGTGTCCGCGATTTATTTAGCAAAGGGAAAAGACTCTCTTTGCGTCCGGGGAGCTGTTGGATTTGACATAGATACAATGCCGCTGGTATGTCTACCCCGGCTGATGATTCTTCTGAAACCACGCCGGTAACGCGCAATTGTAGCGTGAAAGGGTTCCGGATGTTGCCCGCATCCATTACATTCACAGCTTCAGCAAATGGTTTCCAATCCAACTCCCAGGCTCCAACGAGTATTTTGGCATCTTGGGCTAATACTGCTTCTTGGACAATCCATACCCGATGGAACCACGGTTGGTTGAAAAACGCCCCGAGGATTCGGTGTTCTGGGGTTTTCTGAGAGGGAAAGCCGAGCAAGTCTACGTCCGGTATTCCATACTCGTTGGTCTTGACTCGGTGCGAATTCCGTAATGCTTGGGCGAAGAAAGATAACACGACTAACATGGGGTCAATGTCAGCTAGACGTTTACGCCCAAAGGCGCGATCTAATTGAGAAGTTCGCAAATCAGATGTCGCGATATCTGGCGCTACAAGCTCATCTCCTAACCAAATACATACTGTAGAAGCCGTGGTATAAATTCGACGCATGAGCTTGACCTGCTCAGCGCGTTCCTTAATGTCATCCTGGTTGATGCATAAAGCGTCTATCCAGAACAATAGCGGTTCATGGCCAGCTCTCCGAGATTCGATCACGTCGACTTCATTGCGGTTTCGGGCAATATCTTTCCAAGCGCGCTGCTTGGAGTGAAGAATATGAGACTCATCTACGACGGATATACCATGTATAGCGGGGTCGCCCTCTGCTGGTAACTGGCGTAACGCGGCCAGCGCTGAAGATAGGTTCCGAGTTACCTGCATAGGACAGCCACCGCACTTGATTAGCGCCGGGTTCTCGACAGAACCCCAGACGTAGGAAAGAGCCTGGTAACATGGTGATTCGTCTAAATGAGGAACGGTTTTGATGTTAACGCATATTGGGTCCGAAGGCCAGCCGGGCTCAACACTGAGGAGACGTATGGAGTTAGCTGGGTCGGGTAAAGGTTGGTAGGTGTATGTCGACTCCATATCATTGATGAGGAAATCGAGTTGAATAATTCAGTGTCTAGGTACTACCCAGGTAGAACCCGGTTGAGTTGGAGAGAAATTGCAGCTCAAATGGCCCCCATCTATGCTGCCAGCCGCTGAAGAAGATCTACCATCAGCTATAAATATTTGCCAATCATACCCCGGTTGACATACGCTCAGCCCTAGGAGCTCTACGCAATAAGGCTTTAAATCTCGATACTAGGTAGTTTCGTAAATTTTGGACGTATTGCAAAATCAAGTTCTATGAATTAGCACAGAAAAAAGCACAATTGTCGTGAGATTCATATAGAATATCATCAAGGTTCCAAGGTTCTTATTAGATACCTACTTCCTTTCATTGGGCTTTGTTGATTAGCAGGAGGTGTTGCGATTCTTGCGCTGTGCCGTAGACCTACATCAGCTGTCTTGGCACAGCCCCTTAGCGCTTACAGGGGCTTGCTTCAGTCACATTAAGATGCCTGGGGAGACGCATTTTTACTCACAGGGCAGTCTTCTCAAACCTCACTCCCGTGACAAGCTGCATAAAGCCAAAGAAGATGGTTACGATACGCAGTTTAGTTAAAGAGGTCAAATTGATGAACTGTTGTTAGTCTCAACCCTATGACATCCGATATTGTGAGCTGGATTGCTAATAAATTAGACGTTTATGCGCAATGGTACTGATCTTAGACTACGTCCCTAAACTGTCTTGTTATTTCTAATGATTTATTAGGTTCATTCTCTCTGGACTTGTTTCTGATTTCATATTGACTGTTATTGCTTTACCAATTGTGGCTACCCAGAGCTCTTCATTTTCCCAGCTAGGGGACAATAAATGGATAGCCTGGGCTTACGAATTGGGGATAAACATGTAAGACATCCCCTACGATATCCCGCTTTAGGGCTACACTGATTGTTCCTCTAAAGCCCAACCATGTTTGCTATTTTTTGGTTTTATTTTCTCGAAGAAGAAACGACATCTAGAGTTCGACATGAGGACTTGATGTTTCTTTGCTTATGGCTTCTCGTCGCCACGACGAAATGGATAGGGTATAGTATTGGTTTATTATACTTATCCTCAGCGATTCTGTTTACCGCAGCTACAATTTGTTACGGTACTGCGTACCTCCTCTGTCAAAGTCCAAGGAGGACTAGACTCATTGGTGGATCCGGAGTCGAGTATATGATGCTTGAAGTCCCCAATAAAGGCGGGCGGAATGGCTGTAATTGGACGGGCATCCTTTGTATAATCGGTATCTTCATAGCATTCGGTTGCATTGGGGTTGGTGCTGGATACGGCTTCTATTACGCTCTATATGTTAAGTAATAGAAACAATTTACTCTGATATAACACGTAGTTTACCACCTGGGCAGGTATGCGTGAGTAGAATATTGTGAAATTCAGTTTCCATCATCGGCACTACGAGAAACCCCTAACCCCAACTCTAAAGGGCGCTGTCGAACCTGTGGCTTCAGCTGGGTCCTAGGTAACTTAGCGTCGCGCCACCACCACCGTTCCTCAAATATATCATTACAGGCTTTACGAACGAGTCTTTCTAGGAAACGGGGAGTTATTAAAATCCTCTCAGAGCTGTTGAGGTGAGCGAAGTATCGGAATATCTCGATTTCCATTCCAGTGTTCCGAATTCTTAAGGGGTAAATTATTAATCTCCTCAATCTTCCGGTATGTATTATCAGAGGCTGCCGCATTCTTTTCTAGGTCAACATGCGTAGAGCCTTTGTTGGTTCTAAATTGCCCAATAAAAGATCTTGACCATGGTCGTAACGATGTAAATATCTTGCTGACTTGGGTCCCTTCGGTAAAGATCCTAGGTATTGTAGGGACGCATAATACTAGAATCACAAGCGTTATTTCGGCGAGGCACCAAAGATAAACGTGATAAGCAACAAATATCGTATCCGGATTGGTGAAATACTGTATTGTTGCGGCTAGACGACAGATACCTGTCGCCACGACCCTATAGTGTACAGTAGCCATATTAGTACCACATAGCCATAAGCAGTATGTAGAGAACACATTAATATTTCACTTACAGTATGCCGATGGCAAATATCAAGGAGACCCCAATCTTCTTTTTTGTTGTCATGTGTAACCTCCATATGACCCTCTGGGGAAGGAAAAAGATAAGGACATGAGAGACGAGATTTAGGGTAGACGAAACAGTCTCAGCAGCCGCCTTGTTGAAACAGGTGCCATTATTTTGGTTACCATTCACTACGCTCGGAACCGGAAAGCAGACGATGTTAGATACAACGATGGTAGTGATATAATATAGTATATTCATCCAAAGGAGGATGTAACAAGTCAACTAGAATCCAGGTTAGCTTGCAGAATCAAGACCCGGATGCAATAAAAGTATTAGGCATGTTCACTAGAACTTGCTTAATAGTTTTCTTCATGAAGGGTACCTCTTACATAAAAATATCTGGGTGACTTATTCGGAGCAAATATCTTGTTCCATTCTAAGAGGATAGCAACTTTTAAGGTCGAAATAGCGACTTCATAAAAGGAGGTTGCCATATTCCCGATCTATGTTAGTTAGTAAGGCCTGGAGAGAGAGAGGGGAGGTGTTCGGGCGCTATAAGAGTTCTAAGTATTACATAGAGGAGTTCAAATGAATTCTTAACGCTTATATCCCATGAATGTATCAGAAATCCGACTCGGTTTAAGACGTGGTAACAGCAGAAGTCATATGCTAGTATCATAGCCTAGGCCATACCAGTACTCATTAGCGAAATCAGACTCGTCGATGTGACCTTCGCTGTTAAAAGGTGAAATACAAATCCTATAAAGGCGAGAGCTAGAGGAGATAATAATTAACTGTAGCCAAATAGCATGCGAAAAACTGAACGGGCTTACCATCTTCTAGATATAGCTTACGAAGCACAAATATCTTTACATATGCTCGTAGAAGTATTGCTATTGTTACTATACACAAGCAGCCAATAATGACGGCCCGGGCCAAAGTGTTGCTGTTTGGAGGGTTGTTTAGATTGGGCACGATGTTTGCTGGAGGAGGGACGGCTACTCCATTGAGGATGTCCTCCTGTTGCTGATAAGGAAGTGAGGAGATTTGGACGAGAGCGCTCCAAGACATGATAGGAGATGGCCACAATAGCCATAAACTAGACTGTTATGCACGAGTATTCGAATTTTTCAAGTATGCAATGATCTCTCTGTGATGAACGAAGAAGAAGAGAATGCATACTAAATGACTGGGAGAAACGAGAGTGTATGTCATGACGAACATTGTTGATGTAACCCCCCTTCCTCGCATTGGTAAGGTAGCACAGCATTCTGAAGACCCTTCCTCAGTCCTTAAGGATTTTGAATGCAGCCACTTGTCGACCTGTGGGGGCGAGACCACGAAGCTTCTAGGACGATTAACTATGAAGTAAAAGGGCGATTAGTCTAAGGTAATAAATAAGATGTATCCTTACGTACCTAGTGCCTAGATGGTACGTTGAAAAAGGATAAGTCTTTATTACTTAATATAAGGGATGGTGAGATACCCTTTGATTTGACCTGTCGCACAGGTAATAGGGACATCTGCGAAAGAGAGACTTGATCCAGTGTTCGTCCCTGTTCATACTTAAGAGATCATATCAACATAGTCAACAGCCTGCCCCTGGCCTCACAAGACAAGAATCAAACCCCGTCATCAATTCTACGGAATCGCTTCCTAAAAACTCAATTGTTGATGTCCCTACCTCTGTTCCAAACTAGAGTGGGCTATCGTAGTAGCCGTAATGATGGGGTGTATGTGATACTGACGCCGATGACAATATCTTAGGTTGATATAGCGATTGTACAGCTTGAAATTCAAATTTCCCTCCCGAGTGGTATCTCCTGCGTAGCCAATCCGCTAACTTGCGATTTTTTTGAACCAGATATAAAACAGCGCTTTCTACAACTCTTCTACTGCATCGCTCTTATTCCTATTTGCCTCCTCATTTTCCGTATCTTCATTCTCGTCATCACCGCCGTCTCCCGCGCCGGCGATGAGCTCCGTCATGTCGCGCATGCGATAGTCGAGGATAGGCGTAACCCAGTCGTCATTGACGAGGGAGTACGACTCTGGTTCGTTGTCTTTAGGTTTGCGCGGGTTGATAGCCCAGTATCCGAAGTCCGCGTCGATGTGCTTTAGGTACCGCAGTAGGTTTCGCCAGTAGTTTGCGTCGCCTATTCCGGGGTTGCGGGGTGCACCGAACTCACCTACCCATACCGGCGCCACGTCGTTCTCGACTAGGTATGCCCAGTTCTCCCTCATCGCCTGAATAAAAGAAGCGTAGCTGCGCTTGGCGTATCGTCCCTCGCGACTGCCCCACCCGGACCAAGCATATACGTGCGCCGAATACACAACCCGGTCGGCAACATCGAGTTTCACCGGTCGCTCCTGTGCCTTCGTAAGGTCGTTCCCGGACTCGGTCCCGCCGACAACAATCAGCCAGTCCTTGTTCATCTTCAGCAACCTGTTTCCGCACTTTTCGGCAGCAGTCGCCCAGCTATTCCACGACATAGTGCCCCAGACGCCGCGCACCTCGTTTCTCAGATCGGCCCCGATGACTCTAGGGTTATTCACAAACGGCTCCATCACCGTCTCCCAATGTTGTATCCAATCCTCCTCTGACTGCGGAATCGGGCATAAGGGACCGAGGTGATCGTTGGACCAGCCGGCATCGCACGGGTCCGCGCCACAGCACCACGTCGCGCTTGTGATATGATTATTGATTATGACAGCGATGCCAGCATCGGTCAATGCCTCGACGACGGCTTGGAACACATCGAGTGCGCGAGAGCCCATAAGGTCGGGGTTGGCGGTCAGGAGATGTGGAAGGATATGCGGGTTCTTTATGACCATCTCGTCCGAGTAGGGTAGGCGCACGCTATTGAAGCCTAAGAGGCGGATAGTGGCCGCGATAACGGAACGGTGTTGGACTTCGAGACCTCCGGGGATAAAGAGCTCGTCGCTAGCTCCGTACCAATTGACGCTGGAGAGCTTGTAGCGGCGACCGTTGGAATCGACAATATTTCGACCCTGAGTCCGTAGAGGAAGCGAATAGGTTGTTATACTAGACTCTTCTCTAAACGGGGGTAGCGGTCGCTGGCTGAAGAGTCGGTCGCCGACTTCTGGGACCCATGGTTCGTGGAGGGCACCCTCGGCTTTCCACAGATAGTGGACATAGCCGCCGAGGAATACAAAGGTAAATAATAGGACAGGATACATCGTCTACGTATATTTATTTCTCCAAGAAAACTGGGAGGAGGAGCGGTCTTGAGGGCGGTATCGAAGAGAGGATTCTAGATGCAACACTGACGAATACCAATATCTGGAATTTCGTAATATGACGCGACAAATGCTATAGATAATAATAACATGGAGCCCATTGTAACATAGGGGCTTTAATTCACTAAGATAATTTATTGAATAATAGGATAAATCAATACAGGATGATTTTCCTGAGTTGAGCTTTAGAAGGGGAGGTAAGAAGGTAAAATAGTAGGTGCTAACGTCACGTCAGCCACGCTCCTGTCCTGCCATCCTGTAACGCAGTGACGTTGGAAGGGTACGTGCCCCGTAACTGCCCCCCGCTATCCCGGTCAGAGCCAACCCCACCACTGGGCACTGGCAATTCTAGTATTACGTAATCGCTCATATTCTCCATCACTTTCAAGGTTCACCCATGATACCAATTGTTCTTCTTTATTAATTACCTAGTAGGTATCATCGAAGCATATCAAGATCAGTATTCTCACTTCAACGACCGTTATTCTCCAATCTTTGTGGAACTATGCTCAAGTCCCGGTCCTAGAAATTTAGGAAGCAAGCAATTGAAACCTGACCAAATGCCGCTCAGATCTAATCGCGTGTACCCTTCCGTGTATCATCGCAACTCAACGAGCAACGTTAAGCTGCCCGGATTCGGTGCTAACTGATTCCTCATGTCATCTAGAACGCGTCGCCCGGTCTCACCAGGTGCAAGACGGAAACGATGTTTCGAGATCAGCTGAGCAGTTGTTATTCTCGGCACGTCAATCGCCATAGCTCTAGCAATACAGCTATGGTGTGCTGTGAAGATGCTTAGCGAATTTGCACGATCATAAAATGTGTGACAGGAGACTCGCCAGTTCCCCAGAGGTCGTACGCCGCTATATTGTGAATCATTTCACAGTGATACCATAACATATTTCGCGACAATACAACTTAATGAGATTGTTTGGACTTAGACGGGCTACCCAGACAGAATTTCCAGACCGGGAGATATTTTACACACCTTTACGGCTCATGCTAACATAAACTTCCAAGTCCTACAAGAGTCGCAAGTCTTCAAAATATTCATTCCAACGTAAACTCATCACAAGTGAGCGCCCTCAGGCAAGCCCTTGAAGCCAGCCGTCATGAACAGCCCCTCAAGGATCTTATCCTTTTTAGCCTTAAGCTCATCCACATCCCAATTAGCCCAAGCGCAGCGTCCCCTAAGAAAGGTGGCCTCGGGGCTAGCCATCCAGACGATAAAGTGAGCAGGAAGTTGCACTACATCGCCCAACTCATATTAGTATTCACACGACAAGATGTCCGATATGAAATATGGACCTACCTGTATCCATAGGAAGTTTCTCAGCTTTGCCCCCCGTCCGTCTGAAGTTATCGGTCTCGACCATGCCGGGGTAGATCGTGGCGACGAAGATATTCGGGTTTTCAGCTGCCAGAAACTCGTATACCTTAGCCTGAGCGAGCTTGGAAGCGACGTATGACGACAGCCCTGGGAGGTAAGTAGTGGGCATGAGAGATACGTCCGTGGTCACGCCAAGAATGGCTGCTTGTGACGGATGGGCCGTTGGCAGGAACGCCTGAGCCGCTAGAAGCGTCCCTTTAATGTTGGTCTGAGAGATATCTGATTAGCACGTTACAGCTATGTTGGTAGGTAACTGGGCAAGGCAGGAAAGCACCTCGAAACCTTTCCACCAGTCGTCTACTTCGGAGGAGGCAACCGGTGCTCGGTTAGAACAGTAAGCAGAAGCCAGAACTAGTACGTGCCATTCCCCCACCGCGGCAGCAGCGGTCTTTAGACTTGCTGCTTGAGTCAGGTCGGAGACGTGGACTGAGCTTGATGCTTTGCCAGCCGATGGGATCAGCGCGGCTGTTTCCTTGAGGGTAGCCTCGGTTCGCCCAAGAAGGGCCACATGAGCAGCTCCGGCGGTAGCAAAAGCCAGGGCAGTCTCTCGCCCGATCCCGGATCCCTAAATTCGTTAGCCGATGAATCCAGCTGCTAATGCTTGAGTTGAAAAAAGTCCGGACCTACTCCACCGATGACAACGATAGTCTTGCCGGCTACGCTTAGCTCTGGGCGCAGAGGTGAGATGCTGCTGTAGGTATCGTTGTGCCATGTGGCAGTTGGGCAAGGGAAAGGGGGTTGCATGTTGTGGAATCGAAATGACGGCTCTGATGTGGATAAAGGATACCTACCTAGTAGGTAAAAAGAAAAGAGAGGATGGGGATAGTAATAAGATACAATAGCTCAGATGAGGTACGCGGAACGGTGGGTTGGTAGTAGAGCTTTTGTCGATTACTGAGACACATGTTATTTCTTTGTATTGAATAATCCCCGCAGTTCCATGTATCTGTGTAACCACCAGGCACATAGTTGTCCCCCTACCTACCTAGTAACTATAAGACATCCATGATGGGTGGTTTTGAGGAGGTAAGTACTAGTTAGACAGTTAGATAAGTGTCTAAGTATACTATAGTAAGGTAAAAGTGACCTTATACCTACGTTCTATACCTATGCCTAGTGGGTGCGTAACGAAAATGATCTTGTCACTTTTGCACTGTATTTGGTGTTTTTGGTGCCTCGGCGTTATCGATTTTGACTAGCAAGAATTCGACCGTCCCTTCAACAGCGCAAGTTCTTCGACGCTTACCATTTGTATTCAACATTGGGAACCTCTTGCTTTTCGACCTTGCGAACCAGTGATCTGCAAGGTGGCGACAAGGCGCTTGTCCGTGAGGTGATCATGGCCATCGCGTATGGCCTATTCAATAGCGGTTCGCCATTAGTCGTGATTGGAGCAGAGACTTCCTGGAGTGCACTCGGTATCGTATGGGCGACCATCGTGAGTGCCATGATCCTAACGACGAAACATATGCAGGATCTCAAGGACCAAGTGGGCGACAAAATCCACGGTCGCAAAATCATGGCACTCTTCCTCAGCGAACATTTTTCTCGCGTGTCCATGACCTTTTTTCATATGCTTCTGGTCTTGTGTGTGGCCGGCAACGCTATCCTACATTGCCATAGATTCTATTGTAGTTGCAGTAAGGGTGCTCTTTGTTTGCCCACAAAAGGGATGCTTATACGTGGAGATTATGGTGCTTCTGGCACGCCTCCCTGTATATACTACTCTTGTGGAGAGCTGGATCTTTCGGACTTTGACACCCCAGGAAATTTGTTAAAGCTTTAGGTAATAATTAAGTCCCTTCATTAGTTTGAAATTTGATGCTGCCCGAGAATAATGAGTGATATACATCGTGAAGCCTAAATTTATACTTTTAGGGCTGTGATTGTTCTTGGAGTTTACTGTTATCCCTTCGATCGTTGGTACCTTACAAGCATGGCACAGGTCAACGGGTCGGAAATATCTTTTGATATCCATGTCCGATCCTTGCTATTGCCAAGACGCTAAAGACTCGAGCAAAGCCAAATACTATCTTCTGATTGGTCCAATTTTGTAAGGGAGAGAGCCCTTCCTAAACTCGAAAAAAGTAGATAAAGAAATTCGCACAGTTCGCAACATTCGCATCATTCTCAACTACCTCTCAGTATTCAAAACCTAATACATGCAATACTAGACTGCTTCTTCTATTCAGTCCTTGCGGTTTGGTAAGTATCAATATCTTGTTGAACGTATATTGCATTTTCAGCAGAGCTCGATCCGAGTTCGGTCTCGTCCCCCTGATACCCAGATGTGACACGGGTGGTAGTAAAAGCGTCATCTCGCAAACGGAGGCTACTCGAAGCGGGTTTCCCATTTGCTAAGTCGTCTCTAATCGGATCCTGGCTCCCGTATAACACCGTTGTGTATATTTTCCGACGCGGTCCGCCGAGTCTCCCGAAGGTAACGATGCTAAGGGGGCCGGGTCGGGCGCCAGGCGAGCCCCGAGAACCAAAAAGCGAAGTGATCACTGGAGCGACATATCGTTTGAGAACCGGCGCAAGAGTCGGAACGCAAGCAATTATGATGCCTATCCACAGTTCCAACTCTGTTGTTAGGGCGAGCGTGGGCATGTGGTAAACAAAGTCAGCTTGAGACTTGGTCTTAAGATCGACAAGTCGCCATATCATGATGGCAATGGTACTTTCATATTATTAGTGCTCGAGGTATTGGAAGTATGAGGTCCTAGATGAATTACTTACATGAAACCTAGGCTAAAAAGGAAGCTGACAACGATTTTATTGCGCACTCGCATTTGTAAAGTCCACAGGAATGGCATTGGAAGTATGATGACAAGGACGTCAATTCCTAGATTAGTACTAACAGAACCTAACTGGCCGATATGCAAGTCACGACAATAGCCATCAGGCCTTGGATTCCATAGTTGGGAAATATCGGGAGAACACGTCGTGAGAAAGAGGGCTAGGAACGTAATACAATAGGCGACGGTTAGGCCCATCAAGACAAATGACAAGATTCTAAAGGTGCTGATGGAGAAAATTCGAATGTACAGCGAGAGGACTGAGAGCTTAAAGGCAGCGGTTCCGAGGGTCCAGGTAACATATGCCGCCGGAACCGATTTCAAGGCGGTTGTAGTCTCTGAAGGAGATAGTTCTATCATATGGTTTCCCATGCCCCCTCTAAAGACAGTCCAGATTAACACGGCCTCCAACGCAAACGTGTTCGTCTAAAAGGAAAAGAGTTAGAGTTATCCATTTCACTAACTTCAACTTTCACAGGTTCTTAGAATGACTGACTAAGGAGAAAATGATGAGGTAATCATCCGCTGCGAGTTTGCGCTTGACTAGGCGAGCGGCCAGGAATCGGAGAAAGACGAAAAAAACATCTAGGATGGTAAAGACAATTGTCCAGATAAGGAGGTTGATACCCCCCCTTGTGACAGGCGCCATCGTGAATGCCCAGGAAAAGTTATGGCGTTTAGGGGGTAGAAGGTGAGAACCTTGACTGAGGAATACAGAAGTCATCTACTAGGCTTATATGCATTAAACTAACCTATCAGAAATACCGTCGATTCTGATGTCAGCATCAATCCACATCGGAGGACTTCTAAGCTGGGAAATCAGCCTCACGTGTCCGAGGAATTACGAGATGTTGTACAGGAGTCGCATGGCCGATAATGTGTAACCTGTAACCACTGCCGAGAGAGATTGTACTGCGCATATGTACCTATATTACAGTTTAAACTGTGTAACACACGCAGCCCTACATAAGCCTGCCTACCTACCTACATGTAGCTGCCTAGGCTAGTAGGTACCGGCAGCATGGGAGGTCACTGCCCTGTGGTCAATCAAGGGCTGCTCCAGGGCTATTAGGTAGGTACCTGCCTAGTAGGTACATATGCATGCAGGTGATACTTGTGCAGCGCCTGTTGGCTCAGCTTGGCTTTCTTTGTTTGTCTTTCTTTCTCTAAATTTCGGAGACTGAAACTGAACCTACTTATTATCTATTCTACCTCCTCAGGTATGATATAACTTTTTTCCCCCAGCTATCAAGTATCCTCACCAAAAGGGTGTATTATGGCCGAAAGAGGACTAACAAAAAGTCAGGTACAAATGGTAGTTTGGACATCGGTTGCGGTCCTTCTCGGGGCTGCATGGATTACTAAATCGCCAGCTCAACCACAATGTCGTTGCTTTCCCGGTGATAGCTGCTGGCCATCTTCGGCAGAGTGGGATTCTTTTAATAAGACTCTAGGAGGCAAACTCATAGCGACAGTACCGATTGCTAGTCCATGCCACGACGGCTTTCCCGGAGTTAGCTACGATGCTGACAAGTGTGCCCAAATCCAGGCAAACTGGGCACGTCCTGAGCTTCACGATCAAACTACTCATTCGCCCATGGCTGCTTTCTTCGCTAATCTGAGTTGTGACCCATTCACACCCCGCGATGCCCAGTGTACCATAGGTGCTTATGTACCTTATGCCGTTAATGCTTCAAGCGCGGAGGACTATCGCCGAACCGCTGCTTTTGCAACCACTCACAACATACGTCTAGTAATTAGGAACACGGGGCACGACTATATGGGCAAGTCGACAGGTGCCGGTGCACTCGCTCTATGGACCCACAACATTAAGGATAGATCCATCTTAGACTATGAATCCGCGGCTTATACCGGGAAAGCGATGAAGATCGGTGCCGGTGTACAGGCTTCTGAAGCACAGGAGACCGCTAACGCTCAAGGTCTCGTCGTTGTTGAAGGGGATTGCCCGACGGTGGGTATCGCAGGTGGCTACATACAAGGAGGCGGCACCAGCCCCCTAGCCTCTAAGTTCGGGCTAGCAGTTGACCAAGTTCTTGAGTGGGAAGTGGTTACCGCGGCGGGAAATCTCCTAAGAGCAGCTCCAGATCAGAACCCAGACTTATACTGGGCTCTTGCAGGTGGTGGCGGTGGTGCATATGGCATGGTGCTCTCTGTAACGGTGAAGCTCCATCCGAACATGCCAACTGCTGGTGCTACTCTTTCCTTCACAGAATCATCAGATAAATATTGGGATATTATACAGACCTTCTTATCAAAGCTGCCGGCTATCGTGGAAGCGGGTGCTACCGTTTACTGGCAAGCCATACCGGGAAATTTATTTCTAATGCCGCAATCGTATTTTCCGAATGGGACTGCCCAAGATCTCGAACTATTGCTAAAGCCCACATTAGAGGCACTTAACCAAAGTCAGATTCCTTACAGTAAGTTATAGTACATTAGCTATGTTTTTACTTCTTAGTTAACTGGAATTCAACAGAATTCTCCTCCCAGGAATATCCAACGTTCCAGGATAGTTTTCACGCCATGAACCCGGAAATGAACATCTCGGAGGTCAACCTCGGGGGTCGCATCATCCCCCGTTCACTAGTGGCGTCTGAGAATGCAGCCGCATCCTTATCCGGTGCCATTAAGTCTATCACCGACAACGGGAGTGTCTTGGCTGGCGTTTCCATGGACGTTAGCCGACAGCCTACCTCCCCCAATTCAGCCAACCCTGTGTGGAGAGAATCATTGTTTCTGGCGTTTCTTGGCACGTAAGTTGTCTCACGCCACCTTCTGAACTTGAACATGAACTAACACTCCAGGCTAGGATGTATGATCGGGTAAACATGACAGCGAACCTCGTCGGACAACATACCGTCACCAATGTACTAGACCCCGCCTTGGAGAAACTAACACCAGGTGGAGGGGCCTACTTGAACGAGGCCGATTTTAACCAACCCAACTGGCAGGAAGTCTTCTATGGCCAAAACTATCCTAAGCTTTTAGCGATTAAGAAGAAGTATGACCCAAATGGCATCTTCTGGGGCCCGACAGTTGTTGGAAGCGAGGCGTGGAAGGAAGCCGCAGATGGACGTCTCTGTATGACAGCCAAATAGACCCCTTTTTTGCCATCCCCGGGAAGGTACCAAAAGTCTTGGGATATATCATCATATCTCTTGGATAAGGGGCAATTCATTTTCGATATGTTGTATTTCTGGATTTTTACATACGAAAGTAGGTACCTAGTAGATAGTTAATGGATATGTTGTCGTGATAGTGTTCATCGTGAAATATTCTACCTTTAGTGCGTACATCAAATCAAAGGCCATTGACAGAGTACTGCTGTCAGGGCACCTACTTACCTCTAGTAACTCGTAGGTACCTACCTAATCGCAACCAGTCAAATCCGGTAGGGTTCGCACATGTAGTGTAACACTTAGAAAATATAATTAAAATCGTGACGTTTCGCCTAACATCATGGGTCGCCTTATAGTCCCTTAAATAGGTAATAACCAACCTTCTATACTTCATTAAGTACTTAATTTCTCGGGCTCATCTATGCACGTTAGATAATATTTCGGAAAGCCGCGTGGGGGAGAGCGTAAGCAAGTACCTATGCAGGTCTTAGAAACCCGCTCAATAATGGATAGGGGCAGGTGCCTCACCTAATAGGTAAATTAACATGCCGAAATGGCGCATCGTCATCGGCATCGGCTAGTGCCCGTCATCCACTGTGGCTGCGGCATCTTTGCTTATTTGCTAGCCACCTTATACTTGTAGGTATCCGTGGATGTATCATGTACCTCTGCAGCTCCGTAGTAGGTAGGAATGGAGGCTTAGGTACACCTCTGACGCGTTATTCCCGTTCTCTTTTCTTTTTGTAGATGTATATACCTAGGTAGGCACTAGGCAAATAGGTCTCCAAGCATCGATATATCAACAATATATAGGTAGGTACCTAGGCACACAGTACTGAAATATGCTTACTCGAACTCTCTCTCCGAAGGACAACCCTTTCCCTTTTCGAGAAAAAAGAAAACCCGTACCACTTAGCACTACACGCGAATCAAGTACGGCGCTATATATATCTCTACTGCGAGTTTTCTCGTGATTTTCTCTATCTGCATGATAGCAGTCAACCGTCAAGAATAGGCAGACCGGGATCCCTCCGGTCGATGCTGAACCATCCCCGGAGCTACTTCATGGCCTTCAATGTGAAAAACAGGGCCTTCTCACCTGAGGAGGTAGCCGTGAACCCATTATGACAGGCTTCTCCAAACCAAGCGCCAATACGATCCTGGTGATATCTTTTACGGGACGGCGGTCGGGAGTGAGGTTTGGGAAGAGCAGGTCGATGGGAGACTGCCAGTCAGAAGATAATTAGGCAAGCACCTGTCGTAAGGTCTCTAAGACCTTGCTTTTGTAAACCTTCGTGTATAAGTAAATACATTTTCATACGCCGGATATTTAGCTAGAGCTTTCAATTGGCGGGATCCTTGCCTGAATATAACTGGTGAGCCGTTTACCCCTTTTAATAGTCTCTGCCAGCACTATTTGGGACCACGAATACACGTGAACCATCTTCGGGTGATCAAGGAACAGTGCCTAGGCAGCTAGTATCTAGTGAACTGAAGATGCGAAGGTTTAGGTAAAAGATTCCGCACATTCGCCCATTGGCTAAACCCGTGTAATTCGAGATACCAGGAACCGTGTGGCTGAATTCTTTAGTGGCTGAGCCCTTAAATCTTAGTGGATGACCGCTATATCTTAAGGGAGTTATAGGCAGAAGGTCCACTATTAACTGACGATTGCTCTCCATGGACAGGTATGAAACACATTCAAGACAAGAGTATATCTTAGGTTTATGCCTTTTTATTGATTAAGACAGATAGGCATGGCTATGCGTGCTATCCAATCCTTAGAGCTAACTGAGTAGTAAGTAATGCGCAACAGATCAAGTCAGGCAAAAACCCAGCGCCGCTTCGTAGCTTCGTTCCTCCATCAGCAGCACCTTAGATCCTTGGCGTCGTCAACTTCGTGCGTCAACCGATGAGTATCCTTCCGTCCATTTGTCTCCCATGAGCCCAATACCCCCACATTACGAATATGTGATTAGGTAGGCCAATGACACTTTTTGATTCCTCCAACTTCCTTCCCAAGATATATCCCTCTCTTTTAAGCGCATTGCCGTATCCTAATTTTTCAGTATACCAATCCCTTGCCTCTGCGAGGTCAAAGCTTATGGTTTTCTATCGACACAAAATCCCGGGACGCCGCGCTTGAAGCCTGATAAATAACATCTGTACAGGGCACGAAGCCGGCCCATTATGGTAACATGAAGAAAAAATTTTGTACATGGTGTACATGTTTTATATGATCAGGCGGATTAGCCTATGGTAATAGATCGAATAATTATTTAGATGAAAACGTGGTCGCGACTATAATCGGGAGCGTGTGGTTGGGTATATTGCGACCTCGGGGCCGAGTATTGTATCTCATCCTCCTCTTCCTTTTCTATCCTATTCATCCCTAACGGATTCATATTATCGTAATCGTATGTTCGCGATGGTGGCATCGGTGGTAAGGGATAAGCGTCTTCTTGCCCCTCATTCCCATCCCAGCGAAGTTGCTGTGGAGGCCTGGGCGAAGAGAATGATCGCTGGTGTGGTTGATACCGGACCGTTTGTCCGAAATAATCAGGGGTTTGGCGCCCGCCTCGAGTGGTGGGCGACATTGTCGCGCTAATTGGGGTCAGCACCGTGTCTACCTTTCCGGAATCGCGAGACAACATTTCATAAGATCGAGGGTCCTGCTTAATATCCATTCGAGCGTCCACAGACACGAATTCTTTCTTGGTGGTGTTACCACCCATTGCTGCGAAGAAATCGACCCAGCCGGTAACCATAGACCAGCGGCCGAGCAACAAGAGTAACCAAAGGCCGTTCATCTATATCAAGAATTAGTTTATGAACAATACCAGTAATTAAACCCCAGTGCTACTTACAGCCAATAGTATAAGGACCGCGGTGACAGTCGGCAGACTGACAACCAATCCTTTAGCTTTATCCAAACACTTATTCTTATCTCCGCTAGCTGCGATGAGACAAGCCGCCCATGGTAGTGCCTTTGCCGGGTTAGTCCTCACTGATTCGACAGTGTTGTCTAGAAAGACGAAGATGACAGCGAAGAATATGACATCGGCAATAATAATCAATACGATGACAATGCCACGCCATTGGAGCTGAACAACACGTCGAATTCTTCGATATGCTTGGCGGGGAGTCATAGTGCGGATACTGTTGGAATATGAGGGCATCCCAGAGCCCTCGGTGGTTGTGCTGTTATCGGTCAAAGATGCGAGATAAACTTTGATACAATATCCGAAGGTGGCGAATTGTATGATAACGGTCAGGCCTGCGAAGACGAGAAGAGGGATCCAGAAATCGGCCAAACTATTCTCGTGGTTGATGTGACATGTCGCACCGAATCGGAAGGAAACTCCACTGAAAACAAGAAGGATGATAAGGCCAATGATGGGAATACCCCAACCGAGGACTTGAGAAAACCACATGTAGTTTCGACCCACCACCAATTGCCAGCAGATTTGGAGGTGTAAAGAAAGCGCCCTCAAGAAAACCCACATGACACCAGCCCAGCCTCCAATGAGTAAGAAAGCTCCCGAAGCAGCACATACAGAGCTCGTGTCCATCCCATGGGGAGTGATCTCATTGTAGCATTGGTTCGGCTTGGCTGCTAAAGGAATGATGAAGCCCAACTGTGATACGTTAGTCATTGCTCGGGTTACTTACTCTCAAGCGCATGTATGTAGACTCACGTTCATCAGAACAACGGCACATGCGAGACTTATACTCAAATAGTGGCGATGCGTCTTCTCGACGGGAAGCACAATCCAGGATAACAATAAAAACCCACAACAGACCATGCCGACAACATTAACCCAGTTTGCTGCCGTCGTCGCCGAGTTGAAATTATCCGGGTAAGCCCAGTCGGTCATAGGACATGGGACGCAACAGTTTAAACGCCCTAGGGGCGAACATAACCGACCCTCGATGTCTATGAAGATATTAGAAAAGGGTCAGAGACATCGTCAACACAAAACTTACGTCCACCCATTGTAGGGAATAAGTCTTCACTAAAAAAGGGTGCGGGGCACCCGCCGCGTAGTGTTTCGTTCGCCATACTGAAGACCGTATGGGTCGACCCCAATTACCGAACAGTATAGAAGATATGTCTATAAATTAGACTTCGACGGAGAACCGCACAGCAGAGAAGTTGCGTGTTGCGGAATATGAGACCTATATCTCGACTTCTTGCTTTTACTGAAGAACTTAAAACCAGGATGACGAAATCCGGACCCGGTGTATCTTATGCGAAATGGACGGAGTCGTCCAAAGCCGAACGAAAAACCGGGTATGTCGTAAATGCGAGGATATTAACCGACTCGTCCCAGCCCGATACCTAGATTTTTATGTTGAAACCCACTGATCCTGTCGAATAGATGTATGTTCGTCTGAAAACATGGAGATGGGATAATCGTCTAATCGCTTCAGATGGACAGCCAGGCAAGAGCCGAGACGTGATGTATGCTCCTAAAGCGTAGAGGGTCGATAGCTTAGGTGGTATTCATGGCCCCGAATGTCATGTAGATGAGGCAATTCCCATACACATGAATCGTAGGCAGGGGCAAGAGATTCAACGGAGAGACACACACGAGAAAGCGAAAAAACTAGAAACGCAAGAATATACAGTGACAGCGGGAAGGAAGGACATATTAAGGTATGAGTGCGCCGGTACGCTGCGGTACATGTAACCTAATAGTGCATAGTAAATAGTAGTTGGGGGTCTCGATTTTGGTAGCCAATTGACGACATGAGCCAGGGGCTTGGGGAAGCGGGTACTCGATGGATACTCGATGGATCCAACACTGAGGTGACTCTGGCATGGGAGTACATACGGCATGTACTGGCAGAGGATAGGCAGAGGATACAGGTCAAGGAGGCACAAATGATCCCTGAGGGTTACTTTCCCTGGGTCGCCCTGACGGACCTCGCGTCAGTCCTGAATGGTAGGATGGCGTGGTCGCGGGCGGAGGCCGGTGGACCACATGGGGAAGCTAGTGTTCGCCATCTGCCAGGTCTCGCAAGCTTGCGCATCTTCGAGACTCATTGACAAGGAGGTCCCAAGCTGCCAGGTCCACTAGGATTACAGATATTCTTCCCCTTGTCAGCCTAGAAGAGTCCTGTGCTTGGCCGTTGGAGAGGAGTCTGAACACTATACTCGGTTAAGTCTTTCTCCGTTTCGACTACTGTAGGTTAATTAGATTCGGCCATTTGATAGCTAGCAGTAAACTGGCAAGATTGGCGAATATCTGGGCATGTTGATCTCGCGTAATCAGGCGCGCCGCCCCATTGGCTTTTGGGACAGCAAGAAAGGGTTTCAATTCTACGCTCGGTGGGGTTGTAGAATGTAAAATCCTGCGTCTATTCTCGTGATGTCCACATGTAGGTCCAGTCTAGGTACGCATACTGATATAGTATGTAGGTAGGCTGTGGTGGTAGTATTGGACGTAGTAGTATTGAATGTTGTATGTGGTTAAGTTAGCATCAACTTAGACGTGTCTAATGATACTACAGGTATGTAGACATGTACCGGGGTACCTAAATATGTAGGTGGTGGCCTCCGTCGTTCAATCGCTCAATCGCTCAATCGTACATGCACATGTACGCATAGTAGGTGGGATTCCCGTCGGCGATGTTGCACAAAATCGCAGCTCGCAGAAAATTCGTGTCCAATCCTTTTCTTATGGCTGGGGTGATCCATGCAAGTTACCGACGGTGGGGCTACATAGGATTGGGTAAGTGCTTAGGCGAGTGGGCGGGTGGGCGAAGTGGGCACTGGCAGGCATAGGCGACTCCAAGAAGAAAGTTGACAGCATCAGAGAGCACTTGCACCAATTTGAAAATGAACCTATGGAGCTTTCCCCCGGTACTTTGGTTGCATACCTGCCAGTTGAGGTACATTCCGGCCGAGTACCAAGCCGTACCGCAGTCCTCCTTCCTCCGGCACAAAGTTCTGTCGGTATCGCGATGAGAAGAAGGATTTTAGCATCTGTATGTCATACATACTATATTATATCATGCTAGGCTTATAGGAGGAAGTCTGTATGCAGGTGTGTAAGATTCATATTTTTTTCTTTTCTTTTTCACTAAACGGATTAGTGATAAGGTGACCGGTCAGCTGCGGGCCGAATCCGCACCTACCACATCGTCAGGTTAAATCCCATCTCCCATCAGGCTGTTTAGATATTCTACGTTATTACTTCTAATGCTCTAGGCTACGCATAGTACTCAAAATTTTGTTCGCGGTCGTCCTAGTCTGGAGTCTGGACTGGTTATGGACTGGTATCGATTCCAAAATAGTCCTCGCGCGATACCAAGGCCTGCAACAACCCGGTCTACCATGCAACTACTATGTAACAATTTCACGCGTGCTAGCACTATAGTAGTGAGACATTGACATCGCTGCATGGTCGGGGAAAGGATGGGCACCTACTATATGCTAGTATCGCAACACTGCATAGTACAGTTAATAGTCATATACTATGCAGTACCTACGCTGTATTATTAGCATCGCGACAGTGAGGTCCAAGAGCTAGAGAGACCCAACAAAATTTAACTTGCTCCATCCATACTCCATACTCCATACCGGTAGAACGTTTATAACGCCTCTATCCCAAGCTAGTCCTGCAGGTACAGGCAAGCTTACCACAGACAGCCTAATCACGTCCGCTGTAGTGTGACGGTCAGACTGTCCCTGCATACTGATTATTGGTTTAATAATCCATTTCTTTTGCGCAAAGCGGAAATGTCTGCCGTCGAAAGGGAGGACACTGAGATACGATTAGTTGAGAGACGCCACAAACATCTGTGCGAGTTATCGACGCCTCCAAAAGATCGGCAACTGCGTGCGCTCCGCAGCTGCGCAGGTGTTTGGTCTTTGAGTTCGAGACCATTGCCACCAACGCACGAGACGCAAAAGGACATGCCGATATGCTGGAAGATATTGTATATTATATATATGTATGTATATGCAAGTACATACCGATGCAATGTCTCGCTTTCACGTTGCCGCAGGGCAGACTGTATGTATGTCTCAAAGACCATACGAAAAGTCGGGATTCGACTTGATATTACAATCTGAAGAACTAGTATCCTGCATGCTGTGTCTCATAGTACTATGTATCTTGAGAATTTCAGCCTTGTCAAACTCACGGACCGCACAGCTTCATCTGATCGAACGCTCATATTGCTCATCATATGGACATCATGCGAAAACAATCCGAGAGTCGGCCAGAGCCTTTCCGAAATTTCCCAATGCCGGTCCAGTTTACCTCAAGGGGCATTAGCTTCGTGGAGAATACCACCCCCTGCAATAAGCTTACCCAGTCGGGAGTGAGGGAGAGATTACTAAGTGGGAGGCACCTTGTAGGTAGGTAAATTTATATGCCCCTCAGTGCGGCACGGTGCAAAATTGTAAAATACTTAGATACTGCGAAAAACGGATATGCATTGTGCTTCCAATATTTTATAAAGTGTAGGTACTTGCCAATGTTGTACTACCAGGCCAGCTGAAAACCCCCAGTTGTGTAGCCATTCGTGTTCGAATACTGCCAAAGATGTGATCATGATGCGGGTTTTCAACGTGTAGGGGATAGGGGAGCGGCAATCTGTTAATTACTGCAGCCACTCAGGATAGGATTCCGTCGTGTTGGTTCCTGGCACCACCGAAGAACGCAGAAAGAGTTGACCTTTCATAATCGAAATCATCAGTGGCGTAGTCCTACTGGCCCGTCTCCCTGCTTCCCTGCAGGTCTCAGATCCCAGCCTGCATTGGAACACTCTACCCAGATTTTGCCTTACGAGTTATTCCCCGCCGACCCGCACTCCCGTCTTCCTCACCTATCACCACGTTTATGCAGGGGGGATGAGTCTAGGGAAAACTTCTGCGCTCTAACAGTACGAAGACTAGACCAATAGGAAAAAACGCGTCACCATATTCTCATTAAGAAAAGAAAGCATAAACGACGAATCGATTAGCCGTATCTATCCTAGCTAACATCGTAAATTCGTAGATGCTACTAGGCAGGCTCGGCACGCTCATTTGTTAGGTAAGTCGCCGAATCATACATGAGCTTTAAAAGACGAATCGTCGCCGAGGAAATAGTTTGTCTCCCTAATAGACGACGCAAGGGTAGGATAGGTACCTAGCTACGCGCAAGTTTAACATGACTAACGGTTGCATATAGTAAACGAGGACGAGTATTGAGCTGTATGTAGTATAATATCGTGTCGGATCTAAATGCATAGTAATTGATGTAGGTATAACATCCACTTTCCGCCGGTCCGCTTCTATCGGACCTCGATCTCATCGATTCGGGAACGCGTCAGATTTTGGCGTCTTGGTAATCGGAGAAACGATCGTAACGGTAAGTAATATAACGTAAAGAACCTATCACAGCGCGACCTGTCGACCGGCGCCGGTCGTTGTTCGTTAAGAGAGCCTCATGGGCATCGTAGCCAGCCTATGAAAAGCTCATGCATCGATTCGAGGTGTGACCACGCTTAGCATTGGCGAACCTGACACACCACAAAAGTTCTCACGTTTGCTATAATGTCAGCCCCCTTTTTCAGCGGGAGATATCCCGCAGTGAGCGATTATTCTGATGCTTACATCTAGATACATCCCTATGGCTTGGTATGATGGAATCTATACGTCGACAACCAGACCGGTGAAAATTCTGTTTACTCTAACTTAGCAGCTCGGTTTCCTCAACCGATGCGTAACGTAATGATTCACAGCTCTAACCGAAGCGCCCCGGCATGAACCGAAAAACATGGTTTTGGGGGTTTCCAGGCCTCTGGAAATGATAGATCATAGATGTACCAAACGTTGGTTACGATTACGTACCAAGGTATTCAATTCGGGGCATCAACGCCGCATCGTCGCAACCACAACGACTGTCTTCGGTCCGACCCAGACTGCCCAAATTAAAAGAAGTAATCTTCTAGAACGCACTCAAGTGCAACTAGGATAGAAGGATGGCTGAAGCCGTTTCAGCAAGGCACACGAAGTAGAAGTCTTCGATTTTGATCGTGTCAAAAGTGTTCCACGGTATACGGGACTGCCCAGGAAAAGGATCGCGATGCTACAGAGTATTCGCCGCGGAATAAATTACTTACCATACGACCTCATTAACATCCTACCTACCAATTGATCATACTTGCGTACCTACTAAGAGATTTTGCATTTGTATGTAACTTACTAAGAGAACTATTTATATCCCATCTCGTCGCACCCTAATTTGATCGTATGTTCTCGCATAAACTGACCCCTCTGCCTGTCTGCCTAGGTAGAAATTCATTAATGTCGAGCAGATGTTGTAATCAATATTATCAAAAACCAGCACTTAGGTAGTCTATTTGGAGTGCCTAGTAGGATAAAGTCTCGTTGCCTAACTTCTCATCAGTGCATGTGTGTGTTGCATGCATTCAAGACCACTCCATCGCCGAATTGGGATGCCTTCTAATATTTTCATCTATCCAACTTAGTCTCATCGCATTTAGCTTCACTGCTACCGCATCACTGCAGTCCGTCACGTTCGCTAGGTTTCAGGTTGGTTGACGTTACCTTCAACTGATTACGAATTTATTAGAATGACTTTCTATGTTCCACAGGCGTCATTCCATACCTACTTCGCGCCCTCGCATGTCATCAACCTACCTCGTCTATTTCGAGAAGTACGGTACATAGACCTTCCCAAAAGCTACAGTTGCTAGGTGCCCCGTAGTAGATAGGATAAATATGATGACAACATCGCTAACGCCGGATCTCAACCGTCACCGAGCTATGTGCATCTTAAACATTTCTAGAAGCTGTTAGTTAAAGATAGCCGCGGAAGATCGCGAACACTAATATGTACTAGGTATGTAGGTAGATATCGTCAAGCTGTTGCTATGCGTTCGATTGCATATCACGGCTTTTACCGGCGCTAGCTATTTTCACTTGATAAAAAATATCTTTAGCGATTTAGCTCCTTCCGCAGATGTAAGGAGATCGAAGGCGTAGACTGCATCCTTAGCGCATTTGGCATTTGAGATGATCATCTCAAGCTCGCTAGATCACCGACACGTTCTGTAGGCCAACTTCATTTTTACGCGCAAGTAGCAACATCTTGTCTTGTCGCATATCGTCGATCGCTATAGTCAAACTTCAGTAATACTAGGTGAAGTTCCAGAATTTCAAGTTTGAGGCGGCTTCATACCAGGTTTATCTTCTTATTTCGCAGCACATGACGACAAGATGGCCGTCAATTGCTGTTCTTAACCCACGTTGTATTAAGCTTATCTGAGACACATATATATCTTTCTAGTAAGCTCGGTAGTTGATAGCATGCTGCTACTGCTCGTGGGTTCACAGACATTCTCGACGATCTGTTCTTCACCCGCGGCTCGGCTACCCTCCTTCCCAAGACAATCTTGAGATTTCTGAAACAGTATCTAAATGCAACCAACATGGGGCGCTCGCATTTTCCTTCGGATCTGGCAACCGAAATCACAGGTTGGAGTCCAATTTGCCAGAATGTCGATTTGTTGAGACATTGTCTTAGAAAAGAAAAGATAAAGAGGCGTGTTGTGAAACAGTCACATCCGGTGGTGAACCCCGAACGTCTTATCGACGGACCAGCAGGCCGCATACCAAAAGACAATATCACGATAGTCCGGTCACTCATCTCGGGTGCAATCCGTTTGCGCCTCCAGCTTGCTGCAACCCTTGAAGCTCAATATCAAAACCCGGGAGAGCTTGACAGCGACCCCGGGCAATGCAGCACCATGTCGTGGTCAGAACCAACAACTCTCCCAACAACAACAAGTGATGTGCCCAAGAGCTCCTAGGGCTAGAAATGAGCTTAACGACGAACGGGTACGTTAGTACAGAGTAAGGTAGCATGTGTTACGCAAGGGCTCGGGCAACGAACTACATCTGAGCGGCGACGAGATCGACTCGGGCTCCTACTCAGGAAAGGCAGATAGCGTCACATTGTGCAGCGACTAGAAACGCTCTAGATGCGCCATAGCTGTGCTGTTCTGCAGCGCTATCACACAGCACTCATCGAATTTCGCACTCCGAATGGGGCAACTTTCGCAGAAGCAACCCGACCAGACGGTTGGACGAGGGCGACCATGTATTATAATGTCTAGGTATTATATTATAGTTGGTACTGCGTATGACCCTTCTAGAAGCGGCGCTGTCTTGGCTCCGTCGAACCAATTAGAAAAGAAAAAGAGCGCCTCGTACAGGGCGGAGAGGGAGAGTTGAAAGATGAGTGGTAAATATGTGCTGGACCAGGTACATACTGTACCCCGGGCATCAGCACCGATCCCTGCTGCAGCTGGCAATTAGCAACCTCCTTTTTGCGGAACGGACCCCGTCCTCAGTCTCGCATTTTTCACGAGGGGTCGCGTTGACCGGACCGATTACACGGACAGGGTCGAAGTTGAACGTTAAGCATTGAACCAGAGATGCCAGAGAAACAATTCTGTCTTATCGATTGTTTCCTCGACCTCTTGAAACATGACGTCGAACGATGGGAGAAAGAGGATTAGGAAAGGTAAATTGAAATTTGGACGATCCTTGATATGAACATGGATGAATTTCATTAAATAATTAAACAAGTGATATGCATGCATAAACCACTAGCACGTGACATCGAAGGTTACGTAACGTCGTAACCCGTCTGCCCTGCTGCCCCGCCACCCGCTAACTTCCAAGACATCTGCAGAAAACCAACATCAACGCAAATCGACCTTGTAAAATTGAACAAACAGGCTATCATTTTCAAAAGTTCAGTCGATAAAACATCCTAGCTATTTCCAAATATCAAGGCAAATGATACAACTGAAAAAGTCGGTCAGTAATTACCTAAGTAAGCGAAAAGATACCTAGGCTTGCGCACCAGGGGTAGATGACGATGGTGATGACGAATCCGAAGGAGTATACGCCGAAAGGCTGATACGCCGTGTCTCATACACATAAAAAGCATTTGTCAATACTCAAGTAAGCTCTCGTCAATTACTATGAAATTATCAACCGCATTATTCTCCGACTCCGATACAACGGGAGTTGAGCTAACCACAAGTTGGTGTTGATAGCCGTATTTGCAGAGCCAATCGCATCAAAACAACTCCAAACTGGCACGAAATACTAGAAAGTATCGATGATCGTGTATATTCGAGTGATAAATCAACCTAAACTTCCGTACATTCTTCTTTTTCACCTCATAACAACATTAGATAGAGAATCAAATAAACCCAGGTCCGAATCAAAAGTTCTGGTATCCAACAAAAACAGTTTTCCCGCTAAAAGTTCCATTGCTTGCACCAGTTCTGGATCAACTCCGGCGTGACAGCCTCCAAGTTCGCAGCAGTCTTGCTGTAAGACTGTGTCCTCTCCATGGAGAACTTAACAGGCCCTTCCTTCTCTCCGCTGAAGAAGCCTTCATATGAATCAATCAACTTGATTCCAGGGTTCTTGCTCACATCTGTTGTTGTTTCCTGGCTAGCCTTTAGGACATCGATCCATTCTCTGAAACTCACCGTCTTCTTGATCCGGGGTCCGTAGAACTCCCTCACCGCAGCAGACAACTTGATCCACGTCGTCGTCTTGGGGTTGACGGCATGGAAGTAGCCGTTGATCTTTTCGATCGGAAGACGTTGCTCAACGCCTGACACTTCTAAAACGAGGTGGGCGACGTCTTCGATGGCCATCCAGTCAATGGAGTCGAAGATGCCCAAGTTGCCCGGAAGGATCCCGAGATAGACGGACGACGCAATGATAGAGGGGAACCACTCCTGTCTACTCCACAAACCCTTTTCAAACCGGGAGCCCGCAATCTGGCCGACGCGGACACTTGCCGTAGGGATAGCGGAAACCTTAGCTGCCTCGTCTAAGATCAAACTAGAGATCATTTTCGAGCGGCCGTAGTTCATAACGGCCTTATTGAAGTCGGTGACTTGAGCTTCTGGGGCTTCTCCTCCCTCCCAGTGGCTTATGGTACTTATACTCGAGATGTAGACAATGGGAACTGTCTTAGTTGCCTTAGCGCTAAAGTCCACGAAGTGACGGACCCCGCGAATATGCGGTTCGAATGTTGATAGGGAGATGTTGAAGTTGACCGGCCAGCCGTTGTGGATGATTCTGTCGGTGGTGGATAGGAGTTCGTCGTACTTGGCCTGGTCTATCCCCAAGCCAGGCAGTGATAGGTCGGCCTGGAGGAACTCGACCTTGCTAAAATCGGTGTTGAGTCCACGGCTCTCGAAGCTCTCGATTTGGCGGCCCCGGCCATCCTTGGATCGATTGAGGCAGATCACTTTCTTGATGTTGCTGTTGCAGATCATGAAGTGCAGGAGATAAGAACCAAGACCTCCCGTTGAACCCGTGACGATGACGGTCTGTCCGTCGTCGAGCGGGAGAGGCTTGGTCGTGTTTACAGCCGGCATGTCGGTCGTGTATTTCTTCAACAAATCCTTCATTTGCTGTACCTCCTTCTCCATACCATCTCCCGCGTGCGCCGCGCCGGAGTCGATCAGGGGGTAAATGTATCCTGCGAGCTCCCTGAAGGTTGGATGAGAGTAAATGGCGCGGGGGGCGAGGGCAGTGGGGTCGACTTCGACACCAGCTGCCTTAAGTCCCGCGATAATCAGACGGCTGGCATTAATCACCTGCAACGAATCTATCCCGACAGTGAAGAAATCCGTATCAGGACCTAAAGCCGGAGCGTCGAGTCTGGTCGTGAAGAGCTCTTGTAGAGACTCCAAAAGTTCGTCCTCAGACCCGACATCCAACTTCGGCGCATTAACTTGTTGTGTATTCTCTGCTTTGGTATAGAACTCTTCGATCTCGTCTTTGTATATCTTGACCGCGATTCCCCGCTGGATGGTTCCCTTCCCAGCTCTAGGGAATGGCTTCTCAGGCTTCGTGAGCATAATGAATTCGCGGCTTATATGCCCGTGGGCCACGGAGTCCTTGTTCGCTTCCTCGATTAGAGGCCACACACTGTCGATCAACTTCTCTTCTTCTTCGTCATTCTGTGGATAGGTGATAGGCTCGAGAATAATCGCGGGCTGGAACTGCTCTTGACCGACGACCAGGGCTCCTTTAAGACCCGCATGGTCACTAACAATGTGCTCGATGGTAAGGGGGTTGAGCTTCTCGCCGTTGGAAAAGACTATGATGGTATCGGCACGTCCGGCGTACATCCAGTGGTTCTTCAGGGTGGGATGCGGGCGGAACAAGTCTTTGGTGTCGTACTCGTCTATATCTGGGAAGGTATAAAAAAGACCTTGGATGTCGGGCTGAAGATTGTTACGTTTAATAAAAAGCTGATACGCATTCGGGTCTTCGGTGGTTGGACGGAACTCCGCCCCACCTAATTCTGGCTCGAAAACGAAGTATTGCCAGAGTTTAGGGTTCGGCTGGAGGTAAAGAGGATACGGCAGTCTAAGATTTTCGTTAGCTTTCCGGAATCTGTCGGTATAACGGACACAATCCTGTTGGAAGGCTTACTCAGTAGCAGAGATCATGTTCAAAAGCTGTACCCCTTGATCGACGAGGTAATTTCCCACTCGGGTTGCGAGATTTCCTGGAGATTGCATTAGTAACAGCAGTTAATTTCAGGGCGGTTACTGGCAGGGCAGCGAATGATAGCGAAATCGAATGACTCACCACCTCCGAATATACAAAGTTTCAACTTTTTCAACGTTTCAACATGAGCAGGTACTTGGCTCATATCCACCAAGACCGAGGGTGGCAGAATGATGGATTCGCCTCCCGTATACTCGATATATTGGGCTACCAAGTCTGCCGTCAACGGTTTCGACCCAATTGGGAGTATACACGGAGAGCCTTCAATGATGCCAAGTAATGTTGAGAAAAGCAGCCCAGATGCGTGGAAGAAGGGCACTGTTCAGGGGTTAATATCATTTCTTCGCTAACCGCCTGTTTACTAGGCACTTACTTGGAATGATATGCTTCCTCGCCCTGCGACTTAATTCCACAGTCCACACTTAGCGTAAGAGTTAGTATTTGGTTCTTTCTATGGCTGATTCAGGGATAACAAGAAAGACGTCAAGAAAACCATGGTATACGTACTGTGGGCGCCATTCATCGGGGCCACCTTATTAAATGAATCTATCGTCGTGAGCCACCCTTGCCTACATGTGATAGGCTTTGGGAATCCAGAGCTTCCGCTTGTGTGAAGAACAGCGAATGGATCCCATTTTCCCTCCTCAAGATCTCTCTCGTAATCAATCTGAGTTGTTCCCTCGCCAGCATACCATTCCTTTTCAGGAGAAACGACCATGCTCTCCATCTTACGTATCTTTTTCCACGAGTCAACAGCATCTTGGAACTCGGGAGTGTGGGCGATGAAGTGACAGTCCGTATCCTGGAACAGTCGGATTTGACCCTCTGTTGAGTTTCGGGGTGAAATGAACAAAGCCTATAAAGTGTCAGTGATATATACAAGACCTGATAAGATACATGGTCTTACCTTATAGCCAGCTTTGATAGCGGCATATGTGAACGAGATATAACGAGAGTCGTTCGCCCCGATATATGCTATGGTGGGAAATTTGCCCGGCTCTGACACACCAGCGAAGGACTGGATGCCATCTGCTACACGATTAATTGCTTTCGCAAACTGCGCATACGTAATTTTCTCCCACCCATCCTCGGGGTTGGTGCTTCGCGGTATAGACACCCATTCGCGGTCTGGTTCCGTAGCTGCTCTCTCCTTGATGACTTGGAGAGGAAGCCGTCGTCCGAATTCGCTTTGACTCTCACTCATTTTGAATATGTTCCACGTTGGATTCGTTAGGTAAGATCGTCTGTTTCTATAATAGTTTGAGACATATACCTAGTAGGCAGGTATCGTCGGATGCCAAGGTGGGGTTGAAATGTCTCTTTTTAACTCAGACAAACAGACGTTGGATTTTCCAGTGACATGCTCCTTATATATGTAGGTCTCACTATGTATGTCTACACTGAGGTAGGTGGCTACTATTCCATAACTTCTGATGGGTCGCCATTCTCTGTACGTTGGTCATTTGAGGACGCCCCCTTGCCTTAGCCGCCTTAGAACGTGGCATGCGACAATCATACCCCGATGTGATCACGGAAATCGTGAAGAAGATTCGCGAATCCCGATTCGGGCTTACCACGCTTCCATACAAATAGCGTCGTCGTCGCGACATTAGAGCGTGATCGAAAGGCATATGCCGTCGATACCAAACTATCTCAAGTTAGCTGAAGTTGTGATGTAACTTATGTGGATTACGAGATAGATTTTGCCTGGGGTGAGATCCACTGTCCCGTGGGAATAGCATTGAGGTAGAAGATCTGGTTGTCCGAATCCCTACTCTAAACTCCGCAGGTGCATATGCGGAGATTCTGGCATAAAGCTTAGAGGTGGTTGAAGGTTGCATACTATTTTAGTGGCCTCGTCACAAGAACATCTGGATGATGGAGTGCCCGGCATATTTAGGTGCAAGCAGGGATAGAGTTGTTCGGGAAGCTCCACGTTGTTCCCGCGCATTCCTATTTAAGCGCGCCACTTGAAACTTATAGATACAGTTATTACCAACAGAGATATCATAGTTATCTGTGTCCTACCAACCGAATTACTTTTCTATAGGTACACTATGAAGGCTATCATACTAGATACCTAGTATCGTGTAGGTACCTCGTTATGTATTATGAGATCATTATATGTTCAAGTGAATGACTTTCGGTATAACTTCAAGTAGTTAGGGATCAGCGGTGAGCTAAGAGTCACACCTACTATGACCTATCGCCGATGAAAACTACTGGTCCCGGTAGATTGAACTTCCAGAAGTTTGCACAAATTATGTATAAAATTAGCCGCTAGAAGGAAATACTAGATATATAACTAGCTAATATATGTAATCGTGTTGAATAAGGTGGTAGCACCAGCGGGATTCCTAATCCCTTCGCGCTTCGCGACCTGGTTCGGGCTCCGATAGGTTAGTGAAATTTGCCGAAACTTTCTCGGTAAAAGTGGATCCGATCTAGTATCATCCGGGACAAATAAAATTCTAATGCTGACGTTCCCCGGGCATAAACACGGCAGTTGCATCCATGGATCCGTTCTTTAAACAATATTATTAATACTCCGACTTGAATATAACTTGGCAGTAAGGCTTGTTTTTATTTTAAGCTATGGACTGGTAAGAAACCGTCTAGATAGTAGTGCTAGTTATTTCCCAAATTCTTTTCTAGGTAAACTTATCCCGGCTATCCTTTTAGAAGATAAGTGTCTATTGAAACAAGCAGTTCTCACACTAGCTATATTAGGAGAGCTCCTATATGCGGCATTTATCTACCTATCCATGCAAGATAGTCAGTTAATTTAGCAGATACTACCTACATACCTACATACATACATATTTAGGCCACCTCGCAACTTAAAACAGGAGCATGACCAGGTAGTATCGTTAATTCTTCGACATCAGTTCCTAAAAAAGCTCTTGGCGCGATCAAGGTTGAACGCGGCGCTGATGAGAGCCAGGTGGCTGAAAGCCTGCGGAGTGTTACCGAGCTGCTCACCACTACGAGAGATTTCTTCGGAGAACATAGACAGATGATTCGAAAAGCTGAGCATATTCTCAAACAGGTTCACAGCCCTTGGCAAATATGCAGGTTCATATACAGCCGCCCGCGTTAGTGCCTCCACTAACCAGAACGTGCACATACTGAACGCGCCCTCGTGACCTCCCACTCCTACAAGAGCTGTTAGGGGGGTTTCAAGAAATAGGACCTAGAAGACATACCGTCGTTTGAAAGCTCTGTGTTGTAGCGGTAAACGAGGCCTGCGCTCGTAAGTCCACCCTTCTCTGGTGGAAGAAGTATTCTGTCCACCGTATTGAGGAAGCGCGGGTCGTTGGGTGTGATGAAGAAGACGAGTGGCGCTATCAAAATCGACGAGTCAAGAAACGTATTGTTTTCGTAACTCTGGATGAAGCTCTCCATTTCCGTATTGTAACCTGTGCTCTCCAGTTAGTACAATGAAAACTCATTAAAGATATAATACACCTAGGTTATTGACCTTTCTCCATCACTTGCTCGTAAATGGAATCTCGGGCGTGTAGCCACTTTGCTCGGTTTGGACAAGGCAGGCATCTCTTATCAGCAAGTCGAAGCCCCCTATCGAATGCCACCCAAAGCATCACTTTGGAATAGACGAAGTGCTGCTTGTTGTTGCGCACTTCCCATATCGACATGTCCGGTTCTGATCAACAACATGGTTAATAACAAGAGTTTGCCTCTGGTAGCAATGTTTCACATACGGTCAAGTATCGTTAAAACGTGGTCTGTTTAGAATTAGTCATCTTATCTGTACGTGGGAGAGTGATTGAGAGACTTACCAAGCATCTTACGGACCGAGACCCAGGTGTCCCATGATATAGGTTTCCCATACTTATTGTATAGATATATACCATCCATAAGTTCGCCGTAGATATCGAATTGCTTATGGAACGCGGCTCCGTTGCCGATGCGGACTGGCTTGCTGCCTTTATATCCGTCGAGATGGCCGAGCTCTTGTTCAGGTATGTCGGTCTCACCCCTGATAGTGAACATGATGGGCAGATCACCACCTGTCGTCGTTGTCTCCTTGACGCGGTTGTTGATGAACTCCATGTATGCGTCTGCTTCTTCCGTAAACCCCATCCGCAGCAGGATATAAATCGTGAAACTTGAGTCGCGAACCCAGCAGAAACGATAGTCCCAGTTGCTACATCGGGTTAGCCACATTTATATCCATGAAATTTGAGATGTACAGCCAAACGTACCGACCTCCACCGATTGCTTCGGGGATTGAAAACGTAGGGGCGGCAACAATAGCACCAGTAGGTTCGTAGGTCAGCATCTTCAGTATCATGAAACTCCGCATAACAACTTCGCGCCAGCCTCCCTTATAACTGCTCTTAGATAGCCAGTTATACCAGTACAGTTGTGTGTCATGTTGTCGGGAGTCAAGAATTGAACTTGTGATATTCTCCGTCACATGATTTGGGATGTCTTCGCGGATTACAAAGGAGATCGCTTGACCTTCCTGCAAGGTAAAATGGGCAACAACTCCTTCACCTTTCATGCCATCTTGCTGCACCTTTTTGAAAATGAGATTTGGGCAGGTAGTCGAGTCACCACCACCACAGTCTATCGTCACATCCAGTTGAAGTCTTAGGCTCTTGCTATGGAAAGTTACAGTCTTGCTCTGAGAACTGTCGATTCCACGCACGTTCTGTAATATAGTAGTGGTGTGCGGTTCTCGGGCGTAGTCGAACGCTGGAAAAACATTGACATCTTCATACAGTCAATGACATATTAGTACTATGAATGAAAAAAGACAGACCTAGAGACATCTGGCCTCGAATGCATTCGACACGCCGAACCAACCACTTCTTAAGCTCCTCATATGCGCTTTTGGTCTCGCGGTAGGCACTGTGTTTATTTTTCGTAGATATAACGGTGGCCTCCTTCGGACGTGGGAAAAAATCGACGACGTCTACAACACCTTCTTCGTCGATGTAGCGAGTCTGTAGAATGGCGGAAGACGGAAGATATTGTTGCTTGGTTGTACAAGATGCTGGTTCGGGAGGGGCAATACTAAAGAACCCTCCCTTATCTTTATCAAGGAGCCGACAGAATACAGATGGTGAGTCGAAGTCTGGCCTATGATAAAGTTTAGCGCATATCCTGATAATTCCGGATGATTCGGAGAGACTTCTTTCTTTGAGATGCCATAAGATAGCAGAATTCAAAAATCAAGTGATGATATGAAGAACCCACCAACACATAAAATCTAAACAAAACACGAGACTCCATTGTTAGCTTCTAGTCTTTGATAAAGGTGCATATATGATGAGGGAACGGGTCTTCTACTAACCTATACTTCCATCCATACTTACTAACGCACATGTCCTCATATTTCCGATCATGCCATAGTTTTCAATTGGAAGATATCCAGCAGCATCTCTTGTAGAGACACTGAGTGTATTACACTTGGCGGTGGCCATCATGTAAGACTAGGTTAGTTTACCTATGCTCGGTTATGAGAGCGGATGTCGCGGAGATCTGTGGTGTTTCTTTCTACAAGTGTCAAGAGTTGATATCAACTATAATAGAACTATAAGTTCATTCGACGTATTCAACAAGTTCACTAGATCTGGAAGACCCCATTTGATATCTAGTGCTTTAAACGATGAAATTAAGTTGTGGGATTCTTTTAACTCCTCATCAACTGGTCATTGTGCATGCCATGGTCATGTGAGTGGGTTGAGAGCTTGAAGCTCTTTGGCCCTGACTCAGCGCCACATTCCACTCACGATCCCTAAAGCAGCTTCCGGTAAATCCGTATATTATTATGTAATGAACGCTAAGTGGTCCTAAGCAATCTCATCCGAACTCACATTCTTGTGGGAAAAGCACTTAACATCCTATCGCACTGGCGAGGTTTGAATATTTAACGAATTAGTATGTACGAGCTTCCTAACGCCGATTGGTTTATTCTCCTATTTTGCTTACCTCGCCTGTGATACGTCATTTTAGGGTTCTGCAATGTATAATACAAAACTGCATAATACGCATAATGTATTATATCAATATCGTATAATAGAATCATTATACGTATAACGGAACGGAGAAACCTTCCGGCCCCATATATACCTAGGTACTCCGCATTTACAGGGGTTATTCATATATTACATATAATTTTATTTCAAAATAACTTCAAATATTCCAAAGTTTCAATCAACCACTTTAATTATTATAAAAATAGATGCGGATCCGAAACAACTTCCGTGAAATCCTAATTGATCTAGTAATTGTATACTTACTTACTATATATTTCTATTTCATGCGATCGATCTAATCGTCGGTAAAATTCAGAAAAGATTCAGAAAGCGCGCTCTCTTCAGCACACGCCAACTCGCCAGTTTTCAACACACCTACCTAGGTACTATTATACAACCTATTTACGAGGTCAGTCAATTACAGAATAACTGTAAAAGTAATTACGAAACAAGCTTAGATTAATTGAATCATCGCGAGTGTTTATAAGATAGAAAAAGATCTATTTCATGCGATTAAGTAAGGTTTTTAGTCTCGATACCGCATTATACACTCTATTATACACGTTTAGTATGTGTATAATCGTATAATGTGGGTAATACAACATTATACCGTATAGTGCCCTCATTATACGTATAATGCAGAACGCTACGTCATTTGGATTCAGCGTAAAGGTCCTAGAGGGGTAATCTCGGCGTTATTTAAAGGCTGCCTGGCTGCCTGGACACGTTTTAGAGTCGTGAAGCATGGCCTGGCCCTGAAGGTCACATCGTTGTTCGAGAGATTGTTACATCTGCGAGGCTTGTATTCGCCACTATTTTAAGGTTAATGAGACTGCGAGTTGTTCTCATTGAAAGCAAAGTAGCGAGGTGTTATCATACGATGAAAACAACTGAGCCATGTAGTTATAGGGTAAGAGAAAATCAATTGATCTTATCGAAAAATTGAGGTTTTATGTGGTATGTTTACGCTGGTATCAGGCCGAAATTTTAACACTTCGAACAGGTACTCGTGGGTCCCGTAAAGCCACAGACTAGACTAGATCAGTACTAGTTTACCAAAGCTTCTTCAATGAAATGTAGGCGCAAGTATCTTTTTCAACCCTTGCGATCGCCAAGAAGCTAAGAGAATACCTGAACCCACTGGTAAAATATACCCCTATGACCATAGTACATGTTTTAAGTCCTACGGTTGCGATCGCACGAAACGAAAAGGGTTCGGTAGGGTTTAAAGTTCTGATGTACAAGCAACCTTAGTTCCAAAAATAGAACTGTCTAACTTTTTATGGGTACTGTTGGCCAGATCGTATTCCTTATTTCTTACCCGCAGGATTAGCGCCTGAATCTTACGGACTCCTATTACGCTGTACGAGGAGGTACTTCATATGTATGTGGTGCTGAAAAAGAAAATCCGCGACGGCTAGCTGATTTATCATAATTATCAGAGCAACTGCGGCTTTGATTCGCATTACGAAGCAATAATAAGGTTGTTTTAGTCGTTTCAACCGAGGCTTTAATTCTGTGATTATTCCTGTCAAGTATGAGAACGTTGAAGTAGGCAATTGCGGAGTAATGACATAACCTCTATGCTCAAGTACACAATACATACATATCTCCAGATTTCCCTGCCAAGATCATTTTAGGATGCGCGTACCCGAGATCGACTGTGACGATAATTGGTAGATTCAACACTGTCGAAGCAAAATTTTCATACGTGTAACATTTCTCCTCCTTCTTGCAATGTTAGAAACAAGTCTCGTGCTTGTGTTAAGGTACTGCCACCTAACATCGATATGATATGAGCAACGTTAGACACATAAACATGTTCCAAACAACGTGTTGTGTGTGTGCTCAGGCTTGGATATGTAAGTAGAAATTCACAGTCGCAAGTGCATTATAGTTTCAGCTGGGTTTAGGCTTAAATAGGTACGTATAACAGGGTACCCACAAAATACATGAGCGGAGTAGCGGCGCGTCGCCTAAATTAGGTGTATGCAAGTAGTTGCGGACAAGGCTACAAGCAGCTAAATTGAGGTAACATGCTTGTGCAAGTCGGATGAAGCTGACATTCAATGTACATGGTACAAGTGCGATCTGACCAATTACTACTTCGCCCCAACTTCCCTATCTCACAGCAGAAACAATACATCTAAATACATATCCTATTCGATCCTACCCCAGCGAGCCCAGCGTCAATCTGCCGCGTCACCTCCATTTTCTTCTGTCACACTCTCTCCTTTCTTCTCTCATTGGCTCCCCGCTCAAGATTCTCGAACTTGTCTAACAACACGATCCGAGAGAGAAAACGCTTAGGCAGAGTCGGCAATCCCGTTCTCCTTCTCTCCTTTACCTTAACGATATGTTCGAATTGATCTAGCAAGGCAATCTAGATATTCGTTAAGTCATGGCATGATATTTTCTTGGGGTATCGTGAGGGTTTTGCTTTTACCCTGCTGAGTTTTGCGCCGTTGGCTTTCATCGGACGTTACCAACCTGCCTATCATGTCCGAAGTTCAACAGTCCGATATGGACGAGAAGCCAGCTTCATCCAGCGGCAAGCAGTCGCTTTCGGCTTTTGACAGGCTTCCTAACGAGATTATCGAACAGTACGTTCAACCGCTATCGTTTCTAGTAAAGGCTAATATTAATATACTACTTGTTATAGAATACTTCAATTGACCGACCCCGAATCGTTTGCGTCTCTCGTCCTACTGAATTCGAAATGGAGGCGTGTTTCGCAACACGCTCATCTTTATGCACTCCACCTCTCGCAATGCGCCTCCTATGCTTCTAGTCACAATACCATGCCAGTCGCAACTGTCGGTGACGATGAGAACTTACCTAAGCTGCGTCGCTTATTCGCCCGAGAGGTCAAGAGGAACCTGTTCGAAGCATACCTGAGACCGAAGTCGACTACGATAAAACTAATTTCGAACTGTATCGGTTCGTCCTCTGCGCCTGGCGGCGAGGGAATGCAATTTAGTCCATCACCTAGGGGTCACCATATTCTTGCATACAATTCTTCTCGAATATTTGTTTTTGATGTTAGGGAACCCGAGCTATCTGTGAAGCGGGAGTTCAAGATATTGCGCCGGCCTGCGTCCGCGTGCATATTAGACGATGGTAGCCTCCTTGCGGTTTTGTCCACTGATATGCAGGTTGACCTATATGATCTGGGTAAAGTCCCACCTCGTCGGATACAGTCGCTGATCCTAGATCATGCTCCTCGCGCGATCGCATTATCTCCGTGTGGGCGCGTTCTCGCGGCCGCATACGAAGGTGGTATCGAAGTATCATCTCTGAATCCAGGGGCTTTACCGACAGACCGAAGAGCTGTTAAATGCGATGGTGTCGACTCCCTTGCCTTCTCTTTCGATGGAACCCAGTTGTTGGGAACGACGACGACATCCCACACACCGAATACTGTTATTCTAACAGCCCCGTATTACGATCCTGAAAACCAAATGTGCGAAGAGAATAATATCAGTGCGCTATGGACTACTTCTATACTCTTCCCGAATACAAGCCGAGATTGCAGTCATGCTGTTTTACTGCAGGAATCAAGTTCCATGGAGGCGACTTGGACCTTTACCTACGATCGAAGCTTCGAGACGTTCCGCGCTGTGAGGATTGACGATCTCCGTAATGGAACGACTTATTTCACAGGGCCGGTCCCTAGCATGTCCTCTCCTGGACCTCTGCTACCGTGTACCTTACCGGCTGCTAATTATCAGGGCGATCTTGTTTCGGCTGGATTCGAAGGAAAAGATGTGTGGCTATACGGTATTCCGGAGGATCTAGAGGCTGTTCCCGAAGGTAATCATGCCTCATCTGATTTGAATGGGCCACCTGGATTGCAGCGTATGAACAGCGGAGTTTCAGTCCGATCGCCTTCTCGAGTACAGGACGCCAACGGTGGTCGTGTTCCCCAGTGGCAAATACTTTGCGATAAGTTCCGTAATAATTTCGTGAGCGGGCGCAATATTACGCAGTTGACTGGCGTGAGCACTGTGAAGTGGGTTTCTGGCTTCGGTAATACGTCTTTGGAAGAACGTCTCGTTGTTGCTGCCCGAGGCGTTATACCACCTAAACTCGTAACCGAGGAAGACGGTATCGACTTTGTAGACGGAGGGAGGATCACAATTCTCGATTTTGACTACGGACTGGTAGACGGCGAAGAAAAAGAGATCACCATTGAAGTTGGCACGAACGAGGCTGAAATACTAGAAGAGGAATACCGAGATATCGACACGGAAGTCGCTATCGTTAGGCGAAGAACAGTAGCGCAGCGGAGGGGTAACCGGAATAGTATGATGTCTGTAGCGACAACCTCATCTCGCCAGGTTGATGCTCTGCTTCGACCATTAACCTCTTATACCCTCAACGACGATCTGGAGGATCCGCTAGTACCCCGACCTATGGCCACGGCACGTTCTAATTCCTACGTAACTGCGCTTGATGAGGTAGAAGACGTTTCTTTAGAGGAAGCTCAAGAAGCCCTCGATGCCCCGTATGCTCATGCCAACCCACGATCTGGACCGACGCTACGCCGCGCCGCAACAGCTGCTGCCGTTAACCGTCGACGGAATCCACAACCGGCTGCGGCTGGTCGAGTCGAGTATAGACGCGCCGACGGAAGGGCGGAGCATCCTCACGAGAGTGATGCTGATAACTGGGTACCACCTCCACCCCCATATACTAAAGATGATCCCGGCGACCTGCCTGCATTTCTACGCCATTCTACTATATCTGGCATCGGATTAACGTCTAGTAATGGAGATTTCGTCCCGCCCGTACCTCCTCTCCCATCGTCGGTTCCGCCGGTTCCACCTCTCCCATCATCTATTCCGTATTCCCAAGCGAATTCTGGTCGTCCTGAGTTGCCGCGCCTCCAAACTACTCCCTTGCGAGAACAAGCATCTCGCATGTCATGGAATTATCAATTTCCACGCCAGGGAGGAATGAATGATTCTGTAAATGGTAGTAGGTCTGCTGTGCCGATAGGTGGGCAATCCCCCACCTTCTCTCGAGAAAACCAACCGTATGTGGATGATGAAGACATATACAATGTATCTCCGGTCGGGACCCCTACCCGAGCCACAAGCTCCCACGTGTCTGAGGGTGTAGCTATGGTTGATGTAACCCCCGAACGACCTAGCCCACATAATACAGCGCCGTCATGGCGCACGGAATATACACCAACCTCATCGAGGTCGCACCCATTCATGGGAGGATCCCGCCCGGGATCGGCTAATACATATCCTCACAACCCTACTACACCTTCGTCTACAGTGGGTAATCAGAGGTGGGATAATCCGCAGACTGGTGTCTACCCGATGGTTGGTAGACTACCCAATGCTCAAACTTGGCCGAGGGCTCCCACTTCCTCAGATATGCCCTCTTTAGCTTCACTAAACGGATTCCCCCGTTCGGCTCCTGCTACAAATCAATACAACGAGGAAATTATAGCAGCAGCTCTACCCCCAGCCCCCACCCCGGACCAATTAGCACGTCTTCATAGGAGACAGGACAGTACTGGCGCACCTCGACCCGCATCCGGCAGCTTTCAATTCCCACGCGTACCCGTGGGTAGTCGCAGCCAACGAGATTCCCGACGGTACAGCGGAATCCCCGAAATACAACCTCCGCCCGCAGCTCCGGACCAACCACTTATTATCAGCACGCCAACGGGTGTTACTGGCGCGTTCGATACCCCCGGTTACTTAGATGGGGGCAGGCGACCATCAGAACCGATCTTGCATGCTCCAGTCCCTCGTCATCCTAGACCAATATCGGGAGCCCACCTACTTCGGCCTACCGTCGAGCGTCTTGAAACTATTTCTAGTATCAATAATGGGGAACAGCCTCCCCAACAGCTCAATTCTACGCCACTCCGCCATCACACAAGCTTGACACGCCGGCAGAGCCGCGCCCGAAGAGGGGCACTCAAGAATATAAAGGACGCTAAGCTTCGGGGATGGACAGGCCGACGGAAGAATAAGAAGGATAACGAGTCCTGGACGGACGTGACTTGGGCGGCGGCAGCTCCCAGAGGTCTATCTAAAGAGAAGAAGTGCGCTGTGATGTAAAAAGGGGAGGACACGATTTGTGTCATAGTACGGATATGATCTTGGAATATTTTGGAATTTTTTAATGATAAATACCCTTTTGCCTTTGGCGCAACTAAAAGAGAGATTTACTTTGTCTAGGAAGGATTCAGGCTAGGTAGATATTGGGTCCGCTCGCTCAAATTTCGGTTAGGTTTGGGAAGGGATAACAGGCGCATATGTACTACTGGATGCCATAGTCTGCCGCCTACTACTACAAAGGAGTTGAAATAAGACACGGAGCTGCGTATTGCGGTTTCCTATTAGTCCGTAATATAATTTAGTCGAACTCGTGAATGTTAACGTGCTTAAGCAAAGTTGTATTTTATATTAGCGCTGGGAGGTTGCCCGCTGTATATACCTACGGCCGTTTATATACGGACTTGGAGATGGATGGCTCGATTCCAGTCATTTTAACATATCACGGAAGCATAAATAACGGACGTATTAGTTATGTGTGGGGTGCCACCGCCTTTTGGCAGGGCAAAAGAAGTTTAAACTTTTTATTGTGTGCCAACACTCATTTTATGAGCGTGGCTGTGGTCACAATACTTCTTCTGTATGTATGATCCTCTCCTCAAAAGAACCAATGTATGATCCCAAACCGAACTCCCACGAAAAAAAACAGACCCATTGCCAACGCCATGTTTATGCCCCTAACTCCAACACGTCCCAATTGTTCACGCTGTTTTTCATGATTTAGATATCATGGGTGGGGTATGGCTATATATTATTAGTTAGGGTATCTTAATACAAGAGGCGATTGTTTCTTACCGGACATCTAAAAGTCCATGTCCATCATGGCAACGTCTTCGTCTGCCAAGGAACTCAGACCCGAGCTGGCAGGTCTGGGAGACTCTTCTGGAGCTACCTCAGCCTCTGGAGGGCGGTTGGCACGGTCGTGCATTTGGATAGCCCATTGGTGAATAGGGTTCTCCTTAGGATCAGGCTCGATGATACCGCGACCGAGGATTGTGTGCGCGTATTTGGAGTCATCGGCTGTCCTGTTATGCTTCCTCTTAAGAGCTGGAATCAGGCTAGTTAGCATGACTGTGATTACACTCTAGAATAGGTAGGTAGATATAGAGATTTGAACATACCACTGAGGTAGTCGGTCTCCCGTAGTTCTTCCGCCCCTTCCATCTCCGTGTCACCTACGGTCGGCTTGTCAAGCCCGGCGACTTTACGGATTCGGAGGTTTTTGGGGCCTGTTGCCCATTCAATGAAGTTATCGACACCACGCGTATCCTCCTGACCAGCGAACAACTGCTCGGTGAAGTCTTTCTCGGGCTTCAGTGCGCCACAGTCCTCCAGAGCCATTCGTACATCGACAATATCAGGCACACACGATACACCATCCTCGTCCATAACGTTGGCATATTGAGCCGTCTGTCGCGATATAGCCATCATGTACTTAACCGTCAAGCTGGTGAACGCGTCGACAGTGGCAGGTGTTGATGAATGGTAGCCTTGTGCGCGCATGATCTGGAGGATAACAGGTCGGAGAAGCGCGTGGTGGATTTCAAAGGCGTTCGGAGCGCGGCTGATCTCCTGCGTTTGCTGTGTCTGTGACGACATCGCGGATACTCGAGCTAGACGGATTCCTTTGTTTCGAGGTCGGTAGTTCTGAAACAAACGATGGAATCAAGGACGCGCGATGCTATGGCAAACAAAGCGGTTGTCGCAACTACTGTCGAGAAATGATTTTGTAGCTGTCTATTGAAGGATTAGCGTGGGTTAGGTGTTTTCCTTTGAAACAGAAACGTGGGATGCCGATTTAGAGGGAAATTTACATACCTGTGTCTAGCGAGATCCGCGTATTCGTCCAAAAGGCTTGCCAATCAAGATGATGACTTTGCCCAGAGCGCAAGAAATTCAAATAGTAGCTTTTGTTATGGAAAAAGCAGTGGTAGACGTAGAGATTGAGAACTTGGCTTGTAGAGTTAAAATGGCGTTCCAAGTTGGATGCTAAGCTTGCAATTATGAATTTTGCAAGAAAGTATCTGGAGAAGAGATGAATTTCTAGAGAAGAGAGAGAAAGAAGAAAGAGGGAGAGAAAAATAAATATCGGTGGGGGGCTGGTATTATATATCTTTTGGAAACACCGTAGAGTCGGGTTCGAAGAAATATCGTATAGATATCGATGTCGATGTCAATGTCGAGAAGTAGTGGTTGCTATTGTTGCAGGTTAACCGAATCCAGTCGATTTGATTATTTCCTGTGCCATTTGCGCTAGTAAGGCGCCCTAGCAAGTAGTTGCCAGGTTATGTATCGTAACATTCGAAATTTGATGCTATTTTCAAACGATGTATGTGTAGAGGGTGAGAATCATCGGGAGGTTTTAATCAATAAAGCTTCAAGGTCTCAGCTTTTATCCAAAAGAGGACTAGCGTCGTTTTTCGCGTAAGTACCGGGGTATTTTCATCCAATTAGTGTACATGTTCTAGATATATTGGAATACCTTGCTTGATCCTATAACACGATTTGATTAGAGAATAAATCTTTATTAAATCCAAAATTGGGAAACGATAATTAATTGGAATATTTGATTGGGTTTTCTTTGTTGTAGTCTTTATTACAGGCGATGTGATCGTAGAAAGTGGTTCTCTAAAAATAAGTACTTAGGTACATCGATACGTACCTTATTATACTGATTATGTCTGCCCCACCAGCAACAGAGTTAAGTTTCGTTTGTGGTGCAGGTCGCCCCACACAAGCACTCAAGGCTCTTATCGATAAAGCACTAAAGCATCAGACCCCAGGACTTATTCGTCGCGCTTTCAAGCATTCTGAATTCTGAATCTTTAATTCTACTTTCGTTCGCATGAGCCATCTTGAATTCCAACAACTTCAGCCAACATCAAGATACTCTGATTTATTCTTTCTAGCCTCTTGATAATTGGACTGACTACAACAATACTACAATTACCGAGATTTGATCTCAAGTCTCATCTCTTCATCTCAATTTATTGAGACGCTGAGACGCGACCATCTTTACCTCCCCCTTCTTTCATTACCACCACCCTTTAAATCTACATCATGTCTTCCATCAACGTAAAACCGACGCTCAAGCTCGACACGAGTCAGAGCATGCCTCCTCCTCCCAATGGCGACAATCCTAAACCCAAATTGAAGCTAAATACCGCCACTCCTTCCAGAGAAAAGATTAAGATCAATCTCAAGGAGAAATTAGGCGGTAGTCAGCCGGGCACGCCTGCCGCCACTTCTGCAGCTCCGACGCCATCTACTACTAAGTCCAAGGCAGGAAGAACGTCTAAGCCGACCAAGAAGCTACTCGAATCGAAGAAGCGCGGTTTCGACAGCGATGACGAAGACCGCCCGTTGTCGGAAACTCGCCAGGAATCAGCCCGACCGAGCAAGATGATTAAGATTAAACACAATCACAGTCACAGTCAGGGTCACAGTATCCCTCCTACGCCTATTAATTCCATCAAGTTCAAGCCCCGAGGCGAGCCCATCGAGCATCACCCTGGTGATGGCTACGATTCCGAGGCTAGCGACCGCGAAGCTGACCCCATCCGAGAAAGCACTTTCGTGATCCGTACTCTTCCTGATCCATCAATGGACTATTTAAAGAAGGCTCTAGAGGAGGGTACAGTGGGTGTACCTAAGCAAATGGGAGGCGCAGATTTTAGCGTTCAGTTTATCGATGCTAAGACGCGTCGAGCTGTAGTTACTATCGACGGAAACCATTACGCCGCTGTTCTAGTCCAGCTCCCTACTATCACAGAAGCGACAAAGACGTGGGACAAAAGGAACATGATGAAGAACTCGGACATCTCGGAGATGCTTCTATGCTTTAAGAAAGTCAACAGCGAGGCTGAAGCCAAGATTGTCCCGATTCCGGAGATGGTCTCCAAGAACGACTTCAAGTGGCCGCATGGCCTTACTCCGCCTTTGCACGACGCCCCCCATCGACGGTTCAGAAAGACATTATCTGAGAAGCAATGGCAGAATAGCGCAGCTCGAGTTTTGCAATTACTGGAAGAAGATGAAACTGCTTTAGATGTACAGGTCGAAGTGATACGTGATGATGACGACTCCGAAGAAGAGGAGGATGAAGAGGATGCCGAAGGTGAAATTGAGCAAGATTACTTTGGAGGACAGCCTGACGCTATGGAGGATGACATGGAAGAAGATGATGAGTTGCTGGCCGCTATGGAAGCAGCACTCGAGGACGCAATCCCAGTCGAAGAACCAGTCACAGCCACGCCAAATGTACCTTTGGAAGCACCCGAAGCCCCAACTCCGATGACCATCGATGCTATCACACCCGCACCTATAGCAGATGAGGTCATGTCAGAAGAAGACGAAGACGAAGATGACGAGGAAGATGAGGAAGACGATGACGACGATGACGATGACGAAGAAGAAGTGGATGAGGAGCAACTAGTCGCAGAACGGGAGCGTCAAGAGAAGCTTGATGAGATCGAGCACTTGAATAAGGCATACGAGGACACACTGCGCCAGCTCGCCGAAGTCAATGCGCCTATCCTGAAGAGACGTATTCTAACGACAAAGGATAATCTCGAGAAGGAGATCGCCGTCAAGAAGGCCGCCCTAGGTCTAACTGATGAGGACTAGGACCGATATACCCACAGGAAAGTGGAGGCGGTATTATTTTAAATGGGGAAGCGCGTATGGGGTTTGTCACATTTTATACCTCGATACCACGTGTCTACTGTCTGCGAGGACGCCCATGACATCTGAAAGTCGGTTAGGTTAAGGTCAGGAGTTTCTGGAACGATACCCCAAGCGTTTACACACAGTGGAAATGCAATTGATTCATCTGTAGTTAGGACATCCACATGTTCATGAGTGGACAATAGGATGTGCTTGCGACTAGGGAAGGAATCCTCTAAATCCAGGGTGGGATTCTGTACTCTATATAGGTAGTGTCGAAATAGTTCGTCACTATAATATGAGAAACGGTCGCAATCATTTGACATATATCTTTGTGCGTGTGTGATCTTATGTGTACAAGTCTACTCGCGTATAGTACATCTCGGTGAGTAGAGCTTCGCTTAGCTTCGCTCTCTACATGAGGCCATGGTTTTTCCCCATCCGTTTCGCAACAGATCATCCACCCTAGATAGCCGTCTCCTCCTCATCAAAATCCCCTCTTCATCGTCGTGGTAGACTACTACATGCCCTTTAGGTAATTACTCTCCTTAATGTTCTTCTTCCTCTCCTTGCGCATAGCATGATTCAACGACACACGAGCCTGCTGCGCAGCGAGCGCTCCCTCCATCGTACCCTCCTCATTGCCCGGCAGGTTGATGCTCTGGCGCTGCAGCGGGATCTTGGGCGCTAGCGCTTCGATGTTGCCCGAGGCGAGGATCTTGGCTTCGAGCGCGCGCTGCCGTTTCGCTGCTAGACGACGCTGCTTTTTGGATTTCGCTATAAGTGGGTTAGTTGGCCATTGCGGGGTATATCCGGGTTTTTCCAGGGGCCTTACAGAACTCGTCGCCTTCGTCATCTTCGGCTTCTTCCTCTTTCTGCCGCGTTTCTATACATGTCCACAGCCATGACGGGTACGCATCGTCGGCTAGCGCTACGGGGTCCGTTCGGTTCTTGAAGTAGTTCAGGCCGGTTAGGACGGTGCCTTCTGGACATGCTGAGAGCTTGGGCATCTCCTCGCTGCTGCCTGCGGTGTCGGATAATGGGTGGCTGAAGACGGGGGTTCCGCTCGCGGGGGTGGGTGTTGGTGTTGGTGATGGGGCCGCGGGGGGAGACTGTTGTGGGATGGTGCTGGAGATTGAGCGTATCGCGGCGGGGGATCGGAGGGTGTTGGGTATGCGCGAGCTGAGCGCTGAGGCGCGATGGAGACAGCGTTGGCATATCATTGCGAATGATTGCGTCGGGGTGCCCAGACGTTGGCTAGAGATTGGGATATTTGGATTTTGAAGTTTCGATGGTATTGAAGCTCTAGAAATTTTGTATGCGATGATCGGAACTTTGGGGTCGGTTTTGCCGATGTCCACTCGATTACCCACTAACTAAAGTGGAGGAGACATTGGCTCAGAGCCTCAACCCCGGATCTTAAACTAATGAATATCAACCTTGGAAGTATCTGATACATTCTAATATGCAAATAAATGCAATTCATATGGATGTTTCACGTATGAATTATGGCAATTTGACTGAGATTTTTGTTTTGATATGTTAGGCTTCTGATTATATACAATATGATAGGTGTTCGAGAAGTTCCCATCGCACCAGATTGGCCTCACATGAAGACCTCTAGGCTGTTCAAAACACGCATTCATTGCTTTCTTCTCCGTTACTTCGGCTGCCTCAACTCAGTGTCAACTATTTGCTCCGTTCCATTCTTGCTTATTGTTGAACGGGCGACGTGTCGTTGCTCGAACATGTAGCCCTTTACTCGGGACTCCTTGAGCATCTGGAGGTATTTTTCTATTATTATATCAGTTAACCCGGTCGCTGCAAGCCAGACTCCATTGACAACGATGGCAAATAAAGCCCCTTATAGCATTCGAAATAATGCTCCAAAGCACCCATAAATCTAACTCACCTCTTAGAGCACCGCACTTCTCGAGGTGGTTAACACCCTCGCGGTAGTAGCATTTGCTCAGCTCCTCTCGCACTAGCCGACCCATCATAACTCCCACCCATTGTTCTTTGATAATGGCATCTTGCGCTTGCTTCAATCGTTTGTTGTCGTCGAAGTCTACTCCAGCGAAAGTAGGAGGGACTGTAGGCTTCTTCGCCAGGAAGGCTTCGGACTCGGGTGTCGGCATGGCGATAGAAGCCTAGGATGACGTAATTCGAGATTTGACTGGTTATTTGCGGGATAGTCCTCAATTGAAAATGATTTTATGCGACAGTGTGCGCTTGAATGTCGGATGGGAACTCTCGGTAGAATTCGTGATAAAGCTTCAATTGAGCAAGCAATCTAACGTCAATGCTCACAATACACCCGATAGCTAAATCAAGTCACGTGTGGTTACTCCCGCCGTCTACCCACATTCAAGTACACTGTACAGTTTGTATAATCTGTACAGTACGAAGCACAAATGCACCTTCCCTGTGTTATTAATTATCACGCAAACTGAGATAGGATGTGATCCGTGCTATCGTACCTCATTAGTGTAACACTACCCCTCACCGCCCGGGATTGCCCCACAGGCAGAATGAATTTTTTAACAAGAAAAGACCCTAGGTCTAGAAATTTTTCAAGCTACCAACCACGACCTTTCCATCCTTCTATTGAAATACAACTTTGCGCCCACTCTCGTCTTTCATCCTTTTTCTTCCTTACATCGTTCATTAATTCGCAAGTCGCGCATAGGTTTTTCACAATCAGTCACTTAACCCTACTATCGTTCCGTTACAATGGGCAAGGTCAAACAATCAAACGGCAAAGCCGCCAAGGCTGCCAATCCCCTCACGGCCGTGAAAAACGCTGGCATCAAAAAATCCACTGACACCCCCAAGGCTAAGTCCAAGGCACTTGCTAAGGATGTTGCTTCCAAGGCCGTTAACACCAAGGAGCTTGAGAAGAAGAAGAAGAAGAAGGTTGTAGAACCCGAATCTGAATCTGAGTCCGAGGATGAGTCTGACTCTGCTTCCGAGGAATCTGACTCTGAAGATGCCTCCGGCTCTTCGGACGACGATTCAGATGCTTCTGAGTCCGAGGAAGAGAAGCCCGCTGTCAAGGCGAAGGCCAATGGCAAAGTCAATGGCAAGACTACCAAGCCGGTCGCCAACGGCAAGGCCAAGGCCGCCAAGGAGTCATCTGATTCTGAGGATTCCTCCGACTCTGATGAAGACAGTGATGATAGCGAAGATGGTGGTGTCGCTGCTGCCAAGTCTGCTAAGCCTGCCGCAGAGAAGGCCAAGGCTAAGGAAGAGGTATGTCGCATTTTATATTTGCATTGTTTAGGTAAGCCCATACTAATGTGAATTTCTAGTCTGACTCCGACTCTGATGACTCCGACTCTTCTAAGGATGAGAAGGATTCTGACGACTCTGAAGACTCCAGCGAGGAATCTGAAGAGGCCGAGACGAAGTCTGAACAACCCAAGAAGCGCAAGGCTGAAGAGGAGGTATCTACCCCTTTCAAGAAGACCAAGACCGAGGAGAATTCCGAGGACGAATACACAACTCTCTTCGTTGGAAACCTCGGCTGGGGTATAGATGATGACAAGCTGTACGAGACGTTCAAGGAGTTTGCCGATCTCACCAGTGCCCGAGTTGTCACTGACAAGGCTATGCAACGCTCTCGCGGCTTTGGATACGTTGATTTCTCATCTCATGAGGGCGCCAAGGCCGCTTTCGACAAGATGAACGGTTTCGAGCTCGAAGGCCGTGGAATGAGACTTGACCCCTCCAAGCCCCGCCCTGCTGATGACGCCACACCTAATGCTCGTGCCCAAGACAGAGCCCGGCAACATGGAGATACCGTCAGCGCAGAAAGCGATACCCTGTTCGTTGGCAATCTACCGTGGGATGCTGATGAGGATTCCGTCGCTGCATTCTTCGGCGAGGTCGCAGAAGTCAAGAGTGTTCGACTTCCTACCGATCCGTAAGTTTTTTTGCTCCCCATCAAAAAGAGTCAATATTAATTATATCATAGCGATTCTGGAAACCGAAAGGGTTTCGGCTACGTCAGCTTCAACTCGGTAGAGGATGCCAAGAGCGCCTTTGACGTGAAGAATGGTGCTTATGTTGGCGAGGGACGGAATGCTCGTGCCGTCCGCCTTGACTTTGCTAGCCAACGACCCCCTCGTGAGGGCGGCGGCGGCGGCTTTGGTGGCCGAGGCGGTGGTGGGTTTGGCGGCCGAGGTGGTGGCCGTGGTGGTGGCCGCGGTGGCTTCGGTGGACGTGGTGGCGGTCGTGGCGGCGGTGGTCGTGGCGGTGGCGGACGTGGTGGTGGGTTTGGCGCTTCCTCCCGGGGTGGTATGCGACAGTTTGAGGGCAAGAAGACCACTTTTTAAAGTGATATAGCCGCACATGGCAGTTCCATCTGAGGGTTCTTTGACACACGACGGTTGGCTTAGTGGGTTCGTCGGCTTCTCTAAAATCTAAACCCCTCTGGGGTTGTGGGCTTTGAGGGCTAAGCTTCAACAAGAAGCTGTGATTCAACCTGAGGGCTTGATCGGAGGGTAACCTCCTTGTGGTTTCTGAGGGCTCGAGGGCTTCTTCGAAGAGATGGCGCGGTTACGTACAGGCTGTTCTTACGCGCCTTAATTCCCATATACCAGTTTTCATCAGGTCGGCTTTTCCTTCTGTGGGCTCTGAGGGCTTCTTTCTGGTCAACGGAGTTGGTATGAACCTTCTTATGTGTGGGATGATATCCCATGCATCTTGAAGCGGACCAAGCTTCTAGATTACGAGGGCTTTATGACGGCGTTAGAGGGCATACAAAAGTTCTTCTCCTATGGGTATGAGAGACGAGCAGTGAGCATTTTCTTTTGCAACTATTCCGACGGGGGGATGATCAGGGCTCGGTGAGTATACCACACTTCATGTTTTCTGTAGGTTTCACCGTCACAAGTCTATAGATTTGTCAGATCCGTAGTGAATTCCGCTTAATTTCCCATTATTGATCCTATTTTTATATTTTAAGTGAACATACGCGACATGAATCGAATAATTTGATACGATCTATTAACGGGCGCTCTCAATAATTACAATTTACCTTCGACAGCACACACGAACTAACGCTATTCCCAATCATCCATCCAGTCTAGAAACTGTCCCATTATCGGTGTATTGGATATCTAACTCCGTATCATATGTCGTGGCTTGTGACGATGTTGAAGGTGGGAAATTCTCAACTATCTGTCGGGAGGCCACAAGAAAATACCGATAAGGAGAGGCTCGTTGCTTTTGCTCGAGTTGGTGATTAAGAGGATAGAAATATCGCTACTAGAAGACCTTGAAATCGTCCGTTTTGATTAGAATATGAGGCAGCAAACACAAGGATACGGAGCGAACGCTCACTCGCTTCGCCGTGAAGGCAATATAGTTATCAATAAGTTATATAAGCTTGTCGTCGATTTGACGCACTGCGGCTTCGTCGGGGCTACCGTAGTGGCTTGGTGCCAGCTCGTGTGGTGCTACTCGAGGTACCTTCGCTACATATTCTAGCCAAAGTGTCGCGGAGCCAAGGAGTCGGCCGTACTAGAAACCGACGACAAAGCCAATATGGGATATGAGGAGTACTGTGTAACACGCGACGAGAATGAGATACATGATTTTGCGACTATTGGTTGAACCTGACTCTGTGTCTTCAGCAGTACAAAGCGAGGCATCCATTAGTCTTGATTTTTGTATTTGGTATTATTGAAGTTGACAATGTTAGGTAGGATTCGTTTTGTTCTATGTTGGTCTGGGATTTCTATCTTCTACGTAGGTGGTTTCGATTCGGGATTTTGATGTAAGAGATTCTTTCCTCTTAGAATAAAGATCTTGTTACTACCGTATGTGGTCTAGAATGCGGTAGGAACGAACTCGACTAAGATGGATAGGAGTATTCTTGCTATCTATATGTAGTTACCTACCCATATCAAGGTAACATCGAAATTCTTAATGTTTGTCCAAGATTATAACAATTACCTACATTCTAGTCTATAGTCGTTCACCATGTAGAATTTCTCTGCGGATTATACAGTATTGCTTGAATTCTTTAAGTCTTCGTACCATGAGCTTCTCAACACGGTTACGCCATCTAGCAGCGGTACCCCTATTCTACCTAGCATACCGACTCCTTTACTTGGGTGTCTGGTTCAGGAATTAGGAGTCCGTATTATTTATTAATTATATCCTATGATACTGGATGGACTTAGCTGCTATTTCTGCGGCATTAAAGTCGACGTCGGAGCGGACGAGCTTGATGAACCGAGTTCTAGGCTTTAGGGTAATGTCGAACCGGATATGGATTGCAGAAGTCCAGTCCCCGTGATGTGGAAACACTCGAATTTCGAAAGGAGCTCCTGTGCTTTTGAGTTCTGCTTTACTTTCTGCGGTACATCCCGATTCCCATCCGTAAGCATCTCCTTATCTAGGTATGTTAGATGAGGCCTATGTTGAACTATCGCCACTGACTATGACATTATGTTACGGATAGAATAACGGTAACTCGAGCATTCCCCAGACTTTGGCCTTTAAATAGATGATCAACAGAGCTTTTCATTTGTTAGATGGATTTTAGTCATTCGATATACCTGGGGTAAGGTTTTAGTTAAATGGGTGAGCAAAGAAAGTACTATGTAAGAGCTACTGCTGTTGATGTAATAGTGAACCCCCACCCGCGTGCCTAATAAGGTGTAGTGTCAAGTGCCTGACATACGGATTCCCTTAGGTGGCTGGTTGCACATGGACCCTTCTACACTGCCTTTGGGCTTGGATACGGTCCAATGATATTTACGATCACAGATGAATCCTATCAGGTGAGAGTGAGCATGACACCATCATTTCCAGCCTGTCTGCCCTTCATTCTCTATGCTTTTAAAAGGCAGAATAGCGTCAGAATAAGTGAGCCATGTGCGAGCCATGTATTAATACTACTGTAATACACTGTAAGTTTACTATCCCCTAGACTCTTTGATGCTGTGGCAAAGCTGACAATTTCCTAGTTAGATAATATAGGGGATAGATCAAAACACAGTGTAATACAGTGCCATTTCGGGTGGTTCACACATGGCCCATTTATTCTGACGCTATTCTGAAAGGTTACGAAGCTTATATTGTTGATCCTCGATTGTTAGTGTCTCAAGCACGGAGTCAGACTCTCATATCGGCTGACCTGCATGGTTAGTGCGTTTAGTTGGGCACATCATTGAATGATGCATACCTGGGCAGATCAAAGTGTTGAGAGGGTTGAGAAGGTTAAGAAAATGTTTAGATTGAATGGGCATATTCTGGGACGTTATCGGCAAGATTGGAAGATCTTGCCAAGACGCTATTTCAAATCCACCGATTGGTTGTACCTGTACATGGTACCTACAGGCCTAGGTACAGGCCTACAAGTGGGATATCGTCATCTGGTAGCCCTCCACCCATCTCACTAACCTGTAACTTAAGTCTTAGGGAGGCGCTGTCGTTAGTGATTATTTAAATTATTAGCAGTCATTAGTTCCCCGCCAAGTACGTCGCTCCTGTTAAATTAGGAAGTCTGTCATCGAACTTTCTTCTACTCCTTCCATTTATTCCGCTGCGTTACCTCCAAGTTATATGTGGACGTGTTTTAAGTTTGGCTGGTTATTAGCTACTTTAGTTCTTATTACCTAAAGACAACAAGGCGAGCGAGTTAAGCAAGTTGAAACAAAGAAGTCACGGCTAGAGAAACAAGTACATTCCGAACCGTACCTTGCGTGTGACCCTCGCCTTGCGTCTGCCGTCTGTCTCGTTTGATTTTCTCTTTCCAGCATCGTTCGTTTTGACGACATTTCAAACATCAACCATTCGGTTATGAACCCATGAACCCTAGTCTTTCTCTCTCCGGTCCATCTCAAATATTCAGCCGTTGTCCTTCTTGAATCGTTATTGACCAAACAACCCCCGCCGGACTCGCACTTCTCTCACGTACGCGTGCCCAAATCTGTATGTACCGTAACCGTACGAATGCAAATACAAATACAAATACAACACCTGGCACGAATAAACTAACATAGATCAGCGGATCCCTGCTTTAATTGAGCGCGCGGGGGATTTCTTTGCTGTCCTTTCGTTGGAGACGAACAGCTTTGGTACCCCCAAGCCTCCAAAAGCCCCCAAATTCCAGAAGCCTAATCGCCCGGTCGTCGGTGAACTGCGCAGCTCCAGTCATTATTGATAATCGATAGGCCACTTACAGTACTCCATTCTAAGGTGTCGTTATCCGCCATCTACCTGAAAGTCTGGGTCTATTGCATCTTCCCCTTTTTTCTCACCTGCTTCCCTTAACGCATCGCATATCCTCGTCTGCACAAGATGTCGGCCCAGACCTGGCAACGTGGCAACAACCCCCAGCGGGTCTCTCAATCCACCGCGATGCGATCCGCGTCCGGTCCTGCTGCTCCAAACCAACAGCGACAGCGGAATGATGGTAAGCCTGACTGGTTCAAGTGTAATAAACAAACTCTCACCGCCTTAGCAGAATCATGGGTCGAGGTTTCTTCCCACCCATCATCATCCTCCGTATCCTCTATCGGCGACGAGATTGTCACCACGGGCCTACAGGTAGGCTCGACCTACCACGGCCAAAGACGGCGACGTTTGCATCCACAATCCTATGCGCGCTCCGATGCTCCACAGCCCACTTTTGTCGCCGGCCAGGTTGGTCAGACTGGTACGAGCAGCAGCCAAGAAGAATATGAGGAGAGTGAAAGCGAGGACGACCGAGTTTTAACCAGTTCCGCCGAAAATATCGCTTCACCCCAAGCTGTCCGAAGCACTCCACTGCGACAAGTCCAACCTGTCGAACCCGACTCGAGCGATGACGACGATCGCGCAACAGCACTGGGGACTCGCCCTTCAGAGCAGCCTTTCCAACCCCAGCCAAATGCATTCTCACATCCGCCTTCCCACTTGATGCATCGCCACTCCACAACCTCATCCCTTCCCCAACATCATCACAGACCATCCTTCGGCCAGCGATCCCAGACTCGAGTTGATCGTCGTTCTCCTAATTTCCAGGCTGATAACGATGCTGCGTTGCGTGCTAGTCTGACAACCCTGCTTAGCTGCGCTGCTGCTGCAGGTAAGCGATCGAAAGATGGCGAGAAAGAGATGGGCGAACGCTCGAATGCCGCCACCGGTAACCAACCTATTGAGTTCCGCTTCGCTACCGAAGCCGACTTAATAGGGCCATCTCCGTCAACCCAGACACGAGGGGCTTCACAACCTTCCAGGCCAACCCCGCAAGCAGCCACGAACCGTGAATCTGCGGGTGAGAAAGTCAAGCGATCCGCCACACCTACGCCGAATACGAAGTCGTCTCGAGCCACCAAGAAGAAGAGAGCGAACGCGGCTGCAGGAGAGGAAGCTTTTATCAGTCCTACGCTCATGACCTGGGTCGTAAGTGCTGGCGTGGTAGTGTTGGTATCCGTCGTCGGCTTCGGGGCTGGCTATGTCATTGGAAGAGAGGTCGGTCGTCAAGAGACTTTGAATGGTCTAGGTGCGGTAGGCAACGCGAGCGCGGTGGCCGATGGCAGCAGCTGCGGAAGAGAGGTTATTAGGAGTGGCGGCGGGACTCTGAGGAGATTCCGTTGGGGCACCGCAGTGGGGAGGAGCGTAGCCGCGTGAGACAAGCCACGGAGGATACCGAGCTGGGCTTGATATTGCTCTTTTTTGCCTTCAGCGGATAGGCAACGCATTAACGTATTACGAATCGATGACCTACAGCTTAGGGCATCTTATGCATTTTTGATAATTAGCCGCCATATTCACATGACGCCTGCCGGAGTACGAAGTTGGAGCACTATATATCGTCATAGGCGTTTTCGAGCTTTCTAGTGTCGAGTGGCACGAAAGGATTCATCGAGGTCACGACCGCGAGCATTATCCTTGTTATGTGTGGGAGTTTGAGGTTGATATTTCGGGGCAATTTGACGACTGTCTGGTCAAGTTGACACGAGTGTATTTTGCTGCAGAACGATTAAATAAGAGTAATTTTGACTGAGACGACTGGCTCGATATGCGTTCGCTTGGTTCGTGTCAGGTTGTTTTGCGGACACGAAGGGATTAGGGATAGGTTAGGTAGCTTAGCAGTAATCATAACGAGAACTATACATAATACTATAATGGTCCAGATTCTTGATGATATGAGAAGAGGGAAGAAGGAAGAGGGTTCGAAGAATCTTAAAAGGGATATTGGAACACCTCCTTTCTTTTAGTAAGGGTTTCCTAGGTTTACCTATACTAGACTGTTTTGAAAGGAAATACTTAATTGCCCTTGGGCAGATACTTGAGTTCTCATAGATATGTATCTACCTACCTAGGTAGGTATCTAATATCTGGATACTTCTATCATTTAATACCTACGCAACAGGTATACAAATAAATCCCAACTTCGAACAAGACGGGCTCATAGCAAAAGAGCCAAGGCGGATGTGCCGTCACATAGCTACGGAGAAGGGGTCTGCCGGTGGCTCTGAATAATCGCGCTGCGTCGGGACGTAGTATCGATACCTACGCTTGCTCCGACAACCCAAGTCGGGAAACCTTGCCTAGATTCCTACCTACCTATAGGGAGGTAGTTGGGCGTTTATTGTTTAACGCATTTGTCACGTTGTACATGGGCAGGGAGGAGATATGACATTGGTGCATATCTCGAGAGGTAGGTATGATAGGTTTGGTATTGGGCCGCAGTACGCGTATACACCACATTATGAAAGATATATCCAATTCATCTGGTTAATAGGGGCAACTTAGATTTGTGCTAGGTACTGTAGCTACAGATTTTTCTCGGGGCAGGGTATAGCAAGGACAACTTTTCAAAGCGACAATACGTAAAAAAACCCGACCTGTTATCTATCCATTAATACCCGTCGCTTTCCTCTACTAGTACTTCATTATCATCATCGTCGTCATCGTCTGAAGACACGAATATTTTCTGTCTTTTTGTTTTTACTCTCCCCCTGTTACGTGTACTAGCACTTTTCCGGACTGGGACGTCGGTGTCACTACCATCGTCGTCCTCGGAACCGGCGGGCGAAGTAGGGATAGTGACAGAGGAAGCAGCGGCTTTCTTTGAAGCGCGTTTGCTTCGGACAAGCTGGCTCATGGACGGGATACTGTCGTCATCATTAAGGCTATCCTGAGTGGCAGTGAAGCGTGTCGGTTCAAAGTAAGGTTTTTTCTTCTCCTTCTGTTTCTGTTGTTTCTGGTTTTCTTTTTGACGGGGACGGCTATCGATGATGGAAGAGGCAGATGGCGAAATAGGAGAGGTAGACCTGCGTCGGGATTTTCGTACGACGAAAGACATGGATGAGGTCGGGACTGCGGGAGTCGATGTGGCTTCGTCGTCGCCAGCTATGAAGTCTACAAGGTCGCTCCCATTGTCCGAGTCTTCCGTCAATTCTAGGTCGCTAGTACGCCGGCAGTCATCGCCTTCGTCAGCGCTTTCGTCGTAGGCTGCTTGAATTTGATTTTTCTTAGGTCGACCACGAGACTTTTTCGGGGTCGTCGCTTTGGCCTTTGCCTTTTGTCTCGGCTGCGCTTTTGAGGCAGTGGTACGTTTTCGAGGTGGTGGGAGATGATCTTCCTCTTCTTCATCCTCAATGATTTCCTTTAAAATGGTGCGTTTAACTGCAGGGCTCGGTTTTGTAGGCTTGAGGGCCTTCTTAGGTCGTGATGGAGCGGCTGATACCTCCTCAACTTCGTTACCATCCTCCGAGGTTGGCGCTACCACCTTCCTCTTCTTTCGAACTGGTCCTGGATCGGTAATCTCGCCATCCGAGTCAGGTGCATAGTCTGGCAGCGGTAGATGAAGATATCGACGCGCATCTGATTCTGAATACGGATGATCTGAGGCGGACTTCGCTTTCGATAATCTTTTGAATAATCCCACGCACCGCTTCGCGTGTTCCCCGTGCTTTAGATCTACAGTTTTCCGAAGTGTTCTTAGAGCACTAGGGTGTGCCTTCAAGTCCACTTGATCGATATCCTCCATATCTCGATTATTATATGGAAGGAATTTGTATATGTTATTTAGCTCCTTTGTTTGTCTTTCGTTTAATATAACTTGGCCGAGAGCTGGTATATCGGCAACCTTCTCTTCCTCGATGGGATCAGAGGCCTTCTCCGTCTTTGCTGGTTTCGTTTTCTTACCTAGGAGCGAAGCAACGCTAGTGAAGCCTGTTTCTACGCCGTCGGGCATATGGAACTTCTTTGGTGGCTTCTTCTTTTTGGCCCTCCCCTTTTTGGGCTCCGGAAGACCCTGGATTTGTGTATTTTCAACTGGAATGTCTATGGCTCTCATATCAACTTCAGGCCGGATGTCCCTTGGGACTATCCTCGCGGATAGGTCGTGGCGAAAATTGAAGCGACTTCCGTCACATATCATCATTTGCATCTTTTCGTAGCCATCTTTGGACTTGGCATAATTGTCCTCCTCTTTTCCACGCATCAGTAATAGGACAACGCGGCCTGCTCGTTTTCTTCCGGTTCGTCCCATTCTCTGAAGCATTCGAATTGGAGATGCGGACGCATCATAACATATGATTAAATCAACTTGACCGATATCAAGTCCTTCCTCACCGATAGAGGTTGCGACCAGGACGTTAAATTCACCGGCCTTAAATTTCTGTATGCGTTCTATTTGCTCTGCTTGTTTCATACCCCCTGATCTCTTTGAGTCGGCCTGTCCAACAAACACAGCGGCGCGGATAAGTGGTTTGTGGGTGTTGAGGATTCGTACGATCTCCTCGGCACTGTCTCGGTATTCGCTGAAAACGATGATTCTAGTATTAGTAGTAGCTCCTTCTCTGCCCTCGCCAGCATCCATAAAGTGATTCAGAACAGTATCGGATAAGTACGTGAGTTTTGGGTGGCTAATGAAGTCGTCTTTCTTTGACCAACCGTCGATTTTATCCATCATTTCCTGGAAACTGGGAGATTCGATAATCTGTTTTTTGAATTTGGAGCCCTTTTCACCTTTTCCTTCGGTCTCCTCTCTAAACTGGACAAGACTGTCGTAGAATGGTTTGATACCGTGGAAGTTGAGTAACTTGATGCCATGGGATAGACTTGTCAGAACCGAGAAGATTGCCATCATCATGAATTTCACTCCCTGGTTAACATGCTGCCCAGCCCGACCCATCCAATCCTTCCTCGCCTGAAGAAGGCCGTATGTAGTGAGTGCCATTGGATCACGGCCGTAGTATATATTTTGCTGGCTTAGCTTCTCTACAAGCGGCTTTAACGCTTTAGAGAAGAGCTCCTTGATGTGATTCATTTCATCTGACGGGTCTAGTAATACGATATCTTCATCTCTTGAATGGACGTACTGACGAATATCAATGGACTCCTCGGTGCGGATCTCTACATGTGAGATACCAAGACTGTCGATTACCTCCTGGACCGATTCAACCCTCGATCCCGGGGTCGCAGTTAGGGCAAGTATTCGGAAGCTACTCGTAAAACGTCTCAGGAAGCTGACAACTTTCACATAGGAATAATTCCCAGTAGCCCTATGAGCCTCATCCACTACTAACAACCCAATAGACTTGGGGTCGGCAAATCCTGAAGACAAGTCGTTCTCTAACGTTTGCGGGGTCATGAAAAAGACCCTTTTGGATGCCCACTCGTCCGCACGGAGACCAGGAGATATTTCGCCTGTGAGTAGAGTCGTTTGTGACCTTGGAATACCGGCTATAGTGAAGCAGGCGTCGACTTGTTGGGATACGAGCGGCTTGGTAGGAGCCACAAATATGATCTTGGCTGATTTCATCCAGCGGAAGTAGTTTAGCATAATCGTAGCCGCAATAAATGTCTTTCCCAAGCCCGTTGGAAGAGCCACAAGGGTATTATTAAACAACCCATTCTTGACAATGCTAAATTGATAGTCTCGAGTCGGTCCCAGATTAGTGGGGTAAACCCAAGTCTTCATAGCTTCCGAGTCAAGTTCATGGTGAGTTGGCGGCTCAGGAGGTAGATCTGCACGGAAGACACGGTTCCTGTTTGCCTGAGAAGACCCGGGATCTTGATCTTGATGAATAGTCTGACCAAATAGGGTAGTCTGTTTGTAAGCAGGGGTTGGTCCACCAATACGAGACGGTTGCCGAAAACTTCCTGAGAAGCTTCTGTTATTGGCAGAAGAACTCGAGAATGCGTCCAGCGGCAGATCATCGAGGTCGATAAATGGTTGCTTATTAGAACTTGTGCTTTGCTGGAGTGCATATCAGCGGGAATCCTCTGAACATAATACAAGGCATTGACCAAATATGAAACGTCATATAAGAATAACTAAAATTCGTATATGATCGTGTAAAGAAGATACTGGACTCATACCATTGAATTTGGCCGAGTTGAATTGGCGTGGGGCTGAAATCGACCTTGATTAATCTTGGCAACTGGACCACGACTTGAAGCTGGTGCCGGGGCCTGACTGGCGGCGATGATCAGATCTTCGTCGGCGATATCATCGTCGAACTCATCTGAATCCATGGCTTAATTCTTTTTTAGATATCACATAACTCCCTCGGTACCAAGTAGTTTCTTGGTCCAGTCATCCTTCGGCTGATATGGGAACTTGGAAATCGGTGTACATTTATCGCGTTTGACTAATAGTAGCGTTCCTAATCCGTCGACTAATTGGCGTTGAGATTTCGCGTAGTCATGTGCTCATTGTGGCTTATTTTGCGGTGTACTGTGTGGCTCTGCTCTAGGCTGATCTCCACTGTCACTGTGTTTGGTGGCTGAGTCACCTACTTAAAACTTTAATCAGAGTCATACAGTGGTCTGTGCATGCCTTTTTTCCCTTAGTCTCACCTGAGCAACACCTACTTTCTTTTTCTTCAGCCTTTGTTCCGACGTCACGACCTTCCATCTTTCAACCTTTTTACCTTGGTCACTTTCTTTACTAGGAAGACAAAACAACCACAATCCGAGTGATTCGTCTTTCGTATTGATACCGCAATCATTACGAGAGAACGCATCTCTCTATTTTATATTTTTCTTTCAGTTGCCTCGGGAAAGTTGACGAACTTCGCAATTATATCACACTTTCTAGGCAACCCGCCATCAATCGACCCACGATTAAATGGTTTTCTCGCTGCACTAGGAGACCGCCACACTTCCTTGACGGGCCTCTGGCAATTTGCAATCTATTACCAACGGCTTTATTAAACCCTCCTTCTAATTTGGCCTACTGCGTTCTGCGCAATAACGTCTACCGCTATCCCGACCTTTGAAATACATCTCATCACGTGCACCTGTCGCTATTCACAAAGCGACCATGGCTCCCTCTGGTCCACGTAGAGGATCAGCCCCTTCTGGCTTGCGCAACGGCCGAGGCTCTGCAACGAAGACAGGCGGCCGAGGCGGTATCGCTAAGCGTCGCGGAAATGCAGCATTGAGAGTTGACCGAGATGGCGACCTCGATATGGACGCCCCTACAGGCACCAACCGTTCGTCGCAAAAGGCGAAACGTGCCAACCATCACGATTCTATTCCGACAGCACCCCGCGCTAACCGACAAGTCGCGAACGGATCTCGCGCGCCAAGAGCGTCGGTAAAAGCACAACAAATCATCCAACGAGCCCTCGCGAACGGAATACCTGCAGGACCACGAGGCGCTCAACGTGTTAACGCTCAAGAGACGATGACACTACAAGTCGCAGGTCTCAAGTCGAGCAAAGCCGCTCACAACGAAGGAGGTGGACTAAAGGAGCTGCTCAATTTCCTGGAACGCAAAGCCCAGACTGTTGGTAAAACTACACGACCCATCAGGATTAAGAAGGTATGTGATAGCATTCTATCCGAGAATCTGGGGGGTTACGGGGCGCCGCAAATTCTCCGTATTCGTTATCATGCCATATAGCTCGCAATAAGAAACGAGGAGAGACAATATTCAACGAGCCGCATACCTATCCCGGATTCCTAGAGCATTATCAAGGTTTCATTACCTTGCTAACGTCTAGCAGTCACACATTATTGGTGACTTAGTACAAATCTCGACAAGCAAGCAAGATGGAGAGGAGATTCTTAAGGTGGATGGTTTCACATTCGCCGGTACACCTCTAGCTATTACGGAGGTTCCTGGAGGACAGGCTCCACTACCCGAGGCTAACTTATCCTCATCCGCCCTCGAGATCAAGGATCAACTACGCAATGTCCTTAGTTTACGCTATAACCCTACGGCGAAGCTATTAAATCTATCTACCCTCGGGGAAGATCAGATTCTCAACCAGATGGGATTCTTCAGCGGTGAAAGTAAACCCGAGAAGCTGTTCAAAGCTCTGATGGCCGTCTGTGATGGTCTATTCAAGACACCCCAGGACAAGCGCCAAGCCGTTGCTAGTGTCAGCCTTGCAGGCAACAACATCGACGATGTCCATCAGATTATGGCTTTGGCCGATACCTTTCCCGACCTAGTCAACCTAGACTTAAGTCGAAATCACTTCAAAGACTTGCGAGGACTTCAAAAATGGCGACACCGCCTTCGCAAACTCGAGACTTTTCTACTCAACGAGAATCCTATCGAGACGACAACTCCCAGCTACAGAGAAGAGGTCACGGCTTGGTTTCCGAGACTACAGAACCTCAGCAACGTTCAGGTTCGTTCACCGGAACAAGTTACCGCAATGGAACTTGCCTCTCGACCTACACCGATCCCGCAAAATGGAGCGGACTTTCGAGATATCAACGGAATTGGTGAAGGATTCATCAAGGAATTCATCCCGATGTACGACTCTGATCGGACAAGCCTAGCTGGCAAGTACTACGAAGACGAGAGCACATTCTCTATATCAGTAAACAATACCGCCCCCAGATCGTCTTCGTATGCCCAGCAAGCCGGATGGGGGTCATACATCAAATTCTCGCGTAATCACGTTAAGATTACACATGAGAACACTCGTAGCAAGCGTGTGTTTTTTGGACCGAATCTCATCCGAAGTGTGTGGGACCAACTACCCGCTACGCGACACCCGAATCTACTTGGGGAGTTCAACAAGTACATTATCGACTGCCATCCCATTCATGGCCTATACGATCCAACTAGTCAAAACCGATCTAGTGTGGATGGAATGGTCCTCACCATCCACGGAGAGTTCGATGATCAAGAGCCTGTCACTTTGAAGACCGCTAAGCGAAGCTTCTCCCGGACTTTTGTTCTAGGTCCAGGCACACCAAATAGAAACCCCATTCGTGTCATCAGCGATGTGCTCGTCGTTAGACCCTTCAGCCCGCTGCCTTCATCAGCACCGGCACCGGCACCGGCACAGGTACAGGCACCAGTACCAGGCCTGGTCCCAAACGCTGCACCAGCTGCTCAACCGAACCTGGAGTTACAGCAGCAGATGGTAATCGAGGTGTGCAACCGCACTGGTATGACCCCAGAATACTCCAAGTTGTGCCTTGACGGCGTCAACTGGAACTTTGACCAGGCTCTAGTGATGTTCAACGACAAGCGAGTAAGTAATAACCAAAAAAGATGGTGGAGTATCAGAGACTAACAATACGATAGGCGCAATTACCGGCTGAAGCCTTTGCAAACCCGTCTCAATAGGAACTGTGACGTAAAAATGGTTGAATCGAGTTGGAATTTCTACGCGCGATGGCATTGCATGGTTCAGGAGTTTGAGGTTCATGGGGGATGGTTTTAATGATTCCGGGATATGGCGAGGGAAGGCAAGGTTGGGCTGTACATATACTACAGCAAGGAGGATATTGTGAGAACGAGGTGGCATGGATGAAATTTGTTAAAGTCCGCCTATGACCCTCTTGATCGGATTGAGACTTCCCGCCCAAGATACTGCGCGCTTAGCTCTCGTTGATCTACGTTCCGAAGCTGTCGGATTCACTACATCCACACAAAGCTCCATCAAGCAATACTAAAAAATTGCCAAAACAACACTCTTGATGCACCTGTGATATGTTTCTGATTATTCTATGAAGAGATTTGTGATGTCACTACCTGCGTGGTATCGATTTCTATTGATGTTAGCGGCATTTGTCTATCTATACCTAACCTAGAAGTCTCCAACGGTAGTTCTTGGTGATAAGATTATGGGATATATGTTGAGCCAATTGGAAAATAGGAATTATGGTTCATGTGGTTTAAGTAGTGGTAACATTTAGATACCGCGCGCTTTTAGGAATGAGAGATAAGCGGGATATTGGGAAATGAGGAAAGGAATAATTGGTTCGTGATGAGCTTGTTTCTAGCAAGAGCCGTGACGGTCTGTACCTCGGCGCTTATCACGAGAGGGTTGCGGCCTGCGGCTAGGCTGATCTCGGCAGGCATGCGGATTTGCATCTACATATTCCTAGCACAGATCTATCATGCGGTTGGTGGTTGGAAGAGAATAAACGGGATGACGACATTGAGCGACCTTTAAAATTGGCCGTATTTACGACCGTTGTCAGCCGGAGGTTAGGCCGTTGTTCATTTGTGACGATGTTGGAAAGACATCTGAGCTGTAAGGAACCGAATCGGACCGCTTATGGTTATTCAGTACACCGATGAATTTAACAAATCTAGTGATTCTTCAATAGAGAAGGTCGTTGAGATCTTTTGCAAGACCCGAAATAATATCCCATAGTAATACTTTAACTAGTACCTACTAGGTAACCACGTAAACTGATTCATTTATACATAGCAGGCAGCTAATATACTATAAAAATAGTAGTGAGCGTGACCTAGTTAGGCCAAGTTCGAATGTTTGAAGGAGACGCAACGCCTCTTCCAAGGATATTCTGAGATGGGAGTTGTCGCACGTTTCGTAGTTTTCTTTTAAGCAAATGTGACAAACAAAATGAGCTATGATGACAAAAATAATAATTCTGAAGCAGCTTAGAGCTTGCCCTTCCTCGGCACGATTTCTTTTTTTCCCTTTCAATTTTGCCTTTCGGGTCCGATCCAGTTCGGCGGATTTCAACTATCATAAACACCAAACATCGCGGAGTTGGTTGGTTGGCAGAATCGGTTGAAAGTGATCATCCATCTGTTAGCTTGGTTTGGATTAAAGCACCAAAAATCCAACAATCGAAGACGCTGGAAGTAGTGGAGTTTAAAAACGATCGTACATGCCTATTCTGCTGAATGCCGACGATGCCATGCCGTTCAAGCAGTAGCGAACTGCAAAGTGTGCTCTGTAGGTACGAAATAAAAGACGATCAATTGATCGGTAGCGATTTCCGTTCGATACTACCCAATGACCAATTGAATCTCGCACACTAAGGCTTCAATGTCTTAATAAGGTACATAGGTACTTCATATCAACCAAACTTACGTCGTTTATGAGTTCGGGATAGAGTGGGGTAGCCGTTTCACAATATATTCTCCTTCTTCTAGTGGTTAGTGCCCGCCATATTCCAACCTCAATAGGAAAAGCGTGGTACCTGGTCTTACACTAGTTATTACCTACCTGCTTGGTATACGATGCTAAGGAAACGACCTATCCAAAGATCATGTTACGATTCTCCCGTTCGATTGGACAATTCTGTCATTCGTTTCCTCCAGTCACTTTCTCGCTCGCACAGCCCCCAACCTCCAACTCGTTCTGCTCGTTCAACTCGTCGTATGGACGGGTAAAATTGGATTTGGACTCCAGACTTTCGATATGCTTCTCACACATTACTTGCATTACTTGCATAGGGTGTAAGCTTATGTATACCATTAAGATATGCATACATTATTAACCATTAACCATTAACCATTAACCATCAACCACGCATGATATTAGCCATATGTCATCGGAAGATGAGTGAAGATAGACGAGATAAACGGAGCGACGGAGCAATATCAGCTCGCATTCTCATCTAAGCACGTTGAGCAAAATCCTCTGCGAGACCCGCAACCACGCGAGAAGGTGGTGGTATCAGAGGGAATCGGCAAGGATAAAAAAGGCCTGCCCCTTTTCTTGCTGGTAACCCTACGTCGTACTAAGCCCACTAAGTATGGTAACCTTTACATGCCCAGCCACAGGGTAATTGAATGTACTACGATCCCGGATGGGTACCTTGCATATCTTTGCATCTCTTGCCAGATTAGGCGCTGTTGGCACTAGCTTGGACGTACTTTAGTCGTTTAAGGTACCTGACGCTATCTTCCACCCCTGAAAATTGCCGGTTTTCCATTCGGCGAGGAGATGGCGATCCACAAACCGCCAAGGACCCCTGGTCTATGCCCCAGGTCGTATTCTCGTCCTTCTCATCGATGTGTGCTCGATCACTCTTGTCATTCTCTGTTTGTGCCCTCTTCTCATACGTTCAGCACGCTCTCTCTCTCTCTACCTCGCATTTCCCAGTGACCCTGCTACTCTCTCTTGCTGCAGCTTGCCTTTCCTTTGGATCCATTCCGTCGCTGCGGTATTCTCTCTCCTTGTCTTCCTTCGTCCTCTATTCGACAGGATTTCTCGTCAGTGTTTTTCGATCGCTGGTCGTCTAAACCTCACACCTTCTTCGATCTTTTTTTCGCCGTAAACCCTCCTTCCATTCCTTCGTGTTTAGTGTATGATATCCCTATATTGCGGCACACCTTGAAATATATCTATCCACAAGAGCTGACGCTAGATACTACGTAGTATACGGAGCAGGGCTACACTTTTAGGCAAAGCATTCGGAGCTTGTATCGGTGGTTTGCTTGGTTTTACATCCTGCGACACCAAACCTGTCAAGGAGAACGATCGACCGTTCCCACCTTTCTTCCACTCTGTCAATCTCAGTCAATCTCAATCGAAGACGGAAACATCTCCTTTTCTGAAAAGAAACTACCGAATTCTGTTCTGTAGATCATCTTGTCCTACGTGGGCCGGCCCTGTTGCTTCGAGAGTCGAGTTTGCTCAGCTGCAAACAACTCCTAGCCAACTATCAGATACCTCGACGGCAACTTCTTTTCGGCGTCGGATTGCTCAAGCAGCCATCCGCCAAACAAAACCTATCAACTTTGGAGACTGCTGTTCGATTTTAATAGCGTTGCTTCACTGTTCTCGATTGTTATTACAGACAGAGCGTTGCGCCTCTATTATCTTAACACGACATTGACCACCGATTCCGGCATTGTGCAGATTTGTCTTACCTTTTTAGCAACTGACCATGACCTTGTGATAGGTAGCGATAGTTTGGAGGCCACGTTATTTGGTATTGTCGCTCATTCAGAATTGTCGTGGGGTTGAAGATATATATCTTTTCACCATGTCGCTACCTAAACCGTCGGTGTCATTGACGGGCGCTTGTAGCGTTCTCTTCAACAATACCCTCTATTCATACTCGAGTGCGGGATTCGAGTCATTGGCTTTGGAAGACGGTGCTGAATGGACAAAATTAGCCAGTGGTCAACCAGTTGAAGGTGGTGTTTGTGTCGGCTCGACACCGAAGGATTCTTCGACGGCTGGCTTTTTTGTCGTAGGTGGGCAATCAGGTTCAGCGGATTATCCAGGTCTTCAAAAGTTTACATATTCTACCGGAAAATGGGCGACTATAACACCACAGGTTTTGGTCACCCAAAATCGAACTTGGCATAGTGCGACATATATCAACAGCAGCGATTCGATTTTGATATATTCGGGATCAACAGATGGACAACCCAATCTGTCTTCGCAAACCTTCACGGTCACTGCATCCGAACCTCATTCGGTACTGGCATTTCAATCGACTATTTCGCCTCCAGGTGTCGCACCCATCCTTCTCCCATGGTCGGAGTCACAGGCGGTATTGATCGGCGGCAACCCTACTAACACAAAAGTGATGCTCTTTGACCCGGCCGCTTCTTGGGCCGATTCAGGGATAACACTCGCTGATCCGTTACCGAAAAATTCAACCTCGATCAAGGCTGCTATTATACCTGGTGATGATGGAAGTAAACATCTTTATACATTCGACCTTACTACCTCGCCAAACACTGTCAACAGGACAATGTTATTAAATGCAGGCGCGGCTCCCATGGCAAACGCGGCCCCTGTTTCGACAACTGCTTCGACTCGAAGATCGGCGAGAGATGGTGAAGAAATCGAGAAACGAGCACTTACGGTTGCGGACTGGCCGAAATATAACTCCACTTTAGCACCGCAAAATACGAGAACTCAATACTCGATAGCTACCGACTCGGATGGCTTAGTAGTAATGTCTGGTGGTAATGATGATGAAATATTATGCATGTTTAATGCGAAAGAGAACAGTTGGAAGAACGCAACAGCTGTGTTTGGACAACAGAAGGGGGTCTTTTCCATCGAGTCGTCGTCATCAACATCATCGGTTTCAAGCACTACTCCGACGTCTACAGCTAGCTCATCTGAAGTTCCTACGTCCGCCATTACTGCGGCGGCTGCTGCTCCCACGACTACTTCGGATGATGGAAGCACTACACTGGCTCCGACAACCCTCTTAGGCGTAGTGTTGGGCACCATTTTCGGGTTTGCCATTATCTTAATGGCCTTATTATTCTGGATTAAGCACCTCCGGAGAAGGCAGAATTTTGTTGAAGCAGGGCATGCGCGAAGAGCAAGCGGAATACCAGACGAAAAAGATTTCTTTAGTCCGGAACTGGCGAAGGCTTCAGGCGGCCAATTCCGAGGGCATGCTCCGCAGGACTCGGCCGGATCTTTCTCGTCGATGGCTATATTGATGGGCAAGGTCCAAAAGCCTGCCCTACAGCGCAAGACGAGTAACGACACGAACCGCAGCTCCATCGGCAGCATGAATAAGCAGCAATTGAAGAATACCATAAGCCGACCACAACCCCAAATAACTCCGGAACCGCAGTTTATTGTCAGTGATGAAAAGGGCGTTTCTTTCGCCGCCACCACGAATGATCCTAAGCCCCGTGCTAGACCTGCGGTAAACCGAGATGGAGAGTTAAGGAGGAGTTCTGGTTGGAATCGGTATTGGTCTGGTGGCAGCGCATTATCTGTCCTCGGATTCGGAAACAGTAATTCACGCCGTGAGACTGGTGCATCCGAACCAAGCTCTGTATATTCCGACAGGAACCGTATGACGCAAGACTCTGCTACAGTCCCGCCATTACAAGTTGTTGAAGGGCGAGCAGAGTTAAATCGCGTTCACTCGGCCAGTCCAACGGTTGCGCAATATAATCCGATGATATCAGAGGGAATGTCTGGTCAAATAGAACGATCCGCGTCCACCGCGTCGTCCTCGGGTTACTCTAGTGGTATCCCGGCTAGCGTTAACGATACCTGGGATCCAGCAATGGCGAAGAAGAAGTGGGGGAACGAGCGAGCGCCTAGCAGTGCTTACAGTCAAAGCATTTACCAGACAGCCCTTGGACCACCTAACACAATCCCGGCCCCGACTGGTCTGTCATCGCAACCGCAGCTCGCTATGGCATCTAAGTCAAACGACTTGAGCTGGTTGAACTTGGGAGAAAATAATCATACGTATAAATAAGTGTCTCTCATGACCTCAACCTACCGTTCCCTTTTATCATATCCGTCATTTTAATGATTCCATTACGATAATACCATTTCACGACTCTCGCTTATACCCAATTCTCATCGACGGAACAAAATTCCCGGATTTATACGTGAGGGCTACGCCACAGAATAGACAGAAGGGGTCGACCAGAAGAAAAGAGTACCTTCGTTCAGACGTTATTCATCAAAAGCTGCCTCGGCGCAGCATTAATCCACGCATACACGACGATACAATACACAATTGTACCCTCCTTAGCATTTTGGAAAAGGCGCAGCTGCCGGGCATTTTTTTAACCACTTGGATATAGCATTATCTTGCATTCATCTTTTTATATTTACAGCATGCTGTACAATCATCATCGCTTTGGACGTTCGGCGTCCCCTCGGAATAAGGCGTTTTGGTTCTATTTTCGATACGTCATTGATAACATATACGTTTACTATTTTTTCTGCTGTTCGGCTGCCCCTTTTCCGCGCACATTCTTTGCATGATACCACCTAGATCCCGTCTACCTCTGCCGAGGTATGATGGCGAACAGCCCTCGCGAAACGCCGTGTTCTGATTTATTAACATTTATTCTGTATTTGGGTTGAATTCGAGTGTCTGACTAGTTAGTGAGAGGAGAAGAAGTTGTAGTGTTTAGTCAATCACCATGCGAGAGTTGCTGTTGATCTAATGAGGGGATCTGTATCTATCTATTTAGGCCTATGGCGTGTATCTACCTACAATCGGCTCTTGGCGGGGAGGTGTGTATGAGACGCGAGGTCGAGCTGTCTATAGTCTGAGTAGTGTGGGAGAATTCATTGTACAAATTCTAACTAAAATATTCAACTACCTAAACTTGTTATTATTAGTGATTGTATTCTATTGTCTTCAACAATCTAGCCCCATCCGAGCCATCTCCATATTCCCCAGTCGATATGTCTACCTACTAAACTAATTCAACCCCTTGAGCTCAAAATACCCTCACCCTGGCTTAGGCAACGCAATATTCAAGCGCAAAAGTCCGTCCATAAGCATTAAGAAACGAAATCTGGATTTCTTGGCCTTGGCTTCTTACGGCATACGCCTCGCCAAGTCTATATTTAAAACCATCCTATCGCGCCCCCTCCCGTTCCCATCCCCATCCCCATTCGCATCCTCCCTAACGCGTCAGCGCAGAGACATGGGGACGGCACGGCACGGTACGGTACGGGAGGGGAAAGAAAAAGAAAAAAAAGTTCCCATTAATAGCGTCAGCACACACACACATGTACGAAATAAGAAGAGGGAAAAGAAGCTAATGCAGGGCAGAGCAAGATATTGCAGAACAAATTGATTAAAATCGATAAAACGCCAGCTAGTCGACTGATTGATTGATTGATTGATTGATTCCTCATACAAAGCCCACGGACTCCCGCGATGGTGGTGGTGGTGGTGGTGGTGGTGGCGTTCCGTCCCCCCTCCCCTCCGTCGCCCACCCACCCTGCACTCTACCTAATAAACCCGTTTCGAAACGAAACGAAATCCGCGTCATCGACTAAATCACCAGCCCTAGATCTAAACAACAATAAGTCTAACAAGCCATACCCATGTCTTGCTTTATTTACCCAGACTTCATACCACGAACGAGAGTAGTCAAATAGGAAAGTATCGAATAAAATCGAATAATCCCAAATCAAACAACTGATGAATGGATGGATGGATGTAGTGTGACATATTAAACAAGTACCAGTACACTATTTCTTCATTTGCTTATTCGTTTACAAAAGAAAGAAAAAAAGATGCCATGGAATTAATTGCACATAGCACGGCTGTCTGCGAAGAACACACACGAAGAGCAACCCACGTAAAAGGGGAAAGGGGAATAATAGCCCAAACCCAAACCCGCCTTAACGCCTCTAGACTTATCCCCTCCTTCGCCGATCCCATCCATTACACGGACGCATTCTCAGAAACCCATCCCAAATTACTCATGTATCCAGGATTTAATTAGTAAATCGGACGAGTCTCATCCCACTTCTGATGGTGTGCGTCTACTCCTGCCGGCGACTCTATGCTGGTGTCCGGACCGTATGAGACGCGATTGCTTCTCCGCCGCCTGCTACTGGGATCGCCCGCGATAGGGCCGATCCACTCCCAAGCTCTGCCCATCTCGCCGCTGCGGCCCTCGCGCTGACCGGTCCGGACGTTGCTGTTCTGTTCGACGACGGCGCGGACTCGGTGCCATATCTTCTCGCGCTGCGAAAGCGAATGGACCGATCTCAAGACGTCGTCGCGTAGGTTCGGGAGGAACAGCCACGGATCGTCGATACCCTCATCTCCTAGTTGTTTCTGGTTCGCCAGTCTCTCGAGCACAATGTCGACCAGGGCTGGCACTTGCGCAGCGGCTGCTCGGATAGCTCTGTAGCGGTATCGGGCGTAGATGGCTGTCAAGATAAAAGCGGTCACAGCACTAATATGGAATCGATATCTTGCCAACCCGAGCCGGACTGACCGCCGGAGGGCGCAGGTGAGTGAAATTCGAGCGAGAGAGGTGGACGAGAGGTAGGTGTTTGGAATGCCTCCGGAATCGGTGGTTCTATGGTAGCCATAGGAACTCTGGTTAGTCAAACAGTCAGACCTTGTTTTAACATATGGTACATTCATCCTCTTTTATGAGGGAAATATAAGACGGATTGTTTATGGAATAGTCGACTTACTCAACCTGGACCTCTTCTCTGGTCTTAATCTCACCCAGCGCAGAACCCCAGAGATCCTCAAATTCCTGGTTGTTCATCTTCTTGCTTCTCTTCTTGTTGATGATCTCCTTCAATACCTGCTCTTCGATTGCCGGCGTTTCCAGCCTTTCTCCTTCCTCGTTGATGGGTTCACCACATTCATACTTGCCAGTTTGTTCGCGAAGTTCTTCGATTGCTTTATCAGCAACAGCTTTAACACGACGAACTCTTGCGCCGTCGGCCTCGCAAGTTGGTGGTAGAGGAACGATGCCCCAAAGAGCTAGAGGGTGAGACTTTAGAATGTAATCCTGTTCGCATCGGACAGAGAAGTCTGTGTAACAGTAAGCATGAAGGGGGCATGGCTCGCAGTCAGGCGACACAGTATCTATGAAAGATTGCGGAATTGTGATTACGGGTGGAAGAACGGACAGCGCCCATTCTGGCGTCTCGATCTCGTTAGGAATTGAGCTTCCAGATTGGCCGACTCCGCAGTAACCCACGGCGATCTTCTCCTGTCGGTACCATCCGCCATAGACGGCTACGAGCGTAACTAATAGTACGGAGAATACCGTACCCCAACCAGTTCCGCCAGACTGACGAGATTGTCGAGAATCAGCGACCGGGGAATATCCACGCTCTGCTTCCTCAGCAGAAAGCTGAAGCTGCTCTTCTGGGGTAAATTCTTCACCGGCCTCGAGTGTAGGTGGTTCAACCGACTTTAAAATCGTTCTTTGGGGTATCGGAGGACCAAAGCTCCTAGGCATGCTAAAGCGCTCCTCCTTAGGAGCAAGGGCAGGGGCAGGGGCAGTATAAACCTCTGTCCGCACGTCTGTTCGTCGTCGCGTACCGCTGCTAGTGCTCCGAGATTTGTCACCACCTGCTGTTCTTCTGCGAACGCTTGGGGTTCGATCTGCAGCTGATGGAGAACTACCGCTTTGGAACGGATTGTCGTTGGTAAAGACGTCTGAGGTGCGTCGGAAGAGACCTTCGTCTGACTCTTCCTTCTTAATCTTAGGCGCAGCTCGTCGAACTTTGCTCATGATCCTATTACCATCGTACTCCGGAGCAGTGTCTGTATCTGAGGCCTGAACGGGACGGCTTGAGGCTCGCGGCATTCGTTTTGTGGGACTAGCTGTTCGTGTTCGTGTTCGTGGGGGCATTGGTAAATCTTCGGGCTCTTCGGTCTTGAGTCTGTTTGACACTTTCCTTGGTGATCTTGATCGGCGTGTCATAGGGCGCGGTGCAAGTTCTTCATGTTCTTCAAAGGGATTGCTACTGCTTTGTGGTTCCGCATCGACAATTCCTTTGCTTGAGCGTTTCGCTCGCGCACGTGCTGCTAATATCTTCTTTGACTGGGGTAAAACCTGTTCATTGAAAATTTCAACTAGTTGACTCTTCTTCGAACTTGATGAATATGGAATATTGTGAGCAACCAGAATCGACCGTAAACGCGGAACTGTTAGGCTCCTCGCGTCGAATCCCGGCTGGAGATAATCAAGGCTCTCTGTGTCGGACATGGTGGATAGTTGATGGATAATCGCGCACACTCAAACATGCACGAAAGATGTGGTTAAATATTGGGAATAGTAAAATTGCCCTTTTTTTCTTGCCCTTATGCAAACTAGGCAGCCGAGGCCTGTATCGAGAAACGCCTGATAAGCACAGCAAGACACGTCTTGGCCACGTAGAATAGACTGGGGCGCAATGACGCAGTCCTCAATGACGTCAAAACTTGAAGTCGGGACGTATACCAAGCTCACCGCATAAATATGCTATGAGCTGAGCAGATTCGCCGACGCGATATTGAAATTAATAGAAAAAAATTACGCGCAAAAGTGAAAAAAGTATTAAGGTGGGGGGGAGATAATTGATTGTGTTGATGAAAGAGTTCAAGTGGAAAGTGGAAATCCGGTTGCAGTGGCAACAGAAAACATAGAACTAAAAGAAGGTCGCTGTGTTACATTAAATCTTGGCTCCACCTTAGCCGAGCAGGCAGGTCAGGCAGGTGTGAGTTCCAACAACGGAAGATTATCGGGAAATACCTAGGTACCTCTCCAAATTGGCAACCTCTACGTTTCTCCTCGACCAATCATATTCGTAGTAATCAAATATTCGTTAGGCATCATCGCCAGAATGAGAGGTTCCAATATTGATTGGAGCGAAGACATCTAACGGATCACCTCGAAAGTTATAGGTGATTGAATGAATCTCATTTCCAGCTGGGTATTTCTATCATCCACATGTGGCGAATTAATATCAACCCTGAATCTAGATGTCCAAATATTGTAACAAGTACATACCACGTAAATACAATACAAATGCTTTTGTTCCTCAAAGCCCCTGATACTTAGATCGTGATGATGCTTTACTCCGACAAATAACCATCTTCCTCCTCAATATGCAATTCTAAATCCCTTAATCATATATGATCATATATTTTTGTAGCTTTCATTAGATAGTAACTAGCTAGCGGTGGTTCATATTATATTCCTCCCGTAACTATGTCGACTCGTGAAGTGCTCTCTATCAATAGGGGCAAGCCGGTGCGCCAGTAAGATATGTAAAAACCAGACCAACATACTAACTTTTAGTAGGTAATTAAATAGCCATGACTTTCGGCCTTGACCTTTCCACTAGTGTCAACTCACCGTTGCTTTTTCTTCGAGCTTCTTTTCGGCTTCGTCGGCTCTCTTGTTCGCTTCTGCTATTTCTTGTTGTAGTTGTTTAATATATATGATTGCCAACTCCACTGTGCTAGCTTTGCTGTTCGGTGTGTTCGATTGTTTGCCGTCTTTCTTATCTCCGTTCCCGCCTTCTCCATCACCCTCGCACAGGTCTTTCGTCACGCTCTTCGGCAGCAAGGTTGCAATTTCCTGAAGTGCCGAGTTAATGCGATTCCGACGACCTTGTTCCGCAATCTTATGCGAAGTTCGTTTTGATGTTAAGTTGGTCGACAATTCGCTCGGGTATGAAACTCCGGGTACAGTGTTGCCCTCTAATATGTTCTGGTAATTTGACTTAGATGCTAGTAACCTTGAAGCAGAATCTTCGGCAGATAATCCAGGCGTCCCTGGGAGCAACGGCTTGATACTGGGCGATATTTTTGGTCGAAGAGCTGGTGATACTGAACTGATACTCGCCCTCTTCTTAGGCCCTCTCGGAGCTATAAGTGGAGTTTTTCTCAAATTAGGGGTTCCCGATTTGGGTGTAAGTTGAGGACTCTGGGTTGCGGATGCTGTTGCCGAATGTGTAGGCTTAGGGAGAACAGGAGATGGAAGTGGTTGGAAATTAGAAGTCTTTGCCGTCTCGACTTCGGCAGGTGATTTGGTTGGTTGTCGAGTATCAATCGATGGGAGGTCAGGTTTCGAGAAATTGACGGATTCGGGAAGCTCAAAGCTTTCTATATGTTCAGAACCGGTTTGCTCCGGATTGTTTGAATCAGCCGACTTGCTCTTTGGCGAAATCCTGAATAGCGAGGCCGGGGTCGCGGGCGACGGTTTACCAGCTAGAGAGCCTGGCAACGCTAAAGGTGCCGCATTGCCGTTGGTTTGATTTGGTTGGCTGCTCTGTGGCTGAATGTACGGAGACTGTCTAGCTGAGCGAGGCAGAGGGAGCGGCGGAGGCGGCATATCTGAAAGGGCTTCTGGAGACACCGAGGCATTTTCTGACTCCTCGGTAGATGTTGCCGAGACTGATTTCGGTTTCGGTGGGTGTTCCAAGCTCTCAGCCAAAGATTCAGTCAACTCGCCCAGTGCCTGAGCATTCATTATGGGGGTTGAAGCAGTTTTCCGTCTTTGAGGTTTTGTGATTGGAGACTGTCGAACATTTGGTTTTCTGGCCTTAGTAGCATTGTTCTTTCGGACTTTCTTCGATAAGTTCACTGTGCTGTTAGTGGATAGTGAGGGTTCGATTTCCATTTCTACGGGGGAATTGGTGGTCTGGCCCGAATTCCTGTGATCAAAAGTCGTCGACTCATTTTGCGCGTGTAGCGCGGGAGATGTTAAGGGACTAAAGTAGGGCCCCGAGTGAGTAAATGCAGGGTCGACTGGAAAATGAGGTTCAAGGGGGGTCACCGCAGGAGAAACTAGCGGAGTAAAGGCCATCTGTTAGACGGTCAGCGATGAAAACCTAAAGCTGAGACTGAAGTGGTCAACTTACATCTTGTTGCTCTTTAAGATGATATCCATCAAACATGCCAGAGGAATGCGCCTGGTCCTGCTGGACAAAAAATTGATTCGCAGCCTGAATCTCGAGGCTCTGCGGGGTTGGCGGCACCATATTTCTCTGCTGGGCGTAGAAAGCTGCTTGTTGTTCGTGGAACTGCCTCTGCTGCTCCGCAAGTTGCCTCCTTTGCTGTTGAAGCCTTTGCTGCTGTAGAAACTGGATTTGCGCATCTATCTCGGAGATAGGATCAGAGGGTGTATGATGTTGAGGCATCATCTGCGACGGGATTCCTGAGTGACTCGGAGCAGATGTCATCGGGGACATTTGGCTCTGTTGTCCCATATCGTTCCTTGCGATAATTGTCGGGACATCCGAGTTACTCATGGGAGTGTCTATAGAATCACCATGTTGTTGGTGCATCATCGAAGAACCATTATTACTCCCGAAGTCTTGGAAATCGAATTGTAACCCGTCCCCCAAATTAGACATCCCTCCCATCTCGAGAAATTGTTGGAAGTCATCTTCGCCTGTCGAAGATAGTGTCTGGTCTTGCCCATTCCAAGCGCCCGGGTCCATCATGGCCATATTGAGCAATGACGGTCGCTAAGCCGTTTTCCAAAAAGCAAAAATTTATATTTGTCGCCAAGATCGAGATCGAAATCGAAATCGCAAACCTAAAATTTGTGGTTTTTTTCGATGGGAGCCAATGTGCCCAAATTGATTATTCTATATTCAACCGATATTCTTATTTCTTGTTATTACGTCGCTATGGTAGCTGTCGTTGATACTGCGATCGCGCAGCGTGAAACGTATGGAAGGATTTGATCAACACATCTCTAGTAGAGGAAGTAAAATCGTGCGCGGAAGAGGAGTTGGCGGTTTCTGCCGAAAGCCCACTAGCAGTAGGAAAGACTCGCAAGCGATGGTTCGATCTATTATGGGCTATTTGGATATGTAGTCGCTGACCGAGTTAGATGGATAGGTAGAGAAGCTAATAACTACTTAGGTGCGGTAGCAAAATCGTAGGATTATTAGTATGAAACTTCATTGAATCCAGCATAATTCTTTGAACAATAGCAAGTTTCCTTTCGAGGCCAGGTGACTTTGACTCCCGACAGGAAAAAGGCGAGTGAGGACAAGACCGCGAGTACCTAGGTAGATGGTGGGGGGAATTCTTGCATTGGGATCAATTTACTGGTCAGCCATAGGGTTAGTCCAAATGGAAACGACCGGGGTTATTTTTCCTCTAAGGCTAGCTGGGTTAGCGAAAGTTAAGCCGTTCGCAGTGAGCAGGTGACGGTCTCAGCGCCAGCCGGGGTTGCACATGCAGCTACAAGGTTAAGGGCCAGAACTCCCCTCCCCGCTCCTCTGTAAATAGGTACCTAGTATCCCTACTACGCAGCCTGGCAGCACGCAGTACTGCGTAAGTAGGTAGGTACCTTCAGGGCTAGGGTCCAGATGTTACAGGTGCATGGAGGTATTCCGTAGTACGAAATGCAATGCATCCTAAACCTTGAGACACCAAAGCAACGGTAATGGCAACGGCTTTTTATAATAATCTAATCTATTGCCCCTCTCATATATATACCCGTATACCTACGTATTCTCAGTGCTTCTTTTCTTTAGATGGAAAACGTCACGGGTCGCACACCAATACGCAAGGGTTGTCTCACTTCTCTGGTCTACCAACCCTCCTAAGGCTCCTTCGAAGAATTCTGACAGTCGGCCTGACTCGGCAGCTCGGTGGCGTCTAGCTTGACCTTGCTCGAAATCCGGGTTAGTGAACTAAGGCAGCTAGCTAAGCCGTCAATTTTGGAAATTTTCTACGCTGTACTATTATTCAAAACCCTTAAACTCCACTGTTCGGCCTCTTTTGCCAGGGACCCTTAGGGGCATGTTCTCAGTACGTAAAAGAAACGACATTTCCAGCTGGACCCGTTTTGCTCCGTAGTATACTACCTACGTACTACGTAGAGTTTAGAATAGTGAACAACTGCAGCGGATATTGTTTCGATGGAACGGTATGTATGCATATATAGCTACTATAGCTCTTCTAAGCTCTCTGGATACTAAGCTGCTTGTTACCTAGATTATGGCGGGTAAGTTCCCCGTGAAGCCTTCGACGCCTTCTGTACATTTACATCCGGTTCACATCCAGCATCCAGCTGACGTCTCCCACCTCTCTCACCCATGAGAGCATAAGAGGCTCGTAGAATACGGGCCACACCCACCGTACTTAGGTGGGGGTCGGTGGCGGTTAACCATCCATAAAGGGCAGGAAGCCGGGAAGCGAGGGCAAGCGGGGAATGGTTCAGCGTCGATTAAATCCTTGATCGGCTTGCCCAAATAGATCAGATCCTAGATCGTCCGTTTTTCCCAGGAGATCCACTGCAAACTACAGGTTGACAGGTAAATATTCCGGACTTCTCTAATTTGTAAAAAGTTTCCACACATACCTAAGAAGGCAATGAACAAAGCGAGATGTAAAAGACGACGATGCGAAGTTAAAAACTTTTATGATCGTTGAAAAATAACACTGGACGGGTTAATTAGGCGTGCGGGTCTTCGTATGCCATCCAATAAGTTGTTGGTGCCGCCGCTGCTATAGTTGTCGAGCCATTCAGAATCAGTCAATCGGTCCCGATGGTCTATAAACCAATCTACGCCCGATTAGTTAGTAAGTCAACTTATTCATCACCTCGGAGATCTGTCAACTGCTTGTTCGAAATGTAGTAGCCAATCGGCTACGCATTGGTTAAGAAACAACTATGAGGTAATCCTTTTGTCTTTAGGCACTATATACCTATGACCTATGACCTATGTCCTATGACCCTTAACCTGCTAGAGGGAATAAAACACATTTGCTTCCTAACTGTTTCATTTTACTCCTTAGCCCTGGTATCCTACTTCTGAACAGCTTCCATTCTCTCGATGGTGTCGGAGATTCGACCGAGGATAGGACGTTCGAGCTTCAGGTTCTCGGCGTCGGCGGCAATCTCGCCGAGTCGTTTCTTCCAGAAGTCCCATCGTTCGATGCTGAGCTGAGGAATACCTTCGCCACAGAGCGGACCTGTCTTGAGCGCATCGTCCGGACCATCACCCGAGGTCATAACCTCGAAGATTAGTTCTGCGCGGCGGAGTATCCACTCGCATGCCACCCAAACTCGGCATTCCTGCAGCGGACCTTTCGCCGGCTGCTGTTCGAGTGCGTCACGGAGTTGCCAGATGGGGAAAGTCATCCACGGAGCAAACGACGGACCCGTAAGGCGGGCAGCGAACGAGTTCTGATTCTTCCACTGAACGAAGTCATCGATCAGTTCTTCAGAAAACTCTTCGTCATTAATCTCAGTTGGGTCTAAAATTTTTATGCTGTCAGTAAAAAGGAAAAAAAAATACATGCTAAAAAAATAGAGGTGTTATGCTTCATACCATTCCAGAGTTCTCTCATGCGCAAGGAAAGATAGGGAAGATCTTTCCACAGTCCGCCTTTCTATTAATTAAAGATTTCATTAGCTTCGGAAACGTGTATAAGATATAAGATATGAGCATGAGTAGACGACTTACCATGCCAGGAACAGCGCCTTCTTGCTGGCGAAGATTGTCTACTGCTTGGACCAAACAGTCTTGCCATGGGTGATCCGGTGAAACGTGGCGGGACATCTGAATGATTACCGTCCATACGTATGGAATAACGTCGGCAACGTTCTCGATTCCTGCTTCACAGATGGATGTGATGTCTTTGGCAAGTTTGGCGCCAATCACCTTTGGTTCGGCTGGATGCTGGAGAGTGCTCTTGAGCGCGTTGTAAATGGGTCGCCCAAAATCAAAGATCTCGGTCTCCTCGAATTTCTTCAAACCGACTTCCATCTTGGCATCTGACTTACTGTGGAGGAGCTCAGAGTGCATGATTGATGATGAGAAGCTGCGGGTTAGTCCATGATCGTAGGGAGTGAAACCTTTGGGGGTTAAACGTTGACAATTAACTGCCTTAGAGCAGATGTTGGCTTGCTGTGAGTGAAAAGATGTGCGAATCGTGGTAACCGCGCGGACGCGGGGCACCACATTGATCATGCGAATTGTGCGAATCATGAGGAAGACGTTGTTGGAATCTATGGATATAAAATATCCATAGATTCAACAATGGGATGGTTCTACAATTCTGTCTTCACTTGACATGAAAAAGTACGAAAACGTGGATGGGAAAAGCACGACGCGACAACCTTTAAAATGTAAAGTTCCAAAAGTTATGATAGCTGAGTGTGTCACTATAACTACCTACTATAACCACCTATTATAGCTACAGGTCAGTCCGGTGCCTGGGCAGGTGCCGAGTCCTTGTCCTCGTAACTGATAGTGCAGCTGCCGTACCTAGGGGCGTACATAACTATAGCTATACCTAGATAATAAAATAGGCACTATAAATGACCAGTAAACAAATCCTTATATTTTGATATAAATCGTAACTTGAGCAAGTTCAACTAGAATTCTCTGACCTGAAATCCCAACCTAGATTGTCGAACACTAGGGATCATATATCAGAAATCGTGCCAGGAGAACCTCCCCAGGCTTCCTTCGACTTACACCTCGAGACCCGTGAAAGCATACGACAGCTTCATGTCGGCATTCATACGATGATATCTACGGGGAACAATGCAGCCACCGGGCCTGCGGTTCACCTACATACTAAAGAATCCTCATCCTCAAAAATAATCAAATTCTGATTCTTTCCATGAAGCAATGTGATCGGATCAAGAAATAAAAGCTGGGCACAACCGCCCAGAGCAACGAAGTCACGATGCTGAATCTTCGCTCTATGCAACCCATCTCGCGTAAGTTTTAAATATTCCAACATATTTTAATTTTGCTAAATATTCCCGAAGGAGCCCGTGTTGCCAGTACGCGATGGTTTCAACACGGGCTGGCTTCCAACGTTCAGCCCCGACGTGCTACATCGTCGAAACGCACCCCAACCAATGAAGCCTTCGTAAGTTCCTATGCGCTTATTTTTATTAGCCATTTTCTAATACATAAATAGTACGACTTCAATGGAGTTCCCTGTGATGACAAGGACCCGAACTCCCTCACGTGGATGTACGCGAAGGACGCGAAGGCCCAGCAAGCCGGCTTAGCTCCTGGACACCAGTCGGGTCGAGTATACCCATCCGCCTTCAACAACAAGGAGAAACTCGCACTCTCGACACCCGGATCGGCTCTGAAGCCCAACGGACCGCGTCAATGGCTCCACAGTCCACTCGTACCAGGAACGACCGAGACCTGGACCCCGGCCTCGACAGAGAAGTCCGGAGTCCGAAGTGTGTACACAGCTGATGATCCCAGCAAGTTCGACGTCGTCTACCATGATAATCGAGCTGGAGCCTCGGGCAAGAAGGGTTTTGGTAAATTTGTGAAGGCGGAATACCACCCAGCCGTCGAGGAGAAAGATCGTGATTGATTAACCCTCAGATGCACACTTGGGTCATAGTCATGTAGTTTTCGATGGATTGAGAGGCGGGGAATGCCTCCCTTGTATTATTGTGCGCATTTTGCGCATTTTGCGGTGTTTTAGGAGGGATTCAAAAGTGAGGAATGATTTTGTCAATACGGAAACATGTCGAAGCCTACTAGGAGTAGGCGCTGGTTTACCATGAATAGGATTCAAATCAATCGGAACGAACCTTTGATTCTTAAGTGAAGATGTCATAATATATGGATCTCATACCCCGCATCCGCGCACCACATACCGCTCCGGCTGGTGCTTAACGTATTTATTAGCATCCTTTCAATCAAATCCTCCCGAATCTCCTACTGGGAGTCCTTGCAGATTTGGGATTTAGTCTAGGTGGTATCTAGACCCACGAATTTTCGGATTCATAGCCAGGTAAGAGCACTCGAGGAAACAGGAAGCAGCAAATATCAATTCGCTATTTCTATTCTGGATGGAGGTACAATATTAACATGTGGCTTGCAAGGATTAATTGATCTGAGTGGGGGTACGGATCATCGCATTATGTCACTAGCCTAGTAAGTACTGAGTACCTGCAATTTCTCGGCCGGTCGGGTAGCTGCTTACCATCTTAGGAATTTGCCTTACACACTTCGTCAGCCTCAGCGTCGTCACGCGGGTTGGTTGGCGCCATTCCTCCCTTCTGAGAAAAATGGGCTCTGTATCCAACAAAGCTGAGCAGCTCCAGCGCAAGATCGTACAGGCCGAGAAAGAGCTTCAAGATTTGCGCAAGCAACTGGCCGAGCTCGAGTCACCAACTCTTCACGCGGATGTCGATCAGGGCCTTGGCTCGACATCAGATCTTAGTGAATCTACGAAAGACTTACCTGAATGGAAATGGCCGTTGAGGGAAGAGGAATATCTCCGATATGGCCGTCAGCTTATCCTGCCCACAGTCGGCATTAAAGGCCAACTGAACCTCAAGTCCACCGCCGTATTAATAGTCGGCGCCGGAGGCCTAGGATGCCCAGCAGCTGCATATTTAGCTGGCGCGGGAGTCGGCACCCTTGGTATCGTCGATGGAGACACCGTGGAAATGTCTAATCTGCACCGGCAGATCGCACATTCTACTTCGAGGGTTGGTATGATGAAGGTAGACAGCTTAATCGAATACTGCAATGGGCTCAATCCGGAAGTGGCGTACGCTCCCCATCGAGAACATCTGACACCTCAAAATGCTGAGAGCATCGTTTCCAAGTACGACCTAGTTCTCGACTGTACAGATCACCCGACGTCGAGGTACCTAATATCTGACATCTGTGTTTTACTGCAAAAGACGCTCGTCTCTGCATCCGCGCTACGAACAGACGGACAGTTGATCGTTTTAAATAACCCACCAGCAGCCCAAGGTGCTACAGATGGCGGTCCGTGCTACCGCTGCGTTTTCCCCAAGCCACCCCCCGCCGACAGCGTAGTTAGCTGCGGCGAAGGCGGTATATTAGGTCCGGTTGTGGGTGTGATGGGTGTATTACAAGCCCTTGAAGCTATTAAACTAATTGCTGCCGGAACTGGGAAACCAGCGATTTCGATACCAAAAGAGCCAGTCAATCCAAGCCTACTTCTGTTCTCGGCTACCTCTTCTACGCCATTCCGATCTATTAGGATGAGGAGTAGAAGACCTAATTGCTTCGCATGTTCTCCTGGCTCGACGTTGACCCTGAAAGAACTTAACTCAGGATCATTGGATTATGTCCAGTTCTGCGGGGTGACTTCGCCGGTCAACGTATTGAAGCCCGAGGAAAGAATTACTGCTAAAGAGTATAACGATATTCTAGCGAAGCAGTCTTCTAAGAAACATCTGCTATTAGATGTACGGGAAAGAGAACACTTTAACATCGCTAGTATACCAGGCGCAATAAATGTCCCATTCTCAACGTTACAGTCTCGCAATAAGTTGACACCCAATGACGAAAATTCAAGACCTGAATACATACCAGAATCTCTCCCAGATGATGCACCAATATTTGTCGTGTGTCGAGTGGGCAACGATTCGCAGTTAGCAACTCAGAGGTTGAAAGAGATGGGCCTAGATGGGGGCGGAGGACGCTTCGTAGGCGATATCAAAGGCGGAATGCTTGCCTGGAAACACGAAGTCGACAAAACATTGCCTTTCACATAGTTGGGTATGTCCCACGATGAATAGAAAAATCCAAGGCCAAATACGGAAGAGAGATTCCATTCCAAATCCATCCATGTCCGTTCCTGCTGCTGTTGATACATAGGAGGGAGAGTACCAGTGCCGAACGCCAGCCCATTCATTTCTGTAGCTTATACTTTTTACGGTGAAATGTACCCTCTCGACGACAACAACAAGCCAACGAACCGGTAAAAGCGCGAAGGTATCTGAGTTGCACGTTCCCTTCCTTACATTTTTCTCCATCCTACCTAGCCTATCTCCGGAAATAGCTTCAACCTCTAGCCTTCAGACGAAGCTCGTGCGCTTCTTGTTGAATGCCCTTTGGTCCTTCAGCCATTGTCTGTAACCCGCCACACTAGAAATCTTTTCACCGTAGAAATCGGGAACTGCGTGACGTAGCCATATTAGCGAACCAAATTCTCTTTCCAATTCGATTCTCCCTCCGCTTAAACAAAAGAAGACTCACCAGCATTCCCGCTCAAAGAGCTATTACTAGGATCCACACGATTCTTCTTAATACGCGCGAAGAACTCCGACTCCTTAACCGCCATCGGCTTCTTGACCCCGCGCTTGAACGTGTAGAACAAAGCAGACCCCAAGCTCGGGCCGGCCAGCCATCCCAAACCCGCGAAACTCAGCGTCATGATGCCGAGCGCGAAGAACGGGTCCATGGGCACTTTGGTCAACAGCCAGTCCATGTCCATGTTCACGAGCAGCAGCGCGCCCGCGGAACCCCCAACGGCCATGGTAAACAGCCCGCTGACGAGCTGGAACCGCCGCCGTGTCTTGCGCAGCCGGAAGAACGTGTTCCAGTCGAGCGGCGGCGGCGGCGTCGACGACGGCGGTTCTGGGGCCCCGGCTGAGGTGGCCGTCGTGGTCGAGGCGTGCCGGCGGGGTGCGGCGAATTGGCATTGCATGCGCGCGCCCGCTGGTGTAGGTCTTCTGGCAATTGATTGCGTCTTTACGGGGGTCGAGGGGAACGGCTTCGCGGCGCATTGTTGTTGGCGCTGCGCTAGGGACGAGGCCAGCGAGGAGTACGGACATCCATTTGCCCCTCTCGCGAATGCGACCTGCAGCTTGAGGCCGCGGGTGCCTAGGGCGCCGACGCGCGTCGCTGTCGTTGCGGGAGCCAGCATCTCATCGGTTGTCGTCCGCCAATTCTACGACGGTGCATGAAATGAGAGGTGTGTTTTAGAGTGGAATGCTTTTTTTCGTGGTCGGTTTGATATGTCGAAGCTAATATCGAAGCTTGACGTCGGCTAAGTTGAAGAGGATTCTCAAAGCTCGAGCCACAGTGGGGCTTTTCACCCAGAAAAGCTTGGACCACTTTGCATATCCCGATTCTTGCATTTTTGGATTCTGGATACTCGCATATTGATTTGTATTAGTAATGGCGTCTGATTTATTCGATGTTCATCATCCTCTTCGATATTTCATCATGGCATTTTCACAATTAGTTACTAGGTATCTAATCTAGGAATGTGATTTTTGAAAATGAACGACCATTCTAGCTTTGCAATCTACCTACAAGGTACTAATAGTCAGACTATTATCCTCCCAAAACCGATTGCACTGACAAGGAGTTTTTTCTAGATACAGTTTTTTCTCGGGGGGTTTTCTGACCAACTGGAAAACCTACCTAACAGACAGCTGCAAGATAAATTCATAAGACTTGAGACCATTAATTCAGGATCGTAGAAAATGACCTGGAAGTTGACAAACATACAATTGTCTAAGGATCGGACAATAAGTCCAGAAAAATGAGCGATGACAATCACATAATTAATTATTTGATAGTAACTGAATATACGATGCTTAGTGACGGACACAACTTCAACATATCTACACAGGTATATAAGTAATAATACTTTTCTTCAAATAGGAAGTCAAATGTATGAACTTCGTCTACTCTCCCACCTGAACACACAATATCGAGTTGAGCCAGATATCGCCAAGGCCCCTGCAGACATCGATTGAAACAAAACCAAACACATTCTTATTCAAGTTGCCTACACCTGCATAAGACGCGTTATCGGCACAGGAATTTCTAGCTATCTCGCCTACTAGAATACTTTAATCATGCTGCTCGGAACATTATCATCCTTCATCTACATAAATTTCGTACTTTTCGAGGTTATCGCAGGGATCTTTGCGGCCATGGCGGCGGTAGAAATTTCCAAGAATATGGCCTTGAACAGCGAGCTCCTAGGTTACGCGGGATCACCTTATCTCGTGCTTCTACTTCCACGCAAGCGTATATTCTGGCCATTGCGCGTAGGAGTATTGTGGTTTTTAATTTGGATGCGGTGGTCGATTTTAGCACCTATACGACTAATCCATTGGCTTCTCCAAGACGTTAACGAAACAAGTCATAGCACTGGATCCGGTCAATACGGCACCTGAAATTGGATGGCAAAGAGGGGATACAGTTACGGAAACTATAAAATCTAAAGAGCTTCGCGTTAGGAATGATTTAGATGACACTTTATGGGGCAAAAAGGACAATAGGGGTGGGGATAAGTGATTCTGCAGTTATATCACTGCGATCGTTTGCGGCATTATTTTCGTAAAATAAATCTAGTTACCTATTTAACATTATGCATTTACTTTCGATATTTACCCCGATATTATCTCCTGCAGGGAGGAATACGTTTAGTTTCTTTTCATCCAAGAGCCCTCATACTCCTTCTGGATGACATAAGAGGAGGATATTAATCGAATTAGGTAAATACCTCTGTAGCTATATACTTTTAAGCTGGGTAATCAGTGGCGGTATACGTCAAAGTGAGTTTAACATACTCACTTTACGAGCTGACGCCACATAACTTACACATTTTTAGGGAAACTATAGTTATGGCCTGTACCTTTCCACAGTGGAATAAATAAATTCCATTTGTCTTCTCATAAAGTCTTCACAAAATGTTCCTAGATCTTGAACTGAAAGCTATAATTTAACTGCAATAACAACATCATAAACATCACCATCGTCATACCCCTAACTCATACTCGCATATACCATGGGTTTACTATCAATCTTACCAACCTGGGGTAAAATCCTAGTCGGCATCTATGTGTCTGTCACAATAATACGATCCTACTTTTGGACCAAAGCCACTTTGCGCAACAGGTCGCATCGAGGACTTCGATCCGCTGGGACTTTTGGTGCCGCTTTCATATCACTAGCGATTTTCTTTCTCGTCCTACTCGCAACACCCTTCCACATTATGTTTGGAATAAAAAGAAAATATTCCACTGCAAAACTACGCCGTTACAGTTGTACCCGCGAAGAAGAAGTGGATATAGAGAGTGGTCGGCAGACCGAGAACATCAAGAACAGGACGTGGGTAGGAACTGATCTTCCAGAGCCGAGAAAAAGAATATTCGCTAGCAGTCTCCCGTATTAAAGTCATCCTAGTCGGCCTGTCTCATAGCCAGTGGTAAAATGGTTAGTTATGTCCCCGGTATATTTTCTTAAAGGAGTCTGGATCTTGGAAAATGTTGATCTCGGATTGTGATAGGACTTAGGAGAAGATAACTGGAACTGCGTTGAAAAGGGTGTTGGAAATTGATAGAATAGCAGTGCTAAGCCTTAATTATAAATGACAATAGGGCACAAATCTGGACAAACCAAACAGATTGAGAGGTTTATTAAGTATATACCTGAGTGATGGGGAGCTCATATATCTACGCTTAGCTGACGTAATCAAGGAACACTTAGTAATCAAAAATACCCCTGTTACTATCTCCAAACTTGTCGTCGTTCTTAACACTACAAAATTGATAACCTGATTAAGGTTTAAGAAAAAAACCAAGGTATGAGTAAAAGAATTATACGGAAAAGGCCTTGCAACTTGGAAGCAAAGTACGTATAGTATGATTACTCAGACCGTGTAAATTAGAATGACTTTTTACTGTGTAGTTTTTTTTCTTTAATGGTTAAACTTTTTAAAAAAGCTTAAGTTATAACGATTATTTACTAGAGTTTAACGAGTAAATTATTATTAAATTTCGGGTTTAGTTTATATTTGATATAATATGAAATAATTACATATTTTCGTATAATATTTTTTTATTTTTTATTATAATTTTATCGCGAAAAAAAACTTTCGAAGTTTTTTACGTAAATTTGTTTATATAAATTTAAACTTTTTATATATACCGTATTTATAATAAAAATTAATATAAAAATTTAAAATAATATTTTAAAATTAATATAATAATTTTTTAAAATTTTAAAATTCGTAATTTTTTTTTTTTCGAAAAAAATTTTACGTTTTTATTTAATAATAATTTATTTAATAAACGTTAAAATTATATTAAATTTTAAACGTTTAATAATTTCGTATTAATTTTAATATATAACTTTTTTATATATTAATATATTTTTTTAATTAATTATATTTTTAATAATATAATATATAATTATTTAATAATATTTATTTTAATATTAACGATATTTAACATTAATCCTCGTATAATAACATTTTACCCGTAATAAATCGGTAAAACATTTTCACTTTTAAACCTTACTTTTTGGTTTTAATGCGCCAGCTTCCACTTGTGACAGATTTCTATGGAATCCCGGATTATATAATATAATATTAATGGTACGATACTCAAAGTGAACAACTAAACGGAGTCAGTCCCTTTAACGTATTAATGTTGTGGGTCAATACTGCGCGGCGTACGTACACCTCCTAAGGCAGTATCTTGAGTCTTAATTTCGTTGGAATCCAAGATATCCATATAATTATGTAAGTCCCTATAAATATTAGTATGAGATGTTATACGAAAGATGCGTCTATGCCATAACTGGTCGGGTTGACTGAAACTACGGACCCCAAACTGGGGTCCCATGCGCCAGCTGAGTAGCTGAAGACCATCCCATAATAGTTCCTGGCTAGGGTCGTATGGATGGATTCGACCCTGCAACCCAATCCGGAAAGAATTACGAAACACTTCTATGACAGATAACTTTTATATCCGCGAACCATCGAGTTCGTAGAAGCGTATTGAGTTTCTACAAACTCTTACAATTCTCATAAGTCAAGGAAAATGGAGCAGAAATTACATTACGACCCGCTTCTCAACAACGATATTCGAGTCATTCAACTGCTCACGCAGATTGATGATCCAGTTCACGCGGACGGACCTGTACACTGCAGAATTGTACATGTTTCGCTTGAAGACTCTCATCGTGTTGACAGCACTAAAACAGCAATCAAGGGGTCTGATGGCGCATGGCCCGTGACGGTGGCCGATGCCGTCGACAGCGAGTCGAACTCATCGCAGGCGGTGAAATATGATGCGCTGTTTGAGATAAGTCTAGCGGAACGCATTATCCCGTTCGCTCGCACGCCAGAAACGCCATATTTCGAGAGACCAAAGTTCCTCAGAAACAAGCCAAAGGCCAAATCTCAGCACAGGGCACCAGCGTGGGACCCGAGCAAGGATCCAGAAATGAATCTTCCTTGGCGATACGACTGGGGCGATTTTGTCGCTTTATCGTATGTCTGGGGAGATCCATCGATTAGGGGGGAAATATATGTCAACGATGTGCCTATGTCGGTGACAGCCAATCTTGAGTCGGCGTTGCGGGAGTTGCGACACCATATGCGTATCCAGCAGGGCTTCTACGTGTGGGTCGACGCGCTATGCATCAACCAGGAAGATCTCGACGAACGGGCCGCACAAGTTGGGCGAATGAAGGAAATCTACCATACTGCGTGGCACGTCGTCATATGGCTTGGCCCTGAAGCCGACCGAAGCGATCTAGCTATGCTGGCGCTGCGATATATGAGTGTCGAATCGGAGCGGGGAGATGTACTGTCTAAACTGTACAAAAGGGTCGAATTCTATGTCGTTCGGCTGCCGTTTATGCAATGGAAGCACGAACATACCGTCCTGCAAATACGCAAAGGCGCGCTCAACGCCATTCATCACCTCCTTTCTAGGCCATATTGGCGTAGACTATGGATTATCCAAGAAGTCGTACTGGGATCTAGAAATTCGCCCGTGCTCTGTGGCGGTAGTTCAATCCTAATCAGAGACATCTTCAAGTCTCTGCAGGTTATGCAGGGAGATGGTGACTCTTTAGGCCAATATGTCATCATGTCAGCTAGAGGTACAGGCAACCTCAAACGAAAATGGAGCGTTAAGGACGACACCTACGAGATATCCGAGAAGTTATGGGAAAGACCTGTCGCGATGGCAGCATTACAAGCTTTGGACACAAACCTCTCAACAACGAATAGGGGCGTATACGACGCCTTGCTTCTCAGCCGCGAAGCCAAGGCCACCGACGAAAGAGACCGCGTCTACGGCATTCTCGGTCTACCTCACCTCGCACGGCTCGTCAAGATCCACCCCGACTACAACCGCACCGCACCCCAAACCTTCACACTCTTCTCAGCACGCCTCCTCTCCAGCGGAAACCTCAACGGCCTCCGTCTAGTAAACAGCCCCGTACCACCCATAGGCACTCGGTACCTAAAAACAAGCCACTTCTCGCGCCCACGCAAACCCAGACTAATCCACCGCCACCGCACCATCCACCGAGGATGCGAGCACGGCCTTCCCTCCTGGGTAATCTGCTGGTCCTGCCCACGCAACCCCGCGCAACCCTTCAACAACCGCTCCAGCACTCTCCCCGCCTTCACATCCCTGCCCCCGCCCTCACCCCCCCAAATCGAAAACGACCGCCTCCTAACAGTCCAAGGCATACTCTTCGAAGAACTCACAAACCTAAGCGCCTTCCACGCAACCGAGTCCTCAAAACTCTACCCCCTCTCATCCCCCTCCCCAGCCCCCAGCCCGTACGGCAACCGCTCCTCCACGCGCTCCGCGCTCGCACACCTTCTAACGGGCAACGACCCCTCCGGCCCCGACCCCCACCTTCTCCTGCTCCCGCGGCTGTGGGAAACCGGTATCATGACCGTCGACGGGAACATCTTCGGGGTGAAAGACTTCTTCTACCGGAACCGGACGCTCCGACTCTGGGACGCCTGGACGATCGAGACGTTGATACGCGAAGAGACGAAAGGACAGACGATAGACCGGGTGCGCGCGAGCGCGAGCACGGCGCCGAGGTTACGGCGCATCACGGAGGGGCATCGGGACGCGCTGAATACCGCGATGAGGATGCTGGCGTGGCGACGGCTGGTTACGACCGAAAGCGGGTACCTTGCTCTCGTGCCGGCTGCGAGTCAGGCCGGGGATGTGATTGCGGTGTTGTCTGGGTGCGATGCACCGCTTGTGCTGCGGCCGGAGATTGAAGGGCGGTATTCGGTTGTTGGGGAGGCTTATGTGCAGTGGGTTACTGGCGGGGAGGTGCAGCAGAGGCTGGATAAGGGGATTTGTGTTTTGGAGGATTTGTGTATCTGTTAAGGTGGGAGGGGATTTCTTTAAAAAGGGGGGTTGATCACGTGATACCCCTTTTCTTCACTCTGGCAAGTCATATACAAGTGTATATTTAGAACGGTTGTACTTGTGTTATGTGGTTACTGTCTTTGATAATGCTTATATCACTAGAAAGTGACACGAACTGTAAAATTAAGATAGGATTAATACACTCGATGATTCAGCTGACAAGTCAATACTGGAATGAGTAACACGGCATCTATTCAGAGCTCTATCGTCATCCTGAGTGATAGCTTCAATCACATCTATTGTGCGATTTACACTTACGGAATAAAGCACCACAATTGATTGTTTTACATACATACTTGGATGTTGGTCATCGAACAATTCCTTTGATATGTAAATACTCCCACTTTCTACACTTTTCCTTGTCCTAGTGCGCCGCAGAACACATATAACGTCACTTTCCCAACATTTTATGCTTCCCTCAGAATCTAGAGGCTCTTCTTCTTCAAGCGTGCAACAACTACGGAACCACTCAAGACCTACCTACATCAAGAACTCGCAAAACCAATTTCAACCATCAATCAATCAAGACCAAATCGCACCTAAAACACACCTTTCTGGTGGCGCATAAAAGCATAGATAATCGAAATCATACCACGGAGATGCCTCGGAGTCCCGAGTCGCAGATTGATGCTCGCCTTGAGTCCATCTCGAAGAACATCGAGGCTCTTAAGCATCGGAGAAATATCTTAGAGCACCCGCCCAATTACGCGGAATTGAACTACGACGATGTCCGGGAACAGCTTATAAAAATCAGAAAAGAACTGTTTAAGCTAGTTAAGAAGAGAAATGCTCTGCGAACTGAGTTAGGGGAGCTCGGGAAGAGGTGAGAGAAGAGGCGGTAGGAAAGGAATCGTCGATAGCGATTCACATTAGATAGGGGTATCAAGGAGATTGTTGTTTGGTGGAGGTAATTCTGCGCATCGAGCATTTGCGATAACACATCCAACCAAATAGAAAGTATTGCCTCTAATGTTTGTTGCTGTGCTCTATGTAATATGTAGTACTAATAGCTGTCGTCTAAACTGAAGGGTCTTGTGGATATTTGGCTCGGTATCTGTCTAGTCGAGGCGATGGTGTTCGTATGAGAAGAGAATCTGCATAATCGACCCCTGGACAAGGAATTTTATATATATCTGAGTTTATATCATTAGATGCAGATCTTGCAAGATTTTATCCTGCGAAGAATTAAATGACAGTGCAACAGTACACCAAAAACCAAGTATCATGCCATGTACCCGTGTCCTCTCAAAAGCAACGTAACATATGGCGTTTTCGCATAGATTAATCAAGAGAAATTGAGTCAATTTTCCGACACGGCGACCCTCAATTCCGGAAAAGATGACATGAAGGGTAGAGTCGTTCTCTAAGGGATTGGCATGACTAACAGCCGTAACCAAGCTTTCCGGTACTGCGCGTCTCTCCTTTAACCGAACCGTACCTAGCATGGTTGCAAATTAGCAATTGAGGAACAGATCTAGTTTGCTGCAAGGGATAATCTAGTCGGCCAATCTAGAACTCAGCCGCCACCACGAATTGAACCTGCTGTTTTTCTGGTCGCATCGATAGATAGACTGCGGGGAAGCACTGAAAGAAAGGTCGCGGAGCTTGACCTGCCCTATTAGGCCCGGGGAGCTGCAGGAGGTCTCCAGTAGATGGTAGGTGTGACATGAGCACTACCGATAAGCCTATTGGGCTCGTAAAGGGTTAATATATATATCATCTGGTCGCCTCTGCCTCCAAAATGGTGTTGATTTTGTGATTTTCTTTCGGGTACAGCTAAACACGATGCATATTCACCAGCTATTGCTGGGGCTTTGCCTCAGCATCGAAACATTCGCTTCTGCTACCTTACTGTCTGAGCCTGGTGAAGTTACTGTAATACCATCGTGGGATATTCAATCGACAGAAAAAGTGGGCGCGGATCTTGAGGCATTATCTCAAGCGGGCGTCGATACAAAAACATGGCATGCGGTGAACAGTTCTCGATGCACTCTTATGGGTTGTCTCATAAATGCTGGCGTGTATCGCGAAGACGGATTATTCTTCTCCAACGCATTGCAGAGCTTCAATTCGAGCCAATTCAAGGTTCCTTGGATATATCGGAAAGAATTCGCCCTTACTCCTGAACCTGGCCAGCACTATCATCTCCAAACTCATGGAATCAGCTCCAGCGCCGATATATATATCAATGGCCAAGAGGTGGTCGCCAGAAAGTCGCAGGCAGGTGCCTATGTCGGTAATATCTTCGACATTACCGACAAGGTGAAGGAAGCAAATGCAGTGGCAATTCAAGTTCATCCTACCGATTATAATTATGACTTTGCCCTCGGTTTCGTGGATTGGAACCCATATCCACCAGATAATGGCACCGGGGTGTGGCGGGATGTCGAAGTAAAGCAGACAGGACCAATTGCTTTGGGGCCTTTGCGGGTGGCTACACAGGCTAATTTACCAATCGGGCACTCCAGCGCGCTTGTAACATTGAAAGCAACTGTCACGAACCTAGAAGACCGTGAATACACTGTTCTGATAGCAGGTAGTATTTCCCTAGAAGGAGGAGCCAGTGAAAGCTATGACTTCAACCAGACAGTGACGGTGTCTCCCAGGCAGTCCGTTGAAGTTGCTCTAGACACGGCGATTAACGAACCTGCAATATGGTGGCCTAAACAATGGGGCGCCCAACCGCTTTACATAGGCCAATTGTCCGCGACCGTTGATGATGCTGTTTCTGACAAAGTCGAGAGGAATTTTGGTATCCGTAAAGTCACAGCGGATCTCAACGCGAACAATGACACGTTGTTTTTTGTCAACGGCTACCCATTCCAGGTTGTCGGCGCGGGGTATTCAGCAGATATATTCCTACGCTGGGACAGTGCTAAGTTTTCCACGCAAGCCAAGATGATGCTCGACTTGGGTCACAATACTGTCAGATTGGAGGGCAAGAATGAGCACCCTGAGCTCTACGATATCGCGGACCGTCTGGGGATAATGGTTTTGCCAGGCTGGGAATGTTGCGATAAATGGGAGGCCTGGAAGTATAACGAAGATTTGGCTGTCAAGTCGGAGTGGACAGATGCCGATTACATCATAGCGAATAAGAGTATGTCTCATGAGGCTCTCATGCAACAAGGACACCCCAGTGTTTTGGGGTATCTAGTCGGGAGTGATTACTGGCCGGACGACAAAGCAGCGGAGATGTACTACTATTCGCTTAAGGCAGCAGACTGGCAGATGCCTATCGTCGCGTCGGCGTCAGAGAGAGGGTATCCTAAGATTTTAGGGCCGTCAGGATTGAAGATGGCCGGGCCATATGATGTATGTAGCGGCGTGACGTTCTCCTCCCCTAATTACCTAGGTTATGTGCTGACACTGACTTTCCCTATCGCAGTGGGTACCTCCAAATTACTGGTACGACGTAGACCCAGCGGAGGATCGTCTAGGTGCTGCTTTCGGTTTCGGTTCTGAACTCGGAGCTGGTGTTGGTACTCCAGAAATGGGTAGCCTAAAAAAGTTCCTATCGGATTCGGATCTAGAAGATCTCTGGAAGAAACCGAACAAGGGGCTTTACCATATGTCAACGAGTGTATCGTCCTTCTACGATCGCAAAATCTATAATGCTGCCCTCTGGAAGCGCCTCGGCGTGCCTTCTTCGTTGGAAGACTACCTGCTCAAAGCGCAAATCCTTGACTACGAGGCGACGAGGTCTCAGTTCGAAGGCTTTGCCGCTCTGTGGAATGCTGAAAGGCCGGCGACAGGCTTGATATACTGGATGCTGAATAACGCGTGGCCGAGCTTGCACTGGAATTTATTCGACTATTATCTACGCCCCGCCGGATCGTATTTTGGGGCAAAGGTTGGCGCGAGAAAAGAGCATGTAGCATATGACTACAATGGGAAACTTGTATACCTGATTAACCGATCCCTGGACCAAGATGGGCCGAGGACAATATCAGCGCAGGTCATCGATAAGAACGGCAAAGAAATCTACAAGACGCAGAAAGTTATCCAGACCGAACCAAACACTAGCAAGGAAATATTGGACCTTTCCGATGCCCTCGAAGCGATTACGGATGTCGTGTTTCTGAGGCTCGTCCTCTCTGATGGCGAAGCTGCTGTTTTAAGCCGGAATGTCTACTGGCTTGCGAAGACGGTTGACACCTTGGATTGGGATAACTCGGACTGGTTCTACACACCGGTGACCCAGTATGCCAACTTCACAGCGTTAAATAATCTGCCGATTGCAGACGTCTCAATAACATTAGCGACGCCTGCAAAGAGAGATAGCTCAAAATTGGGACAAGTAGTTGTGGTTGAGAACCATTCGGATGTTCCCGCATTCTTCGTCACACTTAACCTTGTCGACAAGGAAGGTAACGACGTTTTGCCTGTGTTTTGGTCGGATAATTACGTTACACTATGGCCTAACGAGAAGCTCGAGCTTCAAGTAGAAGGAAAGGGCGGTGCTTCTGTGCAAGTCGCCGGTAAAAATATTCATAAAGCGGAGGCATATTTGTAATCAGAAGTCCTGCGACTCATGAAATATTCATGGCTGTGCTTAGTAATAAATATATCGAATTCTTTCGCTCGTCACTAGCACAAAAATCCGTAAGAAGGGTAACGGCTCGGACCCCAAAAGTCCTCCTTCCGGTCCCCAAGCTTCCTATTGATGGTGTCTTTTCCAGGTCTGAAAAATACACCCGGGTCATCGGGCTCGTATTTATCGCCAAAAGCCAATATGTACCCAGCCTTTAAGACAACCTGACGCGACTCGAAACAGACGTGAGCAATCGGTATTCGTAAGCTACCGCGCTCTACTAAATCCATCTTCAAACAGGCAGAGGTGTTGATTAATACGTTGAAGACGCGAGAGTCTGGCAGTGCATATTTCCAAATCATCTCCCGCAGCTCGGCCGGAAGGTCAGAAAAGGTCGTCTTCGTCGGCTTGGTATCTGCTGTACTTTCTGCTGCTGTGTCTAGATAGGATTGTTGACATGGTCGCTGTAGGGCGTTAGTGTGAGGAGTAGAATCCATGATTATAGATGTTAAGGCTGTTTTTTTGAGATAATTTCACCGTGAAGATTGGAAACATCACTTGGTGAAGGGCTTTCTACATGTTTATTATTTGATGCTTATCTGGTGATTATTAGAATGAGGTAGAATGCTGCTGCCTACACAGGCGAGCGTGATTTGGAACGCATATTTACATAATCATCCTTACATAACCATCTTTACGTAATTTCAATTACATAATCTTTTATGTACCTAGGTAATCTTCATCACTAAGATATTATTCAGCACATCAACCATAGTAACCCCTCGTTTTCCCCAACCCTTACCCTAACCCCAACTTTGAAATTATTATCTGACGTAAGCTAGATAGCTGACATAATCGTGGTATTTCCCTACAACACAATGTTGATATATATTCGGAAACGTCGTTTATCAATATTAATATCATGAAATAAAGATAGAACATTGAATCCATGTATGTCACGAGATACGAAGTAGTGCACAGTAATAAAGGGAATTCTACGTATGATTGACGGGAAACGGGTGCGTTGTTCTATGTAGTATGAATGTAAGATAGTAGGTTCTAGACTTAATAGAGGTTTCGGAATTTATTAAATTTACATGTAGTAGTCATTACGTTTGAATTGAAGTTCCGACCTCTGATCTGATATTTTGCTGAACTGGGACGGATCGGCATCGTCATTGGTGATAGGGCTCTAGCTGAACCCCTGAAAATGCCCGGAGGGGCAATTGCCTGACATCGCAGCTGCAACATTTACGCCCTCTTTCTCACAATAGATGAGTCTATTACTCCGATGAGCTGAAATGTGCCATTGCTGACATCTATACACTGATCTACCATTCCACATGGCTAATAGGGCAATCAATCTATATGGTATCGTGATGTGCTCAGTCCGGAATAGTATAATAGGACTGAGCTGAGTATTCCAATTTGATAACCACAGCCTTCAAGATATCGAAATATTGATGTCGATCTCATTTTGGCTCGTGAACCTATTCATTGCTGATGTTACCCTAACTACACTTAGAATGCCTTCGCTATTCGCGCATGCCGATGCAATATCGTATGAGCGTTGGGAATGCCCTGGAATATCAATAAGAGTAAGGTTAAGAGAGGCTGTATTGGTAGTGAGAACTCCGACTATATAAACGAACAGAAATCCTAAATCGCATCATATCCCATCATCTATCCTCACGAGCATCTCACACCTCAACGAACACACGACAAACATACAATACTCCATTTCCATCCCACCTAAACCCCCAAAATGAAGTCTTACCTCCAAGCCCTCCCCCTCCTCCTAGCCTCAGTACCCCTAAGCACCGCCACCATCCCGCCCATAACCTCCTGCCTGAGCTGCCTTAAGCCAATCCACTGCGACAACGTCGGGTGGGACTGGGCCTACTACAGCAACCCCCTCACCGACAGCGGCGAAGGCTATCCCGGCTTCAGAGCCGATGTATACAAGACGCGACAGCCTTTGTACACCGGCGTAACCCCGTCGATCGGCGGCCACCTCGGTCTTACAGCCACGAGCCCAGACGTGACGACCTTCTACGGGTCAACCGAAGAGCTAAACGCAACCCACTTCGCCATAAACCACCACGCGTACCTATACGCCTGCGAGAACGGCTCATATCAATTCGATATCACGTATGTGGACGACGCAGTATTCGCCTGGGTTGGAGAGACCGCGTATTCCGGGTGGACGGACGCGAACAGGGACGCGAAGGCTGCGTGGACCCCTCATGGGGACTGGCACTCCGGCTCCGCGAGCTTTCGAAAGGACCTTGAGATCGGGAGCTTCAACCCTCTGCGATTCGTCTTCGGCAATGGTCAGGGCGGCGGGGCATTCAATCTGACTATTACCAGCCCCAGCGGCGTTATCGTCCACCAGAGCGGTCAGGACAGCGATTACATTGTCCGCTATTCTTGCGACCTCAAGATTTCGGCTCCGGAGTTCCCTGCCTTTGGAGCAGAGACATAAATGCTGTTGGCAGAGGGAGGGTTAGCACGGGATATGCTTTTCAGGATGAAGGCCCATGTAACTTACACATAGGGATCGCCTTAGAACGCACAATACTGTTCAGTTATCTACCTAGGTACTTGATGATTTCGTAACCTAATAAGACGTTGTATTTGAAAGATTTGACTTATTGATCAGTAACCTAGACATAATGCTTGCAATTCGACCTCGCGGAATGACATTTAGATAATCGCAGTAAATATCAAGATAAGAGAAACTCTGTGCTGATTGTCCGGTCTTCGAGCAATGGAAACACGTCTAGATCGTAAAGAAAGCAGTCTCCAACGAGTTCGTAGGTTCCGTTATCCCTTGCCCTCAAAATAAAGGGATATTTTCCGCCAGGGAAAAATACAATATCGTCGCCCTCTCTCGTGAGCGGTGGTGCTAAACCCATCGACCCTTTATCAGTGATAAAAAACTTCCGACCGTAACAGGTTTGTTCCATGGCGCGAGAATAGCGTTTCGAGGCGTCATCCCACAATTTGCTGCGCTTGGCACCCGTTTTACTAATTTGGCATTCTTTTATGCATTCATACCATTTGCTGAACTCAGTTGCGTTGTAAGAGGACGGTGCTCTTTTTACCCTAACAAGCGGGGGAGTATCATGCTCAACCAGCAAATCGGCATCATCATCCCCAATAAGCGTGCTAGAGAAAGCGGCGATAATCGATTCTGGGAATCTCTTCTTGGTTAGACTTGAAGCAAGTTTTTCCCACCCGCTGATGATAGAAGTGAACTTTTCGCTCCCTAGAAGAGCTGTATCCCGTGCCTCCAACCTTTCAGCGGTTTGCATAACTTTCTCGACATGCCATCCACGAAGTGCTAATATATTTCCAGATCGAAATCCAAACCCGGGAAGGAGTCGGAGCGGGTAATGGATTGAGTATATCGCTGACATTCCGATTGCTCTAGGAAGAGTTCCTGCTGGGTTGATGATGCTGTAGTCCGGAACCCAAGATGGAAGCCCATCAATACGTTTACTCGTTCCTAACCAATGAAGGACCTCGAGGTCTTGCATTGACTCGATATATCTTTGAGTGAACATCTGAAAAAGCCGAGGAACATCTTGGGTGTAATCAATTGGAATACCAAAAGGAATTTCAGTATTCATCATCAAGGCTCCAAATATCTTGTCCCTAGGATCCTCAGACCGGCAATGCCTATACCAGCAGAATAAATCCCTTACTCGTATACAGGTAGCCAGATAGATTTGGACAAGGTGACGTAAGTGAGTTACGCTACTTGGCCCTTCTATCGGATGGTAGTAATCATCAGTCGAGGGGAAGCTAGAACATTTCATTAACTCCGACAAGTCACATTGATGGCGACCGCAGACGATAGTAGCCTTAGAGCACAATGAAACTTCTTGAGCAGACAGCGCCCTATGGAACCAAGGTCTCCTCAAAAGCTTGTGAAATGCGTCTTTCGTCTCGCCAGCATAATGAAGCCAATTGAGGTAAGAACGTGCGCGGCATTTATCAAGATGCTCAAACACGAGATGCGAATTGTCGTCGGCGCGCCCAAGCCAGATAAGAAGGCGACTAGCTTTCCGGTAGATAGTAGGTAAATAGGACAGTTGGCCATTCCTCTCCCTGCTACAAGCATGTTGGGTTTTACTGTCGAATCTCTGGTTGATGCAGATAGAATCCGTCCAGAGAAATCTCGATCGGGTTTCGAGTCTGATTCCATGCAACGTCGTCCAAATCTCATGCGGGGTATCGAAGGTCTGTCCGTTCAAGGATATTGGCACTCGAGTTCTCGTCGACCTGCGCCAGTCGAAAGACAGAACTTCATATTGATAGCTCTCGCAGCGTTCTTTATGGATGAGGCGACATCTTATTGGGTCTTCTGGAAGGCCCGGCTCAAGTTCTAGAAGCCTTATCTCATGGTCTTCCAAAGGGGCGTATTGGAAATATGACCCCGTTTCTTCTAGCCAAGTATTTGACCCATCCGAAGCGTCCCCAAGATGGTCGGCTACACGTGTTAGCGACATCTTGAGATCGCTACTTAATATAGATGAAGTGACTTGTTCTAGTTGATAATTCCGATATTGTCTCGATTGATAGACCCCTTATTTAATTAGGTATAAGTGATGGATTGCGTTTGTCGAGCGAAAGTCGACAAATTTGTTTTATCGCGTAAAAATGATGTATGAAGGAACGATAGAGGACCTAGAAAGCAAAGAGCGGGGGAAATTGGTATCCTGGGTCAGCCCTCCTGTGAATCTACCGAATTTTATCACCAAATCTCGCTGACTTCACGACAAAATCAAAAGCCATAATAAAATAGTAAAAGTATATTAAAATATGGGAGACTGTTTAGAATAACTTAATAATATGAAAATGATAATTTAACCCAAATTTAATCCGGTATCACGTGCTTTGTATGGGTATAAAGTTAACGTAATGCGTCTTACACCCAACTTTCTGAGAATGAACCTTGACTACGAGAGAAAATTCAGGTGGCAATGCTGGAGCTGTCATTAATGCACACTGCAGTGCAGTCTGTAGTATTATCTAAGCTGTAATCTCAGCGCTATCTCCCCTGACTCTAGCCCGTCTAAATTGTATCTATAGGCCCTAACATGCCATTTTACACCCCCAGGTCTAATGCGCTATCTAACGCCAACACAGCCCCTAGCACAGCGCCCCGCTCCTTAAACACCTCTAAAACCAAGCCTAGAACTCCAAATAAAGCTCACCTAACAGGGGAAACGCAATGGATTACAGGGGTTTCGAAAGCACCCAATCCGTCTGTATGCACCCACCAGTAGAAAAGTCCGTCTCGCCCTTCTTCACAAAACCCAACCTCTCATAAAGTCGCTGAGTCCTAGTATTTTCCTCAAAAACAGTCAGCCACAGCTGCTTGAACCCCTCCACCCTAGCCCTCTCCTCAACGGCCGCGATGAGCTTACTACCGACGCCTAGACCCTGCGTAGAGACATCGACGTAGAGCCTCCTAAGCTCCGCGTGCGAGGAGGTCTCGCCCTCCAAGCACGGGTCCGAGAGCTCGCGGACGAGCTGGACGAAGCCGAGCACGGCGCCTGTATTGTTGCGCGCCACGAATGTGCTGATGTTGCTTTCTTGCGCGCTTATGATTTCGGCCTCAATGGCTTTTTCTGAGTACGTTTCCTCTAAGAAGGTGGCTAGGTTATTTTCCGGCACTGAGTACCCGAATGTTGTTGTGAAGGTGGTGGTTCCGATGAGAGAGATCGCTGCTGCTTCTGAAACCAGGGCTTCCCCAATGGTCACTTCGTGTGCAAGCCTAGGCGGCGCATTAGGTGTCGCCAGAGGCGAAGCGACTTTTGCTGCCATTTTTTCGTGATGCAAGCCGTGACTAGTGATTTCAACAGTGAGTAACAGTAGGACCGACTGACTAACAATCTAGATATCTTATTTGATTGGGATTAAACTTCCAAAAAGATATCGAGGATTTCTCCCAAGTTATAGATCTCTTAAACTCCTAGCTTACCTAATCTCAGTCTAAAATGACTAACTCATTGGCGTGCCGAAACTAGCCCGACGTTCGGGGCCTTTGGTGACTTTATTACCTCTAAAGGTGATTCCTAGCGACTACCCCGGGCTGGTTTGCCCCCGCGCGCGCCCTGCGACTTGTCAATAAGGTTAAAAATTCGGCGCTGCTCCCCCTAAGGGGATAGCCCCTAGAACGAACAACACGGAAGTTCTTCATGACTCGATAATGGTAGATTGTCTTACCTACTAGTATACCTGTATCACATTTCTATTTCGTTCCATACTAAATATTGATGGATTTTACGAACACAATGTGTAGCATCATGGAAACATTCAGAATTAGTTCCGCCCGAAAGAATTACCTTAGCAGTTTCGTAGTATCTCTTTTCAGAGTGCATTAGGTAGAGCCACGGGTGACCTAAGTCGGCCGAATTACACTAGGTACAATCAACTTTAGGGGCCAAATGGAGAGGTAATGTACCTAAGAATTAGCATATCATTGCACTAATAGATCTACGACTTCCTACTAAGCATAACTACCTGGACACGATTAAACGGCTCAATGCTATAGCAAGTACCCATTTTTTATTAAATACCTAGCATTACATAAGCCTTGTCTCTTTCAATGAATACCATATTCTTCACCAAAACAAGCTTTTGTTAGTACTAGGATAGCAAACTTATGTGCTACCTCCCAATTTTCCAAGAATAAAAGCTTATTTGGGTAGGACGAGTTAGGGTTGTCATACAGCGCCCCATACCTGCAGCATGATCTCCGGGGCTCCATTTCGATCCCGTGTCAGCAACTGGACATGCCCTACTAGCGTAGTCCTTGCTCTTTTCTTATTCAGAATCTCCCGTGCTACACACGCAATTCACATATCATAAACTACTAGAAACAATGAATATGTAAACTTGGACATTATGCATAAAGTGCTTTCTCGTTTCCTACACAAGTTTACGGTGTGTACGTAACTACCTAGGTAAATTTATGTCGTACATATCACCCCCAAGCAGTAACAAATTCCGTTGTCCAATCATGTTTCTATCAATTGAGCTTAAGGACCGAATTAGGAAATATTGATAGGACCTAACTCCCTGTCACTCACTACTTACCTAACTAGGAGCGACCCCGTACTATTATTAAAATGTTAAATTTTTATAGGAGGGTTTGGCATTTTTGGTATAATCGAGAATAGATCACCTCCCCTTCCCCTTTTTTTATAAATACTCTATCGAGCGTTAAGATTTTATTATTAAGAGACCTGTTTATGAAGAGAGTAATGTCGCTACAGGAGAAATAGGCGGAAGGATGGTAGGATTTACTGTAGAATAGGTAGATAGGAAGCTACTGGGTAGGAAATTTACATAGCCTACGAAGGTTCGGGCCAGAAAACTTGGACCATCAGCCACGTCGATTGCCCAGTGCGCGATTAAATAAACAGTTATTTCATACTGTATCAGGTTTAAGCTGAACCTGAAAGCTGGTAGTGATTTGCTCGCTAAATTCTAGTGGATAGCTGCTATACCTCAAGCCTATTTCAGGGGCTTTGCCATTGGAAAAAACGGCACACACGGTGAGAGGATATTACAATTTACACGGCTTGGGCCATCAGCACCCTCTGCGGATGTTACAAAATTCTGACCCGAACCTTCGTACCGGTAGAAACAAATAAAGGGTCAGGTTCAACTCCCATTAAGTTCGTCGGCGCCTTTTTGGTTTCACAGTTTAGGATTATCCTTTGACTACCTAGGCACCTACCTACGCTCTATTATTCTTCATATGCATTTTCTTGGAGATTTAAGTGCAATATTATTGAATAAACATTACTAATGATCGAATAATACACCGCAAATACATGATACGCTACTTCTATGAGAGAAATCGGTCCCCTCAGATTAGAGTACGCTTCTGTGTGGTAAACTCTTCACTCGAATCTCTAAAGAGTCCTTCATAGGAGGTCAACTCCCTCCCCGATAATCCCCTCGACTTTCTCGCGGCTCGTAATTCTTGCAAAGACTTGAGTCGGCAAGACATTTGGAGCCATCTCAAACAAGAAGTCCCACCATGAGATATTTCCGCTTGGATGCATCAAGGTCCCAGCTTCAAATTGTTCAAACTGTTCTTCGGTAATTTCTCCGCAAAGCCTAGCCACGGTCGAAAGAAATGCAGACATGACATCTCCACCCAAGACCACCCACCAGTGATCGTCCATATCGTTGAAGGCGATCTCTTTATGCTGATTCCAGCAATGGGCAACATGTGGTGGGAGCATAGAGACGACGCGATCGATACGATCCATACTGTTGTTGTAGAGATTGAGATCTGGGACGACGATCGTGTTGGACTCGGGCTGGAATAATTCAGAGTTGACTAGGGCACCCCATTGCTTATCAACGAAGGTGAAGTTGTTCTCTAAATTGACGAAAATGTTTCGAAGCCCGCTGAAGATGGAATCGGTGAGGAGTACCTCAAAAGCTTCGCAAGCCTTGGAGTGGTCGTCCAGGATGTGGCGAGGGATAACAATGTTTTGGATGGCTGGCGCTAGCTCCCCCACTACCATCATCTCTGTTAGTAGACGTTTAAGAATGGACTGGGGGAGCACTCCAAGCATCGAATGCGAGGGGCCCCATGAATAAAGGTCCTAGGAATGAACTTACAGCCAAGGTTGTAGCCACCCCAAAGAAAGTAATCAGTTTCCTTGTTGAACCAAGTTGTTCTTCCATCTTCAAGCTTATATATCCGTTTCGACTTAAGAGCTACTCCTCGAGAAGCCTTGCACACATGTGCTATAGCTGGTGGTGCTTGGAGAATTTGAACGGAGCCAGAGAGAAGAACAAATCCAGCTGGGGTTTCTTCCATTGACTTCTATTAATGTTGATGGGTTAGCAAACCATGTGGGCGTGTCTAGGTAGTCTGACAAGGAAGTTAGCCGCTATTAAGTAGAATCATCTTACCTCCCAGATATCTAATTGAAGCTCCATCGGTAGAAAGTTGAACTGAGGGAAGGACGACAGTTCGGTTCCAAGCTGAAGTTGCTGGTTGTCCGACATTTTCGGTCGCCGAACGAAGAGGATAAACAGGGGGCTTGGCGATATGGAAAAGGGGCAAATCGATATTTAATCGACGGGTTTTGCTGTTGGATAGTTGGAATGATAGACAAGCGAGTGACAAGGGCAGGCTGAACGCTGGGTACTAGGTAGGCAACCTGACCATTCAAACGAAAAGTAAGAGCGAAGGAAAATAACAAGTGTGAACCTTTCAATGATCTGTAGGCATGATTAAATGTGAGGAACAAGCTGCGAAATATATGAGGTTGATGCCCATGCAACATAAGGAAATAAATCTGAGAACTGTGAGAAAAAGTGTGCCATTTTATATTTCATGTTAGTATAGGCTCGAGGGAAGAATAGTTTGCTAGTACGTGCCAAAGTATTGAACGCAATGTGACGATCTTTGGGATAACAATTGAACAACTCCAGTATCTCTAGCCAAGCCTGAGTGTAGGAAATGGAACGCTCGAGATTAGTTACGAGGGACGGAATAGAAAAATGTGCCCAGTCAAACGAGATAGGTATAGATTGGAACGATCTTAGGTTTGTGTGTAGAGTGTCAATGTCCTAGAGAAGGCTGGGAATGGAAAGACCCTAGGTTCATGCTGTGGAAGGGTGGTAGGGGGGCAAGTGCGTCAGGAACAATCAACGGCAGGAGACAACACAGTATATTCTATGACGATTATCCAATAAGCGGCTTGATTTCTCTCCCGAAAGCCGCTTATATTTCGGAATTCCATAGAAGGTAAGCGTCATCCTAACTCAATCCTGCCCCATCTTCATACTCGTGAGTCAGCTAAGGCTATTCTTGCATATGTGGTGGGCCCCGGTTTCCATAATAACCGCTTCCCGTCCACAGAGGTACCTATTGGGTATGAGGAACATGTATCTTACATAGTATTTAGTGCGTAATTCATTGTAATAGATACCCAGGCAGTATGGGAAATGGTATCGTTTACGTCGCAACATCCCATGTTGTGAGAAGTATATATCAGGGGTTAAGAACAAAACTACAGCAAACGTAAACCTCCATATGACGTCCCAGGCCCCGAGACCGTAGAGAATTCTTTGTGCGCAATATTGTAAGCTTTCTTGCTGTGTTCAAAGGTTGACTGGTCTGTGTGGATGGGTTTGACAGGTTTATCAAAAACTGTAAGCTCCATACTGTCTTTAACGTTCCGTGCCGAACCTAGCGCTAACTTAATTTAAATAGGCAACGGGAGCTACCGTTATACCTATAATGTTTCAAAAATGGCTATACAATTTCTACGAGTTGAGGCTCACGATTTCGAAAATACGACAGGCTTCCTCTTTCCGTGTGAGGCCATGTCTCAAATGATCCGACTCGAACATATTTCCCACGCCTTCTTGCCGGGTGGATCACGATACCGTACCCATACCTCGAAGCATTTTCTTTTCCATAATCTCGATCGAGTTCCTCGTCATAGACCATCTCGATGTCTGGTCCCCGATGTTTCCTATAACCATGGTTGTCTTCAAAGACACTACTAGAGTCGGACTCCTCTTCATCCTGGTATAAACACGTACCTAACAAAACCAACGACAAGCCTTCGGCCGATTCCTGCTTGCCTCCGACACTCCAGTCCAACCGCACCATAGCAATGAAACGTCCGTCTTCGGTATTCGCCCTTAACAATTTCTCGTCAGAGTCGCCTTCCGATAGGCCTTCCGTGTCTGAAAGCTCAAGCTGTCGAGGACAGGGCGCTATCACTCCCTGGAAGGTCAACGTTCCTCCTACAACCTTTCCGAATCGGTTATTTATGCTCTCAAGGCCAACTTGGGCTTCTAGTTTGACATATTCTTCTCTGTACTCCGCAGCCACGTCATCGCCCCAGGTACCGACATGGCGACCGACGAACACAATGCCGTGGCTTCTGCTCGCCCAGCTCCAAGACGGCGCGACATACGAATGCGGATCCTCGAGGTTCTCTAAAACAGCTGCCTTGGTGAGGCTCAGTCCGTGAAGTAGACTCGACCAGAATAGATCCCTGTTTAAGGTTTCCTTGCAAAGTCCGGCTAGGTACTGATCTGGACAAGATTTAAAGAACGTGCTGGCTAACCCAGAGATGGCAGGAAGCTTGTCGGCTCGCTTCGTCAGTTTGAGTTTCGAATAGTTTCGCATGACCCAGGCCCGCAGATCATGCCACTCGTCCTGTAAACTGGGTGGCAGGGTATCCTGAGAGATCTGGTTCAAGTATCCTACCAGACAATCCTCGCCGCCCTCCGAATATAGATCGCCACGTAATAAGAAATGCAGTTTCGAGGCCCCAAAGACTAGAAGATTCTGGGAAAGCATCTGTTCTTGAAACACCCACGCGCGCTGGGCCCAGTTCGACTCCTCGAAAGCCATATCCGCATAAAATCCTCGCACGCTGTCTATCGAGGACGGAAACGTACCAATAAATCGAAGATTGATTACCCCTTTAATTGAGCTGTTAACACGAGATTGAAAGGGGATGGGCGTAGACGACGATTGACGCTCAAGGAACCCCTTTTGACAGGTGTCTGATGCAGGTGTACATATGGTGATGAAAGCGTTCTTGTATATATCGGCCATGGATGCGGATTCACGTTCCCAGTCGTCTTTATCGCCTTGAATTATACATAGGGCATCGATCCAAAGATAAGGCATTCCAACTTCACGGGCGACCTTTATTACATCTCTTAAGATAGGAGAGGCTGACATCATAGGAAAACCAGAAACTCTTTCTTTATAGGTCTCACGATTTGTCTGCAGTTGTCGGGCAGCATCATCTGGTTCTCCCCAGCAGTAGCTCATGGCAGCGTAACGAATGGATTGGCTCTCGGTTTCCGTTGTCTGTATAAACTCCGCCGAACTTGTTTCCACCAGTCGACAGATATCACCATTTTCAGACCTCACATCGACTAACCGAGTTGGCAAGTATGTTGACGAATTGCAGTTTTCAACTTTGGTTAACCACTCCTGTATTAACTGCACGTTGCCTTCCCCTAAAGGGTCATGTGCGGGTGGTGCCTGAAGCCTAAGCCATCTACTCGCTTCGGCTGCTGGCGTAATTTGTATTAGAGGTTGAACGGTATCAGCCAAAACACACACAATATAACTTACACTTCTCGCCGTCAAGGGCAAAACAGAAAACGACGTTTTGGACCACTTTCTAGTCAGCTAATCCCATGATATTCCGCTCCATGACTACGTACGAACTTCGTCGGTATAGAGATCTGCGTGGATGTTCAGGGACTGCAATCCGACCCTTTGGTTTGGATCGCATTGATAAGAGGTACCGTAGCAATAAATCCTAGTGATTGTTTGAGGGACTTCTTGTCTAAATATTGTTCGCAGATGTTCGCAAAATTTGCAACCCTTTCTTGTCGATTCCGAAAGAACCGGCAACTGTGGGAATGAGTCTTCCCATGCATTGTGGTAGGATGCACGTATTTCATCTGGGTACTCGATCTCGAGCGACAATACCCCACCTTCGTATATCCCTCTCGACCCTAAGGCGCTATCGTCTAACTCAAGCAAGCGGCACCGGTCGCATAGTGTAGAATAGGAAGGCAGATACGTAGCGGTCATCTTTTTTCATTTTTTCATTGCTTGACTTGATCCTATAGTAGATATAAAAGCAAGGGAAAATCTGGAGACGATGTAGCAAATCGCGATTGCTGACTGCAGCGCTGCAGGTATTATGTAGATTTTAATATATGATTAACGGATCGGAGTGACGATCACGGCTATCGGCATCATCTTTTCATATCCATGGATGTACCCAAACAGCCTGAATCATAGGTAGTGTTATTTTTACCTCCGTTTTTGATTCTATCAGCCTCTTACACTTGATAGCTATTAGATAATGAAATACTCTATGAAAATTTACCTATATCGAACATGAGACTACCGTAGCGAATAATCAAAGCGAGTGTTTTATCATGAATCAAGATTGTATTGGCATAAGGCGCCGAGTGGTCTAGTTCTCCGGAGTTGGAGTTCTTCAGGGTTCAGGGGTTGTGTATCTATGGACAGGGTTTGGAATCCTGCATCGTGTTAGAAGATCTGTGATTGATTTGTTACCAATCTGCCAATCAGCATGAATTATCTTTAACAATTCAACTTTAACGTCACAGCGCGCAGTAAAAGTTGCGTTGCTCAGGCTCAGATAGTCCAGGGGTTGAAGAAGTTGCAAGGTTAATCTCGGTGTTTCGTATCCATACATTGTTTTATACGGTATAGAGTCTTCATTATAAGTATAGTGGATCTTCTCATCTCGCATACATGAGTAAGTGTGTAATATACTGAGTGTTATTCTCTTAAAGATACGCTTTCTTGGGTGACAGAAATCACTTTATACGCTATGTACCTATCATAGTTACCCGTTATTGCAACATATTGAAATATACGTACAGCGCTTCGCTATGTACAGTTCCAACCCCCTAACCTTATGTCTTGTGGCGGAGCTAGCCCTCTCATTTCTTCGCATCTTCAACATTAATGGCGCGTTGAACGAACATATTGAATGGCTCATTATATATACAAATGTTGCTAGTGTTAACGCGCACAATGTTGCTTTGCTGCAGCAATGCAGAACCATCATCAAGATGCGCTTTTTGATAATAATAAATATTATTTTCCACCCGATACTATAGTCGCCCAAAAGCAGCCACTCGCCGACCGGGACGATGCGGGATTACACGACGCTCATAAATACGCAGATGTTACTCCAGGAGGATTGCGCAACGGCGCATCATCGCAAGGGACGCGGGCCGTCCATTCTATAGGATTACAGCAGCTTGCGTCGCCACAACTTCGAATTCAATCACAGCCACCACAATATGAAGGACCCGAGCCAAACGCAAGCCAAACTTATGGACAATCGTCCCAGACTCTCCCATTATCGCAAATTTCTAGCTATTACAACGGTAACAATCCGACATACGATCCTCAACCGATCCCATCGAATACCAAAGACCAGCAACTTGGGTCTCATGCGCCTACCAACCCCTGCTCATCCTGGGTCAGTAAAGATATTAAAGTTAAGCGCTGGATAATATGGGCTATCAGCGGCGCTTTGATATTAATCATTGGCGTGGGGGCTATTATAGGCGGTATCATAGGAGCTCGAGCAGAAAAAGCAAAGCATGCTCCCGTGGGCAACCCCAGCAATATACCAACTGTTTCGAACACAACTTCCTCTAATACGCCGCAGACGACATCCACTCCAAGTGTTAGGCTAGGTTCTAGGCTGGCAGTCACTGGATATCGGAACGCGACGGACTACAGCATCCGTCTATTCTACCAAGACGAGGACAATCAATTACAATTCATCGATAAGGAGGGTGCAAGCGTTAATTGGTCCAAGCCAACAGTGTTAAACTTGCCATACGAACCTATTGAAAACGGCACTATTACTGCTGGTTCGGATGTATTGGATGATGATGTGGTAAGTTTCTTGTCTCTGTACTTCCCTGGACACTGCTAATTGAGTAGCCGAAAATAGTATTCTTCTATGAGGATAAGGACGGCATTATTCGTGGCCAGAACTTTAACTTCGAATTTGAGAACGGATCAATTCCGGTGAATGGGGAGCCTGGAAGCATCAACACGTATCCGCTCCAGATAGCTGGAAATAGCCGTATATCGAGTTATTTCCCATACTTGGTTTCGCAAGATGCCGACAATTCGATACGTTGGTCTACGATGATTGGACAGAATGGTAGTGATGATTCTGCTCCTTGGTGGGTGAACAGTACGGGTTGGAATGGGAACGTCAAGGCATCTAAAGCCGGTGGCGTCGTCGCTCTTCCCATCGCCCAAAACTATACGAATGCTGGCGGCATTGTATACCGAAGTAACGAAGGCATGCTGTCAGTCAAGATCCATGACGAATCCGCGGAAAGTAATGCAGGAGTATCTTGGAAAAAGGGGGCTTTATCAAAAGAAATACCCGCCAATTCTCCTATCGGCGCATTTGCCGTTGGCCGACCTTATGACAGCGACAATCAGATCAACACATACATACTGTATATCGACAACAATGGACTTATACAGATGGTGTGGCAGGACGACGATAATTGGCAGGGTCCCGAGACATTTGACGTGCTAGGTTCCGCTAGGAATGGAACAGATATTGCTTGTCTGACTCCCGGGTCCGACGAGGCCGTAAGCGCGGGGATATCTAAGTATCAAGACATGAACAGATGTTTCTACCAAACTAGTTTCGGAATTAAGGAAGTTTGGTTCGACGGTGCTAACTGGCATGATGAAGGTATTGTGGTAGTATAACATGATAAGAAACTCTAGGCATCGTCCATCTCATGAATAAAAAGAAATATGATTCTATAATGCAAACATTAGTGATTCATGGCTTAGGGTTGTTTGCAGGTTGCTTGCAGGCGTCTCGTGCAATGTCCACAGGTGCATATTCTCCACTATGGCACCATGAAGGATCTTAGCTATTACTTTGTAGAGGATAAGGTTCTTCAACTCTTCTGCCCCACTGCGGCTAATCCCCACCTTGAACCCCCAAGCACGCGCATTAGCAGCTGATTACCTAGGTAGTACAAAGTTACATACATGATCAGTAAGGTTTTGAGACCGAGTTAAGCGATAAGATAAGAAAAGCATATGGAAATTGGAAATTGTCCAGGTGATTGGGCGATTGTGTAACTCCTCCGTACCTCCAAGCCTCTCTATCTCTCCCCACCGAAACTTAGGGGAGTCGCGTGTTATCGAATCAACCTTCCGACCGTTCTATCGAGAAACTGTCATCTACTTTCTTAATTTCTTTTGTTAGATAGCTGCGTATAGTCGAAGATTCTGTCTTCCCTATTTTTCGAACTTTATAGGCATTTTGTCAATTTGTAAGTCTATGGAATGGAAGTCCGCGTGTGGGACGGCTATGACACCAGATCAGCCCCTCAATCTTCCCTTCGACATCACGGCATCGATACAAGATCGTCATTAGACCATTACTAACTTTCCTCCTACTAGATTTTCCAATAATTCTTATTCGCCCGCGATCGTTCCATCCTATAACCTTGTCCAACTACCGAGGAATATTTTCCAGAGAAGCCGGTGTCTTTTATGCTTCCATGATCTCCTTATTAGCGCCTCTTCAAGTGGCTTAAGCCAGTCCAAATCCCAGGATGTCGACGGCCGACAATGTGACCGATGCTCCCGGTCCGTCCGGAGAGCAAATTCATGCAATCCGCGACGCCGAGTCGGAAAGTTCATATGCTAGGAGTACTGATTCTTCTACACCGGGATGCGACTCCTACTACGATTGCCCGACGCATAGATTTCCGAGGAATGCTGTGATAGACGTCAGCCCCAACACATCTGATGCTGGCAGAAGCGACCAGTCTCTTCCATCTGAAGATTCGTCATCGCAGGTTAACGGCATAGCGGAGGATTCAGCTAGCGTGGAACATCCAGATGTCGAATTAAGTGGAGAAGCTATAACAACGCCTGGGCAGGTTCCAGCTTTGGATACGGAATTATCGAGCATCAGTGGCTCATCTGAGGAGCAGGCAAATTCAGAGCCAACACCAGTGCCAGCGCGGGGCATGAGGGGGACTTCTGCAGCACAAGAGGCCGGTATCACTCTGAGGGAAGCTCTACATCAAACAGTCGAGTCACTCGCCGAACTATCTATCTCGAATGAAGACACATCACATTCTACGCCAGATGGAAGAGCCGAGCTCCCAGATGATGCAAGTCGAAATAATATAGCTTCAACCTCCAACCCACCCGAGAATCAGCGACCTACCTCAAGATTGAACCCGATAGCACCACCGTTCTCTCCAAGGAGGTCTCCGCAAGAAGTTTCCCTTCCACGGTGGCAGCCGGATAGTGAAGTGACGTACTGTCCAATATGCCGTACACAGTTCAGCTTTTTTGTTAGGAAGCACCATTGCCGGTAGGTTTTTGGCATCTATATATCATTAAGTGAAGTAAGTAAGCTATTGACAAAAGCTAATGGCCGATATAGAAAATGCGGAAGAGTTGTATGTAATTCATGCTCGCCACATAAGATTACGATACCGCATCAGTATATTGTGCGGCCACCTGGAGAACGGAACTTTCATCGGTATTCCTTTCTCGGAGAAGAAGGTAGCATTGCCGATTTCAGTGCTTTAGGAGGCGGCGAACAGGTCCGGCTTTGTAACCCCTGTGTTCCGGACCCGAATACAACACCGCCGCAAACTCAGCACTCGACGGGACAATTCTCCCCGAGATCACCACTTCCTCATCACCGGTCTCAAAGCAGTTCTAGTGGTAATTATAATTATAATGGTAATCACAACAGCGACAACAATGTGAATCGTTACCCACAATATATGATACCGCCCAACATGTCCCCGGACACCTATTCCAGGAGTCGAAGTGTCACCATGGTTGGTAACCTTCCTCTACGTATCAAACATGTACTAATACCGTTGTAGCACTCTGGCCCGGGTCCCTCAAGAGCTACGAGTAGTAATTACTACCCTCCTCAGAGCCGGATCATAAGCGGAACTTCACCAACATACTACCCACATCCATACTCTACATATCGTCACTCTTCTTTCCTAGGTCATCGTTTCCCCGGTGCTTCTCTGGCTGATCTAGCCGATATGGCTGGCCTTGGGGGTCCATCATCTTCCTCCTCGGCGGCGACGATGAATCGCCCATTGCCACCTCCGCCCCAGATTCCCGAGGAGGACGAGTGTCCCATATGTCACCGAGAGCTGCCTTCAAGAGAGTTATCCAACTTTGAGGCTCGTCGAGAATCGCACATCGAGTCATGTATCGTAGCCCATAGCGCATACAGCCCAGGATCAAGGTCGGGGTCAGGGCCGGGATCAGTCGGATCCAGCATGCCGGGCAGCCATGGGGTGCCGCCTCTGACTGCTCGAAGAACTGGTATGTTCCCGTATCTAGCGACTGAGAAGGACTGCGTCGACTCTGCGGAATGTACTATCTGTCTCGAGGAATTCGAGGTTGGCGTTCCTATGGCACGCTTGGAGTGCCTGTGTCGTTTCCATCGGTCTTGCATCACTGCATGGTTCGTCGATCATCCAGGGCGCTGCCCGGTTCATCAACATGACAGTTTCGGTTATTAACAAATGATGACCACACTATCATACTCTCATTATACACTTCTGCGGCCAGTAGTCGTAGTCAAGTTTATTCGGACCTATCGCGTTGTATTTATACCAATCCATCGCTCTGGAAGTCCAAGTATAGGTATAGTTCAGGAGGACGGCGTCCTAACATATACTTCGCGGTCTTTACACTCTGCATATTCCCACCACGGTTCAGCGTTAGGTCTTTCTCCCCTTAGACGTGGCCTCGAGTCAACGTCATCACACAGTCTGGAGTCCGGCGTATGGCTCTATCATTTTAGCGTTTGGATAGATACTCTAGATAATATACCACTGCTGTTCAAATTACGGATGGACGTCTTACCCCCTAACCATTTCTCGGTGACACAAATCGGTAAGCCAAGGCTATTTTTCACGTGGGATCTCTAGGTATATACATACCCCTGATACCGCATGCAGCTAGATGCTACCTACTGTACAGTATGAACCAAGTTTCCCGACGTCATACCGGCTTGTTTCAACTGCCTACAATTCTTCTATGCTCGTCGGCTCTTATTAGTCTAGTTCGTCGAAGTACACACATATTCACACATAGTAGTAAGCTTCCGGTAACCCATGAGCTGCGCGAACAGGGGTTGGGGTCCTTTAGTGTATGTAATCTCATCAAACCTTGGACCTCACCGACTTCGAAATGTCCCTCGCTGTCACGACAGCACTGCATGATGATAATACCGTCTCCACTCTGCCATCGCTTTAGTCTGGTTCTGGGTGCCCAAGATTATCATCGCATAGTTAGCACTGCTTCTTTAGGTACCTAAGTGGTGTTATTTGTACATGTATGTTGAAAGGTAGGTAGGTTATGGAGAGGGTCGCCCCCACTCGCTCGTGGCGCGCCTCAGCGGCTAGGCCCTGAGAGGGCGTAGCGCGGTCCCGATTCTTGTTTTCGGCGTCCCGGGATGACGCACGTAGCAGGCGCTAAGGCGCTAGGGAAACTTGACAAGACCCTTATTATTATGGTGGTGGTGGTTTTTTTTTCATTCGGTTTTTATTATGTACCGTGACCGTTTCGATATATGTACATACGTACATACATAACCCCCCCTCCCCGCCGCGAGTCCTTCGGAAGGCTTAGCCTAAGGGGACGGACTTGCTACTAGGTCCTGTCTGCCCGCCCTAGGTATCAATGCGTTAGCGTGGACTGTATATGCTATGTATTAATGGGCTGCTGGCTGGGTAGGTATGATGGGTAATGGGTATGGGTATGGGTTTTTGGGTATGGTGGAATGGAGGACCCTGATTTCGAGAAGCGGGATTTCGCTCGCTTATCCTGAGGTGGCCTGTTAGGACCCTTCGTCAGACCCTTAATGCTCCATAAGGGGTGGAACGTAGCGGTGCTGAGGAGGGGGAGCTCTGCTCCAGCTCCCCGAGCCTTGTTTGTTTGTGTATGTATCGGCTAGTAGGTATGTAGATATGAGGTATGAGGTTTGAGGTATGGAAATGCGCGAGTACATGTGCGAAAATCGCCGGCTTTGATGTTGCCATGGACAGCGCCCCTTCGACGCATTAGATTCGGTTCCTGGGCCGCGGAACATGCCGACGGAGGAATATCTCCTGAAGGTCATTACCTACACGGGTAGGATGTGATTCAGGGTTGATTCAAGGTTTCGAGGTAAACTTGGGTCGATGAAGGTTCGTTTGCGAACGGACGTGATGCTTCGTCTGGGGATTCATCGAGGCGTCGTCATTGGACGCTACTGCGATAGTAGTGTGTTCCCGGTTCCTTCGACCTCTCCCTAGGGCGACCCGAACGAAAAAAAACTTCCAAATCTCCGGCGACTAGCTAATTCTCCCCAGATCTATTTCATCAGGGGGTATCCTGGGAGATAAACCTAAGTTCCTTGAATCTCTCCAGACGAAAGCAAGAATTGAGATCCGTTAAAGCCTACCCTAGGCAGATACTGTATAATAACTCTGCTGGTAAAGGAGCTTGTTCGCCGAACACGAGTTATGGCAGGTAATATAGACCCCTTGGAACGACGCCAATTCGATCTCTGGAATATTCTAACCATCCCACCGGGGAATTCAACAAAGGGTCGGCGATGGGGGAACAGACGGTGAGCTAGTATTTCGGCCGATGCTAGACATGACGACGGCCCTTCTAGTCTAGCGTTTTCTAGCTAAACGATCAGCCAACTTCCAACTACTATACTTCTCGACATCATATCTCATGATCAATTCGCCTTGAGGCTTCATAGGTCACATGTCGTCGGCCTTAATAAAGAGTATCGCCACAACAAGATTCATCAGGGTGTACGCAAGAGGTGGACGGTGATGATACTTAGAGCCGCTAAGTACCCGAGGTTTCAATATCCCTTTTACCCGCGGATGCGATACAATAACTTGGGTGTGTCTCTGAAGGCGTGTATTATGCAGCTCAGGGGTGTACCTATCGAACGTGCTTAGGACCAGCTATTTCTTGGCAGGAAAATGGGAGAAAATGATAGCTTCTGAAATAGTTATTTCCGTTCCTCAAGGTTTGCCTGTCATCATATCGATCTTGGACTTCTAGCGCTGGCGGATTTGTCGCATCGGAGAAGAAAACGAAAGAGGCAGGTTATGGGTATGGGGCTTATTAATAACCATATATCGAATCTATATACGCATCCATTCTACCGTTGTATATGGAAATATACGTTTTATCCTTACCCGAGCTCGCGAGGCGACCTATCGTTATGTCTTCGTTTCGCTGTTTGATAGAATAATGCAGGAAGGTGAGCATCTGACCTTCGTCTTCCTATGTCCCCTTCGTGGCACCCTATAGGGAATGCTTCCCGAATTTCCATGCATGAGGCTCATATACATAGCAACCTACTTCTGTACCGAAAAGTATGCCATTTGAGGAATCCAAGGTTACCTAGACACGCGTTGGTTTGCCTACTTCATGTAGGTATTGTAGGCAGATATGTGCGTATCCGCGCATGTAAGTATGTCTTGCCGTATGTCTCGCGCGCGCCGTATCTTTTGTCGATAGGCAATAGGCAATAAGAAATAGGCAGTAGGCATCATTTTCCAGTACCACGAATTCGGGGTATCAGGATCCAGCCGCATCTAGCCGAGAAGATGGCAGCCAGCCGCTCAGCTCTTTGTAGATCTAGGAAAGATGTACAGAGGATCCTCTTCCAGGGATGTAACCAATGGATCTGACCTGTGTACGTATCTGTCTAGGTAGATATGTCGATAGTTACCACGGTGGGTTTGACGTACGATAGTCGAAGGGGTGAGTGGCTTAGTCAAGCGCCGTAGCGTGGGAAAGGCGAATAAGAATAGGAGAAAATGATTCACATGTTACATTGGACTATTGCTTACAGTAGTAGACCGTTACATATCATGCTGGCGCAATGGCGAATAGCGGCACCCGGTATGTCTGACTTTGATACGGCAGGTACAGTATCTAGTAAGTCAGTAGGTAGGTATGTATGTATGTATGTAGGCAGAGAACGGACTGGGGAAGATGAGACGAGAGCGGTGAAAGAAGATACCATTTCATATTCTCCATCCCGTCCATCCATCCATCCAGCCATCCCACGTACTGTCGCGTGCCGCGGGAAAAATAGCTCGCAAGGGTTAATGCCCACGGCCAACACTCCCCAATCAGGGGACCGGTGAGGCTTCTTGCTGAAATGTGAGATCTTATAACAGATAACCATAACTGCCTAGCCTATAGAGTATAGTGGATGGGAAGGGAGAGGGAGAGGGGTAATGCGTACGGTCGCTCATCGAGAACTACTTGCCCATGTTATATACATACTGTACAGTATGCACCGTAAGAGATAGGCAAGTAAAAGTGTATATACCCCCCATGCTTCGACCCCCGCGGGTGGATGCCTGTAAGAGAGCAGGGTAACAGGGTCCGCTATTCGCGACAACAACTGGCGAGACACGATGACTAATATAGTCACATCTATCGTCCATGAGAAGGTTTATGGGATTTCTCAAAAGTGATAGAAATGCGAGGATTTTGGGCTGGATATTTAATATGCGAATGTCACTGTTCAGGTGAATCCTCGTCATCTTGGGTCGTGGGGGTGAGATATTTCTATGGCCTATAAACGAGAGAAATATACAAAAAAGAAGTGCGTAGGGACGGCAGCCGTCAGGGGTTTCTGACCAAACATCCTCCAAGTGTGGTTACACGCGATATTACTTTTTTTTGCTGCTCAATTCGGGCGCCAGTTGGGCTTATGGGATTTTTGATTAGCATGGGATTTATCTTATGGTCCTGATCTTTTCCATCATCCATGGATTTCAACCTGACCATCCCTCAAAGACCCCTCGTCAAGACGCCTTAGAGTGAAATAGTGCGTAGTCACCCGTCTCGTCGAAAGAAAAAGAGATCCATCATATTTCAAGTTCGCCGGTCATCCTGCCATCCTGGCTTCCGATCCACGGCCGGCAGATGAATCCCGGATTCATTCGAAGGATATGTGGATCCCCGTCGTGGCCCCTATTTTGACAGACCGGTTCCTCCACCACTACCATCCGACGAGTTTGTTTACACTGCATATGAATTGCCTAGACGGTACACTCACCTTCCCGCCCATCATATTTGTTTCTTCAATCTTTGGGACCACAGCATCTGCAATGTCGAGGCACCCAACCCGACACTCATGCCGTAAAACTGTGAATCCCCCGTCACACAAGCGTCAGTGTCGACGTGTTCTTCTCAATTCGCATATCTACCTTGTAGCGTAGCGTAACTCCTAGAAACAATTTCACCTGCGTAGTATCGCCATGAGGGAGGATGGGTGACGGTGGATATCGATCTATTGCTCGGGTCGAGTGATTCGCTCCTATCGTTGGGAGGGTAACCGTTGGCATCTTACCCAACGTTACAGTTGAGATAACCTATAGCCATCCTCGGTGGTGGTTGTAGACACGACACAACCGATAACGAGATTGCGAGTCATCCTATAATAGGGCAGTATGTTGTCAGCTTCTTAATACCGCGACTTGAACATTGGACGACCGGGCAAAGTAGGCTGAGATCCGAAACAATCGAGGGTCCACTATCTGCCAGATCACAAGACGCAATTCGTCGCCAAGAGGAGGAAAGCCAGCAGTAGTCGAACGAACGGGTAGTTCCCATTCGCGAATCATTTTTGAACCAATTGTTATGCTTTAATGACGAGCAACGCCTACGTACATGTTGCCGACGAGGTCAATCGCCCCTGATCGACTTGCCGAAATCAAATATTCGTTATTGCAAACGCCGTTTGTGATGCCAAATTCCGATCAACCCACCCCGTGAGCCAATGGTAATCCTGATGCTGATGTAAGTCATGAAACGGCAGTGGTATAAACTTCTTTTTCAACACCGGATCCCCTGTCTTGGTATAGAATCACAGTACAACTCATCGCCCTCGCGCAGCACTGTTGATGATAACACATTCAGAATCGAATCCTCTCAAAGCTAGTTAGCCTAGGCGTGAGACTAGGGCGAACCAGGTAAGTCGAATAAGCGACAAAAGGCTACCGAGTGAACTTTTTGTCGACGATGTGTAATGTAGATTCGTCGAGTTCATTTTCTTCGGTGCCGTAGGCGATGTAAAATCGCAGAATCGGTATGGGTATCATAGGCGCCATTGTCGTAACATGGCGGCTATAGGGTTGTCCAGCTTTATTCCTCCCCACTGCTACTATTCCCAGCGACTGCTTATTTCCTACCCCTGTTGGTAGCGGTTATCTTGCTTGTGCTCATCAGATCACCGATGTATTTCTGTAAAAATTTGTTGTGGCTATCCAGCTTGTCGTGTTCCTCCCTAACAGCCTCTATTCGGTTAAATATCATGAGGAGTGAATCTTGTAATGCTCTCGCATGTCTAGAAATGTTAGCGTAAATAATAATTCGGCGACGCAAGACGGGTTATCTCACTTATGAAGCTCTTCTCGTGCCTCGCGTCCCATAACCTCAATGTCCTCGCTAGTTCTTCGCGGGCTCATCGCTCTAACATCATCTGGCTCGAGTTCCGGCTCCAGCGGTCCGACTTGATTAGAATCTCGAGGGACTATAAGAGTACCGCTGCTCTTTCTATTAGGCAAGCGTGGTCGGATCGGGACGGGGTTGTGGATCTCCTGGCTCCCCACGGAAGAGGATGACGAGTCTGATCGCTCAGGGGGATTAGGCTTGGTGTCGGTGGGTTCACTACTCATGGTGAAAGGCGACTTTATTTACTGGTCCAGACCGTGGAAATTGTATATCGAAATGAAGTTATTGAGTTGGTAAAAGCGAAAGACTTCCAAGCCGTTGCAGTTATAGTATTAGAATGAATTAAAGGATGGCAATATGCCGTCGACGTTTACGCCCGTATCCTCCCGTCGCCCTATCCTCGAAGAGATCGCCACCATTCAGTGAAGAAGATGCGCCGTGGTCGAGGAACGGGCAGAATAGGTTGCGGTTGCGAATGCGTATGCGTGACAAGCCGGAAGCGTAAAGTGTAGGTAACGAGAGAAGGACGCAGGAGGCTGGCTGACTGCTGGCTGGCTGGTTGGCTTGGCTAGTTCCTGCAAGAAGGATACATCGGCTCTTTTTCTACGATGATTGTTTTGTCTTTCGTAGGAGGGTGTGGGTTGTATAAGTCGGTCAAGCTACAGTGGCAGAAAGAAGGATAGATGGGGTGGGCTTTGGGTAATAAGGGAGGAAAGAAGCAGAAGAAGCAGAAAGAGGTCTAACGGGACCCGGTCTTGCGAATCGGGGATGAGCGGGGGGAACCAATTCGACGTAGTTTGAAGTGATCGTCAGTCAAAACCTCAGGACTTTTTAGAACGGGGGGTGCAACAGGTGTTTTGGGGGGTGACTAGGTGACTGGGTGTACTGGAGCGATGGGCGATGGCAGGATGGTTGCGTGGTTGGGTTTTTGCGCTGGCCGAGTTATGGGGTCGTTGTCGATCGGTACAAAAATGTTCAAAGGACGGCAGGACGACGTTTTTGTTTGGCCTCTGATGTGACAGAGATTACGGCGCAGGGGGGGAACATGACCGAGTGACATAGTCACAGTATAAATAATACCGTATAATATTTCGGTACGTTCCAAACCTTCCTACCTAGCAGGCACCTTCGCTTGTTTGCTAATCTATCTACCTAGTACCTAGCGGTAGGTACTGTATGTACCTGCGCTGTCCTGGCTTGTTCAGTGTCTACCACCTAGAAGTATCTACGTACTTATGTATTTAAGTACCTAAGTATATCCGTACCTTGACGACCTAGAGGACCCCTGTCCTCACAATTTCCATGTATGGATGTACCTACCTGACCCGTTCAAATGCTAGTGGACACCTCTTAGCTCCGTCGATGAGGGAAGGCTTTTCTTCTCTTTTCTCTTTCCCGTTGAGGTCATTTGGGTCACCGTAACTGCCAGAGCTGCCTAGGAACGCATGAAAAACATTCAATGATAGCCGCGGAAAAGGGAAACCACTAGAAACTATCACCAGGGGAAAATTGCCTAACTTCAATCATAACGAGTAATAGTTAAAGCATGCATGTAAGTTGACTACGAGGTAGGTACTGGTCAAGTACATGTGTACTCGTCTATTTAATTACATCCACGGTGTACGGAATATGCATGATCCATTTCACCTTTCACAAGCCAAAGCCGATATGTGTGGTGATGCTGAATAGATACAAGTATCCAGACATCTACATACTGCGTACATACTGCGTACATACATAGACGGGCAGATGGGTACTTTATTACCTTTTATCAAATAATCGTTCCCGAAGTACTGGGGATACATATCGCACACATTATTAGTAGTCTCTTTGGTCTCTTTGGTAGGCAATTCTCAATTGCCACGTTTAGACCCATGACACTACTGCGTTCAAAGGTCAATGCTAACTAATCTGCTAATTCAACAATTCAGCCAAAATCTCACAATTTGAATAGCTGGTCTTATTCTATCTATGTATATACGTGGCTGCGTGGTTCCTTACTGCTTCACGGACCTGAGACACGACGGTAGTAGTAAGGGAAAAAAGAACGTCTCAGAAAAGATATTAGAGTTCTATTATCTCTTACCAATATTCCGAAAAAAGACCACCAACGTCCACTGCGTCCATATTATTCTCGCGCGGAGGAACCACTGAAGAGCATCCACATACGATATCCCAGTCGCGCAGATCGTTCGTTGACTTGTGTGACTCCAACAGGTCGCTCGTGATTGGGGGATTTGATAAGGAGTGGTCCCTTGTATGGGGAATGGACAGGCGTGGTAACGAGGAATGGGATTTCTGATGGATTCCTCTCGGGCTTGGCCTATCCTGGCTGGCCAATGGCCGTTCTCGGGCTCATCGACCACAGAGAGCGGTTGATGGAGCACGGCAATCTTAGACCGTTTCTAAGGGGCTCTGTGATGGGCAACTGATCTTAAAAAGCCTGCTTCACGACGACGTTTTCAGTAAGTGATAAGCAAAAGGCTCCGTTCAACGGCCCATTATGATGCCTAGAAGATTCTCATAATCTGGCGGTCGGAGTGACACCCGAACTACCTAGGTAGACTTGTTTGAGGCTACGCTGCGAACTATCGCATACCTCAGCGTTGTCAGATCGCCATATAATATGTAGTGCCGCCGGACCAAAGACCAAGAGGCCAACTATGATAAAGATGTCTCTGGTCGCGCGTTAAAAGGAGACATTAATATATTAAATGGAAAAGGGGACGCGATTCAGAAGGGGAGCGCGACATATGACTGGCCCTGTTGACTCCCTTGGCGCAGATTAAAGTTGTTCTTCCGCCCTGCAAGGCGCCAATTTCAGAGGATGGGAGAGGGACCCCTAAAACGTCTTTTGGGATTTTGGCGGGATGCAAGTTAGGCAAAATGCCAGTTGCCCTCTTTCAAATCCCCATGACATGGCAAAGAATACCACTAGTGATGGTGTCATCACTAGACTATTCATGGAAGCGGGAAGCCTTGCTGCCTCATATTCTTAAATTTACCCTTCCTAACTTCCTGCACTTGTCAATTGTTACCATTCGACGTTCCTTTGAATATTGATTCGAAAGCATGACACCTGAAGTATCAAGGTATCTTGATAGGACCCCTAGAAGGAAAAGAATATTCGAGATGATACAGAGATGGCGTAATCGGTATGTTCTCGGGTCTTTTTTCGAGCGGTTCAACGACCCAGCGCTAGAGAAGACCCTTGGGAATATGACGATTTTAAGGGACGGAGCCGACAAGGCAGATATGGTCCATGGATGATGAACGGATGGAATATCTGGGGCATTTTGAGCTGAAGCAGAGCTGGGCTGTCTATTGCACAGTCTGATGGGTACAGTATGAATTTTTCGCGGCATGTAGCTATCGGTGAATACTTAGGTACTTTAATAGTGTGATGTTTCTAAACCGGAAGCGGGGCCTATCTTACCCCCTGGCGTGTATCGATACTCTCTGGTGATGTCATATTAAAGAAATGTGTGGTACATATGTACATCTTAGTGCTTCGACGCTTCAACACTTTAACGCTTCGACGGCACCAATGCGAAAGAAGCAGGCGCTTCTGAGTTCTTGTATCCCTTCCATGCCTGTGAACTAAAGTTACTAGGTAGTTTCTGTGCTTACATACAAAGTTATTTTAGTAAATTAAATTTACAACATAGGACAGCGTTAGTATTCTTGCTACTAGTCGTAGGACAGCCCGCTAGGATGGGTGCAGAGGCAATCGAAGGGGAAGGCGTCGATCAAAATGTTAAGATGTATCCCTTTATCATCAATATGCTCACAACCCTTGTGTTATTAGTTTATCAAGTAGTTCTATCAGTTAGTGAGACACTTTTTTTTTCTTTCAATGTTCTCTTCTACATGCCTTGCCCGCCATCAAATCATTGCCTTCATTGGAAGGTGTATTAGCCAATCCTCATTTTGAGCCTTGCAATCAACGGTAATTCTGTTAAGAAGCACCGACTGCCCCGTCTTTTTGTTCTCGAGCTTTTCGGATTTCTTCAATGCATTGACATATTTTCCCCTGGACCTTTTTCACGTTTGGTTTTGTCGGAAGCCACGAGGCACGGAGGCACCTAACGTGGCTACTTACCAATTTCATCGTGCAGAATCGTGGTGACGACATGTGTCCCCGAACCAAGTTAGAAGAAAACAAAAGAGCATAATAATAGCCTTCGCCGGAACTTACATGAAATACACTTGTCAATATTTCAATTCGATGTATTTCAATGGACGAGACCATTCAGAAATTCCATTCACCCCCGCGTTTATTAAGACACTATGTGGTGTGTCAGCCGCTGCGCCAACCCGAGTACAATGATACATCTGAGACCCTTTAATCTCAGCCCCCGAAAGCTTTTCTCCAAATTCCCCATAGAACCCATAAGACCCTTTTAAAGGCTTCGTCATTTCTCGATTCCCCTTTCGCGATCTCCTGCTGGTTGCCGCTGCCTGTGCGTATGTTGTGGAACAATAATGACATCACAACCGAATCCGTCCAACATGTACATGCGTACTCCTTGAACGAACATGGAAATATTCAATGTTGTCTCTTATTTGCCCTTGTTAAACGTTTCAATATGATTTCTACAAGACTCTTAAGACTCCTTCAAAAATCCGTGTGAGATATTATATTACGTATACCTGCATCTATCGACCAAATTACCGTCATTGCAAAGGTATACTAAACCGACATTATAACAACAGTTCAGCCATTCAGGTAATTGAATCTACATGTATATGCAGCGTAAGGTATGGTATATACGTACCCACTATAAGGTATTGTACAAATAAACATACATGTACCTAGTAATTATACCCGATAAGGTGTTCTACCACCTAATTGCACTTGAATAACGCTACCTGATTAGTGCCCGCCTCTGGAAAGTCTAAACATTCTTAGGTCCGAATCTGCAAGCCTCACCTTGTTCTCTCCCCTATACCATCACTGCATCAATATCTGACAGCCCAGCTATCAGCTCATTCACCAGTTATATAATGTGGCTCTTGTGTCATCCGTCACCACGTAATACAGCACGGCTATGAGGAACCTCACCCAGCTTTTTACTCACTAGGTATATGGAGTTGATAGGGTAGATGGCTGCTTGGTTGCTCCATCCACGACACTTAACAGACTCGGCATCTCCGCTCCCTCTGTCCCGTCAATGCTATCCCAAGCTGAATCACGGAGCCCCGAATATCTCGTCAAAACAAGGAAAGGGGGAGAGAAAAAGAGGAGGCAGTTCACCGACAGGAAGCTGCCTGGAAGTGCCGATCCCATGACATCCGCGACGCTCGTCCAACGTGTCCGGCCAATCAGCTATCATGGAGGCGGACATCTCTCCTCCAGGCCTAGTACCCAGCGATCGGCGCCTGCTGGGGCCAAGTCTCGTTGTTCGGAGCATTCTCGCCTCTAGTCCTCTAGTTTTTTACGCACCCCCAAAAAATTCCATATCACGAGGGCCTCTTCCTGCCGGCGTCATGACACGTGCGACATTGGCCGTTGCCTCTCA